ATTATTTATAAAGGCCATTTCTTTTAATCTTCCTTGCGTAATGTGAATCCCAGATACTAACAAAAGAACAATTAGGGGAATCCCTGAACATTTCACTCACAATTTTTATAGGCAATAAATAGGCCTAAAGGTATATAGGTTCGGATTATCGAGTACTATGAAATTCGGATTATAGAGTACTCAACTCGGTACTCAATGTATTAAAAATGCTTGTTCGGACTACTGAAGAATTCGGATTATTGATTGTTCGGATTATCGAGTCTCGAGTCGAGTCTGCACTGTATTATGTAAGATGCAGAAATATTTCATCACATGGCGATTCGGAAATATTCAGAAAATATTTGTCATGTTCATGTTGCAATTGAAATTTTTTTTGCAGGAAATAATTAACAAAAAAATCGATAATTGGTTCAATGAAGAGCCTTAGATTAGCCTTAAATTACGGTGTACTCAGTATTCTTATATTCCTTCTATTTGAGATTTGGTTCTGCTAGCTTAACGGTTAAGCTACCAAAACCCATGATTTTTTTGAAAAAACAGTGTGCGAAAAAATTCGCACTAGGCTAGGATCAGAGCCTTAAATTAGTCTGAAATTATGGCATAATCAAGTTTGTGATTGAAGTTTTTTTGGTTTGCTACTGGTTTGTCATGTTCATGTTGGATTTGGGAAATTTTTTGCAGAAAATGATTTTCAAAAAAATCGATAATAGGTTCAACGAAGAGCCTAAAATTAGCCTTAAATTATGGTGCACTCAATATTTTTATATTCCTTCTATTTGAGATTTGGTTCTGCTAGCTTAACGGTTAAGCTAGCAAAACCCATGATTTTTTTAAAAAAACAGTGTGCGAAAATATTGGCAATAGGCTAGGATCAGAGCCTTAAATTAGTCTGAAATTATGGCATAATCAGGTTTGTGATAGAAGTTTTTTTTGGTTTGCTACTGGTTTGTCATGTTCATGTTGGATTTGGGAAATTTTTTGCAGAAAATGATTTTCAAAAAAATCGATAAAAGGTTCAACGAAGAGCCTAAAATTAGCCTTAAATTATGGTGCACTCGATATTCTTATATTCCTTCTATTTGAGATTTGGTTCTGCTAGCTTAACGGTTAAGCTAGCAAAACCCATTATTTTTTTTAAAAAACAATGTGCGAAAAAATTGGCAATAGGCTAGGATTGGAGCCTAAAATTAGCCTTAAATTATGGCATAATTAGTTTTGTGATTGAACTTTTATTTACGAAGTGGTTCTGCTAGCTTAACGTTAAGCTAGCAGAACCCACGTTTTTTTACATAAATCGAAGAGCAATAAATTCGGCAATAGGGTAATAAATTAGCCTTAAATTAGCCTAAAATTATGGCCGAAGAAAAAATTGAAAAATTCAAAGTGGTTCTGCTAGCTTAATGGAGTTGACTGGACACATCTACAACCAATATCACTTGATACGTGTCTCGCTGATCTCAATTCCCATTCCTTTCGAATTATTGGTAAAACTGCATTTAGCATGCGATGGTTTTTTTTTCGAAAATTTTTTTTGGTACTTACGTATTTTTGTGTGAAAAACACGAATTTTATGATGGAAATGTGAACAAACCACTATTTATCGAGATATTTCAAAAAAAAGTTCGAAATTTCGACTCCTTTTTCCCCTTGCGTTGGATGCATTTACAGGTACTTGCTCTTCTTATTTTGTCATTGGACACTTTATATACTCATGATGTACTTTACTGACACATTTTTATACAGAAAATTCAACAGGATATATGATTTTTATGGTGAGTTTTTCCTATTTAGTGAGCAAGCATACCAGATGACGGCCATTTAATCCATAGGCAATCCAAATACGAGATGTCAAATGTCAATAGATTGCTTTGGAATGACATTACACACGCCATTATTTCAAATGATATTCTTCCTTCTTTTCACTAAATATGGATAAATCACAAGAAAATCATATTTTTCTAGTGAATCAATAATAGAAAAAAATGTGGCTTACATTGTGATATATATATAAATTGTCCAATGATGAAAAATGAAGTAGGGGAAATTTGTAGCTTCATAGTGAAATATCTTGATAAATAATGGTTTGTTCACATTTTCATTATCAAATTCGTGTTTTTCAGACAAAAATACGTAAGTACCAAAAAAAAATTTTTGAAAAAAAACCCATCGCATGCTAAATGCAGTTTTACCGAATTATTTTGAAGGTTAGCAGGAATAGCAGGTATGTTAATGTAATTTTCGGAGTTCGTAGAAAAAGCATAGTATGTAACGCGTTAATAAACTCTTCTAGACACTCGTTTATTAAACACTCGCTCCGCTCTGCTCCGCTCGTGCTTAAACTACTCGTTACTAAAAGGACGTTTATAACACTTGTTACATAATATACTATTATAGAACCGCATGAACTACATCATACCACAGTTGTATATCTAATACCTAACCTGACCTTCAAAACTTGCGGGGTCCTTTGATTCAGGTAGTGGATCTCGTCCGAAATAATAATATGAAAGCTATTCTAAAAAGCCCAAGTGTATCCGCTTGTTGTTTGTCTGCGCTCTTATAAATATACGTATCTGATGATAACTCGATTTTGTGTCATAATTTTTTTTGCCATCTCCATCATTTAATTATTTTCTGTTATCAGTCGACAGAAAAGCATTTCGATGTTGTCATTCTCTTGCAAACTAATTCCAATAAGAATTGAAATAATTGATTGATTTATCTAAGTTTATTGAATTATGTCGATGAATGGTTGCATCAGATATAACGGCATGTCCGGTCATAAAAAAAATTTATTGTTTTAAAAGTGTTCACGCTTTGCACACTAATATTTGCAATTATGATTGTGGCAATAACAAGTTGAGGTTACAGCTAATGTATGTTTGTGTATGAATGTTCTTTTTTCACGAACTGCTTAAAATTATACCTTAATGCTGAATTTTGTTGTATGTAGAAGGACTGACAAATAAAGCATATTTCAAAGTGTTCTCCTTCGTGATCTCCGCTCTAAAAAAAAAAGCATCATAAAACATTTACGTCCTTTAATAATACATTGGCAGTAGACTCCACGGCCAGAAAATAAGATATACTCATCAAAAAGCTAGTTCTGTTTGACTTTGATGAAATACTGAATTATAGACTAAAAACTAAAATCAATTTGAACATACAGAAAACATGCAAATAATTAATGTGATATTTTGATGACTCGATCTTTTTTATGCAATTATTTGTTTCTGTTCATTCCGAGGTTTATTTTAACGTTTCAATTATTTGAATCAGAAGCATATCAAAAATATTTTGTCAGGATTATGTATGACTTATTATGTCATCTAATTTCATGTTTAAATCCAAAGTTGTGCATTTATCATAGTCAAACAAGAGTACTTTTTTTTTTTAATTTCACAATTTTCCGAGGAATTTTCATATCTGAGGTGAAATTGTTATCATAATTCCAAACAAAAAAGTAGAGGCCGTGATTCTCTTTGTGTATAGGGAGGTGTATAGTTATCATCAAGTAATCATATTGTTCTTGTGGTTTCCTCTATGAACGATTTCCAAAAGATTTTGAATATAGTTTTCTTCAATGCAAGGTCATTTTCCAAAAGAAAAAAGTTTGCACAGCAACTTTTCGAAGAAAACTAGAAATTTCATAGTCAATGACACGAATATTGAGCAACAACAAACTATTGTATTTTTCCATTTTGATATAAGGCAGATAATCCAAAATACACAGCATGAAAACTATTTCTATCTACTCACTGCATCGAAAGTAAGCCTTTGCTCCCTCATTCAAGGACACAAACCTGTCAATTTTCTCCCACCGGGGGAAGAAAAAATATTACCTACCGTGGGAGGTGAAATAAATTGGCTTTAGCTTGCTTCCACGGTAGATATATAAGTATAAGATCTGTGCTTGCAATCACACAATTCAATGTGACAGAAGTGTAATAGTATATTATGTAACAAGTGTTATAAACGTCCTTTTAGTGACGAGTATTTTAAGCACGAGTGGAGCAGAGCGGAGCGAGTGTTTAATACATGCAACTGCATGCAACCAGCGAGACACGTAAAAGTGATATTGGTTGTAGATGTGTCCACTCCATTGCTTACTTACCTTTGTTTCACGTTTGTTGTCATGCTTAGCGCAAAATAAATAAATTGTTCTCAAAGATGGATGCTTCATTTTTACACTTCTTGGAGATATGCAAGTACCAGAACATTATCTTCGATTTCACTTTCGTCTACATTTCGCTTATATTTTTAATGAAGAATTCTGATACAAATGAAAATTGTTTCAATAATTCTGATACAAAATTTGAAAATAACAGTTGACAGCTAATACAATTGACAGGCCATATGTCTCAAATTACTGAAGCTGTGTTTAATGAACTGTGTTGCCATGTTGATGTATTTAAGAAATCGTGTTGCCATGGTAACGTGTTTAATATTTCGAATAAATCACAGATCGTCAATCCGTGATTAATCGATCATTTAGCGTGGTACATATCCGTACGCTAAATGCCATTTTAGTTATGTGAGTAGAAAAACAAAATTAAAAGAAGAAGACAGTGGCAGGTGACAGTATACCTGTGCTGTGCATTAGACCACAAATCATCACAGATCAGAATTGGTTTCAGTCTCAAGGTCCTCGCGATCTATCATCTGTCAAAATCGGTCTTATTTCTCTTCTTATTGGCAGATGGTGGCAAAAAAACAAACGTTATAAGTTAAATTATCAATTTTTTGACATTTTCTTCCTTTTCGTATTATTTATTCACGAAAAATCTGCATTGATGTTGATATTTTGATAGTTGTGAGTGAAACCACATTTTTTTGGTGAGTTAATCATTGTACACCTGTTGGCAACCCAGCATTTTAGTTACGTGAGTAGAAAAACATATTCATAGACGGTCACTGAGCGGTCAACGTTATGCGCATGCGCTAGCCGCTTTACTGACATTACCGCACGCGAGTTCAAAACAAAACCCGACGTTTTCCAGTGAGCGATGCCGAGCTGAAGCGCGTATGCGAGGCCTTCAAGCGGCTGACGAACGGCGGCCAATCGCTGTCGCCCGCTGCTTTCACGCAGCACGTGCTCGGCGACGGCGTGCCTGCCGCTATCGCCGATTGGCTGTACGCGGCGTGCGGGGGCGGGGCCAGAGGTATCGCGCTCAGGGATCTAGTGTGCGGGCTGGTGCTGCTCACGAAAGGGTCGCAGGAGGAGAAAATCAGGTGAGCGATAGGTCACAGTTGAAAGAATATATTTATTGATTGATTGTCTTTGTTATCCCAAGTTACATTATTGTTTATTATAGGGATATACTTACAGGTTGTTTGAAAAAACCTGACCCCCTTGCTAGAGTAGGTAGAATACTGCAAAATAAGTTGGGTTTGCTCAGTGAAAAAATGTCATAACGGCATCAGTTTTCATGATACAGGGTGTTGAAAACATGATTTTTTTACACATTTTTCAAGATTATGTCGAAACTACTGGCAACATTGTAATGAAATTTTGTATGGATGTTTCTTGAAATCGGATACATCGCATGAATTTGTTTTTATATCTGACTCTCATAGAGGGCGCTAGCTACACGGTTCGTACCGAGTAGTTTACAAAATAATTTTTTTGAGGTTAGATTTCTCAATCCAAATATGATATAAACTTGAACATCATTCAATTTTACACCAAAAAAGGTACTTTTGGTGAAACTCGATACTATTTTTTGTTTTCGTGATATTTCGATTTGAAAATAATGGAGTTATAGCTGATGCTGGTATAACATGAATTTTATTGAGTTCAATTACTTATTTGATCAGATTCAAAGACAATGAAATTATTCTTGTGCTGAAGTTATTGATGGAACAAAGAATCATAAGTAGAAAAATAAGGGATATTTGACTAAAAACATGAAATATTAAATCAGTTAGATTAAGTGTTCAAAACGTCCTACGTTTCGACGAATACACGATTCTATATTCTTTTCTTAAGAGTGTATCATTCTTCTAAATAGTTAAGGATCAGCTGTTGGGTCATTTAAGTGATGTTCAATTATGTCTTACAACTCTTGACGTGAATTTACCTATGTAGCATAGACTTTCTGCTGAAGATACAACAAAACTGTGTAATCCATGTTCTTAGTCAAATCTGTTTCGATGTTATTCTTGTGATTCATTGATAAATCAATAAGTTTAGCATCAGAAATGTATTGTTATTTTCGGTTTTCAATAAATAGTTGATAATTTTTCATAATACTCACTCTAATACATAGCTTTATACCAGCAACAGTTATCACTTCATCATTTTCGAATCGAAATATTCCGAAAACGGAACACAGTATCGAGTTTTACCAGGAGTACCTTTTTGGTGTGAAATTGAATGATGTTCAAGTTTACATCAAATTTGGATTGAAAAATCTAACCTCAAAAAAGTTATGCCCAAAACTACTCGGTACGAACCGTGTAACTAGCGCCCTCTATGAGAGTCAGATATAAAAACAAATGCATGCGATGTGTCAGATTCCGTTGTTCTTCTTGAGATGTAGATATACGTAGATTTATTATAATTAAGAGTCAGTGCATTGGTCCTTAGCCAAGATGATATTTGTTTCAAATCATTTTTAATATCATTATTGATATCGTTAAAATCTTTTGAAGTATAGATTATTGTTGTATCATCTGAAAATAATTTTAGTTTTCCTTTCAATTTCAAAGTAGATATTGAGCTGATGTAAATTAAATATAAAATTGGCCCCAAAACTGACCCTTGCGGTACACCAAATGCAATATTCATCAAGGAACTACACGTATTATTCACATCAACATACTGTTTTCTATTCTTCAAATAATTTTTAAACCAATCATGAATTTTTCCTCTGGAACCTATTGATGTTGAAAACATAATTTCTCCTGCCCGAGCAGACTGCTAGCAGTATGCCGACCGCCATCTGTTGTATTGGGTCGCCCAGAAAATTGCATCACATAGTTTGATAGTGCAGTGGACACGGCATCTCGGGATAAATTTCAATTGTTTGTGATGAATTTTGTATTAAAATGGGAAGCATATATTTGCACTAAGCCATTTTTATACTGCTGATGGTGCAATGAAGTCTTATTGAATTTGACTTCCCAAGTAAAGACGCCGTAAAACAAATGAGTGCAGCTGTCAGCGTCACGGTTCTGATCTGGAAATTGTTTTTCAGATTAGTCGATTTGATTTTAAAAAGTGTCAAATAGAATATGATGCCAACTGTCTGAAATACACTGTATATCTGATATACGTATGTTTTGACTATTTAGGTTCTTGTGGACCCTTTATTGCAACGACTCTGGTACTCACATAACCAGAAGCGAGTTCCAGAGCGCTCTTCAAATAGAAGGAACTCTACCGCCACCTGATGGTCCTTCAAAGCCCAACCTCGTATGGGACCGTACCATAATTTCATTATTCGGAGTCAACCAGGATAAAGTCAGTTTTGACGATTTCAAGGCTTGGATCATCTATAATAAAGATTCAACTGTTTTGTCGAAATGGTAAGATATTAAATCGCATTTAGTAGCAATTTACAATAAAATGCTATAGACCCTTCACACGGTCGACCATTTACGGTTCCAAATACAACCTCCAACCTCCTTTTGCTTTCTCTGAATGGGAATATACAGAACCTATAGATCTGCAAAAACATATGAATTCGAAGACACCAGAGATTAAGCAATAGGTAGCAAGAATGAATTGACCCGGGAAAACTGAAAAATCATTTTTTTTTTCAATATATCATGGTTACCCGCGATTTTGGGGACAATCCACTGAATGATTGTATAACCAGCTATGAAAACAATGTTCACACCTATTTTTTTATAAGCAAGAATGTTTCCTTTCTTAGGTTATTGTCCAATCCGTGCGTGTCTCTAAGTTCGGAATTAGAAACTCCGACTTTCTATCAGACTTTGGCAGGCGTCACTCATTTGGAGGAGCAAGACATCTGCGAGCTGGAAAAATGCTTTTGGGCCTTGCAGAGTGCCTCGACGAGTGGCCATCTCGATTTCAATTGCTTGAAGTCGTTGGTCTGTCCCCCAGTGCCTCTGAAAGCTTGTAAAGGGTAAGTACACCAGACCTCAATCACTATTTCAATGCCTAATCTAGAATTTTCAAGCTGATATGATTTTCATCTGGTTGGGGTGCATAGACAATAAAAAAAAATAACCAAAAATATGTTTGAAATCTCTACATCGACTGAAAGTGTTTCATATGTTTGATATTTTCAGGTTATTTCTTGCGTTAGATGTCAACCGAGATGATCATGTCGATTTCAAGGAGCTGTGTTGTGGTATATCTGCCGCTTGTAGGGGTCCAATGGTGGAGAGAATGAAGTGTATGTAATTCGTCTTTATTCATTTCTTTTTTCTTGTTGCTACTGCAAAACAGTTTGCAGGTTATTGAAATAGTGTGGTTAACCCTTTCTGGTTCCGTTATAATATGCTTGTTGATACCCTTGATAATTTACACTAACAAGATGAACCATCCTTATGAAAGCAATGAAGCCGGAAATTGTATTCAGTATTTCATTTATTATTTTTAGATGTTTTTAGGCAAGAAGGAAGGTCGCATTGCATCAGGACCGTAGTATAAATAATCAAGGGTGATACCCAAGCTAAACATTCGATCAATGAATTGACAGATGATATGACAAAAATATTGAATTCAAATGCTTGATCTTTATTTAATCTGTTTTGCTGCAATTGTATCATTTTCAAATCTTTATTTTCCAGTTTGCTTCAAGATCTTCGACATGGACCGAGACTGCTACCTGAACGCCGAAGAAGTCCAGCACATGACGCAAACTCTCCACTTCATCGCCAACGAGAACAAACACACCTACTCATCCCCTGAGCCCCACCAAACCCACCTGGGAGACGACCGAGACAGACCCAAAATGGAGACCCACCGGGCAACGATGGAGGGTCTGAAAGACAGGCTGGACGAGCAAGGGGGGCTCAGCCAGGAGGATTTCCTGGTGTGGAGCGTCGAAGACAACGGTTTGTTGGCTCCATTGCTGGAGCTGCTGTTCCAGGTGTGCCACGTGTCGTTGGGGCTAAGGCCGCACTGTCGTCACAACGAGTATGAGATAGGTTAGCTATTAATATTGCTGCATGTACTGTCAAACCTTCATCTGCATTCCAAACAATTCAAATTACCTTATATCAAACCTATTCGTAAATTCCAAAACATTAAATAAGAGATCCATTAACCTTATATAACCTTCAAGTTGGATCTAATACATTACCTATTTTGGAATTCTACCACATGATATACAAATGCCTAACGTGTCGTTGGGGCTGAGGCCACACTGTCGTCACAACGAATACAAGATAGATAAGCTATTAGTATTGATACTTCTAATGTCAAACCTACTCTTGAATTCCAAACCATTTGAAAAGAGACCATTTCAAACCTATTCCTAAATTCCAAAACATTTAATAAGAGATAATTCTAATAACCTTATATCATCTTCAAGTTAAGGATCAAAAACATGACCTATTCAGTATAGTTCACCACAAATTTCTCAAATAGCTAACGTGCCGTTGGGGCTCAGGCCGCACGAGATAGGTTTCTGGCTTATCAAACGGCAAAAAACAGATTTGGCGCAGTCGGTAGGATTGGAATGTCGATCGAATGAGTAGGTGACAAAAAAAAGGTATTATTGCGTTTTTTCTCGCAGTGATGGGATGGTTGGAGCGAGAAGAACGTCGCGGCTTCCACGTAGGCCAGTTCTGGTACCTGGTTGCCTCCGATTGGTGGCAGCAGTGGCTGACTTACACTTCCGCCTCACGCACCAACCTCGACTTCTGCAGCTGTCGCCGGGAGCCTCGCACTCCCGTCGAAGAGGGTATCGTTTGTGATGAAAGTCTGGTGAGCAACAACACCGATTGCACGTCCACTTCCAACGATTTCAATTCCAACAGCATCGAGTCGATGGGAGATTTGCTAGGACGAGGAGATAGGTAATGATTTTTTGTTGTTGATTTTTTTAAGTGATGGCTGATCAATCTCGTTTTTTTTATAATTGGCGCAGTCGGTAGGATTCTCATCTACACACAGCAAACGTTTTAATTCATTCAGATACTTATTACAATTATAATTATACGTGTCAAATATACGCAAACTCCTATTATTTTTCATAATTGACTAAGAAAAATTATAGATCTGTGAGGGAAGCAGAATATTCTGGAAGTAGATCTGAATCCCGTGAAAATCCTGTACATACATATATTTTGGCCATGAGAATCCTTTTACCTAATCATTTTGTAGTTCCAGCATTGCTTCCAGCTCAGGAGTGTCGAGCAGCTCTGGCACCGGCCAGAAAAGGAGTTTGGGACAACCTGGACCCATTGATAACTCCAGCTTGATTGCCGAACCCATGTCCAAAGTACAAACTCTCACAGGAGAAGGTGAGCTGTTTTTTTTTCACTATATTATCAAACCATCAAGAATAAATTTGCGTTCTCATGAAAACATTTCAGGTGCGTACAAATTTTTTTCTGAGGAGGGGGGGGCAAACAATTTTCAAAATATGAAAGTTGGGGTCGAAAAAATGAAGTCAAAAATTTCAAATGTCTTGAAAAAGTACATCTATTGTAAAACAAAATCACGACTTCGAGGGCGTACGAATTTTTTCTGAAGGATTACCAACTCTCACAGGAGAAGAGAAGCCGTTTTTCACACTAACTAATGTCGGCGTATTTTCCACACATTATTAACATAGGCGATTAGCAGTATGTTTGAGCGAAGCAATAACCCCACGTTGGGCGCCAATATTCAAAAACACACACCCCTCTATTCTGTGAATTCAGGTGGCCGGTTGAAGCGAGACATGACCCTGGTGCTACGTAGAAACTTCGAACAGGTGCCCAATTCTTTGTGGAAGTCTCGACGGCAGCCCTTAGGTTGATTAAAATTGTTCTTTGACATTTTTCCAATGAATAACTTATCTATACCATGACATGAAATTTGCAATAATCTCTCGAAAATAAAATCAATAATTACTTCATTCCCCAGTTCTTTCATTATTGATCCATAAAATTCACAAATTGAGTGACTGAGGGTCCCCACGTTGGGCGCCATATTAAAAAGTCGCTTTTCTGTTCGGTGAATTCAGGTGGCCGGTTGAAGCGAGACATGACCCTGGTGCAACGCAGAGACTTCGAACTGGTGCCGGATTCGCTGTGGAAGGCTTTGTCGATGTGGTACGGCGGCCCTTTGCCGTTGCCTCGTCAAGTCATTCGGCCGCCCGGCCGCCAGGAAGTGGAGTTGGAGCTGTATCCGCTCAACTTGAGGATATTGAGGCACAGCCCGCAGCAGAGCGCCAGCACGGCTTCTTGGAGCAGCGTGGTGGGCGGGTGAGTAAATCGTGATTGATCTAAGTTATTGAAGTGAAAACTTCTTTAGATGCGATCAGCAAGTTTTCTTGGGTGAACAGAAACATTGGATTTCGCGTCATCGTCACCTAACACTTTCCATGTGCTATACTCTGAGATGCTTACACGTTAAACAAATAGGGTTAGTGTGTGACAAAGAATCACTACGCGCTTTTATTATAGGAAGTACAATCGGAAGAAGAATTTCAGTCCTTTCTGCAGGTAGAATATAATAATTACTTGAGATACTTGTGAATGGTTTGATAGCTACATAATATAGTAAGCTCCTTCACAATGGTCTATATTGTAATCCTGCATGCATGATCATAGTTTACCAAAATACCGCTTTATGAACCTTCACTACATATCAAAAGTAAGTTGAACATATCGAATTTATTCCATTTGGCTGATATACTGTATCTAATCTTGTGTAACTATGGACTGTCGTCATTTTGGGAATTCAAAGTTGATCCATGGCTCATAATCTGAGTCATAATCCGATGTTATTATCTCGGTTATTATTCCTCAACTATTACTTTCGAATGACTTGAATAGGATATACCTACTTATTTCATAGGAATAGTATATGTATTTCGTTGGTATAAATGTACATACCAATTTGATATCGACCTCCATTGAGGTCCTTCAGCCTTATCATTCAATATTTCGAGGAGAAATATTTTTCTAATCACTTTATCATACCCTTTTACCCTCTCGAGGAGACGCTATGCACTCACATCCAAAAATCAAAGACAGAGAAATATATATGGATGTAGTCTTCCCAGGACTTGTGGAGGAAGGAAGATGTGAGGATCCTTTATCTAAGCGAAAAACATATTCTTGTCCTTGTCTAGCAAAACATATGATTTATTTCAAAATCGTTTGTGGTTGTTTGATTGTCACTGCTTGTCTAGTGTCCGTACTCTAATATACAAAAAACGTCAAAACATCAGTGTCAAGTATATTAAGGAACTCTACTTTCAGCTACGGCGTCGCCGCTCTGAGCACCGCCGGCCTCACCGCCACCGTCAGCTCGGCCACGCGCCGCTATCTCGCGCACACCGCCGCCTTTTCACGCCTCTCCACCGTGCAACAGGTGGCCGACTTTCTGTGCCACCGGCTGGCGCTGCGGTCGGAGGACGCGCGCCTCTGGTTGTTCAGGGCCAACGCGACCAGCCTGCTCGACGACGATAACGCCACGTTGCAGGAGCTGGGCATAGCCGATGCCGATCAGATCTTGTTGGAGGTGAGAATAACAGGGCTGAATGACAATAGATAGACCCCGCGATAGATTCATGAATCATTGAAAAGCATACGCTAACAAATTCTAAACGGCAAAAACAGATAAATGAATGAAATCGTGAATAGTGGGGATAACTCTGCGGATTCATCGCTAGAGAATTGATATTCGTACGGAGGACGCGTTACTTTGGCTGTTCAGAGCCAACTCGACCAGCCTGCTCGACGATGATAACGCCACGTTGCAGGAGCTGGGCATAGCCGATGCCGATCAGATCTTGTTGGAGGTGAGAATAACAGGGCTGAATGACAATAGATAGACCCCGCGATAGATTCATGAATCATTGAAAAGCATACGCTAACAAATTCTAAACGTCAAAAACGGATAAATGAATGAAATCGTGAATAGTGGGGATAACTCTGCGGATTCATCGCCAGAGAATTGATATTCGTACGGAGGACGCGTTTCTTTGGTTGTTCAGGGCCAACTCGACCAGCCTGCTCGACGACGATAACGCCACGTTGCAGGAGCTGGGCATAGCCGATGCCGATCAGATCTTGTTGGAGGTGAGAATAACAGGGCTGAATGACAATTGATAGACCCCGCGATAGATTCATGAATCATTGAAAAGCATACGCTAACAAATTCTAAACGTCAAAAACGGATAAATGAATGAAATCGTGAATAGTGGGGATAACTCTGCGGATTCATCGCCAGAGAATTGATATTCGTAGGGAGGACGCGTTTCTTTGGCTGTTCAGAGCCAACTCGGCCAGCCTGCTCGACGATGATAACGCCAGGTTGCAGGAATTGGTGCAGAAGCATACACTCTTTTCGTCGACAAAAGCAGTAAAAAAAACTGCCACTGTATTTCTACGTACCTGTGAAATATCAGGTTAGGATATTTGTAACTAACTTTCCTTCACAAATTTGACACTATGAACCATATATTCATTCACAAAATGGTCTAGTATCTAGATTCGTTTGATATATAAACTCTTCCAAAACAGCTCAGCCTATTCTCATGATAATTTTTGTGCATATTTGGTAGGCCTGAGAATCGGTCGTTAGCTCTTTTTGGATTGAAAATTCAAGATGGCTGATCCAATATGGTGGACGAGTTTTCGAATTATCATCCCATTCTATTCAAAATTGGAATCTGGGGTTTTTTGGGGTCGGAGATTATGATTCCTTCATTAAAATTAGGAAACTCAAGATGATGGATGAAATATGACGGACTAGTTTTGTAATTATGATCCGGGATTATATTAAAAATTGGTATCTGGGGGGTTTTTGGGATCGGAAATCATGATTCTTCCGTCAAAATTTGGAAATTGAAGATGGCGGATCCAATATGGCGGACGAGTTTTATAATTATTATCCGATTCTATTCAAAATGGAAACTGAGGGTTTTCGGGGTCGGAGATTATGATTCCTTCGTCAAAATTAGGAAATTCAAGATGACGGATCCAATATGACGTATTAGTTTTGTACTTTTGATCGGCGATTCTACTCAAAATTGGTATCTGGGAGTTGTAGGGATAGGAAATCATGATTATGCCGTCAAAATTGGGAAATTAAAGATGGCGGATACAATATGGCGGACAAGTTTTAATTCATCCGATTCTATTCAAAATTGGTGTCTGGTAGTTCATGGTCGGAGATCATCGTAAAAATTGGACAATTCAAGATGGCTGATCCGATATGGCGATCTAGGCTTTTAAGAATACAAGTTTGAAAATCTAATGAAACACGCTTTCATAGATAGCAGTTTGAAAAATTAAAACAACACGTTTTTCTGGATTGCCAAACTATAATAATAAATAAAATAATGAAAGTGTGTTGATAAAATGTTTAACTAAATATGCCTTGAAATAATATACCTATATAGCAAAACAACTTTAGCTGGGTGAGTCAGCTAGTAATATCATATAATATTATTCTCCTAGGTGAGGAACAAGGATTTGACGTGGCCTGAAGAATTAGGCCAGTTGGTGGCCAGTGGCGGACACGATGTAGGATTGAGCGTCGAAAGGAGGCCGACGATATGTCTGCCCCCAGGTAAGCGAATTCAGGGGCGTTTTTTTTCGGTGGGAGACAAAAAGGGTCTGACGGAAATTCAAAATTCCTTCGACAACATCTGAAAGATTGGCTGGTGGACTGTTTTTTCCCAAATTATTCATGATCTTAACACTTTGAATTCCATTATTTCTTCTAAAATCTTCTAATTGGTTTTTACGATGGGTCTCGAAATTTTCCAAATGTCAAATTACTTTTCATAAAAGATTTTATAGGGTCTGAAGCCAAACAGTCGAAACTCAAAGGGACTGAATCAAACAGTCCAAACTCCGTTATTTTTTATAATTGACTTGGCCGTTACTTGAAAGACAAACGTTAAGATTTCCACAAAATTCTTAATTACAGGAAATGCTTCGTTAACACAGTAGCTAAACTTACATTGGCGTACCTGTTGAAAGGTTCGATAAACCTATGTTTTTTTTTTAATATAAGGTTTGCTTATGTTGATTTCGTTTTCATTTTCAAAATATTCATCTTATATGTTCTTGAATGCGTTGAACGTTCGACCTGTTTGACCGTTATATACCGTAGGACAAGATCCACACTCAAGTTAATATACCCCTGATTTTAGAAGTTTTGTGTTTATTATTTTTGATAAACTTTCCCAACGTATTATTTGTTCTATATGCAACTTTTAAGTCGTGTTTATGTAGAAATTAAGCTAATTTTGTTGTTGATGATCCGAAAAAGGTGAAAGTTCTATAATTTTGATTATTGTCTTCTATGGTTGGATGAACTACTTGAATAGAGCAGAGCAAAAATATGTCTTCCCCATTTGTCCTTGTCTTCAGTGTTCCAACATAAAATAATGAATATTTTATGTTGACAACACTGGAAATGAGAAGAAATGGAGAGAAAGAACATTCTAACTATGTTTATATTGATGTTAATATGATCTTCCCCATTTGTTCTCATTTCCAATTTTACCAACATAAAATTTCCATCATTTCACGTTGGAACACTGAAGGCAGGGTCAGGTGGGAAAGACTACAGTGATTTTATAAATAGAGTGACGACAATAGACATCCAACTGAATAGCTGAAAATCTGAAGGGTATCTCCCATGTATTGATGAATTTGCGCCCGCCTGATGTTAGGTTTAGATGTTTGATATTTTTATCCCTCAATCTCAATAATCTGAGACTTACGAGTTCCAAAAGACGGATTCTAATAGTTCATATCCAAGTTACTGACGTATAGAGTTCCATGTCTGATTGTTGGATGTTTTGTGTCCAAAGAGTACAAAACAAAGACAAAGCATTGACAAAGTGAAATTTAATGCGTAGAATTGAATGGAGAAACCAAGACAGGTAGATGCACCTCCATATTAAAGGTCTGACCAATCAAAAAGTATGCAACTATTGTCGTCACTCTAGGTAAGACAAGTTTTTTTTCTCTCTCAATGCCAGCTGATCTGCTCAATTGCTGTTACGGAGTTTTTTAGGAATAATACTGTCCATCAAATTTACGTTGTATCCGTTGTTGGCTGCAATCTGTGTTATAATATTGAATTCTTTATTGAAGTTTACTTCTGAAAGAGGGACATTCACTAGCCTGTGTACTATACTATTATATGCCTGAATTACATCTTGATGAGGATGTGTTGAATTTTTATTTTCAAGGTGCTACCGGTCTCCATAACCTCGGCAACACCTGCTTCATGAATGCCGCGCTGCAAGCGGTCTCTAACACACGCCCTTTGACCCTTTACTTCAGGCGGGACAGCCAACTCACCGAATTGAACAGCGCCAACCCTTTGGGCACCAAGGGTACTGTGGCCAGGCGATACGCGGAGCTGTGTAGGGAGCTGTGGGCTGGGTCGACTCGAAGCGTCGCTCCTTTGAAGTTCAGGTTATTGTCAGATACATTCATTGTTTTCACCAAAAGAAATCTTGACACCGGAAATTCACTAACTGAGACTCTAGAAAACGAAATTTGTGCATTTGTCTACTGTGTCTATGATTTTCTCGTGACCTAAGGGCATGTCCTCAAATGGGGACAGTGGGCGCCAATGGAATATGTCGGTGACTATGAAATTTCTGCTATGTGGTTCGAGTACAATTTTACAAGAGACAAATAAACCTTATGTTCGAACGTTTGTTCGACCTATCATTACCAGATTATTGTAAATCTATTATGTGAAGGACTAGGAACATAGAAGGTATTTAGTTGCCTTTGCACATAACAGAACTTCAATTTATCTATTTCGGAGCAGGGAAAGTCACGGCTCTGGAAATTTACATTTTCTTCTTCTCAATGATTTTCTTGGAACTGAGGGCATTTGCTCAAATGAGGAAAATGGCAGCCGGAGTGAGATCACATTTAAACCTATCATACGTGATACTATGCAATCGCATTATAAATGCCAGTGTGATTTTGACAGTTGCTGCAATTTCATGCGGAGCTTTGCAGAGAGCTGTGATCGGGGTTGACTGGGAGCGTTGCTCCTTTGAAGTTCAGGTTTTTGTCAAATACGATCATTGTTTTCACAAAAGGAAATCTCTACTCCGGAAATTCACTAACTGAGACCCTAGAAAACGAAATTTGTGCATTTGTATACATTGTCTATGATTTTCTCGTGACCTGAATGCATGTCCTCAAATGGGGACACTGGGCTCTAAAGGAATATGTCGTCGTTGACTATGAAATTTCTGCTATGTGCTTTGAGTACAATTCGTGGGGACCAGAACATGAAAAAATCTATTCTGTGAAGAACTCGGTACATAGCACGTATTTATTTCGTCGATCCTTTGAAGTTCAGGTTATTGTCAGATACATTCATTGTTCAAACAAAAGCAATCTTGACTCCGGAAATTCACTAACTGAGATCCTAGAAATCGAAATTTGTGCATTTGAATACATTGTCTATGATTTTGTTGTGACCTGAAGGCATGTCCTCAAATGGGGACAGTGGGCACCAAAGGAGTATATCGTCGTTGACTATGAAATTTCTGCTATGTGCTTCTAGTACAATTTCACAAGAGACAAAAAAAACCTTATGTTCGAACGTTTGTTCTACCTATCATTACCAGATTATTGTAAATCTATTCTGTGAAGAACTAGGCACATAGCAGGTATTTAGTTGCTTTTGCAAACAACAGAACTTCAATTTATCTATTTCGGAGCAGGGAAAGTCACGGCTCTGGAAATTTACATTTTCTTCTTCTCTATGATTTTCTTGGAACTGAGGGCATTTGCTCAAATGGGGAAAATGGCAGCCGGAGTGAGATCACATTTAACCCTATCATACGTGATACTATGCAATCGCATTATAAATGCGAGTGTGATTTTGACAGTTGCTGCAATTTTATGCGGTGCTTTGCAGGGAGCTGTGATCGGGGTTGACTGGGAGCGTTGCTCCTTTGAAGTTCAGGTTTTTGTCAAATACGATCATTGTTTTCACAAAAGGAAATCTCTACTCCGGAAATTCACTAACTGAGACCCTAGAAAACGAAATTTGTGCATTTGTATACATTGTCTATGATTTTCTCGTGACCTGAAAGCATGTCCTCAAATGGGGACACTGGGCTCTAAAGGAATATGTCGTCGTTGACTATGAAATTTCTGCTATGTGCTTTGAGTACAATTCGTGGGGACCAGAACATGAAAAAATCTATTCTGTGAAGAACTCGGTACATAGCACGTATTTATTTCGTCGATCCTTTGAAGTTCAGGTTATTGTCAGATACATTCATTGTTCTCACAAAAGCAATCTTGACTCCGGAAATTCACTAACTGAGATCCTAGAAAACGAAATTTGTGCATTTGAATACATTGTCTATGATTTTGTTGTGACCTGATGGCATGTCCTCAAATGGGGACAGTGGGCACCAAAGGAGTATATCGTCGTTGACTATGAAATTTCTGCTTTGTGCTTCTAGTACAATTTCACAAGAGACAAAAAAAACATTATGTTCGAACGTTTGTTCTACCTATCATTACCGGATTATTGTAAATCTATTTTTTGAAGGACTTAGACTCATACGTGATACTATGCCATCGCATTATAAATGCGAGTGTGATGTTGACAGTTGCTGCAATTTTATGCGGAGCTGTGGGAAGGGTCGACTGGGAGCGTTGCTTATTTGAATTTCAGATCATTGTCGAATAAATTCATTGTTGTAGGAGCCAATGGAGTGAGAACTCTTTTAATCCTATGATAGGAGATATTACATAATCGCATTACAGATGCGTGTTATTTGGACAGTTGCTGCATGTAGTCTACAAAAAAACCACAACAAGCTCAACACAGCCATATATGCACTGCCCAAAGGTTTATTTCATTTAATTCTCACTTTCACATAATCTCTATCATTTGTAATAACTTCTTCTGATACGAGTTTGGTATGAGATTAGAGTAAAAATCACACTAAAATAGGTTGTCCTCATTTGGGGACACAGGGAACACAGGGTTAAGAAACCATATTCCATACCAATTATGATTAACCATGTTGAATAGCTCTCTCGATGTCATCTATGTCAGCTGTCATTACTGTCAAGTGGTACCGGTAAATTTGAATCAGGAAATATTGTAATCTGTTTACATTACAGCAAAATATGGAAAGATATTAATAAAAAACAAAAACGATTAAATTTTTAACATTTTTCATTCAAATATTCGAATATTTTTTTCAATTACCCATTTTCAGACAACAAACCCACCCTGTATCAAAACTTACGTTTTTTGTAGGTGCTGTGTAACCAAACATGCACCCCAACTCGGTGGAGGCGGTCAGCATGATTCACAGGTTAGTCATTGATCATACGAATGTCTAGGATTTCATTAAAAAATCATTAATACTTTAAGATCCCACTTTCTGAATTCCCCTATGATTAGGTAACAAAGAAGAGAACTAACTACTGTACCATGTGGAACCCCAACATGATTGGGCCTGTTTCAAAGACAAAGTTATTTTCATCATATAAACATACTATGCTTTCAGTACATTTTCACAAATTTTATGACTTATAATTGACATGACATGGACGATTCCTTTCAGGAACTGTTGGCGTGGCTTTTGGACTCTCTGCACGAGGATCTGAACAGGGTGGCAAAGAAACAGTACATGGAGCTGAAGGACAGCGGCGGCAGGCCCGACGAAATCGTGGCAGAAGAGGCCTGGTTGCAACACCTGAACAGGGACCATTCCATCATCACCGATCTTTTCTACGGACAGCTCAAGAGCAAAGTAGGTCCATACATTGAAAGCAGTCTTGATGGTATTCGTTCATGTATTGTAATTATCCATTTTTATTTTTGGCTCAGTCATAAACACCTCTAATTGTTAACGTCGCTCATAATTGGCCTGTTCTACGGATAGCTCAACAGCAAAGTAGGTCCATAGATTCAATACACTCTTGATGGTCTTCGTTTGATGACTCCTTTCAGCGCTTCAAACATTCTTATGATATTGTTATACATTTTTCTTGTAGCAGTAACGTTGAAGAATCATAATTATTCTTGGCGCAATCATAAGCACCTTTTTTTGTTACTCATCATTTCGTTTTCAGCACTTGAACAGGGACCGTTCCATCATCACCGTTCTGTTCTGCGGACAACTCGAGAGCATAGATTAAATGCATTCTTGATGGTCTTTCTTCATGTATTTATTCACAACGCTTCAAACTTTTTTTTATAATGATTTCATCAATTTTTCTTCATAGTAGCATCGTTGGATAGCCATTATTATCAATTTTGGCGCAGTCATAAGCACCGCTATTTATTAACATCGCTCATGATTTTGTTCTCAATTTTTCAAATCGAAAAGTTAATTCACGATCTTACAGTAAACTGTTGTTCTTCATCTAGCAGAATATATTTCTTTTCTTCTAGGTCACTTGTCAAACTTGCGGACATGAATCGGTGAGATTCGATCCGTTCAATCTTCTCAGCTTGCCTTTGCCGATGGAGAGTTTCACATTGTGTGAAGTTTTGGGTGAGAAATTTATTTTATCAATAGCAAGTAACGATATAAAAAGAAACCCTCTTGTCGACCAAGTTACTGCGTTTGCCGCCGTTTTCAACATCTCATTTTATTTAAATAAATTTTCATACATACTAATTATCCCAATTTCGAATGTAATCTGTCTCTTTCTCATTCAATGATATCATCAACTTTCAGTGCATACCCATAGCTAACATAGTTTCAAATGATATGTTGTATAAACACCTCTGGTTCTGAACCACTCATATTTTATATGTTTTTATGTATCCCTATCATGAACAAATATGTTTCGTGGGGTAATACTTCTTCTCTTTCTGTAGTGGTGAGGTTGAACGGTGAGTGCCCGGTGAAGTACGGCATGCGCCTCAACTCCGACGCCAGATACCTCGAGCTGAAGCAGCAGCTGTTCGAGCTGTGTGGCGTCAAGCCGGACAGCTTGCTGCTGGCAGAGGTGGCGTCATGCCAGATACGCACCACCCTGCAGGACGAGGCCAAGATCCACCCCGGCACCGCCACCGAATTGTACGCCTACGAGGTGCCAGACGCCAGCGAGGTCGTTGCGAGGGAGGAGTCCGAAGACGAACCAGGTTTGTGCATGATACGACAGGGTGGGGATTACTGATCACTGAAAATTTTCACCTTTGTTTTGATAGTTGTCCTCACGTTGGGCGCCATAGCATTATATGATAATGTCCTGAAGCAAACCAGGTTTGTGCGTCAGATGATATGACGGTGGGGATTACCTGTTACTGAAAATATTCACCTTTGTTCTATAATCGTGTAACGTTTCTCTGGATAGGAATAAGAGTTACACCACTTCTCCAGATAAAACTTTATTTATATAAAAAACAATCAATGATATTTTTCACTATAGAAACAGTCCTGTCTACACAGGGCGATTGAATTTGAGTAATAATATTCACACAAAACTCCCTCTTCTCAATTGTCATCACTCCTGTGATGATACTTTCGAATGTTGGAAACATGAGCTGATTGTTCCCCCCCATCTTGTTCATAATTGATATAGGACAAAACACCCTGTATGTATTTTGCTTTTGTAATCTGGAATGGTCCCTTAACAATACATTCTTTTCCTTTTCTTTGACATTGTACTAGTACCCAATCTCCTACATTGAGTTTTGGTGGTTTAAGCCTCCTTTTCCGATTTGCTTGAAATTGTATCTTTTCCTTGTACTTCAACTGTTCTTCATATGATTTCGGCTTTTCTTCAAATTTCACTTCTATTTCTAGGGTTTTATCAGCTTGCAGAATTACAGGTTTCTTGAATAATTTGAAAGAAGGTGAACATCCCAAATATTCATTATGAGACTGATTGTGATGATGAACCGCTGATTCTAAACAATGTTTCCACCCTCTCGGAAAGTTTTCATAGCATTTCATGTATTTCTTCAAATCTCTTATACATCTCTCTGCTATTCCATTGCCTCCTGGATGATATGGTGTCGTATGAACAATATTTATCCCTTTTCCAATCAGCCATTCATAAAATTCACCTGATTTAAAAACTTTCGCACAATCTGTTACAATATTTTTTATTTGATTCACATAGGGTAAGTGAATGAAATAATTTTTTAGTGCTTTTCCATTTTCTTTCAAAGATTTGGCCGAAATGTATCTTGTGGCTTCATCAATGATTACTATAAATGATTTTGTTGTCCTGTTCATATCTGATTTTTTCTGAAGTTCTGCAAGATCTATATGTATAGTTTCATAAGGAGTTTCAGAACATGTCGTCAGATGTACAAAATCTGGTTTAGGCATATATTTGAATTTTGAAATTTGACAAATGTTACATGTGTTCACGTAATTTTTGATGTCCTTACTCATTGTCTTCCAATTGAATCTGTTCCTAATTTTGTAGTATGTTTTGTAATAACCGTCATGTCCTCCAGATGATGGATCGTCATGATATAATTTCAAAATTTCTTGAATCATCTCCTTACTTTTTACCATATATCTTCCATCAGTTGATTTTTCCAAATTATGAGAAATTAAATTACACCAAAAGGAATCTTGAAGATTTTCTGGCGTGTCAATACATAATCTTGAAATAGCATCAGCATCCTGTAATTCTTTTCCATTTTTATGATTTACATTCATGTCAAAACTCCTAAGGAAGATCTGCCACCTCGCCAATCTGTCTCTTAAATTGCCAGTAGTCAAAAGTTGTGTTAGTGCACGATGGTCAGTGTGTACAATAAATTTGCGTCCTTCTAGGTATGTTCGGAAATGTTTTACAGCTTTTATAACTGCTAAGCACTCTTTCTCTGTAACTGAGTAATTTGTTTCAGCCTTCGAAAAAGTATATGAAAAATAGCTGATAACCCTCAACTGTCGATTTTTTACCTTATTAGGATCTCTTTGGTAAAGAATAGCTCCACAACCGAAATATGAAGCGTCCGTTGAGATTTCAAAATTTAAGCGAAGATCTGGAATCCTTAAAATAGGTTCTGATGTTATACTTTGTTTCAATTTATTGAAGGCATCTTCGCATTCATCTGTCCAAATGAATTTTTTATGTTTGCTTTTTAACGCTTCCAATGGTTTTGCAATCTTACTATAATTATGTATAAAGCTTCTGAAATGGTTCGTTAGTCCGGTGAAACATTGAAGTGACTTTATATCATATGGTCTTTTCATGTTCCTAACTTTATCCGTCAATTCACTTTTCATTTTCTTTGTGTTCCCATCTATTTCTTTTCCCAAAAATACAACTTGTCTGACACAAAATGCGCTTTTCTTATAATTTATCTTGAAATTGTTGTCATCCAGTTTTTTCAGTATCCTGATAGTCATTCCTGCACATTCGTCTAATGTATAACCTCCACACATTATGTCATCGATAAAGACTACTACATTTTCCTTCAATAGATCCCCGAGAACATCTTGTATGATTTGCTGGAATTTTGCGCTTGAATTCTTCCATCCGAATGGGAGTCTGGTGTATTCATAATGTCCTTCGTCAGTCACAAATGCTGTAAATTTCCTAGTGTGTTTCGAAATACTAACATTCCAGAATCCATCTTTAAGATCAATTTTCGTGAAGAATTTACAACCACCAAATTTTTCAATGATATCATTCATTATTGGGAATGGAAATGGATCTAATTCTGTCTCCTCATTGATTTTCCTATAATCTATGCACAATCTGAAGTTACCATCACTTTTTGTTTTGATGACACATGGTGAAGCATATGGGGAATTTGATTTAGTGATAATCCCTGTTGCTAGCATATCCTGAATCTTGTGCTTTATCCAAACTTGTTTGTTCTGAGAAAATCGATAGGGCTTCTGTTTTATAATTTTGGCATCTTTCTTGAGATCAAAATCAGTCTGATAATTGGATGGTTGATTATCAGATGAGCTGAATGTTTGAGGAAATTTTTCCAACAAAGCATCTTCTGAGAAAGATTCAACATCAAAATTACAAATGGTTCTGAAAATGCCTAATATTCGCAGTGTTTGTCTCCCCAATATGAGATCAAAAGATATATTCTTCACAATGACAGGAGTTATTTCAGTATCAATCCCATTAAATGTGAATTTGAAATTTGTTTTATGAGAACATTTTGTCACACCCCCCAAACTTCTGATGAGAATCTTTGTTTCAAATTTTGGTAGCTTCATTTTTTCTGCTGCATTTTCATGAATCAAATCAATGTTAGAGCCAGTATCTAATAAAGTCTTCAGTCGATTTCCATTTATCGTCATAAAAACAATGTCATCGTCAATAGAATGGGTAGAATAACTTTCATAAACTTGAACATCATTTATTTCTTCATCAATAAACTCTTCAGTACAATGATTATAACTGAGATCTTTTCTGTCTACTTTTTGAAATTCTTTTCTCTTTCCCTCTTGACTCCCATAGGGTGTTTTTATATTGTTCTTTTTCTTCTTTTCTTCTTCATTCATATCCTCATAATTCTGCCAATATTTTCTATTTTCTGAATTTTGGCCATTTTGAGGTGCAGGCAAATATTTATTGATGGTTACATATTTCAACGCTTGCAGTAATTCAGTTGAATTTTGGATCTTTCTACAGCATACTTGCTTTCGAACATAATAGGGAAGACCCAAAATCACGAGAGAAATTAAAGATTTTTCTGATAGGTTCTTTTCTGCAGAGTACAACAACGCTGTTTCTCGAAGAAATATTCTAAAACAGTTTCATTCTTGAACTTATAGGACAATGCTTGATCCCATTTAGTGATTTCATCTTCCTCGAATGTCTCGATGAATGATATTTTGAGTTCTTGCCATGTAACACCATTTGAACTGGATTCACGGAATTGATGATCATACCATTGCACTGCGAAACCTTCCAAATTGAACCTTAAGTGGCGAATTTTTTCTTCTGGAGTCCATTTGTTAGACTGAGCTGTTAATTCGTAAGTTTTCATCCATGCTGTTGGGCTGCCTTTTCCACAAAATGGATTGATTTTTTCCGGTTTTATTGACGTTTCTGTCACTATTGTCAACCATTTGGACATCAAATGATCCAACTCATTAATTCCAATGAGCAAATTTCCACGAGGATTTTCATTATCGACATTCCTCTCATCATAATTGACTTGCACATAATCTCCTCTATCCGACTGCGCCATTCGTAACGTTTCTCTGGATAGGAATAAGAGTTACACCACTTCTCCAGATAAAACTTTATTTATATAAAAAACAATCAATGATATTTTTCACTATAGAAACAGTCCTGTCTACACAGGGCGATTGAATTTGAGTAATAATATTCACACAAATCGACCTCACGTTGGGCGCCAAAAAATATTTGATCCACGTTTACATAGTGAAATCTTTCAATCAAGCTCCTGCTCAGTTAAATATTAAATTTATGGATGGCAGTGAGGTCGTAGCTTGGGTAGAATCCTTAAGCAAACCGGGTTTGTGCATGATACGACGGGAGTGGGGATTACTGATTACTGATAAAATATTATTATCACGCTACGGTTGCACAAAGCATTTGTGAGACGATTAAATATTCGAGTTGATTCCTCGTTAAGTAAAAAGGCCCTAATTTTACTAGTGAAATTTATATCTTAATCAAGCTCCTGTTCACATGAATAATGCATTTTTGGACACCAGGGATGTCGTAGCGAGGACAGAGTTAAGCGAACCAGGTTTGTGCGTTATATGACAGTGTGGGGAATACCGATTTGATACATTCAAATTTCGTGCCATTTCTTTTCAATAGAGGAGAATATTTGTTAATGCTCTTCAGATCAAACTTTCTGTTGACTGTCAGAAGCAAGAATACGAAATGTATGGTTTATATCTGTAGAAAAATTATTGCTTGTATGTCAATGATATTGTTTGGACCCACATTGGGCGGCAGAATACACGGATATTTTTGTTATTTGTTTGATTTTTTGTGATTAAGGTACCCGAATGTGATGAAACCAATGTGCTGATGATTTTAAAGGAAGGAGCTGATAGCTCCTCAGATAATGTCAGCTTTTGTTGAAAGAAATTAATGTAATATCATTCGTCTTGTAGAATTGTTTGGAATTCAATTATTTGACCTCACGTTGGGCGCCAAAATACTATGATAGTTCCGTTGACATCTATATCATTATATCGGCCTCTAACTTTTCTATGATTAATCAATATTGTTGTTTTTTTGTAGTTTTTGCATGCACTCTTGTACGATTCGCTATACCTCTTGTTTTCAGGCGTCGAGACGGAGGTTTGCGTAAGCCCTTTAGCGAGAAGTCCCGAGGTAAGCGCTGGTTCGGCCCTATGCATGCCCAACATTCTATGCTTCAAGGTATGCACGTACCCAGCTAGCCTAATACTTGTGAGTAGCAATAAACTGCCAGTACTGTAGATGTTGTCCGTAGTCTTTTTTTGTTGATTTCAGTTTTTTGAGATTTGCTGTTTGGTAGTTTTGTGCGGATTGTTTCGAATTTGATTCCAACGATTCGGGAGATCGGTAGGTGATATAAAAAAAGAAGAAAAAATTGTGCGAGTCCTTATTCAATTTCAATGTTCTCCGTGTTTGGAAGTTTTGATGGTCTATTGCCTATTGCCAAGCTTTGACGTTTACATAGGTGTTAATTAAGTATACATTATTATTTCTTGCAGATGTTTCATTGTTCTTTTATAACGTTAGCAGACATATTCGTTTTGATTTGTGATAATTGATAATCAGTCTGGCTTGGCATTCGCTCGCTTCAAAGTCGAAACAATCTGCTATTCTATTCGAAGTTCAGTAGTGAAAATTGTTCATACTTTTCATTAGATATATTGAGTGATTTTAAAGTTTCTATAGATTTGCTCAGTCAATCGTACAATAGCGTTTATTGACTTTTGAGTTGAAATGCAAATTTTTGCTATTATCAATTGCAGTTGCAAGTTGTGGGTACTATATTATGTTTCTCAATAATTGTGAATTGTTGCATAGTAATACGTTGTGGCGTCTAAATGCAGAATCTATTATCAATGTTCCTCAAATGTTCCTACAAGAAAATGGAGGATGATTGGCTTCCATTTTCTACAATGTACAGACCTTCGGTGCCAGAACATTTGTTTTCCTTTACAGAATAACAGAACGAAGCAAGGGGCTCAAGAACCCAGAATAAGCAATTTGTCGTTCAAAAAACCCTCAATTTCGATACATTCCAGTGCTTCAACTGCCACAGGTAAAGATAGATTTGATGGACCTATTGGAAAAACATGACAAGCCACAGAAGGGTATGCATTCATCTCCTGATTTTTCGCTAGAAATGATCTATATTGCAACAATATGAAGCTAATAAATACTTATGTCTTTGATTCTCTCCATGTCATCCTGAATCAATTCAAGAAATTATATTCAACAGTCTCTAGAAGAAACAACATTATATGTATTATGTATATGATTTAAAAATGATTATCTGATTATCTAATTTTTGTTTTTTTTTTTTTTTTAGTTGCTCTTTCATAATTTTCCCTGCTATAAACATGTATGTTTCTTGGGAATAATAATAAAGCTAATAAGCGTAAAACTGATTTGATGGGATTTTATCAGATGGAAACTTCCCCATTATCATTCTCGCAGGAACATGATGTACAAATATTTGTTTACATCACTGTTTCCATAGATCGAAAACTGTATCTCTACTACTGTCATCAAGGGACTACCGTGTACTTGCTAACTGTAGTGTTGGGCGCCATATTTTATAGAGTGTGGATTATTTAACTATTGCTTATAGCCTTCTGGAGAAGTGTGGTTTATCACGTTTTTACAATAAGTCCTTCAATCGTAACTACCATCAACTATAGATGTTTTATATATCCCCTCTTTTTTTCAGTTTCCTCTCAGAACAGCCAGAAGTGTCCTTCTTACCTTGTCGCCGTACACAGAAAGTGCGTGCGACAAGAAACCTATTTCCTTTCTCAACAAAAAAGCAAACCCAGTCTCTTCGGATTGCCACTCCTTCTAGGATTCAGCGACAGTAGAACATGTCAGAGCTTGTACGAAGCTGTATGGGGTCAAGTGACGAGACTGTTGAGCCCGCTGCCGCAGAGCGATCAAACCAACCACGCCACAGACTGGTAAGTGTAATAAAAAGAGATAGCTCAAACACTATGGAACTGTTTAATAAAATCCTCACTACAGATAAGCTTTATATTCTCGATTATTTACACTAACAAGATGATATATTTGGCCTTAGTTCTTGGCTGGTTCGTAGGCAGCGCTAGCGAAACTCAGCAAAATATGGCAAAATATAAAATCACTAACTTCGATATTCTGAAGGCTTTTAAATAAATATATGTTAATCCGGCCCTGATGCGGCATTCCTTCTTCTCGCAAGGATCAATTCTGGCACCAACACTATTTCTACTCCATATCAACGATTTGTTGGAAGCAACTTCATGTCCAGTACACAGTTTCGCGGATGATAGTACCCTCCATACCGCCTTCTCTTCCAGGGCTCCAATACCGACCAGGCAAATCAGAAACGAACGAGGGAGAAATGTTGATAACATAAATATGGACTTGGCAACAATTCTCGAATGGGGATCCATTAACTCGGTAGATTTCAATGCAAACAAAACACAAGTATGCCTTTTTTTTTTTGGAGAGCCGATCTCACTGTTCCCTATATAAGCTTGTCAGGAGTAACCATACCTTTGAAGACATCCATTTCGATGCTTGGTATGACTATCAGCAATAACCTTTTTGGGAAAATCGCGTGAGATCAATTGCTAAAAGTGCATCCCAAAAACTTGGTATTCTGTTTCGGGCCAGGAGCTATTTCACTTACAGTCAGCTGCTTATGATCAATAAGGCACAGATCCGACCTGTCCTGGAATACTGTTCCCATATTTGGAGTGCAGCACCCAAACAATTGGCAAAAAAACCCTGAAACTGTTACATTTTGTCCAAAAAAGGGCAATTCGTCTCGTGGGTGATGCCTCGCTCACAAACTCACTAACTTCTTTAGAACACCGTAGAAAAGTTGACGATCTGGCTCTATTTTCATTGATATTTTCATGGTCGATGCTCTTTTGAAATATCAACAATTGTTCCTTCCTTGGCAGTCCCCGCGAGATTAACCCGTCAAGTTAAGGCTTCGCACCCCTACGTGGTCACTTTGGACACCTGCAGAACATCTCTTTCCAAAGACTCGTTCATCCAAGGAACAGCGAGGCTCTGTAACACATTGCCAAGGGAGCTGTTCCCCGAGGCATATAACCTCCAGAAATTCAAGAAGAACACCGATTCTTACCTCATTTCCCTTGGTTCTCACGAAGTTCTCTGAACATTACAGGATATCCCTTTTCGTGGGCACCAGAACATTGAAAAAAACATCTAAAAATAAACTTCGAACTCTACCTTTCGCTACTCAACAAAAAGCAGTTCCCCTTGTCGCTCATAGATACCGCCACCTACTACCTACTGAATAGAATTTCTGTCTTATTTGCTCTCATGATGATAGTTAATCTTGTTAGTGTAAATATTTATGGGTCTCATTCAATTTCAGTGATGATTCTTTGGGGTACGAATTTCCCTTCACATTGAAGGCGGTGCTTCAAGGTGGCCAAATCTGTGCCATCTGCCATTGGACGCGGTTCTGTCGAGGTTGCGCCATCCCTTGCACCGATGATCTAGTAGTCGACTTCTGCAATGGCGCCCAACACAACATGTGCATTTCGATCGACTGGGACCCGACCGCTTTGCATTTGAGGTATCAGAGCAGCAGGGAAAAGGTGATTATCTCAAATTTCTTTCGAATCTTGTCACTATTCGTTACTATATTTCTCTAGTAGGAATCTTGAATATTGAAATATCCTGCATATCGGTACAACACACTCCATAATAATTTCATCCTATATTATGTTGATGTTTCAACAGACATATCGCCACACTTGATTTTGTGATTTTTCATACTTTAAATGTGTTCAATGTTCTGTGAACCTTGCTTGAACGGTTCTTCTAGTTTGCCCTACCTTTTTTTGCTATCAGTACTCCACACTTCATTTCGCGGTTTTTCAAGTGTGTCAACTTCATTTCAGATCCTGAGCCTTTATCATTACTAAACAATATAGACAGATATTCGGGATATCTACTCAATTTTTCATTACTGTAAATGTGTTGAATGTTCCTAGAAGCCCGTTTGATTGGGTTTATTAGCTTGTCCTACATACGTTCTACAATAGGGAATTTCACCATGATTTTTTGAAATTTTTTTCGCGATTTAGAACACATACTGGGTGAATTCAACATTTTTTCAATTTCCTCACGATTGCGGTTGATCCAGAAAAAAAAATTAAATTGAAACTAAATTCAAACGATAACTCATTCATTGGACGAACACAAGGTGCGTCACACCGCGTCATACACTTCGGACGGACATTCTCATTAGGTAATTCGTCATGTCACCATTTGTCATTGCATTTGTCACTCAATAAAAACTTTAATATGACACTGATAGATCACTGAAAAAGTCACAGATCACCCAACCACTCTGTGCTCGAGTTCTGTGTCTGTGGTTTTGTGCAACTCATCCTCTTTGGGTCGTCAGAGGGAGCCTCAAGAAAATACAAGTGACGTCACACCACGAAAAATGGTCGTTTGGAACTCTCTCAATTTGTAGCACTTTTGAAGTATTAATTAAACGGTTGTAAAGGAATCAATAGATGAGAGGAAGTGCTATTTGATATACTGAGTCATGTATGAGATCGTTGGCCATATAAAAAGGGCTATTTTCAATCATAGTGAAATTGCCTATTATTGTTCATACAACTTTCGTAAATTCGTGAATATTCAAATGTTTCCTCTCTCTCTCTTTGGGATTGCCTGATAGGATAACTCAATTCAGATCCAAGGCATATTTTACTGAATCATACACAATATACGTAATAGGTCCTTTGTCCTCCTCCTCCTCCTCCTCACTTGTTTAATCAATTTAGAGTTATCTATGCTGACATTTTTATGATTTACACTTTGAATGCCTAGAATGTTCCTTGAACCCAGCTTGATTGGATCTCCTAGTTTGTCCTATATAATGTGTCTTATTCTTGGTCTAGTTATGGATCGAGCATGAATCCGTGGCTATTTATAGAAAGTTACATACAGAACCAATCGATCTAGACTACTGTTTGAGAGCTTTCACTTCTGAGGAAAGACTAGAAGCCAAATACCATTGCAGTAACTGTCAAGACAAACAGCCTGCTACCAAGAAACTGCAGATTTGGAGGCTTCCCCCTATTTTGGTGAGTTCAAACAATTGAAATTTCAGGGCTACTGTCAGAACAAAAAAAAAATATAAACCATTTATGGTGTCAACAACAACAATGAATCATTCGGTTATCCACTTGTACACAAAAAACTTTCTGAAATATCAGCATGAAACTGATGATCCAGCCCAAAATCTGAATTTCCTATGTCGAAAATGATTACTGAAGATTTAATTTCAATTTGCAAACTTCCTGCACCGGCAGAACTTGTCCTAACGGCTGTGAACTATTTATACTTACCAAGTGCTGCTTGCTATCTGTCATGTGTCACTCTTGTCATCTGTCATCGGCAGACATTTTGACAGGAAAAAAAAACTCGAACGTCTCCTTTTCAGATCATCCACTTGAAGCGCTTCGACTTCGTCAACAGCAAATGGGTGAAGACGCAAAAACTGGTCAACTTCCCGTTCAAGGACTTCGAGCCCACGGCCTATTTGGCGTCGGTGCCGCAAGAAACCATCTTGCGTCACAAGCAGTTGCAGGAAAAAAGGGCCGAAGAGCTGGAAAGATCTTGTGATAACCAGCCGGCCCGCATCGAAGAGGAGAACGAATCGAATTGCTCGGACGCATCGGAGCGGAGCACCAACAAACCAGCCGCGGAAAATTGCAAGTTGCTCGGCGAGAAGAAGGATAGATCGGGGGATGGGAGTGGGGGAAAGAGGGGCAGGTTGGAGTCGACTAGTTTGTTGAAGACGCCGATAATAGACGAACATTTGCGGGATTATCACCAGCATAAATTGTTGCCGGGGCAGGATCCCTTCGATTTGAGATATCAGTTGTATGCTGTCGTGGTAAGTCAGGATTATTGAATTCGTATGATTCAATCCAATTGTTGGAATCTTCATGAATTTTTCCTGCTATTATTGTCACTGTTTCGACATCATGTTGACTCTGTGAACACTTCACACTTTTCGAGTGAATCCTACCGACTGCATTTTTTTTTTAAATCAATCTTACCAATTTCTTTCAACACAAATGTTTGATTATTTGAATCAATTCTTATTACCGTGAAATGGTAAAACAATTTTCAAAGAGACACTGAGTGCCCCACGTTGGGCGCCAATATTCAAAAATATTGCTCACTCAATTCAGCTGGACCTATACAACCTTATAAAATTATTCAGAGTCTTCTGTTTGATGAATAGAAATGATTAGTTCATTTTCTCGATGCTCTGCAGTGACAATTTGATATAAATGTCTTGTCATTATTGCCACTTACTTTTGCAACATCACACCATTCGAATGAATCCTACCGACTGTGTCATTTTTTGAAAACAATCTAACTAATTTCTTACAAGATATATATTATGCGGAATGAAGTTCAACATTTTTGATATTTTTCAATCAATTCTGATTACCGTGAAATTATGAAACAGACACTTTACTCCCCACGTTGGGCGCTGATAATCAAAAACTGTGATAACTCAACTGGACCTATCTGACCTTCAAAAACAATTATCCATGGTTTTCTGTTTGGAATCCTACATATTGTCAAAGAGAAGAAGGAAAGCTCAAAGTCATCTCCACAACTTAAGCAAACATGGACTTCTACCAGAGACCTACATATTGTGCCAATCTAACTAATTTCTTTGCAGATACATATTATGCGGACTGTTGTTCCACATGTTTGATAGTTTGAATCAATTATTATCACCGTGAAATTGAAAACCAAGTTAACACAGACAGTGAATTACCCCACGTTGGGCGCCAATATACAAAAACTGTGATAACTCAATTCAGCTGGACCTATCTGACCTTGGAAAATTATTCAGGGTCTTCTGTTTGAAGAAACTATTCAATGTTTCAGAGCCACTCTGGCCTTCTCAACGGTGGCCATTACATCTCGTACGCGTGCAACCCGAACGGCCACTGGTACTGCTACAACGACAGCTCCTGTCGCGAAGTACTCTCCGATCCCGACTCCACCACGACCCAATCCGGCCCCACCCCTGCCAAATCCACTCTGTCGTTGGACAGGTCCGCCCAATCGACCCAGTCGTTAGACAGGTCCGCCCAATCGATCCAGTCGTTGGATAGATCTGCCCAATCGACAGTGTCGTTGGATTCAAGAGGTTCGGGCGGTAGTACTCCATTGGGCAGGCGAAAGAATGTGGGAAGGAAGTCGAGTTCGGGCAGCTCGACGGAGCGAGAAGAGAGAGAGGGGAACGAGAGAGAGACGAGGAGTAGGGAGAGCTCGCGATCGAATTCGGTGTGTTCGGTGGACAAGCTGGGAATCGCGACGGAAGGTAAGTGTATTTAATTGGGGCTGTTTTTTGGTATGAACGATTTTATTCCTTGATGCAAATCCATAGTAAATGTGAAAACTCATCTGATGTTCATGGATGCGGTAGTTGAACGTTGAAAGTTTGTTCGTTAGTGTTTATTGAATGTTGCAAAGAGAGGTAGCATACGAAAAAAACAAGCTTAGCAGATTGATTTTTTGGAACAGCAGCTGTCGATTTATCGGCGAGTTGAACTTTGCCTCATGTTCTTTTGAGACAATAAAAGCATTTATTATTATTAAATTTATTGATATTTCAGTGTTACTAAGACCAACTATTTTGACATCTTGTGAAAAATCGTCTCCAAAGTTATTAAAATGTTGTTGATATTCTGAACATAATGCACCTTTCACAATTTCGTTATAAATTATAATTTGAAAATCTATGCATCGATATGTACGAACGGATACAAAGTATTTCCATCCCTAATGCCGATTTATATCGATTTAGCCAAGTTAACCCAACGACACCTATAGACTGGTTTCGAGCTTCTGGTTCTTATCAGTGTAGGGTAATCTCCGCTAGCAGTTGAAAAAAGTACACTCAAGCCCTAAGTTGGGCGCCAATTTATTTAGAAACTAATTTCCTTATCGAAATATCCAAGATAAATTAGGTATCAAATATAAGCTTTTGAAACACTCCCCTCACTCGAGCAGACGCTCGTTTAACGGTTTCAATGCCCCTACGGTGTGAGGTAAAGTGCCGAAAATCAACACCAGCTAGGCATACATCTTTTTCTACCTCTCCTACTTACAAGGTTTTTATTTCAAACGAGAATACTCTGAACAAATCCATCGTTAACACTACTTCAGTTAGTCCTACCGACTGCGACAATTGTAATTCTGTTATGAATTATAATTTGTACTGCAGTTTCACATTATTTTATTGTTGAGAAAATCAATATAAAGCTTTCCGTGACATTAAAGCCCCACGTTGGGCGCCAATTTTCAAGATACTCATTTCATTATCGAAATTTCTCCAATTGTTGCCCTGAAGCGTCGATCTTAATTCCCGAAAATGGTTCAGGTATCAACGAGAAGCTCTTGAAAGACTCCCCTCACTCGAGCAGGCGCTCGTTGAACGACTTCAAGTGCCCCTACGGTGACGTCAAAGTGCCCAAAATCGACACCAGCTCTGCTTACATCCTTTTCTACGAGCGGTCCGGGCTGGATTACCAACCTTACTCCCCCAGGGTAGTACCCAATGGTAGACAACAAGTGCCTATGGAAGATTTGGAAGAAAGCGAGTCAGAGTTGAGGAAACAGTTGTGTTCCATACAGTAACGCGTAGGATTTTTATATCTCGTCGTTTGTTTTATATTTTAGTTGAATTTGTTGATTTTTTTTTATTTGTAAGTGGGTAAGTTGTTGAATTTTGTTGGTGGTGAAGATGATGAAAGTGTTTGGTGATAAAAAAAGTGTGATTCGGTTTGATATTTGGTTTCTGATATGTATAATGCATTGTTTGGTCTGCATTATTCTGATTGCAATAAGATTTAGTGGAAATTGAGTTCTGTAGTTTGAAGAGTATTCTATACTATCTATCTATACATTACATGGTGAAAAATTATTTCCAAAGAGTGTGAACAAGATGATTTATGATTTCTCAGATTCAAGCTTGAAGAATCTTAAAATTGGCATCATGTTTGAAGTTTTTACATGCACCGGCGAAAAAAAAACAGGCCAAGTAATTACCCAGATTGATTGTTTGATTTTGATGAAATTTTTACTAAATCGTAAATTCAATTTTAGAATTTTCACGGAGTTTCAGTTCCTAAGAACTTGATCATTATACAGGTCACAATACTTTCTTGAATCAATTGTATCTTCTCTTAAAAATTGACGTGAATCAAAAACCATTGTGTTAAAAAAATACCATATTTCCATTCAAAACATGATGAAGCTAAGTATAACAACCATCTGCTGCCACAGGGAATTGAGAAGTGAAGGGTGAAAAAGTTAATTTTGCTTTTCCTGTATAATGATCAAGCTATCAGCTTTCCTTGGAATTGAAATTCATGCTAACATTTCTAAGCATGAATCTACTATTTGGTCGAAATTTTACTAGAATCAGACAAGAATTAAAAAAGTTACAGGGTGGTCAATTTGCCTATTTTTTGCCTGGACAGTTTTTTGCCGATTGTACATAATATATTATAATGAAAAATTTTAATAAGTACATTTTTTGAAATGTGCATTTTTATGAATGATGCAGATCAAATCACAAAAAACAAGTGAGTATAAATAGGATGGCAAAGAAATATCACTTATGCAGTTATGCTGTAATGAAATAAATGAAAATGCTTCATAAATGGGCACACCAGTGAGTGTTTTAAAATGATTGACGGTTTTGGCCCAGTTGAAAAAATGTTTTGAAGGATCAATTTTGGTCCAATCAGTTGATTGATTTTGGTTGAAGCTCATCGTCTAGTTGTTATTTTCATTGAAGAGAATAAAGTGATTGTATTGATTATATTTTTGTATGTTGTAGACAAAAAGTATGATTAGTTTTTCATTTCTGATTTTGTATAGCTTTAGTATTATTTATATTATCAAAGATCTTTTAATCCAAGTCGTCTTTCGAATTGTTTTTGTTGAAAATGAATCATTTTTGAACCATTACTTCCATTTTTTTATTCATTTTATGTAATATTTCACTGAGCTATTAGACAATGAAGAAAAAGGGGCTACAATTGGGGTTTCTTAGATTGAAAATCGACACCTCACTCCTCACTGCTTCTTCTTATACTAAGAAAGCCAGAAATAATGCGAAAATTGGCTTAGGCAACTGGTCAAAATGCACAAATTTCAGTTGAAGTTAATGGTTTTCAAGAATGTTTGTCACCTTATTTTTGTTAACTTTGAAGATTCTACGAGAGATTTTTTGTTTGTTGTAAGTAAACCAAAGATATTTAAAATACATTTTTAATTTAAAACAAGATTGTTGTGAGATCTTGTCGAAATATTTATATGCTATGTACATTCTCCTAGTCTGATATTTTAATTCCACTATTTTTAAGATATTTTAATATGTTATGATTGACACGAATTACTCCATTTATAAATATGTGTGTGTTATATAGAAAACGCCAAGCGATTAGGACCATTCTGTGAATCAAGAGTGGCATTTATCAATATTTTCAACTCCTCTCGATCCAATTTTGGTGTTGTCGCCTGCCGTTTTCTATGTACTTTAAATACATGGTGCCATTACATAAATAAAGCTTGTACATTGTTCGAATTATTTATTATTGGTTTATCTCTCGAAAACAATTTGAACCTAATGGTCCAAGATCCGGCTGCAATTTTCGACCGACATCGACTCGTCAGAATTGACACATGAATATGAAAGTGCTCTACTTCTTCTCTCCTTTTTGATCAACATTCAGTGACACATCCATTATTTCGATGCCCGCCTTCTCATTTTTTTTATTCAAGCGCTCGACTTGTCAGAATTGACCAATGAACTCAATTTTCTGCTTCTTGACCTTTCATTCGGAGTCACGAATATCTTCTTATTTTTGTTCGGACGTCGCTAGTACTGACAGTAGTTCATTTGTAACTTCGGCTTTGATGAATAAAATACCAATTGTGAATTATATACATATATCATTCGTTATCAGATGACGGAAGAAATCTGCAGCCGGTTCTCCTACTATAATAAATTATCAATCATTTAGTGATTATAATTCATAATTGGTATTATTCGTGACTCCGAATGAGTAATTATATCCGGCCTTGGGAAAGGTCAAAAAGCAGAGAAGAAGTCGAGCAGTTGAGAGCTCAAATAAAAATGAGAAGAAGGCGTGCATCGAAATAATGGATTTGTCACTGAATGTTAATGGCTATGTCCGCACCAAGAAAGATTAAAAAGGTGAGAAGAAGTAGAGCACTTTCATATTCATGTGTCAATTCTGACAAGTCGTGTCAAAAAGTTGTAGGCGTTTCAAATTCTGAATTTGGATATTGAATTTTGATAATTTTAATTGAAAAATCCAAAAAGTGGTAAATTCAAGGTATCACATTATTTGTTATTTGAACAGTAAATGAATAATAGAACAGTTGAGTCAGTGTGGTTATTTTTTAGGCAAACATGACGGATTCTAAGTATTTTACAACTACAAAAAAAGGTGAAATATTTGAATTGAAGTCAGAATTGAACAATGATAAGAAGGAAAAGAAAAAGGAGGCAGTGAAGAAGGTAACTGATTCCTCAAATTACTAAAAATTTAAATGACTAAAAATGTTTTCAGGTCATTGCTTCTATGACAGTGGGCAAAGATGTATCTGCCCTGTTCCCAGACGTTGTGAACTGTATGCAAACCGACAATCTGGAACTGAAAAAACTCGTCTATCTCTACTTGATGAACTATGCCAAGTCCCAGCCAGACATGGCTATCATGGCAGTAAACACCTTTGTAAAGGTAAGTTGTGTTGAAACCACTTGATATGAGTATGCTTGTGTTGCACTGCTCTTACATTATATAATTTTTATGCAAGGAGTTACCTTCATCCCAGCTCGCTAAGGTAAATTATCAGTATCACTTTTTAAAGTATCCAATCATATTGCTCAGTTTCATGAAACAATGTTATATTTGGTTCTTAGGATTGTGAAGATCCAAATCCTTTGATTAGAGCTCTGGCAGTGAGGACCATGGGGTGTATCAGAGTGGACAAAATCACAGAATATTTGTGTGAGCCTTTGAGAAAATGCTTGAAGGATGAAGATCCTTATGTGAGGAAAACTGCAGCTGTTTGTGTAGCTAAGTTGTATGACATTTCCTCAGGTTGGACTGGAATGCCTTGAAGTGTAGTGGGAAATGTTGTGATATGTTGATTTTTAGGTTTGGTTGAGGACCAAGGCTTCTTGGAACAACTCAAGGAGTTGTTGAGTGACTCAAATCCTATGGTTGTTGCAAATGCAGTGGCAGCTTTATCTGAAATCAATGAAAGTACTCCTAATGGTCAGCCTTTAGTAGGTGAGTGGGCTGATAGATATTTATTGAAATACCCTTAGCTAATTATGTAAAATGCATATTTAGTACTGATTAATATATTCATTCATATCATAAAGGGGGTTTCCATCAAATGAAAAACAAATTGAATAAATTATTTGGGGGATGATGATTGAATTTTAAGCCAAAAGTTACTAAAGAATTGGTACTTTTTAAACATTTCAATATCCCTCAATATTGTAATTACTTTTTTCAGTATTTCAAATACTATTTCAGTATATTTAAGTTTTGGATAGTTTAAATGGATTAGTTATAATAAATTGATTATTCATCAGTTCCTTCAATATCTTTGATAACTTTGCAATTATTTTTGTTTACTATGCAGGGTACTGAATAGGTATACTTCTAAGCATGTTAACTAGATTGAACAAATGATGGAATAAATTGTAGAAAACCTACAATATATCATTAATATTTATTGTTTATATACACAGTGTGTGTCTTTTTCAAATGTTCCCTTTTTTATCTCAGTTATCCACTCTTTACCAAAACTTTTTTGGCCATATAATCACAAAGCTTTGGTATTATTTGTCTAGGGAAATATTCCCAGCACACCTCCAAGAGTTCAAGAGAATATTTTGTAAAACTGCACTTATCATGCAATGGTTTTTTTTCAAAAAAATTTTTTGGTACTCACGTATTTTTTAGTGAAAAACGTGAATTTGATAATGAAAATGTTAAAAAACCATTATTTATTAAGATATTTCACTATTATGTTACAAATTTCTGAAATTTCACCTTTTTTTTCGCCTGTCTTTTGGATGGCATTTAGATAACAATTTGCCCTTCTTTTTTCATCATTGGACAATTTATATATCACAATGTACTTCAATGACACATTTTTTGTTATTATATGAGTCAACTAGAATTATGATTTTCTTGTGATATATCCATATTTAGTGAAAAGAAGGAAGAATATCATTTAAAATAATTGGTGTAATGTCATTCAAAAGCAATCTGTTGACATTTGACAACTTTTATTTGGATTGACTATTGATTAAATGGCCGTTATCTGGTACTATTGTTCACTCTATATGAAAAACTCGCCCTAAAAACTATATTTCATGTTGAACTTTTTATATTAAAATGTGTAATTGAAGTACATAATGAGTATATAAAGTGTCCAATGACAAAATAAGAAGGGCAAGTATAGCTGTAAATGCATCCAACACAGAGGGAAAAAGGAGACTTTTTCTCGAAATATCGCGATAAATAGTGGTTTGTTCAAATTTTCTTATCAAATTCGTGTTTTTTAGACAAAAATACATAAGTTGGTACCAACATATTTTTCGAAAAAAACCCATCGCATAAGTGCAGTTTTACCGAAAATTCCCTTTCCTTCCTTCTCTGCTTATCCGCCCTAGGAACCCACGATGTTTCACGTACATATTAGAGATTTCCTTTTGTGCACTCTAAAAGATGAAGAAAAAATCAATACCAACCAAATACGGATTGGTATTGGAAACTATCAATATAATATTGCAAATATTATTTTGGATAGTGCTGTTTTTTCATTGAATAAAAAGTAGAAGATTTCATGTAAAATCATCATTTCACAGGATAATTACTCTCAGAATATGCGCCATTCTTTTGATCCCTCTCCTTTTTATAATAGTTCAATGAAACCAGGAAACTACTAAGCCTTCAAAAATATATATTTTTGGGTTTGTGACTTTTTGAAAGTTAGATGGAATGACCAAATTCAATGGCTACAACATCTTATTCAGAACTGATTGTCATATTCAAATCAACTCAAACCCAAAAGTTATTTGTTTTACTAGACAGAAAAGCACAAGATTCAATGCCGCGGCTATTAAACCGAGGCTATTGAACCAGCCAAGGCATTAAATTTGCTTTTCTGCCGTGTGAACCATGTAATTTTTTCTCAAAATTCCTCCAATTTCCCGCAAACTCCAAATAATCCATCATTTTTTGTTCACCCAGACACTGTCAATTTTGATTACCAATTAGATTCAAATTACTTGGAATGTTGCATAGCAACAAACATTTTCTACCTAGACAGTGAAAGTACACCTTTTCTGCCTGTTAAGTGTCATTAAAAATCCACTTTTATTGTCATTTGGAGAAAAAATTATTCGGGATGTTTGAAAGCGGGACACCTCAATAAAATTTGTATCAATTCACTTATCTTGACGAAGTTTTTTCTTTTAGACTCCCTGATAGAAATTTTTTTCAAACGCAGTGACATTTTGGGGCAAATCATCTGATTTTTCCCTCTACAAATATATTGAAATAATAGGAATACTTTTATTTTATAGAAACGAGGAGAGAAAGAATCAAGTAAAATGAATCACCTGAGGTCCTTAGATTAGTTTACTTCCGATTATGTCCACCTAGATGTAATTTCAAAAGTGACTCTGAAAAAATTTAAGTAGGCATAAAAACTTTCGAAAATGTCACATTCTGATCTAGAATTGTCCATTCCATTTGAAAATTTAGAACTGGAGCCATTTCCGGTAAAACCGGAAGTGGCCAGGAAGTGAAAAATATGTGAAAACTCTCCTCTTCACATACCATTTACCTATATCAAATCTCATTTTGATACACCTAATGGTCTAGAAGTTATGACTTGTCTAATAGATTCGTTGACACCCGGTATATCCTACTTTCCCAACCTGAAGGATAAGTTACCTGTGGACATGTACGATAAACCTCCATTTTCGGAAATTAAGCACAATATCTACATTGAAATACGTTGTACCGGATTTATTACTTACTAAGAAAACCAATTCAACTGTGGTGAACTATTGAGGTCTAATTGATCGTTAAGCAAAATTATTTTAGTCTACATGAAAATGGTAGATTCAAGATCAATTAATGTAAACATCCTGTAACTCATTTGTAGACTAAAATCACTCATTCATATGCCAACATCAGTATGACACTGATTTCAAAAAACAAAAAATGAACTAGTACCCTGTAGATCGTTTGTTCCGAGCACCCTGTATTTCCTGATGTAGCGGAAAAAACTTATTGAAAAATCATTTCAAATGATCCCTTAAATTTTGCGAACGGTTCGAGAATAACTGAGCTAGAGGGGGGGGGCATTTTATGGTGAATCACCCTGTACATGAGAGTCAGTAGCACCCTGTATATTTTCGATTTTCGTTTCAGAACTGAGCACCAATACCATCAACAAACTGTTGACCGCTCTGAACGAGTGCACCGAATGGGGCCAAGTTTTCATTCTTGACTCCCTGTCGAATTACAGCCCGCGGGACGATCGCGAAGCGCAAAGCATCTGCGAAAGGATCACGCCCAGATTGGCGCACGCCAACGCCGCTGTCGTGCTGTCAGCTGTCAAAGTACTCATCAAGGTACAATGGGATTCATTGGGGAAATATTGAGTGAATAAGAAACCAAGAGGTTTACCCGGTTTTTTTGCTTTTTTTTATTTTTTTGATCCTTCAGGAAAAAAATTCGCACGCCCCTGGGGCCGATTCTTTTTTCTGTTTCAGGTAGCCCCGAAGGAATTTCTAAAATCTATTGTATTTTCATTTTTAACCCTCTTAGGAAAGAAGGGGTACTTCCCTGAGTTGCGATCCTGATTTTTTTATAGCGTCTAATAGCGAATTTCATTGGTAAAACTGGTGTCAAGTTTTGAATATTGGGAAACTGGTGCACATAGTTTAGCTCAGTGTGAAGTCAGTGCAGTTTTGAAAATGGCGGAAACATTGAATATGATTAGTTTGAAACCCAAATTTGTTCGTGGATCTAATCATAATCATCATCAAATAGTGATGAAAAGATAGAGGTTTCAATAAAATAAAGGAGATTTCTTCTACTTTGTTTTTAATTGAAGTTAAGAAAGAACTTCAGTATGTGGACAATTTATAAACAAAAACAAACCAGCTTAACCGATTCAACCTAAAGCAATAATTTTATCGTAATATTATTTCATATCCCATTGGGAATGCACCACTTCACATTTTGGAGAGAACCAACGTAGTGCGTTTGCAAAACTGGTGGAAAATCAGGGCACCACCAGGTTTAAAAATGGAATTCGCTTTAAGAAAATCTGCTGTTAAACTCATCAAGGTGAAATGGGAACTTCATTTCTTGACCTTTCAGGTAGATTAGAAGGAATTTCGAATATTTTTTAATTTTGACCCCTTGGAAAAAAATTGGTATGTCCCTGAATTTTCTTTATAACGTCGAAGAAAAACTAAATTTTCAATATTTTCCATTTTTCAAACCCTCAGGAAACATATAACGTGCGCCCTTGAATGTAAAAAATTGGATGTTCCTTGAGTCGCGATTCTATTTTTTGATATCGTCGAAGAAATTTCGATGTTCCGGAGTTTTCTATTTTTGACTTCAACAAAAATGATTGGGAATATGAAAGTGCCCCAGATTTTTGTAAAATTTTGTTAAATTTGTGATCGCTACTTTGAAGTTGGGAACCAGAAGTCGGAATTTGTGCGGGGCCTACAGCTTATAGTGGATTTCGAACCACTTCTAGGGAACCGAGGTGCTGATGTATGAATTTTTATATTTTGGTTTTGAAACCCTCGGAGAAAAGAAAATATTAGGTGCGCCTTTCAAAAAATTCTAAATTCAGAAATTTCCGATTTCTGACTCCCTTGAAAAAGATTGGACGTCCCTAAAATTACTATTATACCTTTTTGTTTCTATATATAGTCGAAGAAATTTCGATTTTCCGGAGAAATCTCTAAAACCATTTTATTTTTCATTTGTTCCGTCAGCAAAAATGGTCATTCGGAAGAAATTTGGAATTTTTCATTCTAGGAATTGAATTGAATACGCCTGACTGTCCACGAAATTATTAATTTTTTTCGCCCACTCATCCAATAATCTGTGATTTTTTTTCTCATTCTAACGAGAAAAGAGAGAGATGAGTTCTCTTCGCTTTCATTTCCCTCTTCCATGCTACCAACATAGTCGTATTGAAATACTACTATATTTTCGTTGCCATGTGATAAATCATATATGTATAATAAAATATGTCATTGACAATATCTTGGTGTCATTGAGAGGTAGAAATGTATTGAATATAGTAATCAAATTCTCAAACTGACCCGCCAGAATGAATTATGACATATGACATCGAAAATGAGTCACTAGCACAGACTGGATGGTAGGCAAAAAACTCATTATATGTAAGTAGGACTAGGGTCCCTTGATGTAAATTGACGTCTCCTCTCACTATAAAGTGTTTGTGAAACAGTTATATAGTTCCATCTTTATTTATTTCTGGGGATAAACACTAGATTTCTGACATTTGTTGTTTTTTAGGTTATATTGAGGACATTGGCGTATCATACGTAATTTCCACATGTAATTTCTCATTCAACTCTACATATTATATACAAATGATGATGATAAATTTCGAGTTTTTGATTTTTCAACTCCAGCATAATCTTTGTGAGGCAGGGAACAAATTCTTCTGAAAGTTGAGTGTATAATCTCTGCCAAATGGGACTGTTCTTAGGCAGTACCTATCAATAAATGAATTTTGATTTCAGACTGAGAAATGGTGAAAAATTTTATGTAGGTATTCAAACTAATGTGCTCATATGTCATTAGTGCTGCTGTATATATTCATGTTGGGAATCATTTTTGCAGTTTTTTTCAATGTAGGTATAATTTTTTAAATGGTAGGGCATATGTCTCTTCTTTTAATCAAAACTGTTTCTACTGAAATGCGTTAAAAAACTTGTGGAGTGGATAATTATAGGCACAATGAGAAAGTATAATATGTGATTTCGCATTAGTTTTACCTCGAATATTTTGCTGAAGTATTTACCAATTTTCCACATTCGGTCACTTCACTTTCCATGTTCTAAGTTCATTTGCATATAATGGAAAGCTGACAAATTCAAATTTGCCATCCAACTGATTGATACAGCCTAAAGCAGCAGATTTTACCATCCTTCCAAAACAGAATTGAATAAAGTCGTATTGAGATCAAGTATGAAATTAAAGTTTTGTGAGATCTCTTTTAACTCCTATGAATGTGACGTGACAGCAATGTTATGTCAGGGACGCCAATACACGATACCAAAGTCACTAGATGATTAAAAGAGAAGGGAACTATGATCTGTCCGTACCCTGTTAGATGACAAATACGTCAGTTTGCATCAAGGGGCCGTAGGTAGGACTACTCTATCGTTTGAGACGGTTACGTTGATAGCACTGAAGGGAAAGATGAAAGAGGAGAAATCTTCCCCCTTTCTCTCTCTCGCAGAAATTCAATAAAAATTATGTTCCTGATAAAAAATCAAACAAAAAGAAAACATTTGAAACATCTAACTCGCCCTTATGTTGACGTAACCGGCCGATGTTTTCCCAGATGATGGAAATATTGGCCGGGGACACGGAATTTTGCAATACGATGAGCAAGAAGCTAGCGCCCCCTCTGGTGACGTTGCTCAGTTCCGAGCCCGAGGTGCAGTACGTCGCCTTGAGGAACATCAATTTGATCGTCCAGAAGAAGCCCGACATACTCAAACACGAAATGAAGGTATTTGTCGATGTTATCTGGTCACTTTGGAAAAGGTCAGACATTTTGTGCTATTTGTGTGCAGCAATCACTGTCAAACTGAGTATAATTTGTCTAATACATTGTCTTTTGCCAATCTAAATTATAATCGATTTGAGGTCCGGTTTATCAAATGGAATTTATCTGTCATATTATGCTTAACTGTCAATTAGTTAATTTAAAGTGGTGGGTTACTGACATCAGGTCAAGTTATATTCAGCAGTTAAACTGTCTGTCTTCGGATAAATCAGATAACTGCAGGATAGCATATAATATACCTACATCCTACATGATTCATGTTTCGTTTTGTGGCACATAACCTCTTTTTTGAAGTTGTATCAATAATATGGATAAGAATATTGATAAAACGAAAAGGGAGAGCAATTTTATTCCTGAAGAAAGTAATTTGTTGATCGAAATCATGTGTTCTGTATGCATTCTGAATTTCTCGATAAATAGTGGTCATCAAAAATAATCAAGAGCCAAGCAAAAACTTCAAAAAGAGCAGTTAGGTTAGAATTCCATTGTTTGTGTACGGAATTCCCATTGGTCGGTGAAAACTATGTAAAAACAACAACCAATCAAATCTTTCACATCTATTCATATCACTATTCCCAACATTCCTTACCTGTCAGTTATTTGACTAGTGGATAAAAATCATAAGAAAAACTAAACTGGAACTTAATCTGCAGGCTACCAATATTTGACAGATAACTAACTAGTGGATAAAAGAGACTACTGATTTTTTAAAACGACATTATTGTGAGCTCTATACCAAATAACCACCAGAAAATATAATTTTGATTTTTTTCATTCATACTATGACGAAAAAAAAAATATAAATTGAAATATGTTCAATTTGAAACACACACTTCCTGCGCCATTTGAAATGGTGTAAATTCATTGGTGTGACTGGTGTGACGTATTAATCCCAAACACGCCTATTGTCCTTGACCTGACCATTCACATTGCAACACTGCAGAATGGCAAGGTTTCAGAGAGAGATAGCTGCAGTTCGGGACTAATACGTCACGGCTCCAATATTGATTGTACCAAGTGAACAACTAAAAACGACTGTCGGCGTGTTCTGGAGTATCCATTGATAACGCGATTTTGAAAATGTAATGTATGCATATTATTTCACGATCAAATAGAGAAACTAAATCTCAACAGACCTACGAAAAGTGCAACATGATAGTTATATTCGCTAACGGAAGATATTGACGATCAAAGTTGGAAAAAGGATTGATAACAGCCGTTCTTATTTGTTCACCCTGTACATTAAATATGAGTCATGATTCATCGATTGAATGAGGTTTGGACAGATTTCATCCCTCAGTGGTCTTTCCCAGTGATAAACCGGGCCTAAAAAAATCAGCAGGTTTTGATCTAATGGAATTATAGGCATGTGTCACTTTTGTAGCCAACCTCAAAATACGAAATGTCTAACCCTTGAAAATATAATCGATTGCCAGAAAAGTGAAATTCTAGGTATTCTTTGTCAAATACAATGACCCAATCTACGTGAAACTGGAAAAACTGGACATTATGATTCGTTTAGCCTCCCAAGTCAATATAGCGCAAGTCCTCAGCGAACTCAAAGAATATGCCACAGAAGTGGACGTTGACTTTGTCAGAAAGGCCGTCAGAGCTATCGGAAGGTCTGTAGTTCCGATAAAAAAACCCAATGAATATACTGAGCGATATTTCTTATAGGTGTGCTATCAAAGTAGAACCATCTGCTGAAAGATGTGTTGCTACCTTACTGGACTTGATCCAGACCAAGGTGAATTATGTTGTACAGGAAGCCATTGTGGTGATCAAAGATATTTTCAGGTAAGATCTCGTATTGAATAATGCATTGGCGTCGCCAGAAAAAAATCCTAGGGGGGTAGCTGAAATTGTACTTTTATGGCTCTATGATTCAGAAACAGTTTCATTTTGGTCAAGGTTGACTACATGAGGATTGAAATTAAGGGTAAAAAAAGTAATTTCTTCGAAAAATAGCCGAAAATCATTGTTGAAATATCAGAAAAGAGACAACTACTTTCCTGGCTATTGAATATTGAATTATATCCATTTATTGAAAAAACCATATCATCAAAAGATGTCAAAATAGGTTATCAGCCAATGACATTTATTACAGACATATCACATCATTATAATCTAAACTAACTGAAACATCTGACTTGAACTGAACTGAATCAGTTATAATGTGTTCTTTAAAACAAATTTGATTAGTTAGAATGCATGTTAACTGATTCAATACAGTCCAAGTGAAATGTCAGTTCAGAAGGAAAGAATATAATTATTCGCGATAGAAAATAAGCGTACGCCACCTAGCAGAGTTCTTGAAAGCTGTCAAAACGGCATGTTTACTTTGTCTTCATTGGTTCACATTTGTTTTTTGTCACATCATCAACCTTGAAAATAGCTACCACTGAAAACAAGATTATTTTCATGAAATATATCGATACCATTTTTGTCCTTATCATCCAGGAAGTCTCCGGCGTCCGAATCGCTGGAAATTATAAAAACTTTGATATCAAGTGAATTTGAGGTTATTGCAGTCATATTGGCTGCCTGTGAGATGATGATCCTTTTTTTCTTCTCTAATAAGGGCTCAACATAATATTTACACCGGTACACAGGTACTTCTTAAATGTCTTTGATGTCTGAATCATAGATAAACTACACTGAACGAAAATTATGAAGATTCTTGGCGGTCCGGTGGTCGAGAGCGCGAAGGCGCTGAGTTCGTATGGGGACTCCCACCGAGGCATGGGTTCGAATCCCAATTAGGCCATGGATGTTTATAAATGTATGCTTTCCTATCCCCGCACAAGTTTCGACTTATGGGGCGTTGGATCCAGTGCTGGGTCCAACGGGGAAATGCAATAGGCCTTTTCATTTAGATGACAAATGACTATCTCTGTTTACATCTCGCATCCAACGACAGTGGCGGCCATTTTAACCAAAACACTTAGACCACAGTACCACACTCCTCAGTAACGAATAAGTAACGTTTTTTTGGAATTAAATTATTAATACAATCAATACACACCAGGAATATAAAAAAAAACTATGTTGTTATTGTTGACGAATGCCCATGAGCCCATGGTGATTGACACTGTTGACAATTGACAAAACGTCAATATAATACCCGCTATATTCGATATGGCCAATCAGCATTTTGTGTTGGAACTATAGCCAATGAGGCTTCACCTTCGCATTACCCAATAAACTTTTGGATCTAAAAACGAGCGCATGCGTCTTAAAAATATATCTAGATGAAAAGGCCTATTGAAAAAAAAAATCAGTTGACATCAGAGTTTTGATAATTTCCCGCGATTCGAGAGTCGCTGACTTCCTGGATGATAGGAAAATCGATGAGGAAAAAAATGGCATCAATATTTCATGAAAATAACCTGTTTCCAGTGGTAGAAGTTTTTGGATATTCTCAAGGTTGGCAATAAATTACTGAACTCGTCCATTGAAATGGAATTGATGAAAATATATTTGATGGAAATACTTCATCATATTCATGATGCAGACGGCGTCTTTAACACACAGATCACCTATGATTTATGGTCGACTGAACACTTCCCAGAAAGGATGGAATCAAAAATGTTTGATACATTCATTCTTTGATTGATTTTTCATTTCTTAATGGTAAACTAGTTTCAAACATCTCAGTTTTCAAAAACATCTTTTCCTTATACCAAATTTGAGGATCTTTGTTCAACTGTATACTATATTATTACTCAATATTTCAAGTATCTACCTCTTGAATCTTGATTTTTCTTGGGAAAATCAAGGTGAAGAATTGAGTAATTTCAAAATCTTATTTTAGGTACATATTTTCAATCATTTTTTCCAAATAGCTCCTATCCAGAGGTATGTAAATCAATGTTTATACATCCATTCTTAAACTGCTTCTCAGTTAATTCAAAAAGTTAGCTGTCTGAACCTTCTGAACCTCTATTATCATATCTGTTACTATAGAGTTACCTATACTCTCTTTGAAAAAAATGAAAAAAATAGAAGTTTTGCTAATTTCTGGATGACTGAAAAATATTCATAGAAATAACAATACTTTCATATGGAAATACTTAGGATCATAAAAAACATAGTTTGGAGAAAATAGTAGTTCTTCATAATCACAATAATACTTTATTATAAAATATAAGCTCAAAAATAACACTTTACAAATTATTTCAAATAGCATAAATAATTATTATGTGATGTGCAGGTACTTCAGTGGAATGAGGTTTCAAAAAGACTTGAAGCAGTTTTTATGGCATGATAGATTCTCTGGAGCTTCTCTTCATCATCACACAGCACCACATTCAAGTTTATCAACAACCCATTTTCCTTCACAATAAAATGCACCCCCTTATCCTTGCAATACCTATGAATCATCTCTTCTCCCTCTCTCCTGAATTTCTCATTTGATACTGTGAACACTTTGAAGGCACTATCTGGATCACTCTCAACAATAAACCCACAATTTTCCTCTAGAAAGCCATGGAATTCTCTTGCGAAACTCCTGAGTTTTTTTGGCTTGTCCCCAAAACACTTGATGGATTCCATGCAAGCTTGCACGAGAAATGTTGGCAGAGAGGCAGAAAAGATGTAACCAGAACCAGAGAGACGCTGGTGTTCAATGGTCATCTGAGAACCAGCACAAAAACCACCTATGGAGCCTATAGCTGATTCCAGAGTAGCAATGATCATATCCAGACGACTTGGGTGGATATTGAAATGTTCTGTCAAACCTTTACCTTCATCTCCATAAATGCCTATGGAGTATGTTTCTTCCAGGAAGATCCTTATCTTGTGATCTTCTGTCACTTTGAGGAATTCTTCCAAAGGTAGTAGCTTGCCTGTCTTCCAAGATACTCCTTCAACAATGAGGAATTTCCTAGTGGGTTTCCTCTCTGTTTTTGTCACTTTTTCTACTTCATTTCTGAAACTCTTTGGATCATTGTGGTCAAAGTATACTACCTTGGATTTAGCTGCCAATACCCCTTGTTGTATTGCAAAGTTTGCTTCTTTGTCAAGAAAGACAATATCTTTCTTTTTGCAATAAGCTGCAATTGAACTGGAAATTGCTACAAATCCATAGGAGTAAACTATGGATTCTTCCATGCCTAGAAAGTCTGCAATGCACTGTTCTAGCTTCAAATGGACATCAGTAGTGCCTGTGAGAAGAAATAAATAATGCCATGGGAGTTATAAAGTATGACAACATACCATAAAAAGCTCTGGGCCCACATGTTCCTACTCCATATTTTCTTATGATGCCCTCACAGGATTTTTGGATTTCCTCATTATTCAATAAATTCAGGAAGTTCGTTTTAGCCAAATCAATGTTATTTTCATCTTCTTGTATGACATAAGATTCAATGTTTTCTTTGGTACTATCTATGTCGTTTTCAATGAGTGGTTCCGGTTTGAATTGGTCCAGTCTCTCTTGCAGTAACATTTCGTCCATCATTTTTGCGATGTTTTTATTTTGCTACTTGGAAAAATGTCAACAGAAAAATAAAAAAAATCGAAAATTATGACACTCCCACTCCTAACCTATAAATTTGCAGCAATGTGAACATAGCCGCATATAATCTATCATTTTCTTCTTGTCTTTATAAAATATGTGATATGCTCTTATGAACGAATGAACTAAATAGCGTATGTACCCAACGACAAGACCAAGGAAGAAGCGTTTTATGAAAATATGCATACAGGGTGTTGTTACTTTTAACCCGTATTATACCGTTTCGAATTGCTTTATTTTCAGAAAATATCCCAACAAATATGAGAGCATTATCAGTACGCTGTGTGAAAATTTGGATACTCTTGACGAACCTGAGGCTAGAGCCAGCATGGTTTGGATCATCGGAGAATACGCCGAAAGAATTGACAATGCTGATGAACTTTTGGACAGCTTTTTGGAAGGTACCACTAGGCATATTTCGGCAGATTCAGAGCGTTCTTTCTGAACTAATTTTTCAGGATTTGCTGATGAAAACGCCCAAGTTCAGCTACAGCTGTTGACTGCTGTAGTGAAACTTTTCCTCAAGAGGCCTCAACATACCCAAGGTTTGGTGCAGCATGTCTTGAGTTTGGCTACTCAGGACTCGGATAATCCCGATTTGAGAGATCGTGGGTTCATCTATTGGAGGTATTTTTTTTATAGGCCGAAAGTTTTTTGTGTTTTAAGATATGTTATTTCCATTGTTCTACTTGGTTCACCCTGATGACTTAATTTGAAGAACAAATAATATGCTTTTGGATAACTTTCTCGGTAAATCTGCATTTATCATGCGATGGTTTTTTTTTTTCGAAAATTTATTTGGAACGTATTTTTGTCTGAAAAACACAAATTTGATAATGAAAATGTGAACAAATCACTATTTATCAAGATATTTCAAGAAAAAGTTCGAAATTTCGCCTTCTTTTTCCCTTAAAACTGAAAAGTGTCAAGAAAACTACGAATTTGCTATTCAAATATACGTTTTTTTTTATGGTGAAAACGGGAGCAGATTCGTTCCCTAAACGTCCAAAGCTAAGTAAAAATTTGATATTTTTTCTATATACCTTTATTCTCTTCTCCTAACCTTTTTCAATACAAATTGTCACTGTGAAGCTAGTGAATTTTTTCTTTTAGGCTCTCTGATAGGAAAATTCTTCAAACGCAGTGACATTTTGGGGCAAATCATCTGATTTGTCGTTGAAATAATATTCATATTTTTCAACAACGAACTAGCCAAATTGCTCAAAGTGGAATGAAATGTTAAATAAATACAAAAAGCTCAAGTTCATTTCCACACAATGTTCATTAAATGAACAACAATGGTAGATTTCGGGAGAAAAACAACTACTTTCCTGGCTGATTCCACGCAGAACAGTGATTCTTTCCTGAATGCCTATTGATTTCGATTTAGCCAGGCCTAGCTAGACAACCACAGACCGGTTTCGAGCTCTTCGACTCTCATCAGTTTAGTGTAGTCTCCTGCCAGCAGTCCTAAGACGGCATTATATTCCCCCATCTAGATGGCGTTGCTTTCATATTGTCGATGAAAGACGCTGTTTTTCTCCCGAAATCTACCATTGTTGTTTATTCTATGAACATTGTGTGGAAATGACTTTGAGCTTTTTGTATTCATTCATATTTTTTTTCTGTGACGGTAAAAAAGTTTGGCATTTCATCTCTGTTGGCAGGTTATAAAATGTCACTTTTCATAGATTACTTTTTTCCCGTGGGAAAAAAGTGAATACTTTTTTCCCGGATATATATCACTTATTTATACACTGTTGATGGCTTTTGTTGTGCTATAGTTCCGAAAAATGAGTCAATAATACTGGCTCCGAGAAAGAACTGCAAGTCCTTTTATCTTCCATTCGACTTCGCGGTTACGTATATTACTAAACAACCACTAAATTCGCAATTTTTTTAAATCAAATCACACAATTAGACTTACAGAAGTGACATAAGATATTTCATTACTTCAAAAGAATGATAAAGATGCCTACAACGCAGGTGTCCCTACTGTTAAAAACTTGAAATTTCACGTCAATAATTTTCAGATTTCAAAATAATGTAATATCTTCTCAATATTGATTCGTCTTTTCTTCTGTCACAGAAAAAAATAGTGTATTATACACGGGAAAAATATTAGATTTCAGCTCACGTTTTTTTGTCTCCCTCCGCTACGCGTCGGGAGACAACACAACCTGGAGCTAAAGTCTACTACTTTTTTCCTTTGTATAATAAATAACTATTATTTTAACGAAAGGAGGAGAGAAAATTGTTGTTCAGCTTTCTGTTCTTCTGTTCCATAGACTATTGAGTACTGATCCGGCTGCAGCGAAGGAAGTAGTTCTGGCGGACAAACCATTGATTTCTGAGGAAACCGATTTACTGGAACCCACTTTATTAGATGAATTGATCTGTCACATATCATCGTTGGCTAGCGTTTACCACAAACCACCCACTGCTTTCGTTGAAGGAAGGAGTGCAGGTAAAATAAAGGATATTCCACAATTTCTGGGGGATAATTTAATATCTCTGATTCACATACCATTGTTTATTTCGAATCCATCAAGGTACTTCATATTTCACTAATTAAATATTCAACATGTCCCGATATTCCCGAACAGTACGATTTTACTGAAATTTACTGACAACGTTCTCGCGGGTCATTTTACTGAACCCCGTTAGAGGCTAAAAATTAACTGTTCGCCACTGGTGCAGAAATGGTGATGTAGTGCCAGTATTCATGAAATGTTGGGTTAAGCGTTTGAATGGTCAAATATGAGTCGATAAAAATTATATATAATTTTCAAATACTTTGGGAAAATGTATGAAGTCACACTGGAATATCTCACAGTTTCAGTAGACCCTGAAACTGCCACTAATCCACCAGATGGTTTGTTGTTTCCACTTTTGATATCAAATATTTCACAGCTATTCGCGGGAATCAATGTTACCAGGGGGCGCTCAGTTTTCATCGTTCCATGTCAAAGCCACGTCAAAACTGGGGGAAAACAAACTCAATCCTCACTCAATCCCATCAGTGCCATTAGCTTGTGTACTGATAAGAGTGATAACTTGTTACATTTCTTGACATTTATTGTCAATATTCGATCGAAAACGCTTATAATGCCTGTTGTAGATGTTCTTTTGGTAGATATTTTGCTCTATTCGGATGGAAAAAGCCGACCAGTAGTGGAAAGAGAAGCAGTTCTCCGTGCTAATCATGTGATTTTGTGTGAGGCAGAAGACTTCAACAAAAGGCACATTTTTGCACTTTGTCTACAAACTTCGGCGATGAAATCTTCCCCACATGAAGTAAAATTGAAGTTGGGGTCCAGAGGAACTCCTGTAGAACAATGGATTTGTATTTGTTCATGTAAAGCAGGACAATTTGGGTATTGTAAACATGTTGTAGCTGTTCTTGATTTGCTCGTCATAATTAGTTTGAATTGTTTGAACTATCTCCAATTCTTCACCCGTTCACTGTTCACTAAACTAATAAAAATGTAATAATGTAAAAAAATTAACCAACTCAACCATCATCACTACCAACAGTACCAACAGTGCCAACACTTTATGTCATTGACAAGTTTGACTACAGCTACAGCAATCTGAATGTAATGTAGTCTATGCACTTTATCCATAGACAACAGTTCGTTTTCCCCCAGTTTGAAGTTCGTATTATGTAACCTAGATGTTACCAGGAATAAATCCCAAAAACCCTTATTTACCAAAACGAATCCTCGTGTTCAGGAATCAGAAAAACCCTGCCGGCGAGACAAGGATCCGAAGAAGCCTCCGCCCCTGAGGCGACGGTCATCCCCAACCAGGAGAGCCTCATCGGCGACCTGCTGTCGATGGATCTGGGAGCCCCCGCAGCACCCGTCTCCGCTCCCATCGTAGCTCCCACCAGCAACGTGGATCTGTTGGGCGGAGGACTAGACATTTTGGTAAGGGAATGTTTTCGGTAGTGAAAGGTAGGGTCCCTTGATGGAAAGTCATCTTAACAGGGTACGGACAGATCATAGCTGCATTCTTTTTTAATGATCTAGAGATTTTAGTTTTGTCTACTGGCATCCCTGACATTGCTGTCACGTCACATCCATGGGCGCTAGAGATAATCATTCAAAATTTCACTAATAGGTATGTACAGGGTATTTACTTGTTGAGGAAGATCGTAAATGGAAACGAGTTTTGTGATTATGATCTGATTCTATTCAAAACCTGAAAGTTTCTGGGGTTTTCCGGGGTTGGAGATAATGATTGTTACGTCAAACTTGGAAAATTCCAGATGACGGATTCAATATATAGCGAAAGAAATTTCTAATCATGATCTGATTCTATTTAAGATTGGTATCTGAGGGTTTTCGTGGTCAAAGTTCATGATTTTTTGTCAAAATTAGAAAATTCAAGATAGCGGATTCAATATGGCGAACGAATTTTGTAATTATGGTCCGATTCTATCCGAAAATCGAAATTGGTATCTGAGGATTTCCGGGGTCGGAGATAATGATTGTTTCGTCAAAATTCGAAAATTCAAGATGACGGATCCAATATTGAAAGACATTAGTTTATATAAATATTATTCTACCACGAATAGAAAATATGTAGGATGCAAGAGTGAAAATAACGTGTGAATATAAGTTATACTGCGTATACCTACTTCTTTGTTACTTTCATCAATAAATTATTCGAAAATGACTTTTTATTTGAGGGAGACGCAAAAATCATATGTATAACATGGGGGTGAAGTATATTCTATTCTTTATTTTCCTGCACATTCCACGTATTACTTTTTATCAGCCCACTTTCCGTCCCAGACGAAGTTTTATACATAGTGTGATATTAGTTAGGTACTCCATGAATTCTTCTCCGAATTGGATTCCCGAAAATATATTTAGCACACATGACATGAGTACAGTAGTTCAGATACCACATCGAGGTTTCCACCATTTCTCAATCATAAAGGGCGCCGTACATTATGCTATTTACCAGCAAGTTCGATGCAATGCAATTTTGAATCGAACAATGCGCATGCGTCTATGATAATTCACGGCAAGTTTCATGCAAGTTTCGTAATAGAACCAGTCCTATTTTTCCTGCAACTTCAAAGCAAGTTTAGTAAAATTTTTAGTAATATTCATCGTAGCATCTTGATAAAATACAAATTTTCTCCATAACGTGGCCTGAAACACCAAATAACCTCAAAAAGTACATTGAAGGCTCAAAAAACCTGAAAATGGTGAATATGAACAAGGAAATATGACAGAAATATCTCAATGTACGCAATAAATTGAGAAAATTGCGAGAAGATTGCATTGCCTCAAACTTGCCGAGAAATAGCATAATGTACGGCGCCCTTGAGGCTCACCTCATTCGGCTCATAGATAATCTTCTGCTCAGCTTTAAATCAGAATTCATTCAGTCAATTCAGTCAACCCTGGTATATAGTCTAAGAACAGTCTCTTTTGGTGAAATATATTAAGCTTTCAGTACAATTTATCTGGTCCCTACCTCGTAATAGTAAACTCTAAAACTAGAGGTTTGTTATTCATCTATATCTTGGTATAGTTGAACCAGGATTTCTATATGGAAATTACGTATGATACGCCAGTGACCTCAATATAACCTAAAAAACAACGAATGTCAAAAATCTAGTGTTTATCCCCAGAATTGAATAAGGATGGAACTATATAACTGTTTCACGAACACTTTAGAGTGAGAGGAGACGAGGATCTGTCCGTACCCTGTTAAGATGACAAATACGTCAATTTACATCAAGGAACCCTAGTTCTAACCACACAAATGTTTTTTATTTTCCTGTTCATACCGAATGATTCTTTTCAGCTGGGCGGTGCCCCCGATATCAACAGTGCCGCCGCGGTCGCTCCGTCCACCACCGGCCTTTTGGGCGACATTTTCGGCCTATCGGCCGCCCCGGCGATGTACACACCGCCCAAGGTGTGCTGGCTGCCCGCCGACAAGGGCAAAGGGCTCGAGATCCACGGCACGTTCTCCCGCAGGGCCGGGCAAATTTCCATGGACATGACTCTCACGAACAAGGCGATGCAGGTGAGGAAGCGTTTGACTCTCAGACTGATGGTCTTGAACTGTCTTCCAATTCCGCTCGAACCATTAATAATGGAGAAATCATCAGATTAATAACAATAGATAGACACTGAGATTGATTCATAAATGATTGATAAGTACACGCTAACTAATAGTGCTAAACAAAAATGAATGAAATCGCGAATGGTGTGGATTCTGCGGAATCATTGCCAAAAAGTTGATATTCTTCATAGAGATATTTTATGTTTTATTCAATGAATCGGGATTTCTATTAAAATGTGTGTATGTGCATTAATAAATCAACTCTCACGTGCTGTGACATACGCTCGAACCATAAATAATGGAGAAAACCTCAAATTAAATAACAATAGTTGGACAGCATGATTCATTCATGAATCATTGAAAAGTATACGTCAATTATCCCATGTACATGTAAAATCTATGTATTCTCACCGATGCCTTCCAATGCCTTCCGAAATGAAATTCGATCATTCTTGCTGTGGAGTTCATCACTGGGTATAAGATTCGAAAAGGAAAACCCGACATTTTATACGATTATTCATTTTCGAAGCACGCCAAAAGGCTGTAAATACATGATGAAGACACAACTAGCAAACCTGAATAATTAAACTACAAGCACTAAACTCAAAGAAAAACACTTGATTGAATGAAAATTCGAAAAAGTAAACGAATTTAAAATCGATATTTACAGGGATCTGACAGTGACACAGATTTGACACTTGATATTTAGAATTCAATATAACCTATGTTATTGGAAAACAACTGATCAAAATCTCAAAATAACAGAAAACAACTGACTACTCCGCAAAGGACGGCAAGTAAACCCCTCTGGTGGAGTATACACTGAACTGAGTAATTGGACAGTCATCTATAACCCGTCAGACAGTCTGGATATCTAGCCGTCATTGATTATCCTAAACGCCAAACTGGGGTAAATGAAGGAAATCGCGAATGGTGGGGATAACTCTGCGGAATCATTGCCTACCGACAAGGGCAAAGGGTTCGAGATCCACGGCACGTTCTCCCGCAGGGCCGGGCAAGTTTTCGTGGACATGACCTTCACGAACAAGGCGATGCAGGTGAGGAAGCGTTTGACTCTCAGACTGATGGTCTTGAACTGTCTTCCAATTCCGCTCGAACCATAAACAATGGAGAAAACCACAGATTAAATAGCAATAGTTAGTCAGCGCGATTCTTTCATGAATCATTGAAAAGTATACGTCTATAATCCTTAACGCCAAACTCGGGTAATTGAAGGAAATCGCGAATGGTGGGGATAACTTTGCGGAATCATTGCCTGCTAAGGGCAAAGGGCTCGAGATCCACGGCACGTTCTCCCGCAGGGCCGGGCAAATTTTCTGTTATTAAAACGTCATAAAAAAATTTCCGATTCCATACGCTGGTGGGTACCCACGAGAAAAAAAATCCACTAAAATACATACTGCTATGGTAATTTGTCATTAAAACCCATTTTAACTGTATAAATATCACTGGTGTGGAATTTTCGGCAATGATTGCACGAGCGCATAAAAATTACCGATAATTTTGCAAAAAACACGTAATTCATTGGAATATTTCACGAAGTAAGGAACTCTGTCGGATTTGGTATTTTTTGGTTCACTTTCATTTATACTTTTTTGAAGTCAATCTGACATTTATTTGTATTGGTTACTGGCGTCTAGCGACATGGCTTTATAAATGTGTTGTTATGGCGACGGGATCCATTTTCAATTACCGATATATGAGGGAAATATTCAGGATAATCCTATGTACCGTTCTCCAGAAACGTCTGATAGGCCATCGACTTTGGGACACCCTGTATTAACAGCATTGACACTCGAAATGTGAACGGTGTGATCAAAATCGGACACTGTTAGAGCTCCGATGCCAACAACATTCATGTTCATTCATTTTTGCAACTTCCATGTGAGAGTAGATAGGGCAAGAAGAACTCAAAAACACAGGTTCCAAAAATACTCGCCGGCTGGTGGTGTCGCTAGTGTCGCTGTGTGATAGACTTGATGGGTATTCTTCTGACGATTCGGATTCGATTCATTCGTTGACGTTTCAGGCGATGTCCGGCTTCGCGGTGCAATTCAACAAGAACAGCTTCGGCATCGCCCCGGCCAGTCCAATGAACGTGCCCGTGCTGCAACCTGGCCAGAGCCTCGAATATAGCCTCACGCTCAACACGGCGGGGCCCGTGCAAAGGATGGAGCCCCTAACCACCCTGCAGGTAAGGAAATCATGGAAACGAGATAAACTAATGAAAAAAATTAACGTCTAGTAGACCAGCTCAGTCGTAATAGTTATGGTCTGTTCATAGAATCTCATTTATATCTAATTTATATATAATTTAACTCATCAGCTCTATTTCCCATAAGGAATGGACTAAATTAAATATAAGTTGAATGAGATTCTATGAACGCATCTTAGCGAAAGGAATGCTTGAACATTTAAGATAAGTTATAATTGAATTAAATATAAATAATCTCTATGAACTGACCATTATTCATACACCAAAGTAGTGAAGAATATAGCTAGCCAATAGCTAACGAATAGCTTACGAATGAAAAACGAATGAAAGAAATAGAAGAAGAAGTAAAACTGGTAAACAAAAACATACATAACCACAAATGCACTCGAAGCAGGAATGCAGAGGGTAGTTGGCTTCATTCTGACAGGTTATGCATTGAAATATCTCGAATAGAGCTCGATCCTTAACGAAAATATCATTGAACTAATGAATCACTATCAGCTACATTCAATGATACTATCCTTCCTAATTTACTGCTATCGGTCAGAACAGAATGAAGCAGACGCCTATGGCTTCTTCCTCTTGTTGTGCCCATCAGTATTTTGAGTGGTGTGGATGGACTCGAAGTATTGGACACTGTTGCAAGATATAATCTGCAACTTTCCTAGAAAATAGATCATTTTTATTAAGGAACGGAGTCATTAGCACAAAAATTTCCCTTATCAATAAGGTTTCATGATTATTTTTGTTGCGTCGAATTTGTTTCGACTTGAAAACTTGTTTGTTTAGGTGGCCATCAAGAACAACGTCGACGTATTCTACTACGCCTGTCAAATGCCAATCCAGGTGCTCTTCACTGAAGACGGCACCCTCGACAAGAGGGTGTTCTTGACCACTTGGAGGGACATTCCTTCGGCGAACGAGGTAAGTTGAATCAGTCGAATGCAAATTTCACGGAATATTCCTCAATTCGAAAAAAAAAACATAGATGCTCCTTGAACCTAGTTTAACCGATCTTCTAATTTGTCCTACATTTGTTTTGCTATAGTCATTACAACAGTATGTTACTTAAGCTAGCATCGTTTTAGTGAGTTTGATTTTGTTTGGTCATGTCTATATTTGCGACTGAAGTGTCTATATTTGTGACTGAAGTTGTTTGTAATGCTGAGTGTTCTCCAAACCCTTTTTTGAAGGTTGTTCCAGCTGACCCTACATGTATTTTGCCAGTCATTAAAATGAAGGTCTTGATATGATGAACATGTGTAAGGTCGGCAGAATAACATTCCGGTTGGTGATGAAACTGTTAGACATCATATTTTCTTCATACTAACATGATTCTCTTTCTGAAGTTCTTTATATCCTCGTTTAATGATTGAACATATTTTCCGCAACACACGAATGCGCAAGATGTTCCTTGAATCTATTGTAGCGCACTTTCTAGTTTGTCCAACATAAGTTTCTGCTGCTGGAACTTGCCCTAGTTTTATTACAAGCATCTCTTGAATTTTGAGTTCTCAATTTACTTGGTTCTTGATTCATGGAATTTCCACGTCTAATGCGCTAGATGTTCCTTTAGCCCATTGTAGCGGAGCGGCTAGTTTGTCCTACATAAGTTCCGTCATTATTATTCCACTAAAGAGTTGAACTTGTTTGTGTGAATTTCTTCGAAGTTTCGACGTTGAAAATATCCTCTTCAGGCCCAATACACCGTCAACGACATCAAAAGCAACACCGACGCGGTGGCCAGCAAGATGACCGTCAGCAACATCTTCACAATAGCCAAGCGCAACTCGATTTATGTAATTCACCACTTCGAATGCACTAAATGTTCCTTGATCCTATTGTTGTGAACTTTCCAGTTTACCCCATACAAGTTTTGTGACAGTTATTCTACTGAAGATGTTGATCGTGTTTTTGTGAATTTTTGCGACTTATCGACATTATAAATATCCTCTTCAGGTGCAATACACTATCAACGATATAAAAGGCAACACCGACGCGGTGTCCAGCAAGATGACCCTCAGCAACATCTTCACAATAGCCAAGTGCAACGTCGAAGGGCAGGACATGCTCTATCTGACGGTGATGCTGACAAACACCATTTTGGTGCTGCTGGAACATCAAGAATCTTCTCCTGAATTTTGAATTCTCAATATTCATGTTTTTTTTATTGATTGACTCGATTTATGTAATTTACCACGTCGAATGCGCTAGATGTTCCTTAAACCTATTGTTGTGAACTTTCTAGTTTGTCCCATATAAGTCTCGTCACAGTTATTCTACTGAAGATGTTGATCGTGTTTTTGTGAATTTCTGCGACTTATCGACATTATAAATATCCCCTCTAGGTGCGATACACCGTCAACGATATAAAAGGCAACACCGATGCGGTGTCCAGCAAAATGACCCTCAGCAACATCTTCACCATAGCCAAGCGCAACGTCGAAGGGCAGGACATGCTCTATCTGTCGGTGAAGCTGACAAACACCATTTGGGTGTTGCTGGAACAACAAGAATCACCTCCTGAATTTTGAAATCTCAATATTCTTGTTTTTTGATTGATTGGCTCGATTTATGTAATTTACCACGTCGAACGCACTAGATGTTCCTTGCACCTATTGCTGTGATCTTTCTTGTTTGTCCCATATAAGTCTCGTCACAGTTATTCTACTGGAGATCTTGATCGTGTTTTTGTGAATTTCTGCGACTTACCGACATTATAAATATCCCCTCTAGGTGCAATATACCGTCAACGATATAAAAGGCAACACCGATGCGGTGTCCAGCAAAATGACCCTCAGCAACATCTTCACAATAGCCAAGCGCAACGTCGAAGGGCAGAACATGCTCTATTTGACTCGATTTATGTAATTTACCACGTCGAATGCGCTAGATGTTCCTTTAACCTATTGTTGTGAACTTTCTAGTTTGCCCCATATAAGTATCATCACAGTTATTCTACTGAAGATGCTGATCGTGTTTTTGTGAATTTCTGCGACTTATCGACATTATAAATATCCCCTCTAGGTGCAATACACCGTCAACGATATAAAAGGCAACACCGATGCGGTGTCCAGCAAAATGACCCTCAGCAACATCTTCACCATAGCCAAGCGCAACGTCGAAGGGCAGGACATGCTCTATCTGTCGGTGATGCTGACAAACACCATTTTGGTGCTGCTGGAACATCAAGAATCATCTCCTGAATTTTGAATTCTCAATATTTTTGTTTTTCTTATTGATTGACTCGATTTATGTAATTTACCACGTCGAATACGCTAGATGTTCCTTGATCCTATTGTTGTGAACTTTCCCGTTTGCCCCATACAAGTTTCGTCACAGTTATTATACTGAAGATGTTGATCGTGTTTTTGTGAATTTTTGCGACTTATCGACATCATAAATATCCACTCTAGGTGCAATACACCTTCAACGATATAAAAGGCAACACCGATGCGGTGTCCAGCAGAATGACCCTCAGCAACATCTTCATAATAGCCAAGCGCAACGTCGAAGGGCAGGTCATGCTCTATCTGTCGGTGAAGCTGACAAACACCATTTTGGTGCTGCTTGAACATGAATAATCTTCTCCTGAATTTTGAATTCTCGATATTTTTATTTATTTTTTTTATTGATTGACTCGATCTATGTAATTTACCACGTCAAATGCGCTAGATGTTCCTTAAACCAATTGGTGTGAACTTTTTAGTTTGCCCCATATAAGTTTCGTTACAGGTATTCTATTGAGGATGTTGATCGTGTTTTTGTGAATTTTTGCGACTTATCGACATTATTAATATCTCCTCTATCTTCTCCTGAATTTTGAAATCTCAATATTCTTGTATTTTGATTGATTGACTCGATTTATGTAATTTACCACGTCGAATGCACTAGATGTTCCTTGAACCTATTGCTGTGAAATTTCTTGTTTGCCCCATGTAAGTTTCGTCACAGTTATTCTACTGAAGATGTTTATCGTGTTTTTGTGGATATCTGCGGCTTATCGACATTATAAATATTCGCTCTAGGTGCAATACACCGTCAACGATATAAAAGGCAACACCGATGCGGTGTCCAGCAAAATGACCCTCAGCAACATCTTCACCATAGCCAAGCGCAACGTCGAAGGGCAGGACATGCTCTACCAGTCGTTGAAGCTGACCAACAACATTTGGGTGTTGCTGGAGCTGAAGCTGCAGCCGGGCGTGTCTACTGCCACGCTGAGCTTGAAATCTCGGTCGGTGGAGGTGGCTCCCTACGTTTTTCAGGCTTATGATTCGATTTTGAAGAATTAGATGTCGGATTAGGGAGTGGGAAAGTAAGTTGGCCAATGGAAATTTGAAGGTGAAGCTCATGAAGATGATTTGATAGTCATTTGAAATAAACGAAATTTGGTAGAAAATTAATTTCAACATAGCAGTCTGAATCAGCTTTCTCCACACGTTATCTGCTATGAATTCACTTTATTGAGATTATTAGCAGTAAAACTATCAATTTTCAGGGGTAATTAGTTAATCAAATTCATCAACATACAAAACCAAAAATTCAATAATTGTGGGGTTGATTCATTTCCGGCAATTTGTTTCGCAAGTTACCTAATTTTTTCTTGGATGATTTTGGGATACCATTTTATTCCAGTTTCTACTACATTAATTGTATAAGATTCCAAGTTTATAGTACATTAAAATAGTTTTTCGACAAAAAAGTATCATTAACCATTTCCAGTAATCAGCTTCAGATTTCCAGCAGTGCATTTTCCTAATTATTATTAAGTATACTGTTATATTTGTAATTTTAAGTTATATAATATTTTATTTTCCATTCCATCATTATCTGTATATTGTGTAATTGATGTTTCAAGAATATCATTAGCTATAAACTATACAATATAAAATAAAAAATCTGATTTCAACATCATATTTCGTTAATCGTAAATTTGAAAAAAAGCCGATTGTAATATTGAAAAAAATATAACTGATTTATAGAAACAAGAGAAAACTCATTTACTAAAAAATGATTTTTGATTATTTATTTGGCCATATAAGGCCATTTTTCATGTTGAAATCACCCTTCAAGAGTAGTTTTTTTTTCAATCTGAAAATGAATAAATGATGAACAGAAATACTTTAAAATATTTAATATAGATAAATAGTACAATGCAAATTGAAAATCATTTTTCTATGCCTCAGAATAACAATGCACAAAATCTGTAAACTAGTAATTTAATAAATTAATACCATAATAATTTCATGAATAAAAATCATATATAAAAAAAAAGGAAAAATGCAAAACAAATATTTTCAACAAGCCACTGAATGAGCAAAACCTAACTTATCACCTGAAAGATATAAGTTATTGTTTTTAAGAGAAAAATTAAAGATATTGTGAGCAGAGGCAGATTTTTTTTAGATATCATTCAGTGACAGTATTTTGCTAACAAATATGAACAAGGCAAGTTTTAATCAGCAGGTCTTTTTTCACTGTGTTTTTTCGTGTACTCTTCTGCATTCTTTGTGAATTTCTTTTTGTCCTTCAAGTATTCCTCTGCTAAATCCCCTCTCAAGGGGTGTTCTGGCTCTGGTTCATTCACAAGGGCAACAAGAGCTTGAATAACTGAAAAAAAATGGGTAATTATTCAAATGAAATTATCCATTTGTTACAGCTTGGTACTTTTGTAACTCAGAATCTATGTGATTTTGACCCACTTCAAAATGTTAACTTGAACGTTGTTCCATTAACCAGATCAGGATCATCAAGATGAGCATTTTTTTTCTTGAATAAAATGGTGGATGATGTTCCACCTCCAAAAATTCAAAATGATCCTTCACCAAAAATTGAAATGTTCCTTTTTCCATTGAATAACATTTAAATGCTTTTATATCCAGAGATTGACTCACTTCAAAATGTTAACTTAAATGTTGTTCCATAAACCAGATCAGGATCATCAAGATGAGCATTTTTTTTCTTGAATAGAATGGTGGATGATGTTCCACCACCAAAAATACAAAATGATCCTTCACCAAAAATTGAAATGTTCCTTTTTCCATTGAATAACATTTAAATGCTTTTATATCCAGAGATTGACCCACTTCAAAATGTTAACTTGAATGTTGTTCCATAAACCAGATCAGGATCATCAAGATGAGCATTTTTTTTTCTTGAATAGAATGGTGGATGATGTTCCACCACCAAAAATACAAAATGATCCTTCACCAAAAATTGAAATGTTCCTTTTTCCATTGAATAACATTCAAATGCTTTTATATCCAGAGATTGACCCACTTCAAAATGTTAACTTGAATGTTGTTCCATAAACCAGATCAGGATCATTAAAATGAGCATTTTTTTTTCTTGAATAGAATGGTGGATGATGTTCCACCACCAAAAATACAAAATGATCCTTCACCAAAAATTGAAATGTTCCTTTTTCCATTGAATAACATTCAAATGCTTTTATATCCAGAGATTGACCCACTTCAAAATGTTAACTTAAACGTTGTTCCATTAACCAGATCAGGATCATCAAGATGAGCATTTTTTTTTCTTGAATAGAATGGTGGATGATGTTCCACCACCAAAAATACAAAAGGATCCTTCACCAAAAATTGAAATGTTCCTTTTTCCATTGAATTTGAATGCTTTTATATCAAAATGTTAACTTAAATGTTGTTCCATTAACCAGATCAGGATCATCAAATTGAGCATTTTTTTTCTTGAATAGAATGGTGGATGATGTTCCACCACCAATAATACAAAATGATCCTTCACCAAAAATTGAAATGTTCCTTTTTCCATTGAATAACATTGAAATGCTTATATCCAGAGATTGACCCACTTCAAAATGTAAAATTAAATTGAAACTTCCCACACAAAAACAGTCTTTTATAGATGGCCAAACAAAAAAGATGTAGAAATTAGAAAATGAAATAATAAGAGTGTGTTGATGAATACACAAAATAGAAAATGTTAGCTGTAATCAGTATAATATTCTATGTTGTAGTCCTGTATTCATCAACAAACTTTTATTATTTTACTTTCTACTTCTTTTTAGTTAGGCCATATATATTAGCAAGCTTTTGTTCATTTTTTTGAATTACTATTCATTTCTTAGGAAGAACATCAATCTCTATAAAGAAAGAATCATATAATGATGTCTCAGTAGTTAGTCAACAAAATGAATCATTTATCTTTTACCTTGATCAGTTTTAGTAGCTGGTTTCCAATTTTCAGCACTGATAATGGGCAAACAGACTTGGCCTTTCTCATCTATGTTTGGGTGATAGATTTTTGTTTTGAAATTAATCTTTGGAGGCTTGAAGGGATATTCAGCAGGAAAGTTGATTTCTATTTTGAAAGCTCCTTTGTTGTAAGGAGCATTTTCCTAAAAGACAGAAAAAGACATAATGGATTGCTCATGCAGTAGTAATTCAAGGTAGAATTGTTAGGTTTGATCATATGACTTACTGGGACAATGAGACCTTGCCATGTTAGAATATTGGTTTCATCTACTTGAATATCACGGAATGACTTCAGTCCTGAATTCCTAATATCCCCTAATTCCTATGAACAAAAATATAATGGTGATTAATCATGCAAAACACATTATTTCTACTATTGTAGGCATGTTACTGTCAGTAACCTTCAGAAGATTCAAGGTAAAGAAGGTGTGAAAACCATTCTGGGACAAAGATATATCAAAGTAAATGATAAAAACTACTCACTTTTTGCAATCTTCTTGTGGCTGCCATTTTGTTGAATATTTGGCCTCACAATATGAACAATTATATTATTTACAAACGTGTGTACAATTAAATAAATATGAACAATTAAATGCACTTGATTTCAACATAAGAAGTTACTTGAACTCATCTCATATAATCTTGAAATTATATTTTAATTTTCATCACTTTGAGATTTTTGGATATATCAGGATTATCAGGAAAATTGAAATTGACACTACACCGTGTGACGTATGACAGCTGAAAGCTTGAATGACTCAGTCAAAACTCAGAATGGCACCTGGCACAAAAGTATAGAATGAAGCTTGATTCAGATAAAAGTTGTGTTCGATGTGGGCACTTGACCTTTAGTTGCCAACAGCAAGGACAGGCTACGATCTATAAAATATAAAACAGGAAGAAGTGGTTTCTAACCTCGATACAGACAGTTTGAAATTTGAAGATGATTTTCATTTCAAAATGATCAGGAAATTCAATTTTTCTTGCTCTTGGTTTCGTGAATACTTATGAACACTACTTGCATTTAAGGAACTGGTGAAGTATCATTGGCCAACATGACAATTTTAAAATTACTGATTTTCTGTTTAATTTTGCTACCCCCGGAAGGTATCTATAATCTCTATTTTCATGAATTCACAATTGAAATCAATATTTTTCCTAGGATCTGGAGAGAGGGTGAAGAACCTAATGTATGAAAATATCAAGTCAACATCTGGTTGTTACAGACGTCTCAACAGCACACATCAAATCGGGTGTTCTTGTTAGTATCAAATATGTAACAATGAGCTTAAGGAAATGGTACATATGCTGTACCAGCTCCTTTAGCTTATGGCTGATGTAAACACTACAAAAACTCATTTCAGCAAAAAATGGTGGTTCAACAGGAATCATACATGTCTGCAAAACCCACAAGGATCTCACTTTCATTCTTGAAGAAGGAAAAGGTAAAACTTACATCCCCTTATTACCAGCAAAACTATTTAATGTGGACACATTAAATGAAATGATTGAGAGCAAGAGAGTGTCTGGTGTGATGCTGTACATTCACAATGTCACTTTGGAATCCCTTGGCCATTTCACTCATGAAAGACAGTGCCCAAATCCTTACACTAGCTTAAATGGGTCTTGTAAAAATGATTCAGAGTGGAACCCATATGGCACAGGACTGCTTTATGCTGATATTCCTTTTCCAATATTTTATACAGATGATGAACAGGAAATAATCAAAATGACTGCTTGTTTTGAACAGTACAATAATTTCTCTTTTGAGAGACAGGCTGAGAGGTCTTTATGTTCTTTGGAGATGAAATCTTTCATGCCTGCCACTACAAACACAGTCACTTGCCAAAGGTAAGTAATTCATAAAGCTTGATTTTAACTAATATGATAAGCTTTTGTGATATTTTTCAGGCGTTCTCATGTTATCTCAAGCACTGTTACATTTTGTGATCCATTGGGTGATAAAAACTTGTGGGTAAGTCTGTATCCCTTAGTAGATGGCCCAAATAAAAATGAAATGAAACCTGTTGTTGACAACAAGTACATAGTAATAGCAGCTAAGCTAGACACCACTTCTATGTTTGATAAAATGCCTGGGGCTAATAGTCCTGCAACTGGAATTGTCACACTCTTAATGGTTGCTAAATATCTCAAAGATATACTGACAATAAACATGCTGAGAGAGGGTGAGATTCATAAAAAAATTTATAACTTCTTGAAATTTTCAATCCCTATTACCTATTTATAATTTCCAGCTAAAACAAATGTTTTGTTTATTTTGTTCAATGGTGAAAGCTATGATTACATTGGTTCTCAAAGAATTCTCTATGATATGTTGAAAGGTGATTTTCCTATGAAAAATTCAGATGTTCTGCCAAAAATTCATCCAGATAATGTAAGTCTGTTTATAGAGCTCAGTCAATTGGGCAACAGTAAGGAAAATCAACTGTTTGTGCATTATTGGAATGAAAGTAAGGAGGTATGTGTAAATTTATTGTTTCAATTTCATTGTATCCAATTTAGTCTATTCAACTGTTCTTTTTTCAAGAAATAATCTTGATGTATGATTCAAACATGAGTTTTTCTGTTCTTGGGATCCATTAAAAGAAATATATTATTTTTAAGCTCAATTTGAAGTAACAAGTTCTATATACTTAATCCTTTTTTAGATAAGAAGTTTTTATAAAAAACTTGAGAAAAATGGCCAACCACACCTGTATTTCCAAAATGTTTCTGGCACTAATGGCCTTCCACCTGCTTCTTTGCATACTTTCTTGAAAAGTGATCCATCTTTTCCTGGTCTCATAATAGCAGATCATGAATCAAGCTATTCAAACCATTTCTACAATTCCCTATTTGATAATTCTACCAATATAGCATACAGATACTATGACACATTGCTACCTGAATATATTCCAAAGAACAGTTTTCAGCAGTTCATTGCAAATATGTCAGAGGCTATAGGGAAAAGTGTTTTTGAAGAGATCACTAAAAAGAAGTACACTGGGAATGCATCAAGTGATGTAGTATTGGTTAGTGAGATTGATTTAATAATACTTATATATTTTTTAACTTTTGAGGATTATTTTTTAGGCTGATGAGTTATTATACTGTTATCTAGAGAATCCAAATTGTAGAGTGCTCACGGCCACTCAACAAGATGTGGTGAGTTTTGATTTGTAATAAGTCACTCTAGTCTTCCCCATCTTTCCTACAGTGACTGCATTTCAGTGTCCCAACGTAAAATATTGGAAATTTTTTGTTGGTAACATTGGATATGGGAAAAATAGAGAAGAAGGTTATATTAACCTCAATATAAAAAAGGTTAAAATCGACTTCTTCTCCATTTCTTCTCATCTCCAGTGTTGCCAACATAAAATGTTAATTACTTCATCTTGGAACAATAATGGAAACTTATTTCCATTAGGGTCCCTTGATGTAAATTGTACGGACAGATCCTCGTCTCCTCTCACTCTAGAGTGTTCCTGATACAGTTATATAGTTCCATCTTTATTCATTTCTGGGGATAAAAACTAGATTTCTGACATTTGTTGTTTTTTAGGTTATATTGAGGACATTGGCGTATCATATGTAATTTCCACATGTAATTTCTCATTTAACTCTACATACTATATCCAAATGATGATAATTTTCGAGTTTTTGATTTTTCAACTCCAGCATAATCTTTGTGAGGCAATGAGCAAATTTTTCTGAAAGTTTTTAATACTTATTACCAAATGGAACTGTCCTCAGGCAGTACCTATCAATGAATGAATATTGATTTAAGACTAAGCCTTACGTTGAGAAATGGTGAAAAATTTTATGTAGGTATGTGCAAATCGGGAAATATTTTTTTTATCTACTCACTGAATCGAAAGTCGGCCAATGCTCCCTCATTCAAGGAAACAAAGTTGTCAATTTACTCCCACGCGAGAAGAAAAAGATTAGAACTATCGTGGGAAGTAATATTAATTGGCTTCAGCTTGCATCCTTTGGCGTCGATATACCTATAAACTTATGATTGTGATTGAACATGTGTTCAGCTACACACGATTTATCGAACCTACCATATTTCAAATGTGCTAAGTGTTCTTTGAAACTTGTTCTAATAGGACGCCTGGTTTGGCCTATATATGTTTTATCACAATCATTACAACTAATTTTATATGTTCCTGACTTTTCAAGTGTGTCCACCGCCTTATCTTTTGGATTACCTAATAAATTGCCAAACTTTGACCCAGTCTGATGAACGCTTTCAAAACCTGAGTCTCTGAAACCCTTATCCAAGTCCTCTTGTGTACTTGGGATTGAAAGGGATTGTGATTTTTCTCTGATTGTTTTTATCCGCCTGAAAAGTCGTAGAATTCCTGAGCGATAACTTAAATTTATGTTTATGTATTAATTTATCTACTATTTTGATATCATAACCATTGACGCCGGCCACTTTATAAACAACACTGTTTTCAACATCGAATCTTTGTTTGCCCAGAGGAAATGAAACTAGTCTATGTACTAGGAAATTTAAACTTGCCATTTTGTGTTGAAAACTGTGATCACTATTCACGGTTGAGTGGACATAGTCTTAGTATATAAGTAGCCCACTAGGATAGAGCATTCAGTTTTAATCTTCTCCTGAAGATGCTAACATAGTTAGCGAAACACGTCTTGAGGTGTAAAAAATCGGTTTGGTTAGTGATAAAACAGTGTGTAGTGTATTCATTAATATTTTTCGAAAATAATAGATAATATGAAACGCTTCATATTCACTGGAAACGTGAAAGAATAATATCTGAAATAGGGATTTAATTTTTGTATACAAGTCCCAATATCTTGAAAAAATCTTGTATTTGGCAACTAATTCCTGAATGATGACATCATTTTTGTTTTTCCTTAGATATTGGATGATAGACCCTTGAATTTTTATATTGGAATCAATGGTGTATCAAATTTTGCAAGAACTGTAACTACGCTAGCTCTAGGCTGGTTAACTGGAGATGTAATCGGCAAGAGCAATGGGAATTGTACTAATATACCAAAAAATCATGTAAGAGCTTCCTTTTATGATTTAATATAAGAACATATAGTTGAAAATGAATCCCCTGTTATATTCTATATATATCGTGGAACAATTTCAATGTTGACAAATTTATTGAATGGACTGTCAGCTGATGCAAGAGATACTGTTTCGGCTTGCTAAGACTCATCAGTTGTACTAGGCCAGCTGACAATCTATTTACGAAGGGATAGAAAGATAACTGATTATCTGTACGATAATTGAACGATTATACTTGAAAAATTCTGTATTTTCGATGAAATGATTTTATTTACAAAATCCAGGTTGAAAAACGGCCCAAGCCATGAGGCGAGGCACTGATTTGAATTGATCAAACTTCATATTCATCGTCAGCGACTATTGACAATTTTGTTTGCAAAATTATGAAGAAAAATAATTAATTCACTGAATTATAATTTGAATTATTTTGCAAGAAGGATCAAATTTAAGAGATGGTTTTATTTGCAATATTGTTCAGTTTTGATGGTCTGTTAATACCGGATTAGAAAATACAGGGTGTTCCATTTGAATTTAGATAATGGATGTTATTTCGGTGAGACCAGAAATTTCGGAAAATATTTTTTGTTTTTTCAATATTAACCAAAATAAGGAGTAGTTCCTATATTAAAAAAATTACTTGGGCAATGAAGATTCAGTGTGTCATTTTTTGTCGCATTTTTTTACACAGTTTATTGTTTTAATTGATAACTTTTTCGTAAAAATAACTTGTCAAAGCTTGATTTCTGAAAAATAATAACATCACCAGAAACAGTTGAGAAAAATGTATAGTCGCTGACGTTGAAATTGACATTTTCAGGTCTTCCAGTATTATAACATGTCCAGTAGCATATATGAGCTTGATTCTACAGTATGCTACAGATTATCCATACATACAACAGATGCTGTTAGTCCTGCTTTTATCATACCAGGTAATGAAAACAACAACATCAATGCACAATTCTCATTAAAAAACCCAAATAAATACAAATTTCTGAGAACTGAAGCTATCCATATTTGTATGAAGGTTCCTCAAATTAATCGGGGATTTCGGGATTCACTCGAGCGCAGCAGATTAACCCATTAGCGCCGTGCGTTGCCATATGGCAACGCTAGACTGATGAAGATTCAAATAATTCCCTGAAAGTCAAATTTTTAGCTATTAGGGTGAGAGACAGCCCACATGATTCGCAAAAGAACCGGTTAAGCACATGCCGCCATTTCTTTGTTGTGAGTAAGCTGTTTCGGCCACGTGAATTTGTGAAACTTTGAGCTTATTTGAACTGACGTAAAACATGGACGTCACGTTCGTGTACGTATCATCCTGTTTTCACGCATTTGATTTTGCGAGTTTTTTTTTCATGATTATGTTGCACATGCTTCAAGTTATACAGGGTTATGATAAAGTAATGCACAAAATTCAAAAAACGTACAGCGATCACTTTTGAAAAAAATGCAAAAACACGTCAAACTGTTTTTTTCGTTCCGCATCTTTTGACATAAGTTACAAAAATAACACGTCAAAGTTGTCAAAGTTATGACGTCATCAATAATTTTTTTTAATGGGAAGCTAAGATTTTTATTACATTATGTGATAGAGCTTGTGTTTTTACACAAGGGAAAAATAGTTGCAGTAGGGCTTGGATCTGTCATCTTGAATTTCCAAATTTTGACGAAATAATCATAATGTCCGACTCCAAAAACCCTCAGATCCGCCATTATGGATTTCCTATTTTTGACGGATAAATCATAATCTTCGACCCCAAAAATCCCCAGATACCAATTTTGAATATAATAGGACCATAAATATAAAAACTCGTCCGCCATATTGGATCCGCCATTTTGAATTTCCTAATTTTGATGAAGAAATCATAATATCCGACCTCGGAAACCCCTAGATACCAATTTTGAATGGAATCTGACCATAATTACAAAACTCGTCCTCCATATTGGATCCGCCATCTTGAATTTCTAAAATTTGTTGAAAGAATCATAATCTCTGACCCCGAAAACCCCCTAATTCCAATTTTATATGAAATCAGATAACTCTTCAGGAAGAATCTAAAAATGCAATAAAATACAGGGTGTTTCGTTTGAAATAACAAAGTTGCTAGTTGTTTCCGATAGAAGTGGCAACACTGTATCGATGAAAATATTTCAGACCGATAGAGAATGTTCAATTATCAATGCATCTCAATTTTGAGAATGTTCATTCTTTTCGTTCTCCAAATACTTCTAATAGGCCATCGACCGTGGATCACCCTGTATATTAGATAAACTTTTTTTCATTTTCGGATCTAATCTTCACAATCTGAAAAGTCCCCACGACGCTCGAGTAAATCCCTATTTAGCCTCTTAGCATCCTCGCCATCCTCTACTATAAAAACCTTGTGCCTAACGAATATTTCAATAGTTTCTTAGAACCATTTTGGGCCAATATTTTAATGAGCATATTTTCCATTGAATGAACATTTCTTAGAATATGAACGATTTTGTTTCAGATTATGATTGGGCCTCAGGTGAATTCAGTTCATGGACTGAATCAAGGTGGTATGAGATGAGTGCAAGGTTGTTTTTGAAACCGTCCGCTGCTCACGAACAAATTACCATAGTTTTGGGCCTCCTTTCTCTGGTATTTTCGTCCAGCGTTGTATATTTCGTAAAATCCAAATCCCACCTACTGTTTACCCCAATTGCATCTGCTGAGGGTTTACCAAATTGTTAAGATTTTTACGTGTTAAGTTTCAATGATTGACTTTTTTGGGAACGTCTCGTTTGACCCAATTTTCGATTCGCCCAATATCCTATTAGCCCAATATTCGATTCACCAAATTGGACCCCGCACGAAAGCACGGTAAATTGGCTCTCGGTCGAATTGGCTGAAATTTAACTATGTTATTGTGGGATGGCTCATTAGAAAAATATGTGAGTTTGAAAAGTTTTGTATGTTTAGTTTCTGAGATATAAGCCTACAAAGTTCGTAAAAACGTCGTATCGGGGTAGGATTGACGAAGAAAAAAACTGTTTTTTTTAGTATAAATAAGACAAAATAAGCTAGGAAATGTATTGATCCGAACTCAAATACATGTCTAGTTATGATCACATAATTTCTAATGAATCAGGGTGTATACGAGGCACGGTCAAAAAATTCATTTTTCGGAAAAAAAATTCGAGCACTATTCCAAAACCAACAAGTTATATTTTGGTGGGATATTATAGTTTCAGTCTATTGTAGGCTTCGAAAACGTATTTTGATTCTTGATAACTGTCTCTGTTCGAAATATGAATTTTTAGAATTCTGTGTTACACCCCTTTTTGAAAACAATTGACAGCTTGTTTTTGATCACAAAGAAAGGAATTGATTGATACTGTTGATTGAATGAAAGCTGAGGAAACTTACTACCGAATTCAGTTGTTCAATATTGCCTTTTATCTGGATACAGGGTGTGTTAGATTTTGTTGAAGATTATTTTACATGTTTCAATTCAATATATCTCGAAAAGAGTTCCGTTAATTTGGATCTCATTTTACACACACTGTTTTGAATATGTTGACTATCATATGCAAAAAGTTTTTAAATTTTTTATGTTTTGTTTCTGAGATATGCATTTTTGAGTTTACAGTATTCCAAGTATTATAGGGTTATTACCTCGGATATTAATGATAAGCCCAGAATGATTCTTCATTCAGATTTGGCAACAACGCATCGTTCGGGTATATACGGAGATGGTGGTGAATCAAAAATTGGGCCATTCGAAAATTGGGCCAAACGCAACCTACCCACTTTTTTATACATTTTTAATATATTTATTCAATGCTTTGGAAACAAACTAGTCAAAGGTTTGAGTTTCTTCGACAACCATAGGTTTTTTTCGGTCTAGGCAAATAATATTCACTGAATATTTGAATTGAATTGAAAATTTACATTTCACTTATCAGTTAGCGAAATTCTAGGATTATGTCTAGTTATTCAACACTGTAATTTTAATCGTTTGTATTATTTTTGCCTACTTCCGTTGTTATATGATAACCATTATTGTTTTAGTTACAAACTTTGATAAACAATGAGCCTGATTTTTATATCTCTCAAATTACCTTGATTTTTTTATTGCTATCTGAAGGTGTGTGGTAATCAATTTGCGAAATTTTTATTTACTGATATTCGTGGAGCCAGTAATTTGTCTGTCAAGATCAAACTGTATACATATTCATTGGATATGATGAATACAAATCAATAATACTTTCACTATTCCAGATTTTTGGTGTTTTCTCCCCTCGTCTCTATAGAATAAAAATATGAATATTATTTCAATATACGTGTAGTAAGGAGAAATCAGATGATTTGCCCCAAAATGTCACTGCGTTTAAAGAATTTTCCTATCAGAGAGCCTGAAAGAAAAATTCACTAGCTTGTCAGTGACAATTTGTATTGAAAAAGTTTGGAGAAGAGAAATAAAGGTATATCAAATCTTCACTTACCTATCTTTTGACGTTTCGGAAACGAATCTGCTCCCTTTTTCATCAAAAAATACTACTAACTACTATACTAAAATCCAGTATGCTAAATTCGTATTTGTCTTGACACTACTCTGTTACAATTGGTGACGTTGGCAATCAAATATCTTCCTACTGCTTGAAAGTTTTGCTAAACGTCACTCGCAAAATTATTAGCCATCAAGCTGTTGTACACAATCACCGAATATTTCCAGCAAAATAGTATCACTTGTGATCTATTACATATGAAAACAATACAAGAGAACAACGTATTTTTATTCATTTTTCGTTATTATCGCGAATCTCAATTTTTTTCTTTGAACTATTATCTCAACGATGAATAATGTCATTCAACAAAGCAATAAATTTAAAACGGAATTGAACAAATCAGCTAGCATTACTTATTCAAAGGTCTAGCTTGTTTGAAGATAATAAAATTGGCACTATCACCAAATTTACTCTACATACAAAATTAAATGCCATCCAAGATAACCAAAACCGCGTTTAGAATCGCAATAATTTATGTGGATCCTGCCCTGAATACATAAAACGAGTATTTAAACCCTTGCCGAAACCGCAGTCAAATCAGTGCAACATTGTTGACTACCTCCAAAATGCTATACAGCGCGTTACTCTGTCCCTTGTCAATTCTCCCTATCCTGTCGCTGAGTTTCCCGCTGGAAGAAAATGGTGTTGACGGAGGCCCAATCGCCATTCCCATCTTTGGTATGAGCGAACGTGCGTTCAAAGAACCCGATCCAGAAGTGGGGAAACGTCTGGAGAAGTGGACCGAGACCAGCGATGTGAATCCAGAGGAGTACGGGGAATATTTGGAAGGGGATATTCTGATGCCATCGGTGTCGAGAAATGGTTTGGTGGCTGAGACGTATCGGTGGAAGAACGGGGAGATTCCCTATGAAATAGCCGGGGCTTTTCCTCCAGACAGTCTCAGTATGATTCACAGAGCCATGGATTTATATAAGAAGTACACTTGTGTTAGGTAACTATCCTTATTTGTAGCTCTTTTAGTAGTTTTGTCTTCTTTCGAATGAGGTAGATGTTCCTTGAACCTAGTTTGAACAATTCTTCTAGTTTGTCCTACCTATTTTTCGTCATAATCTTCCCTAAACGTTCTACTCAAGATTCAGCATAACAAACACGTAACAAAGTGGCATTTTCTGGTTCTTATATGCTCCTCACCTTCTAAAGTCAACTTGTTCGATTAATTTTAAATTTTCAACAGTTGATTGTGGTTGAAAAAATATTCTGCTGCATCAAACTGATTTATTGTTATCCAAATGTGCTCTATGTTCTTCCAGTTTCATTTTGATTGGCACCCTACTTGTTTTGTATTTGTTTTGCCACAATAATTGAAACTGATTCGAATCAAAACAAAAAAAACACAATTATATCACTAGGTTTTTTTTTCTCGATTGTTTTGATTTGCTCGCTGAGACTTATTGGTGGAAGAACTGGGAGATACCCGATAAAATAGCTGGAGCTTACCCTTCAGCCATGGCTCTGTATAAGAAGTACACTCTTATTAGTTAACTATTCTTATTTGTAGCTCTTTTACTATTTTTGTATCCTTTCCAATGAGCTAGATGTTCCTTGAACCTAGTTTGTATAATTCTTCTAGTTTGTCCTACCTATTTTGCGTCATAATCTTCCCTAAACGTTCTTCTGAAGATTCAGCATAATGAACATGTAACGAGGTGGAATTTTCTGGCTCTTATATCGTCCGAACCTTCCAGAGTCAATTTGTTCGATCAATTTCAAATTTTCAACACTTGGTTGTGATTGAAAAAGTATTCTGCTACATTAAACTGATTTATTGTAATCCAAATGTGCTCAAATAGCCGGGACATTTCCTTCAGACAACCTCAGTATAATTCACAGAGCCATTGATTTGTATAATAACTACACTCGTGTCAGCTGATTATCCTTATTTGTAGCTCTTTTTTTCCAATGTGATATATGTTCCTTGAACCCAGTGTGAACAATTCTTCTAGTTTGTCCTACAAGCATGTGAGGTGGAATTTTAATGCTCTCATATATGCTCCTGAACTTCCAAATTCCGCTACATTAAACTAATCTATCGTAACCCAAAGTGGTGAATATACTTCGACCTAAAAGATTTATTGTGTTCTCTTCTTTTGCTGTACCCGAATTTCTCCAGTCCTATATCCATCAGAAATTTTCTATGAGTTGGTTCTAGGTAGGGTAGCTCCTTCCCCTATTTTATGTGTGCTCCTAGGTTTATTGTCCTTGGCTTCTGTTAGATGTTTCCTACTCTTCCTCGCAGTTTCTGCATTCGTCTTCTGCTAAGCCAAGCTTCCTAAGATGTCCTTTCAAGCGACAGTGGCCTGTTTGGACTTCCGTCTGTATACAAAGTCTATTTTTGCATAACATTTCTAATCTCTGTTTAGCTTCTTCTTTTTAAATCTCTTCTGATACAGTACCCACGAAAGGTGATTGAGCTCATTTTCTAGTGATTTTCTCCGCTACTTCATTTCCTTCTACTTCGGAATGACCCTTGGCTAGCTCTTTAAGTTTTTCTCGAAATTCTCAAACCATTTTTGATCTGATAACCATGCTAAGCGCTTCAATGGTTGCTGATGTAACGGGTCTTCAATAATGATTGAAAACCACATGACTGATTACTATGCAACCAAGAATACATTCGTATCTCTTCAACGTGAGTGGAAATGAGATGCCGCATCAAAAATGGTCATGTGGCATTCAACCATTGTTGAAGACCCGGTACATAGTAATAATATCGTCTTTCATAGCTTTTTTTCTAGCTTGAACTTTTCACATTTCCCTAAAACGTGAACTTGATACGCGGCCTGTATACTCCAATTCCAGTTTCATATTGGGTTCTGGAGGCATCTATTTACCACTTCATGGCTCCTTAATTATTTTTCTACGAGCTTTATTTCCTGTCCTATATTCATTTTGCCACAATAGTGCAACTGATTTAAATTAAAACAAGAAACAAGTTTTTTCCTCGCGTTTGTTTCTACATTCTTGACGTGTTCCATGGACGTTAGTGGTTGATCACGTGGTTCAATTGACCTTGAGATATCTTCATGCAAATTTCAACCTCAAGTCATGTAGATTTACACGTTAAACTAGTGAAATTCCTTTGAATTTCTCGTAATATGGATTCAAAAAAGCTGGGAATGTGGATTCCCTCTATCTAACTGATGAGATTCTTCACAGATGATAATTTTTCAACCAATGGGGAAGTTTCCTATATCGAGGTTTTTATCTTACTGTGAAGTTTGTAAAAAATTATTATATACTTTTCTTTTATTCGTAAGATCAAATTTCACTTCAGAAAAAAATAAATAAAAGAGAAACATGGCGCCTCCACCATTCCTATGACTTACTTTCTGAAAATCCACATTCACACAGAGTTAAAATACGATTCCCTGTTCCAGTACGACGTTGCCGACATCATCAATATGTCTAGATTTCCGGAAATTGTTCTTCGAATGCATAATGACTATATCATAACAGCAATAACTAGGTTCTTCAATCCTACTTTGTCAAGTATGAATAATTCCCATAAATCTCTCATTGGCTGAATGAAGTTGATTACTAATAAAGATAAATCATTTTTGCGATAGTATCTAACTTTTCACTATCATTATATTACAATATGTTATACATAACTTGTCAGTAATTTTTTTGCAAGTGAATTCGTTTCTTTAAAAAACGGATCTATTTCCTACCTGAAAGTTGCAGATTATATCTTGGAACAGCGCCTAATACTTCTAGTCCGTCCACACCACTCAAAATACTGACAGGCACAACACAAGGAAGGAGTCATGGGTGTCGGCTTCATTCTGTTCTGGCCGATGGCAGTAAATTAGGAAGGATGGTGTCATTGGATGTAGCCGATAGTGATTCATTGATTCAATGATATTTTCGTTCAGGATCGAACTCTATTCGAGATATTTCAATGCATAAATAATAAAACCATAACCTGTCAGAATGCATTTGTGGTTATGTTCGTAAGCTATTCGTTAGCAATTCGCTAGCTATATTCTTCACCTTCAGCTATCTTCAGACTTCACAGTTGGCCGGCTCGAAAATTAGACATTGCTTTAATTCGAAATTGAAAACGACTTGGACTTTATCGGTCGCCATTCTGTACAGCGTGGACATAAAACCGGAGAGTTCCGAACTTATTTTATGAAAATTCATCTGAAAGGAACTTCCCCATTGTTCACTTATCGTTTTTCGCAGTTTCCGGAAGAGGCTTCCCACAGACGAAAGCTACATTTCGATCACCAACACGAAGACAGGGTGTTGGTCGAGCGTGGGCCGCGTCGGGGGCAAACAGGAGCTGAATTTGCAGAGTCCCTCGTGCACGACCAAGTTGGGCACCCCTGTGCACGAGCTGATGCACGCCGCTGGATTCCTGCACGAGCAGAACCGGAATGAGAGGGACGATTTCGTGTCGATCATATGGGGGAACATACAGAGTGGTGAGGTTTTTTTTCTAGAATTTTTGTGATGGATTTTGCTCTAGGACTATGGTGATTTATTCGTGACTCAATCGAAAAGTGTACGTCAACAATAGAACACAAATGTTGGAGATAGTTCGATGGAATCATGGGCATATAGTCTGGCTCCTAAAGGATGACCGGTGGAAGGCATGTGAGCCCAGACCACAATACAGGGTTCTTCCGTTACCACCGATAAAACAAGGCCAGCAGACTCGACGTAAACAGCTCGTAACGTCGCATACTCAGGCCATCTTCCAAGGCATTGCGTCGATCGATCGTCAGTTTGTTTTTGTTTAAGAACGGTGGCGTAGGTAAATCGCGTGCTCGAATTCTCTTGTTGTTTATTCATCAAAATAATTGGCGGAGAAATTACTGTTTTGTGAAATATTTCGTGTTGTGATAGGCGAAATAACAATGCCTTACAAGTGTTGTGTTCCCTTTTGTCGGGGGAATTATGTGGGTGGTCCAAAAGTTCATGCTTTTAGTTTCCCGTTGGACAAGGAACTATCGAAAAAGTGGGTACATGCAATTCACCGCAAGGATTTTACGACTCCATCTAAGTACAGTAAAGTATGTGAATTACATTTTACTAAAGATGATATTATTACTTCATCTACTGCAACCGATTCAAAAGTGGCAAAACTGTAACAATAGATTTGAAAATTCCTAGGCTCAAACGAGATGTTATTCCCACTCAATTTCCCAACTGTCCATCTTATTTATCGAAAGATGTAAAATTACGCACAAGTCGTGATGAAAAACTTGAGATACTAGAGACTAAAAATTTGGCACAAGCACTTACCAAAAGTAAAACTGAATTCGAAAATTACCAGAAATCATTTTGCTACACAGAATTTCAAGAATTTCTAGTTGTATTAGAGTCTTTTCAGTTGCCCGAAAAGTGGTTCAAAATTATCGATTTGCAAAAAGTCACATTATTCAAATTGTCTTATTCTCCAGGGCCCGTAATTACATATTCGGTTGTGATTGATTTTGTTTTGAATGTGGAATCATTTTTGTATGCTAGCGATACAAACATCTCTAAAAGCCAATCTGAAAACCCCTTTTATCTCTAATAATATCAATCAAATCAAGGAATTACTAATTGAAATAGATAAAAACGAGATACATAATTCGGGAAAATGTCTTGATAATCAGAAAAAGAGGGTTTTGAAACATATTTCGAATGCATTGGACTCTTTGGTTTCTGACTCAATACATTCTCAAATTTCTTTCTGAAAACGGTCATTTGCCTCGTGGCAATGAATGTAGAATTCATTCCAATGATCAAATTGCAACTACTATATTAACATGTACTACAAACACTCTACTTGAAAATTACTATTTAAAGTCTAACGACCAATTGGGTAAAAAATCCAACAACAGGAAATTGAAAACACTCACTGGCTAATTTTTTAGGTAATAGGAATTCTCCAAGATAAATATAGGTTGAAAAGGAATATTCTCAGATAAATTATGAACATACAAAAATGGATATATATTAATATTATAAAGCAATACATTGAGAATTCGCATTCTCTATGTGATGAGAATATTTACTCTTTTTCAGTTAATTCAATAGAAAACAACTACTTTCCTGGCTATATGCCACGACGAACATTGAATTATATCTATTGAACACACACGATAAGAGTTTTTAAAATAAAATATAAAAATTTCTGAAATTGAGAATTTGCATTCTCCTTCAGACAAAAATATGTATATACACACATCATTCTGAATATTCAACAGAAAACAACTACTTTCCTGGCTATTTGCCACGTCGAACATTGAATTATATCTGATGAACATTCAAAAGGGGAACATGAAAAATAAAGAATAAAATCCTCCGAAATTGAGAATTGACATTCTTCATTAAATGGGATGAATAATATGATGAATAATGATCTAGAAATATGACTTACCAATATATTCAGCATTGAAATGAAAATTGGAATGTATAGGAGAAGTATACTGGCATGAACTCTGATCTTGATGAGCTTGAAAACGTCCAAAAATAATCATTCATATCAGTGATATGGGAAATATTATCTCTCACACACAGGTTATATGACTTTATTGCAATGAACCCATTTCGGATCTCTGAATCCTCATCAGTAACCATGATGTCCACTTATTCTTACAGCCATTCTTCATGATATACACAATTTTCATCTCTATATAATATAATATAGGTAATTAGGTATAACAAACGGCATGTCTATCAAACTAAAATACATTTTCCCCAATTTTCTTTCGATCAATCTCATGATAAGTTTATGTTCTGCGGGCACTGTATAAGTAGGTGTGAAGTTTACCTCTAATGAGATTGAATCACTACAATTTTTGCCAATATATTTAATTCGAATGGGTTGCTGTAGGTGGGTATTTGTGTTTTATTCTGGTTTTTGCTTTGAAACATCGTTTTTCCATAATAAAATCGAATGGGATGCGAAGAAGGGCTCAGTTGACGGCTGGCATCCTTTTTCAACCGGAAGCCCTTCAAAAAAAAAGCAAAATCGGCTCAATAATGATCTAAAACTAAAATCGAAATACGCGGTCGCCTTATAGCGCTATAAGCGCTTGTCGTTGGTTAGGCCGCTGGTTAGGCCTGACTAAGTGACGTCACCCACGGAGCATGCAGGCCTTGTTTAATCGGTGGTAACGGTTCTTCACAATGAGCATTAATGGGCCAGTGGACTGATAATGAAATATTGGCATTCAATTACTCCACTGTGTCGTTAGGGACCTAAATTATTTTTTGCAACACTTCTCACTTCTCTTTTTTTTAATGTAAATAATGAGTGTATGCGTTGTTCGAAATATTTGAATTTTGGAGCTCATTTCAAACGTCATGGACACGTCAAATAAATGTGACGTCAGCAACAGGAATTGGCAACACAATGGAACGTATACATTTACATGATCTACATGTCTAACATATTTTAAACGATGCGGCATCCCGCTTCTACTAGAAAGTAGCAGCAACTATGATTTTTCATCAATACATCACACTTGGGATCTTGAATACCCTATATCTCACAGAGATATAGGGTATTCAAAATCGATAATTTTCAACTTAAGGATTTTTTTTGTGCTAAAACTATTCATTATCGGTCAAAGCGGCTTCCATGTACCTATCTTAACTTTTGATTTACTATACTGACATTTAATTGAAACAAATTCAGGGTGGTTCAAGATTCAGAATTCTGATCACCCTCTATCTGTTCCAATTGAATGTCAGTAAATAGTAAAACGTTATGATAGGGACAGCCGTTTTTACCAATAAGGAATAGTTTTGACACAAAAAATCCTAAAGTTGAAAGATCCCGATTTTGAACACCCTTTATCTCTGTTGTGCTGAAACCTTTCATCACCAATCAATTCTACTATAATTGGTTTTGTTGTTTCTAAAGGTCATTTAACAAACAAAGTATTTTGTTGCTTACTGTTTTCATTTTTGAGGACACCCTGTATGTTGGACCGCAATCATCACGAATTATTCAATATATTCCATATTTTTCAAGTGTTTGCTTTGTCTTTTTGATTGTCTATGAAACGAAGTTATGATGCTCAAAATGAAGAAGATTCACTTTAAAATGTGAAGTTGCAACAAAAGAAAATGTGATATAGGTACAGGGATTTCCATCTTGAAAGATATCATTTCACTTGATAACTCGAATTGTTTAGGTATTTCTGATTGACACTGGGTATTTTCAAGGTCACGAACGCAATTTTGACAAGGCAGAAAAGGGCACCGCACAAGGATATGGAGTGAACTACGACTTCAAATCGGTGATGCATTATTCTAGCACTGCGTTTTCTACAAATGGTCAGCCAACAATTGTCTCAAAGGTAATAATTTTGGTGAATTTAATGATAGCGTTTTCCCCTCGCCGATTTACAGAGCGCACTAGCACAGAGCAAGTACAAGTGGCACTGGCTCGGTTCTTCCATAAAGTGCAGTTTCAGCACAGAGCAGTGTAATTCGCGAGATTCACGAAGTGGGCGACATCTAGGTTACATAATACGAACTCCAAACTGGGGGAAAACAAACTTTTGTCTATGGATAAAGTGAATAGACCACATTGCATACATCTTGCTGTAACTGTCAAACTTGTCAATGACATAAAGTGTTATCACTCTTATCAGTACACAGTACACAAGCTAATGGGACTAATAGGATTGAGTGAGGATTGAGTTTGTTTTCCCCCAGTTTTGACGTGGCTTCGACATGGAACGATGAAAACCGAGCGCCACCTGGTAACATTGATTCCCGCGAATAGAAATAGAGATTTAATGCGACCTTCTTGTCATCAGAAATGTTAGAATAATTGTTTTGTCAATCAAAAAGTTGAATTATTGAAAGTACATTTGGTTCCGTTGATCTACATGAAATGGATTCATCTACCTCTTATTGTGGTTTCCCTTTGAAAACTGCCAGAAACCAGCCAGAAACAGTCTTATATATGAATGTTCATTGTCAATGATGTTCAACGAAGTTAGTATTTTTCATCATTACTGAACCAATAATCGAATATGTTTAATACCTGCACATCTGAATAGCTTTCTTCAACTTTTAGGTAATTTTGAATCTTCCATAAAAGCTCTTTCGTAACGAAGTACTACTGTACCTCAATATTAATTTCTTCATCATCGCTTGTATCCGAAGTATCTATGATTTCCGAAATTATTTTAATAATAGTAATAAACTTCAATGAGACATCAATTCAAAACATTTTTCCACTCGTGACTCGAATATTTGAGGTTATGTGTATCGCACCGTCGTACAAGCACAGTTCTGAAAACTCGAACTCTGAGCGGGCATCGAGCAAGTTTGAAAGCCAGTGGAAATCATTTCTCGACAAAAAGTTCACTCTTGAAATTCTCAGTGGTCCACGCAAAAAAACACTCCAGTTCCAGCTAGTGCGACGAGTGGAAAACAATCTCGAGCTAAAATCTGATACTTTTTTTCCCTTGTATAATAAATAACTATTTTTCAATAGTATTAAACATTCAATGATTCACTGAATTCAACTCCTGAGAAAATTGTTTAATATTTTTTTTATTCTTTCTGCAATTACTTGTAATTTTTATAGACGGAGTGATTACAGGATATCCCCATCATTGGGGCATTGGTGGTTTATTCTTTAGTGCTAAAAATTATCAAGATTCAAGTTTCTCGTCTTGTTCTTGTTGTCAAGATTATTTCAACTAGGGTCCCTTGATGCAAATTGACGTATTTGTCATCTAATAGGGTACGGACAGATCATTGCTCCTTTCTCTTTTAATCATCTAATGACTTTGGTTTCGTGTATTGGCGTCCCTGACATGACATTGCTGTCACGTCACATTCATAGGCGTTAAAAGAGATCATACAAAGTTTTAATTCCATACTTTTGATCTTAATACGACATTTTTCAATTCTGTTTTGGAAGTATGGTAAAATGTGCTGCGTTAGGCTGTATCAATCAGTTGGATGGCAAATTTGAATTTGTCAGCTTTCCATCAAATGCAAATGAACTTAGGTAAAACTAATATGAAATCACATATTATACTTTCTCATTGTGCCTATAATAATTATCCACTCCACAAGTTTTCGGATGCATTTCAGTAGAAACAGTTTTGATTAAAACGGAGGATTAGAAGAAGAGGCATATGCCCTACCATTTGAAAAAGTATACCTACATTCAGAAAATATTAAGTGTTCGTGAAAAACTGCAGAAATGATTCCCAACATGAATGTATACAGCACACATGACATATGAGCTCATTAGTTTGAATACCTACATAAAATTGTTCACCATTTCTCAACCATAAGGCTTAGTCTGAAATCAAAATTAGTTTATTGATAGGTACTGCCTAAGAACAGTCCCATTTGGCAGAGATTATACACTCAACTTTCAGAAAAATTTGCTCACTGCCTCACAAAGATTATGCAGGAGTTGAAAAATCAAAAACTCTAAATTTCATCATTCATCATTTCTATATAATATATAGAGTTGATTGAGAAATTACATGTGGAAATTACGCATGATACACCAATGTCCTCGATATAACCTAAAAAACAAAAAATGTCAGAATCCAGTGTTTATCCCCAGAAATGAATAAAGTAGGAACTATATAACTGTTTCACAAACACTTTAGAGTGAGAGGAGACGAGGATCTGTCCGAACTAAGATGACAAATACGTCAATTTACGTCAAGGAACCCTTATTCCAACATCTTCCGAATTTTTTCAAACATTTTTCAGGATCCCAAATATTCGGAGAAGATGGGCCAGAGGGATGGCTTCAGTAAGGGTGACATCACCAAGATAAACGCCATGTATAACTGTCCTGAGAAGACTGCGGCTGTTACTAACGGTGGTGCAACAGGTACGGGAGGAGAGGGGGGGAAACCTAGTGGGGAGAAGGATGGATCGAGCAACCCCTTCATGCAGGCAGCTAGTCATTTGTTATCACTATTCATAAACAAAAAGAAATGAGGATAATGATGAAAATGAATAATTGGTAATGATGTGTTTGTGTCTGCTTATTTATTTTTAATTTATTTGTATTGTGTACCTGCTTTTTGAATAAATAAACTGAGAATGAACTGTTTCGAAATATTGGAAAATATTGAAACACTTTTAGAAATTGAGTGGGCGCAATATTTTTTTTTTTTTTGAAAAAAGATTTATTCAATGTATTTCTTTATACAGGTATGTCACGACCATATTTATATCGAGAAACAGTCGGAAGAAATCCATGAAAATGTGCATGCCTATATTTTAGAATACGCTCTCTTCATTTAAAATATCTTCGACAATGCAGTGTTGCCGCTTCTACTAGAAAGTAGTGACAACATTGATGTTTCAAGTGGAACACTCTGTATTCTATCGCATCTTTAGATTCTCCCTGAAGAGCTGATTTCATCGATATATCGCACTTGGGGGTCTATCCAAAAAGATTTCAGAGATATAGGGTGTTCAAAATCGAGATTTTTCAGCTTGAGGATTTTTCTGTGTCAAAACTATTCATTATCGGTCAGAAAGGCTCGCATGTTCCTATCTCAACTTTTGATTCACTATTTACAGATAATTAATCGGAACAGATACAGATCACCCTGTATCTGTTCCGATTAAATATCAGTAAATACTAGTCACGTTCGGTATTTACATCACAGATTAGAGCAGATTCTAGTCACGTGGTCACAGATAGATCGGAGCAATCGGCAATAAACGAACGAAGTGGACATTTTGTTGACAGTGTAACCCCATTTATTTATTCAATTTATTTTCATTTCAATATGAGTATACCAGAAATTTCCTTTTTCTTGTTCTTTTTCCAAAAGAATCGCAGCCAGAGTGAAATCTATAAGGAAAAATATACAAAAAATAATTTTGAATTTATCATCTAAACACATTAATTGAATGTGTTCACTTACTATTATTTGTGACAATTTCTTCATAATTCTCATCTGACACCATAAAGGTGTGTGTTTTGTCTTGTTCAGAATCAAAGTTGTATTTCTTTCATTATGAAAACGATATTTTGAAAATACGAATACGAGCACAACGGCCAGTCATACATAAACATTTGAACATTAACCTCACAAATTCAGATCAATCGCTTTGCTCTGTCAAAATACTCCGAGCATTAAGATCTTTGTCAGATCGCTCCGATTTTAATTGCCGAACGGATGAGATCTACTTCCCCTACATCTAGATGTCATAAACGAACGATTCAGATTCATTGGAGCAGCCTGATGTAAATACCGAACGCGACTACTGAATCAAAAGTTGATATAGGGCATGTGAGCCGTTTTGGCCGATGAATAGTTTCGACACAAACAAATCCTAAAGAGTTGAAAAATCTCGATTTTGAACACCCTATACCTCCGTAATCATTTCCGATAGACCCCAAGTGTGTATCGATGAAATCAACTCTTCAGGGAGAATCTAAAAATTTAATAAAATATAGGGTATTCTATTTGAAATTAGATAGTTGTTGCTTCTTTTTTATAGAAGCGGCAACACTGCATTGCTGAAAATATTTTGAATGAAGAGAGCGTATTTTAATATACAAGCATGCACATTTTCATGGATTTCTCCCGACTGATTCTCGATATAGAGATAGTGTAAGCTCGTCGTGACATACCCTGTATATAATACAGGGTGGGCCACCAGTAACGCCTCGGTCTCTAGAAGGCTAACCACTTATCTTCTTGGAATTCTTCCTCTCTAGGAAGTTGCATGTCAACATAGGCTACCATTTGAAATTATTTCAAAACATACAGGGTGTCCCCAAAAACCGCAAAATACTAAAGTTGAACTTTTTTCAATCGAACACCCTATATATTATTTCATTTTGAGATTCTCCCTGGTGAGCTGATTTCAACAATCCATCATACTTGGGGTCTAGCAGTTATAATTACTGAGATATAGGGTGTGAGAAATCGAGATTTTCCAAGTTCAAGAATTTTTTTTGTCTAAACCATTCATAATTGGTCAAAACGGGTGGTGCAGAATTCAGAATTTTGATCACCCGGTATATGTCCCAATTAAATATCAGTAGATAGTTAATCAAAAGTTGAGATAGGGACATGTAAGCCGATTTGACCAATTATGAATAGTTTCGACACAAAAAATTCTTGAACTTGGAAAATCTCGATTTTTCAAAATCAAATCAAAATCAAATCAAAACTGAGCTTTATTGTCCAAGAAACATTCTTACTATTGACAAAGCGTGAAACTAGCAAGTGGATAGATCCACTATGTCCAATTATTTGTACAAATATATAAAAGATATGAACATAAGATATAATTAATAAATAACACAAATACAAGGGTATAAAACAACTACAAAAAAGCCCTAAAAGCATAACATTTATATCACATACACCGCCAACTAGGTACCTAGGTACCTAGCATAATAGTAAAAGAATCTAGAAATTAATTATAGAAATAAATTATACATGACTTCAAAACTTTTCGTTGTAATATTCCTGCAGGTCATAGTACGCTTTTTGACACCCTATATTTCAGTAATTATAACTGCTAGATCCCAAGTATGATGGGTCGTTGAAATCAGCTGATCAGGGAGAATCTCAAAATGAAATAATATATAGGGTGTTCGATAGAAAAAAGTTTAACTTCAGTGTTTTATGGTTTTTGGGGACATCCTGTATGTTTAGAAAATCGAAATAATTTTAAATTGTAGCCTATGTTGACATGCAACTTCCTAGAGAGGAAGAATCCCAAGAAGATAAGTGGTTAGCCTACTAGAGACCGAGGCGTTACTGGTGGCCCACCCTGTATATCAATTATTTCATGTTTTTTTTATCGCTTGGAGCGCACGAAAGGGAATCCCTATAATGTTGAAAGTATATCTGAGTATATTCCTTTTCAATATTTTTTCCCGATTGTAATAGTTTGACCTGGCGAACACGAGAATGTCTGTTTTTGTCTAAAACCAAAATTTTGGATAATTTTGAGAAAATCAAGGAATTGAATTTAAAAACCATAATAATTATTGCCTTACTATAACCTTTATTTCCTAATATAAATAAAATTCAGTCAAGAAAATAAATAGAAAATATATGACCAACATTATTAATAAACACCATTATTTGGTTACTATGAATACGAAGGAACATTAACAAATCAAATATACACATAAAGCAAACCTACATATCGAAAATATCGTTGCAAATAAATGCCCTAAGACAACCCTGTCAGTACAAACACCAATTATTTGCCACAAAATGTTTCTTTAATATACTATATCACATTGAAAATATCATTTCTAATCCCCGACCTCGAAAACTACCATGTGAACGTTTTCAAAAGATTCAGACAACAAATTACTGAATTGTCCGCCATTTTGGATTCGCCATCTTGAAGGCATCCCTTTGAACCTACGAGTTTAAGACTCGAAATTCGTAATACTAGACCTTGAAGAATCTCAGAGGGGATATTATGGCCGATTCAGACAATACAATAAATCACAAAATCCGGATTTCCAATAGCAAGATTTGACAGTTAGCAAAATGAATGTGAACAAAATAGCATCATTATTGGAATTCTTCCTATTCAGTTTTCCAAATAGAAGATCATTCCTTTTGTCTCACAATTTAATGCTCAATATCCAATGAATTAAAAAAAATAATTTCTCATTCTCTACGGCCTTCTCTTTCTCTTTATTTCCGTCTCCTTTCAACGCCTGCATGGGGTCCATGAAATCCCTTAACATCCACTTGGGAATGCTTTTTGAAGGATGTAGATTATCAATTCACAGTTCTTGGTGTAATTACTCATGTCATCAAGTTTATGTTTTATTTTTCGATTTTGATCCAAGATTAGTTATCCTCTGCCTTCAGAGAATCCTAATTCAAACTTTTTCAAAAGAATTGGACAATAAATGAGAATATCGTCCGCCATTTTGAAGGCACTATCTTGAATTTTCAAACTTTGGATCGAAATTCGTAATCCCCGACCTCAAAAACTACTATGAGAACATTTTCAAACGATTCAGACAACAAATTACAAAATCGTCCACCATTTTGGGTCCGCCATCTTGGAAGCACCCCTTTGAATTTACGAGTTTTGAGTAGAAATTCGTAGTAATTCGACCTTGAAATACGTGCAAGTGGATATTTTGGTGGGATCGGACGAGGAATGAGAAAATTGCCGGCCATTTAGGAGATCCGACAGCTGCAAATACAAAATCCTTCCTTTTGTCTCACAATTCTGAGCTCAATAACCAATGAATAAGAAAAAAAATCATCATTTCTTAATTTCTACGACCTTCTCCTTCTCTTTATTCCCATCTCCTTTCAACACCTGCACCATCCTCAAGGTCAGCACGGCCAAGATGGCGTCCAACGGATCCATGAAACCCCTTTGCATCCACTTGGGGATGGTAGTCCTGGCGTGGGAAAACCCGAGTTTCTGTAGGATGTAGTCGATGCCGTACGGTTCGATGTATTTGCCTGCGACGCTCAAAAGGCGGACGGTCGGTTCGAGGTGCCACGTTTTGCAGGCGAAGTTGCGCCAGTCTTTGGCGAAGATGTCGACGTCTATGGAGGTCTTTTTCGGGGTTTCGCCGATCGGTTTCGGCTTGTCGTCGGGGTTCGATCTTTTTTCGATGCCTCCGAGCTGAAAACAAGGAAAAAATGATCGGTTACTCTAGGAATATCAGTAATTTCCTATCCCATGTCTCCTGTCTGGTTGACCGACCCTGGAGGTAAAATATTGAAACACAATGTCACTTTTCTGTAAAGCATTGGAACACAACCTCACTTTTTTTATTCGTCTACAGAGGAATCAAAGGATTGAAATAGTTTTTCACAATATTTTGGCATACGAATCGTCTTTTTTGCGATATTCATTAATTCGAGCATGCCGTCTCATTCCGCTGTTTTACAATACACAAAAAATGCAACGAGAGACGAAGGAATATGTAGTATAGTAATCTCACATAGTTTTCATTATGAAATTTTGTCATTTCTTATTAAAATTTTTCCTGCCACTTCTGTAATAAAAGCTAATACTGCTGATAGATTGAAAATGTCTACAACAGACACTATCATATTTCGTCAGCATGTCAAACCAGTCCTCCCGTTTGATTGCATGAATCCAATCTTGTTGCATTCTTTTAGAAATTTCGAAATGAAAACTATATGTGAGTGACTATAGTGGGTACTTACTTTTAAAACCGGATGTCTTCGTCTCTCGCTGCATTTTTTGTGCATTGTACAGCAGCATAATGTGAAGTTATTCGAAAGAAATATTTTTTTGTGAATTTCACCTCACATTGGTTGAAAATTATGATGGCGTATCTGGGTCTGAAGGGATAGGATAGGAATCAGCAGTGAATTTACCATAAAAATGCTTACTACATAATTATGGAAGTGTTTCTAGTTATGGTATCAACTGTGATTTTTTTTCACTTCCACACAGCTTCACTTGAGACATTTCTCTGGGTTATTTTTCATAATATAGGGAAGGGTCAAAATTTGATCATTTTATTCAAGGGTGAGTCACTTTGACAATTTTTGTATGAACATTTCGCCATGTCTGAATAGATTTTCAGCACTTAGATAAAGCCCTACTTGCCTACTGCAATAACGATCAAACTTCATCTATACCAAAAAACAACAAATTTTAAAGCGAATGAGAATGTGAAATGTGACAGTAACATTGCCGATGAAATGACTTATTTCCGAATAAATTGTGATGTACCACCATGATTTTCAACCAATCTGAAGTGAAATTCACAAAAACTAATATTTCTTTTGAATAACTTCTATTGGAAAGCTGAGTAGACTCCTACGATCATATTTCATCAGAATAGAGCCTTTAGAGTAATCAAACTCTCATAATGTTGCTCCTACATTGGAAGAGGTTTTTATGTTGACAATTTAGGAGCGAAGTGCCGTATTGAATTGGGATACATGAAATGTTCCGTGACGTTTCCGTGACATTTCCGTGACATTTCAGTGGTGTTTCGTGACATTTCAGTGGTGTTCCGTGACGTTTCCGTGACATTTCCGTGGTTTTCCGTGACATTTCCAAGACGGCCTGTGATTGGCTAGTCGGGTCACGTGGTTTGGAGAAAGGTGGAGGGGAGGGGCTGGACTGGAGAGGCGGAATAACTACTCTGGTGTATCGCTTACAAGTGGGTTGTGTGAGTTAGATTGAACAAGGGGAAACATAATGCTTACCACTCTTTCTTTTTCCTTGACATAGGAAGTGATCAAATCGTGCAAGAAGAAAAACGCTTCCGCATCCACGGTAACGAAAATATGATCCTCAAATTCCGTTATAAAGCTACACTCGATTGTCGGTTTCTCCCCTGAAAAGAAATATTATGAATCAAAATACCCTCCACCAAATTCGATAGGGAAAACTACCTGACAGATCTGGCACGGCTGCTGTCTGCAAATGCTCAGTTTTCAAATGAAGTTGCAAGCTGGGCAAAGCGAAAATGACCTCTCGATTGTGATTGTGGTCCTCCATTTTTGGACTGCTAGTCGAACCCCTAGATCTCTCCATCGATCCCTCGCCTTTCTCTTTCTCCCTTTCCAACGATGGAAATCTATCCACCTCTGAAAAACATAACAGACTTGTGAACGATTTTTGAAAGGACTTTCTCCCTTTCCAACGGTTGAAATCTATTCACCTCTGGACTGGAAAACATTACAGACTTGTGAACGATTTTTGAAAGGAAGGTATCTTACTGTGTTGATTTTTTTTTTCGATTCCTGAAGGACTTTCTGGAGATTTTTTTATTGTTTTTTGTCCCTGTGTTAATTTTGATTAAGTACTTGAACATTTTCGAGAACACTTCCTTTACGACTCTCCCACACATGTCTATGTGTCTGTGTGTTGAAAAAAACCCAACCCTTGGTTTAATTTTGACTTTTAAAGACTTTTCAAGAAAATAAACATTTCTGTGTGATATTCTTGCAATCGTGAAGAATTTTTGAGAAATCAAGGTGTCACTATAGTACATTGCCTTACAAATTTCAGAGCAGTACCTCAAAGATTTCGAAATATTGATGAAAATCTCGAAATAAAATTCACGGCTGAACGGTGCATTTTCGTATAGAGGTAAGTTGATTTCAATCGGCCTAATTTGGTATCTAGTTCGCCCTGTAGAATTTATGATATGTTGTTCTGGGACACCTTGTATATGTGTGTCCCAATGACAATGTTCCTGTTTTGTAGATTTTCCGATTCGGGGATAGGAATATTCCTAACAAGTTGATCCGAACGACGCGAAGCTGAGTTAGGGCAAGCAGTCGAGTGCGGGAAAGACACTTTGCGCATGAGTTAGGAACAATATTTTTTCTACAAGCGTAGGAAATTGATTGATTTTAATATCAACCCTGTAAAATATATCTACCTACGTGTAGCTTAAGAATTTGTGGTAACGGGTTTTATTATATAAGTTATAACAATGAGTTGGGATACAACGGTTTTTGGGAATTACTCATGATGAAGATATCGTTTGTGAATTAGTATTAAGAGAACGGTCGATGAATAAACACGTTAATAGTTCATACCAACGAGTCTAATTTCACAAGGTGCTAATAATTTGTTCAATCAATTATACCTGCAAATAGGAACAACTAACAATACTGATAGTGATATTCTCTATCTTCTAATATTTAGTGATATATCTATTGTGTGTACCGTTTGAAGCATTATGTAGGTAAGCTTATTGCGGAAGCCAGCATGCCCATGGTGTTTGGCCTCTAGGTTTCAGACATTTCTAGGAAATGAGCCAAAATACTTCTTCTTATTTGGTGTTTCCACTTGTTTACTAGTGCACCATTCAATAAATCCTGTTTAGTGCTTCTCATACCTTTCTTAAGACTTCGTTGGCAATAACTGATCTGTATCGCATCTGTAGCTGGAAGTTTTTCATCGCAATTCCACTGAATCCAAAATGACAGTAACGCTCTGTCTGTCACTCTGAGAATTACACTAACTAATTTGTGTGTTGATTGACATGACAACAATTGTTTCCCACATCAGATCAATTAAGGGCTATAGGGGGATTTATATAACAATCAATTATGATTTTTCAATGTTTCTTCATTTTCACAATAAATAGTGCAATTTAATGAATGATTTTGTACAAACTGACTAAATACTGCAAAAAAAACCTAAAATTTTCATATTTCACCTACCACTCATATCTTGCGAGAATATTATACAGTCTGTCCAAGATAAGGTTGAACAGCATGGGGATCTCGAAAACGGTGAGAGATTCGAAATCGGTTAAATGGGGAAAAAGTTGCGCATTCGGAGGCTCATATCAAGAGCCTTCGAAAATTTTGAAAATTATTTTTAGTTTTTGAGTTATATCGAAAAAAGTGAATTTTTGGAATTTCTATTTTATTTTTTTTCTCCGTTATTATTAGAGATACAGCAAAACTGAGAATACTTTTTAATAGCAACTTTTGATGACGGTCAACGTGGTGATATCGATTTTTTCATGCGACGTTTCGTATTCGTGGAACCATCATCAACTTTTGTTTTTTAAATACGGTCCTGATAATTTTTTCACAGATTCTAAAAGGTTTTTTTACTCTGAATTCAACCATGTATTATACAAGGTGGTTCATTTGTGTTTCGACCTATTTTTGGCCATCATCAATGTTTTTTCGAAACTCCAAAGGAAAAATGCCATCAGTTCCACTTATTTTGAAGGAAAATTAGTCAACACACTAATACCTCATCAACTGGTTTCAATCAACAACCCATTTCATTTTGCGGAAACAAAAATTCCATCCATACAAATTCAGAATATGTCAAGCGCTAAAACCAGGCGATGACGAAAAGGGGCAAGACATTCTGTGAGTGGTATACCAGGAAATGTTAAAATTTTGCAGATTTCTTTCGAACAATCATCTGGACTGATGAAAGCATGGTCACTAATCATGGTAGCTTCGATAGAAAAAATACACATTATTGTTCACGAGAAAATGAACATTTATACATTACAGCGAGACACCAACACCGTTTCGGCTTTAATATGTGGGTTGCAATATTTGGTACACGAATTATTGTTCCTTCTATTTACCATGAAACACAGACTTCCGAACGTTATAGAAATTCGCTTGAGAATCATCTTGAGGAAGCTCTGGATGATTTACCGATTGCGGAAGTTCAGAACTCTGTTGGTTTCAACAAGATGGCGCTCCGGTACATAATTCCAGAGAAGTCCGTGCGTTTTTATCCCTTGGCCGGCGCGGTCGCCTGATTTGACACAGCTGGATTTTTTCTTAGGGGATATATCGAACTTTATACACGCAAATAACTTTGAGGATGAAGAAGAACTAAGGGACAGTGTCTTCGAAGCATTCAATAGAATAACCCCAGAAATGCTTAGCAATGTCTTAGAAACAACTGTGAGAAGAGGATATCTTTGTTCAGAAAATAATGGTTATCATTTTGAACATTTGTTATGAATGTCTCTGTAGGTATTGTCAAAGTTAAGTTGTTAAAGTAATTCGTGTAAGAATTCATCAACAATTTTAAACGCTGCATTGATCGAATGATGTAGTGAAATATTTTTTATTCACTTTTCAGTATTGAATAACTAATCCATCAAGTTTGACACTAAATGATAAGAAATAAGTGGAACTGATGACTTTTTTTCTTTGGGAAGTTCGAAAAAACATTTATGATGGATAGAAATAGGTCGAAACACAAATGAACCACCTTGTATAATACATGGTTGAATTCAGAATAAAGAAACCTTTTAGAATCTGTGAAAAAATTATCAGGACCGTATTTAAAAAACAAAAGTTGATGATGGTTCCACGAATACGAAACGTCGCATAAAAAAATCGGTATCACCACGTTAAACCTCATCAAAAGTTGCTATGAAAAAGTATTTTCAGTTTTTCTGTATCTCTGATAATAACGGAGAAAAAAAATAATATAGAAATTCCTAAAATTCACTTTTTTTGATATAACTCAAAAACTAAAAATAATTTTCGAAATTTTCGAAGGCTCTTGATATGAGCCTCCGAATGCGCAACTTTTTCCCCATTTAGGCGACTTCGTATCTCCTACCGTTTCCGAGATCCCCATGCTGTTCAACCTTATCTTGGACAGACTGTATAAATGTTTTTCCCGCACTACTTCCCAAACTAAATTGCGTTCGGGTATAGGGTGAATCTCGCACGCTTGTAGAAAAAAAATCAAGGGTTTCTTACCGTCAATCTGACTGTTTGCGAAGGCATAGTGGAACCATTCTTGAAGAGTCTTGAACTGAGGTGGGAAAATAACGCTCCTCGACACCTTGCAGACAGTAGCCATAGACAGGTGGGTTTTGTAAGTGCTCAAACCCAAACTGCACGTCAAGGTTTGCACTACATGAACGTCTTGGTTTTGACGATTGTCTGTAAACGAATATCCACCCTCTATCACATGTACCATACCTCGAATGAAACAGTTTTTTTGGTAACGACATTAGGCCTGCTCGTTAGAGTTCGCTCAATCTACTAAACTAGGATTTTTTCTAGGTTATCTCTATTCAAATCCTTCAACAAACAGATATAACGTAAAAAAAATAATAATTTTAGGCGATATAGAGCTATAATAATAATAAATATATGTCACATAAATTCTAACACCCCGAGTTATAATCACAGGTTATCATTTTTTGAACCATGCAATGAACAGAGATAACCTCAGAAGAAACGCGACTTCCGCCGATTGAGCAACGCCAATAATATAGGTACTTGACATAAACAAAGATAACATCATACGGAAATCAGTTATAGCCGGTTGAGAAACATTAATAACATACTTCTTATAGAGTATGACATTCCGAGTTATAGTCACAGGGTATCTCTATTCATTTCATGCAATAAACAAAGATAACCTCAAAAGAGAATCAACTTTAGCCATTCCAAGGGTGCTCAACAAACGAATTTAGCATTGTCCGCATAAAATTAATAATTATTTCAAGCAGATTCAGATTCCTGGTGGTTTTGTTTGATTTGAGTTCGGGACCATTCATAGGTAAACCAGAAGTATCTGGAGAAGACATCAGCAATAGTCTCAGTGAAGAATCCAAAGACAGCATAACAGGATTCTTATTACATTCCGAGTTCTAATAAGAGGTTATTCCTGTTTACGTCGCGCAATAAATCGAAATTCAACTTTAGCTGGTTAATAAACGGTAAGAACCTACCTACCTCTTATAGAGTCTATCATTCCGAAGTTGTAACCACAGGATATTTCTGTTTACATTGTAATAAACAAATATAACATAAAAAACAACATCAGCCGATGGAGCAACACAAACAACATTCCTCTTATTATAGTTTACTGTCGTTACAAGGCCGATATGTAGCAAATAACTGATGAGGTTGAATATTGTGGTCCGAGGCGTAGCCGAGGATTATAACAATCGAATATGTTATTTATGAATCGGCAGTGTGTCGTTCAAGGCTTTTCGTAATCCCGCTGAACGATTATATTTCAATTCCGAGGAAAGAAAAAAACACGTACATCGAAAAATCCCAACATAGTGTTGTTATGGAACAGTTACAATCTTAATGGACGGAGGCTGTTAACATTAAGTTTTCAATTGTAATCTGTATTGCGTTGAATCAAAATAACAGTATGGGAATACAAAATAGAGTTTAACAAATTTAAAATCAACTCTAGCCGAGAGAGTAAAATTAACAACATAGAGTCTAATATTCTGTTTCGGGCCAGGAGCTATTTCACTTTCAGTCAGCTGCTTATGATCTATAAGGCACAGATCCGATCTGTCCTGGAATACTTTTCCCATATTTGGAGTGCAGCACCCAAACATACCCTGAAACTGTTGGAGATTCTGTCCAAAAGAGGGCAATTCGTCTCGTGGGTGATGCCTCGCTCACAAACTCACTCACTTCTCTGGAACACCGTAGAAAAGTTGGCGGTCTGGCTCTATTTTATAGATATTTTCATGGACGATGCTCTTCTGAAATATCAACAATTGTTCCTCCCTTGGCAGTCCCCGCGACATTAACCCGTCGAGTTGGGGCTTTGGCACCCTTCGTGGTCACTCTGGAGACCTGCAGAACATCTCTTTCCAAAAGGGAGGTGTTCCCCGAGGCATATAACCTCCAGGAATTTATGAACACCAATTCCTACCTTATTGCCCTTGGATCTCACGATGTTCTCTGAACATTACAGGATATCCCTTTTCGTGGGAACCAGAACATAAAAAAATAAAAATAGGTTGTCTCTGTTTACATCGTGCAATAGAGGAAGATAATCGCCGACGGAAGTCAATTTTAGCCGGTTGAGCAACACCAACAACTCAGAAGCTCATATAGTCCAACATTCCGAATTATATTCTTATTACCCCTTCAGTACTTGTGGAGTTGGTCCGAAACGACCTGGAGCCTACTCTAGAATCATCTCTGATTCTTGTGGCTTATCTTCCAACCCCTACCAATATTAATTGTCCCTAGACGTAGAAATCTACAAGGTATAAGCTCACCAGTCATAGCTGCAACGGGGTTGGAATGACATTGGCATATCATCCCTGATGAACGCTCAGGCCAGCTTGATCACAAGTAAGATCTTTCTCATTTATCAGCTTTGGCTGCCTTATTTGACATAAATCATCAACATAAATTGTGTTCTCTCATATTTACGGAAATATTAAGTAAATGTGACAAGACTGTTTACTGGGTATTCACAGGTTATCTTACTTGCTTTGTACAAAAAGCAGAGATTATCTCAGAAAAAAATCAACTTTAGGGGGCTGAGAAACACTCACCTATCAGAAAAGATCTAATATACGAGTTATAATAATAATAATAAAAAAAACATACCTGACGACGAAGCGGCCGGTATCTCCTGACTCTCCGTATTGAAGTTGATACAGGGCTCCTTGAGGCTGAACAGCGCCCACGATTTGCTCTTGAAATTGATGCCGTGGAAGCAGGCCAGCGAGATGTTGTTGCCCTGCAGTTCCACGGTACCGCCCAGCACAGTGCCGAACGAGGGCAGCGGAGCGTGCATAGTGCGCAGGCGCAGGCCGGCGATCTGCCGCAGCACCTTCTGCCAGTGGCGGTGGTGGCGGGCATCGGACAGTTGGGAGGGGTTCGGGGTGGGTTGCACTTCGCGAACTACAAGTACCAAATAACAACATGGCTGTCAGAAATTCTCTATTGATGATTATAAAAAAAAGATTATTAACTATTGTTTGCTCAGAGAAGTTTCATACTCGAGACTTATGGAAACTAGAGTCACTGGATGGTATTAGTTTGTTCGGACACAGCAATGACAACGGCTAGGGTTTTTGAATGTTTAGATTTATCAACTTACACACCTTGCATTGTGACAAGAGCACCATAGTCGTCCGGCGCTTTTTCATTCAAAATTGTTTAATAATAATAATAATAATAATATAAGTTTATTCAAAAACGTTTACAAAATATACATTGGAATAAACATATAGGTAATTTAGAATAAACTGGGAAAAACCTTACGAATTTTATAAACGTCAAAATTGAAATGAAATTTTATAATTATACTTTCGAGAAAAAAGCAGTTATGGAAATCACTTGTTGTGTAATGAATTGTACCAATTCTGAAAAAAGTGGATATCATTTATTCAATTTTCCAAAATAAGTATCAACCATTCGCTTATGAAAGAAATATATGAAATGGCCTGGGTGAAAAATCAATTTGAAGACCAGCAAACTTTGTTGAAATTCACTTCTCATAACAGCATCTGATTAGAATGAAACTACATTTTAGGCCCGTTTTCAAACAGAAGATTTCAAAATCTGTTTGAGAGAATCTGCTGTTCCATCAATTTACAAAGCAGACGACTTCAAGAACAAAATTCCATTATTATCATCACACAAAATACAAAACAAAATAATCATGGAAAAAGAGGAATTGATCGCAAAATAACATAATGAAATTGAAAATTCTGAAAACGAAACTAAGAGAAGCAAGTAGACTACAACGTGATATATTATTGAATGTCGTTATTGGTGCCAAACAAATTCAAAATTCAACAGTGAAAAGTGAATAGTTATTTATGTATCAAGAAAATTATTATAAGGGCTTTAATTACGCTGGAGGTTATCGTTTTGGAGATATTTACAATTTTCTATATCGATCCTTAGGGCGCAAAGTGAAGTTGCTGAGAACTTCACAAAACCAAGTATGTGGCAGGTCTCGTCAAAATAAACTACTTTTTTCCTATGAAATGTTTATCGAAAAATGATTTGTTCCCTGTATTTCAACACCCTGTATCTCCGAAATGAGGCATGTCCGGATACAAGCTTTTATAGACTTTCTTTCTTTATTAAAATTGTCTCAGGAATACTTCACTTGAACATACTTATGTAACTTCCTGTATATTGAGAATACCTACCTTTAATTTAATATTAATATCTTCATCTTTTATACTTATCACTGGAGTACAGTTTCACATACAATAAGGAGCATTCGAAAGCGCAAAAGACAATTTCTTACGTTTTTGGGGGGTGACCCTGGGCGGTCTGCCAGACCCAGCGAAGCTACTGAACGCCCTCTTGCTGCTATTGAACTGCTGCGAGAAGAATTCTTCCAGTTTGTTGAACATTTTCAACAGATCTGCGGTCGTTGATTTCGAAATCATCATTTGCAGTTGGTCCCAACCCAGTACTCCATGCATGAAAATATTCGCCGGCCTAGAATTAGTTGTAAGAATTAGCTCATAATGTGTGATATCATCTCCAATATTAAGCAATCAAAGAAAAGGTCAACGCATCAAGGTTTCTAACACTGTCTTCCTAGTTGGTATGGATTATAGCCTTGATTATTTGAACTAACAAGATGATCCACCTCCATGTAAGATGTAGAAGCCAAATTTGGTCTTAGTTTCTGGTTGGCTCATAGGCGGTGCTAGCGAAACTATGGCAAAATATGGCCGATTTGTCTATAATCTCAGAATCTGCTCGAGTCCATCTATCTGCAGTTGCTGAACTATTTAGAAATATATTTGTTTGTGAAGTAGGAACATCACTAACTTTGCTGTTCTGAAGGATTTTAAATAAACATATTTTCATCTGGCATTGATGCGACATTCCTTCTTACATGAAAACATCTATATAAAAATAAAGTTTGGATATATTCTGCATTACCGATCTCTAATCTTCGGTACTCAACAAATAGTTATTCACCTTGTCGCTCAGAGATACCGCTTCCCACTGACTACTTTCTGGCATCAATGCTCTCATAAGGATGGTTCATCTTGTTAGTGTGAATAATCGATGATTATCGCTAAAATCAAAGTCTCGACCCTCTGTTGATAACTCCAGGAGCCAACATTGTAACAGAATACTAGGACGTACGGTCTATCAATGAAATAGAGTGACATCCTGTCCAGATTTCCAAAGATATATTTAGCAGCCTCGGAGTGTGATTGATATACAGATTCATACTATACTATCTGCATAACGCAATTGGACCTGGTGTTAGGTAAGTTACTTATTCCATGTTATTGTAGACATCATCATGTTAAGACTACCTCTATTTCAGATTGTCAAGTTTAAGAAGAATATAGATTACTTATACATTGGTCTTGTTCTCTGTACGGAGTTTCATTGTGCAAACCCATATTCGTTATAACACTAAAGTTATGTTTCTTTCAACAGTTATGCAGAGTAATTCATTTTAAATGGCACGCATGGACACATTGTACAATAAAGTTGAAGATAATTTACCTTCTGGTAGGCATGAAGGAATCCCTAGATGTGACCTTGTTCAGTTTCCATTCGTCTCTCAAATTCACGTTCAGATCGCTGACTCTGCACATCAACACCGAGGTAGCCATGTAGTCCAATCTCAACTCTAGGGCTTTCAGTCTCAAACTGATTGTGTGGTCTGGTTCGAAATTCGGCTCTTCTCGAATATGAACTGAAAAGAGGTTAGTGTGTCTTTAATCTACTCTATATTATATTCTATGAACAGATATGTACGTAATCAGTTAGGAAACGCTTTGTTTTGTGTAACGATGGGTTAAGCGGCGTTCACAACAAAACTTTTTATGTTTTGATTTTTATATTTCGTATTCTGATTGATGAAGCAAAAGCTGAAATTTTTCAGCTCTTCGCGTTGCAAGATGTCATAATCTGATGTGTAAATTGTTAATATAAATAAATACTAAACACTAATGGCGAATTTAGCGGATGCAGAAGCACAATTTATTTCATAACTGTACCATTAATCTAGGTATAATGCATAAAAGTGAAGAATTGGCTACTTCATGGTTATGCATTATGTGGCACTGTGCACTAGGACTTATGAGTTGGATAAAACATATCATATGTAATACAGTGTTCAACTTTTATGAATTATACATTAAAATTATAGTTATGAAATAAATTGTGCTTGCGCACCCTTTAAACCCGCCTCCAACCTATTGTTATTGTTATAAAAATGGAAAATACTACCACGAGTTGTGATACGAATAAAATTATTCCAAAAAAATATAATATAACTAAGATTATTTCACTCTATTTTATAGGATTAAGCAGAAGTGACAAAGGAAAGATAACTGAGAATAGCCGTAAAAACTCACGTTGACGTTTTTTTTGACGAATGAATGAGAATGACATTTGTTTCAATCAAATTCACGATTAATTTCAGATTCAGAATTTCTCTTCAGAAGTAAAAAGCTAAACGTAAAAAGTTTGGTTGGGAACGCTGCTTTACAGAAAATTGCGTTTACTAACTTGTTATGTACCATATTTTGTCTAATCTCAGCGAGAAAAATATTTCCAAACTGATCAGATTGATAATTTCAATAAATCGTATAGGGAATGTTTGCTTGTCAGATTGAAGTTTCCTTCATACGACAGAATATCGCGTTTGACAACAGGATTTTGGATGGCACAATGAACATTACATCACGAATTCGCGAAAATCACGAACCAATAGATGGCTCGATTAAACGTCAAATTAACGTCAAATTTCATACTGAGTATGAACAACAAAAACATTGCCGTATGCACTCATTGCAAATGGTTATTTCGAAATCATTTTGCAAAATAGTGGATAATCAGTTGACTTCTTGAAATTCGTACAAGGTTTCCAGTATGGAAAAAATTACTTTTTGTGCAGAGAAATTGCCATTTTGATGTGGACAATGGTGGTATTCATCATTGATATCACACTACAATTCCACAGTTTTCAAACATATGGAATGGTCGGAATGGTCCACTCAACACTTGCATGGACTGGAATGAAACCATATAAGCAATCAGCTATTACAACAATATGGTGAAGGTATGAAGAAATAATTGAATTCATCAAGAAATATCACTGGCTTCTGGTTGGAGAGGCTGCTCAGAATGAACAATATCATCGATTTACATAAACAAGGATCTGCAGCAATGGAGGACTTGAAGTTATTCTCAAGATCGAATCATTGCAACCAACATTCATACAATATAAGGTAGGTACTGGTTTCTTCATTGTAAACAATAAAAGTTCATGCAATAATTCGAGTTTTTTCATCAGGGAAAAATGAACTTCAACAAATAAATTATTTTCGAATAAAACACATAATTATGAAACTCAAAGCAATGGTCGCCATATTTGTTGTTATTGTTGTTCATACTCACAAGACTTGTACAGTTAGCCACCAGAGGCCGCCCACTTCGTGATTTTCGCGAATTATGAAACATATTACTTTACACGACTTGTAACCTACGTGAAGTAGAACGTTTCAAAACTTCCGTCAATTTCGAAAATTGTCACATGTGAAAATTAGAAAAACATTTTTTGCAGCATTATTGAGTATATTCAAGTATTTATTTTGATTTATGGAAAAGACTGTAGCTTACTGTAAGTGTTGATATGGGCGATTTCGATATTTCCACCCACAATACCTCCCTTCGCATCTAAACCTGAACCATCCAAGCCTAGAGCTATGTAAAGATTCTTGTGTCCTGTCGAGCCGATACTGAGTCTTCCATCGCTCCTAAAATCTTTCGTCATCCACCTAGAATCAAATTGATGGATGCATACAAGGTTAGTTGTCGATTTAGATTGAACCTACGAGACATTCCCCATTACGTTGCCCATATTCATGTGAACATTCAGCTTCTTGAAATTGACAGCAAACAGCACCAAAGTAGCCCAAGCGCTCAGGTTCTTCTGCTCAGACGGACTAGGAGTGTCAGCCTGCGCTGAATCCGAACTCAGACTCTTCCCGATGTCCTTCATCTTACCTGAAAAATCAGATAATCTGAGGATTATCTTCATATAATCAATCGCAGTATCTGTTAGACTTGACCAGAAGATAGGTTTCGAAGATGAAGGTGACAGACGAGGTTAAGGTTAGAGTTCTTCTTCATTTCTCGATATTTTTGTGAACTCTCAGCATTACGCTGTTGCCAGGAGACAAAATAGTTTGTGATTAAATAAAATCTCGATCATTATCAGGAATATTCTTATTAGAGTTCTGTACAAAAGCTCAGCACATATTTCTGAGGCCAAAATGTGCCGATTCAAAACAAGTTACCTCAGTCCCAAATTGTTCCGTTTCCGTTATACAGGTTGCTGTAGTTTATTTATTTATTTATTTTATTTATTGAAAATGTTACTTCCAGTCAGAATCAACTTCTGGTATAAGGAAGTATAGTTAACAATAATACCTAAAACTATACAATTATAATAAACTAATAAATAATATAATATTCGAAAACATTAATTATTAAATTTTGACAAATCATTTCATATTGGTGAGCAAAAATCAATTTGAATATAAATCAAAAGTTGAGAAAAAAAAACGTCATCAATTTCGTTCAGGATAAAACTCGAATTTCTTAGAATTTATCAACATTTTTAAATGTATTACTTCAAAAATTGATACTTGGGGGATTTTTAGGATGCGAAAATTTGGTCAGTAAATTAACAGAGCAGAAATGGATTTTTCAATATACTTTCTTGAAGTGCATTTGTCGATTTTCATTTTTCATCTTCACCACCCTGTATCTCGGAAATGGAGCAATATCAAACTGAGGTAATTTGTTTTGAATCGGATTGTAATAGCTTAATTACTTTAATAAATAATCTTTTAGAATGACAATCTAATTATATCTCCTAAGAACCTTCAACTTCATCGTTGTCAAAATATCATAACATTACAGTGTGATTATAATAGTTATCATAATATAATGTATCACTACTGGCTTATGTTAACTTCAGGAATGTATGCTGAGATTTTGTACAGATCTTTTAGGGACACCCTGTATAAGTATTCAATAATAGATAATCAGAGAGCAGGTGAAACCATTGTATTCTGTGTGTTGAGGAAGATTATCTATTTTTGTTATATTTGTCGTTTCTATACGCTTTGTATATTGTTAAAAAGAAGAATGATGACAGTGTCAGAATTATGATTGAATTTATGATTGTAAAAAATCAAGAGATTAAAAAGATTCTACGATTGAAATAGAGATATTTACTTTAGAGAGAGATATAGATTTTATATTGGTCCTTCGAGAAAGTCAGAAAAGCCCTAAGGAATACAGAAAATGTCTGGAAAATCAATCATTCAAGTGGAAGTACACTATGATAAGAATAGTGAAACTGGTAAAAACAAGGAAGCAAAATCAGATATTATTATATGTGGTGAAGGAGGAAGTCCTTCTGGTGAAATTGGAAGAGAATTACCGATACCAGAGGAAATAGTTGGATTTCCAGAAGCACACATTGAAAATATAGGAGGCTCCAGGAAAGAAAGTTCATCATTGTGCACCAGTTTATCTAAAAGACAAATTTTACAACTACGCTTGGAATCTGCTAGGAAAAAAGCTGCGCTAGAAGAAAAAATGGAAGAAGAAAAATTGAAAATACAAGAACGTAGATATCTCCGAGAGAAAGAATTGATAGATATGGAGCTGAATGTGCAACTTAGTACCGCAGGTAGTAAAATATCTAGTATCTCTGAGAATATCAAGGAAGGTACTATAGACGGTATTCAGAAAGTGAAGAATTGGTTAAGAATCCCAGAAACCAATCAAATTGAACATGAACGAGACTCTTCAGAACAAAAAAGTACCAAATCTGACGAAAATAAGTTGAAATTCGACCACACTGAATATATGATACCCGATAATTCGGATAAAGATCGTGAAAAATTTGCAGAAAAGGGTGTCAATAGACAGCTAGAAACATTTTTTACTCGACAGTCGATCAGAGAACTACCTTTGTTCAATGGGGATCCGGAGGAATGGCCTCTATTTATATCACAATTCAGAAGATCAACAAAATCCTGTCAATTTTCAGAAGAGGAAAATCTAATAAGACTCCAGAAATGCCTTCGTGGTCGTGCAAGAGAAATAGTCAAACCAATGCTGATCAGTTCTAGAAATTTGGACGTCATTATGGAATCTTTAGAAATGAATTTTGGAAGACCTGACATAATAATCTCCATGTTGATAGAGAAGGCGAAGAAAGTGGCATCACCTGGAAAAGGAAGAACAGATTCACTAATTCATTTTTCGAATGCAGTTCTGAACTTAACATCCACTATAGAGGTACTCGATACAGAGTCTCACATGAATAACATGCAGTTGTTAGATGAATTATCGAGAAAGCTGCCATACTTCCTTCGGCTCAACTGGGGAGAGCGTCTCATAAAGAATCCAAAGGACATCAATCTGAAAACATTTTCTGAATGGTTGAAAGAAAAAGCCAAGATTTCCTGCTATATTGATAGTCCGTTGGTGAGGGCGGAGAATTCAGGAAGAGGTCCCTCAGCGTATACACGCAGAGACACCGTTTTATCGATATCCAGACCAAAGACGGAGATTGTCAAGAAATACTGCCTGAAATGTACACAAAATCATCAGCTATACGATTGTGAAAAATTCAAAGAACTGACAGAAGATGACAGATGGAAAATTGTAACAGATAAAAAGTTATGTATGTGCTGTCTCAGATCAAATCACTTCAAGCATCAGTGTTTCAAGAAAACTTGCTGTGGAATCGATAATTGCAGCGGATTACATCATCCTCTACTCCACAAGAGCAAGAATTCACCTCACGGATATGAAAACCCTGAAGAAATTCGAACAGAACATGTAAATTTGACGAAAAATGATAACTATAATGTATTACTGAAGATCCTGCCAGTTGAAATAAAATACCAGGAAAAGAAAATGTTCATATATGTCTTTTATGACGATGGATCGACAATATCCTTGATAGATGCTGATCTTGCTGAAAAATTGGAACTAGTTGGTGAAACAGAATCCCTATGCTACCAATGGACAAACGGTATAACGCATCAAGAAGACAACTCAAAAAAGGTAGATTTTGACATATCCGATCCACGACATCCTTCCAAGTATTTTCGATTGAATGGAGTTAAAACCATCAAGAACATGAAACTGCCAAGACAAACACTAGATATTATAACGGTCCAATCATCTCGGAAACTCCGCTAGGTTGGACGGTTCATGGTAGGATGCAAGTAGATACTCCAAATCGAGAAGAATTTCTATATCACATCTGCAATGAAGAAAAATATGCAGAACTGCACAGTTTAGTCAAAACATCATTCAGCACAGAATCTTTTGGAGTTATAATTCTCGAGAAATTGACAAAAACAAAGGAAGAAACAAGGTGCGAAAGGATAATGGAAGACACCACGAAAAGAATTGGTTTCAGATTTGAGACAGGTCTACTGTGGAGAACCGACGATATCAAGTTCCCAGATAACCGGAATAACGCCCTTAGCAGATTATATTGTATGGAACCAAAAATGGACAAAGATGCGCGCTTTGCAGAAGAATACTGTATGAAAATAGCTGACTATGTAACGAAAGGATATGCGAGAAAACTACGTGAAGAAGAAATCACTACAGACAACCGAAGACTTTGGTACCTACCACACTTCGGAGTATTCAATGAAAACAAGAAGAAACTGAGGATTGTATTCGATGCTGCTTCCAAAACTAAGTCAGTGAGTTTGAATACCGAACTATTACAGGGCCCGGACCTACTGAGACCACTGACTGGAGTACTTATAACATTTCGACAAAACAAGATAGCATTCACTGGGGACATAAAGGAAATGTTCCATCAAGTGGTTATAAGAAAGGAAGACCGAACTGCCCAACGCTTCTTCTGGAGGGGACGCGAAAGACAGAAGGATCCTGAAGTCTATGAAATGATGGTTATGACGTTCGGAGCAACATGTTCCCCATGTTTAGCACAATTCATTAAAAACAAGAATGCTGTAGAGCATGAGAAAGAGTATCGTGATGCCTCGAAAGCTATACTAAAAAAAACATTACGTCGACGACTATTTAGATAGCAAATGTACAGAAGACGAAGCTATAAAACAGATAAAAAGAGTTGTAGAAGTGAAAACCCAGTACGGAACCTATCGACGACCTGTCGTGAAACTCTGCAAATTGGATGTTAACGGACAAAGGAATTTGTGAAGAAGTCTTCACCAGGGGGTAGAATGTTGAGGAAGATTATCTATTTTTGTTATATTTGTCGTTTCTATACGCTTTGTATATTGTTAAAAAGAAGAATGATGACAGTGTCAGAATTATGATTGAATTTATGATTGTAAAAAGTCAAGAGATTAAAAAGATTCTACGATTGAAATAGAGATATTTACTTTAGAGAAAGATATAGATTTTATACTGTGAATGTGGATACTTTTGTCATGTGATAATGCTCTCATTGGTTGTTTAGGAATGGAGTGTGTCTTTTCTAAATGCTCAAGAAGTGTGCTTAACACCCTGTGTAATTCAAATATCATCATTATTATTATTATTATTAGTCATAGATAAATACTTGTTTCGGGAATTGATAGGATCGAAAGGTGATGCAACTAATTAGTCATTCGGGACGAGGTGGTGAATGTGAATCATGTCAGTCTTGTGTTAGATGTCATCGAGTACGGTCGGTCTATTTAAAGTGCTCGTATCAGTTTCAAGCAAGAATCTAGTGTATATCGCGAAATAGTATACAGGGTTTTTCACGATGAGCGTTAATTAGAAGTTTCTGGGAAACCAAGCAACTGATGAATCTGAAAATCTTATGGTATTTATAAATTGACATAATCTACACGTCTGAAATATTTTGAACAATGCGGCGTTGCCGCTTCTACTAGAAAGTAGCAACAATTATGATTTTTCAAATGAAACACCCTGTATTTCATTGCATTTTCAAATTCTCCATGAAGTGCTGATTTCATCAATGTATCACGGTAAACTTTTGGTCTAGCGGAAACGATTACAGAGATAAAGGGTGTTCTAAATCGAGATTTTTCACCTTTAGGATTTTTTGTGCCGAAACTATACATTATTAGTCAAAACGACTTTCATGTTCCCTATCTTAACTTTTGATTTACTATCTACTGTCATTTAATTAGAACAAATACATGGTGGTTCATGATTCAGAATTCTGATCACCCTGTATCTGTTCCAATTGAATGTCAGTAAATAGTGAATCAAAAGTTGGGATGGCCGCTTCGACGAATAATGAGTTTCAACACAAAAAAATCCTAAAGTAAAAAAATCTCCATTTTGATCACCCTATATTTCTGTAATCATCCCCACTAGACCTCCAAGTGTGATACATTGATGAAATCAGCTCTTCAGAGAGAATTTATGAATGCAATGGAATACAGGGTGTTCCATTCGAAGAATCAAAGTTGCTGTTACTATCTAATAGAAGCGGCAATGCCGCATCGTTTAGAATATACCATCAAACTTTCAGATTCATCTGTTACTTGGTTTGCCAGAACCTTATAATTAATGCTCATCGTGAAAAACTTGTATTGTTTAACGAGCACGGAAATTAGCATTCCGTGCGAATTATACACTATACTTTTTCTACGGCTGTAACAGATAACAGTGACATTTCTTATTTCTTCGGCTGGTGTGATTTTCTCTTGAGTGATGCTCATCTATTAGACAGAGCTGTCATTGCTTGAAAATTGACATTTCATGGGAGATGAAATTTTGTGAAATAATAACACAAAGAAGTCATTGTGATATCAGATACAGAAAATGAAATTGGTGACATACAGAGTACCTCATTGAAACAAGGGCAATTGAGCATTCTGTGGTATAGCTAGAAAAAGAACTGTTTTAATTTCACAACTGTGTGTATTAAAAAGAGTGATAATACTGTGTCTTTCAAATTAATCGTTCGGTATAGTGATTACATCGCGTTATTGTGTGTTTTGTGAAGTGTTTTGAGAATTCATTTGTGGACTATATGCAGATTTCATACTGGTGAGTTTTTTAATCTTTCCTAAAACGTGATAGGCACTTTGCTTGAAAACAAATCGATTTCTCAATCCGAGGAACAAAAATGAATTTAGCAATCCATAATGAGAATTTTCTTCTCACCAGATCGAATAAGTATGCATTATACAATGCTTTCGTGAAGTGCTGAATGAATTCATTTTTAGCCCAATTATACATTCCTGAGACATCTTCCAGTGTTATTTCATGCTCCTTCCCCCCAAGGAGGAAATTTGTTTAGTTACTATGGTAACGATACGAAATACAGCCTTTTTTAATTGGTCGAAAATGTGATTTGTGAAATTTTCAATGATAATTCAGAGATATGAGTTGAGACAAAAAAAACTAGATTTCATCACAAATTAGAAAAATGACCAAAAGTTCGAAATATTTAAGTTGAGATGATCCTGTATATCAGTAGTATATACAGGGTGTTGCGAAATTCGACCGACAACGCTTGACAGGTGATAGCCCTCGTGATATCATAATCACTGAGATAGGGACATACGGTCTTCAAGTGATCAGTTCTCGAGATACAGGGCGTTGAAGTTGAGAAATTAAAATAGTTTTTTCGCAATATCTCAAGAAAAATTGAATGCAATGCATTCAAATTCGGTATATGGTTTCATCATAGGTATTATAGAATTCTTAAGTGGATTTTCAATAGTATATTTTTTCTTTGTTGTATATGATAATTATGTATATTGTTTAGCTAGTTTTCCGAGACCAGCATGTCAGTGCTGCTTTGGAAAGCCTTTTTTGAATAGTGTTGTTATTCCAGATAACTTAATACTGTGACTGTAACCATTGCTGCATTATTCGAATAAAGTTCTTGAAAAAAAATCTTTCAATGGTTAATTTTTCGAGAATTTTATCCAGAGGTGCGCTACAGAGGGTTGTTATAACTTTTCCTCCCATATTTTCTACGCCACTGATGAAATTTCGATTATCTCCAATTTCTCGAATTGATTGTTCAATTATGTTGAGAAAATGCATCACCTTCAACTGAGCTAAAATGAACAGTTATCGAGATATTTGACCTAGAGTAGAAGTTTGCATAGTAATTTTTCATTTTCCTCAGTAGTAGAAGATTACAAAAATTGTTGTTTTCTCTTCATGCGTGGAATAACTATTTCTGTTCAGCTACAGAATGAGATCTGAAAAGTATCTAATCTACTCAACAACAGAAACATATTTTTGCCTACTACTGAAAATTATGAAATATTACTATGCAATCTTCTATTTTGGGTCGAATATCTCTAAAACTGTTCATTTCAGCTCAGTTGGAGGTGATGCATTCTTAGAACAAAATTGAACAATGAATTCGAGGAATTGGAAATATTCGAAATTTAATCAGTGGCGTAGAAAATATGGGAGGAAAAGTTGCCACAACCCCCTGTAGGGCACCACTGGATGAAATGTCCGGAATGGCTTCCTGGTCGAAAAATGACTCATTAAAAGATGAAATCATATACCGAAGTTGAATGCATTATATTCAATTTTTCTTGAGATATTGCGAAACAACTATTATTATTTCTAAACTTTAACGCCCTGTATCTCGAGAACTTAGCACTTGAAGACCGTATGTACCTATCTCAGTGATTACAAAATCACGAGGGCTATCACCTGTCAAGCGTTGTCGGTCGAATTTCGCAACACCCTGTATAAAAAAATATCACTATTGATAAGATAAGGTGTAAGAAATTATCGATAGCTGAGGTTTTTCGAATATGCCGATTTTAATTATTATTAAAAAAAAGTAATTGTGATGATTCTGAATGACGAATGATTGCATCGAATAATACTCATACACGGAATTATCAATATAAAAAAGGTATGAGGCGTAAATTCCTTGTGTGTACAACCTCATTTTGGGCTATGAAACATTCACTAAAATGTCTGAGACCTCTTTTTCATTCAAGGAAACACCAAGTACTCTCGTTCAAAAATGAAAGACAAAGAAAGATTTGTTCCATTCTGGTAACGGTGGTGGGAAAAGAATGACGTTTACAACTAGAACGAGAAACTTCATGACCTTGAATGAGAGAATTGATGATGTAGGTTATATTTATAAATTGGGGCTCCGAAAAATATCAAAATCATAATACTAGAGTTGAAAATCAAGAAAATGAATCAACGCATACTCCGAGCAGTGATTGTGGTGATTGGATAAAGTTCTCTTAGGTCGAGATTGGATAAAGTTCTCTTAGGTCGAGATAATTCATTTTATCTGGGCATGAAGATATGAAGCCTGTCTTACTTGAAAAGATAATCAACTTGTGAACCTCACGATTCAAATGTCTTCTACTTTCGAAAAGTTTAGTTTTTTCGACAATCTTCTTTAATATTTCGACAACTGTCAACAGTCATTCCACGTCATTTCTTGTAGTGAAACGAAAGGAAGTAGCAACCGAAATCGGATAAATAAAACGCAACTACTGAGTGTCTGTACTCTAAATATACAGAAACGTCAAAAATAAAGTGGCAGGTATGTACATTTAGGAACTCTAATCTTACCCTGATCGTTCAAGTTCAGCTTCATGCGATCCTTGCTCAACAAAGGAGACTTTTCCGACTTGCTCGACCGTTCGTGACTTCTCGACATGCCCGGCGAGGCATAGGAGCCCGTGGGCGATTCTTCTTCTTCGTTGAAGGGGGCGGACAAGCTGAGGTCGCCCAGGAACATTCTGCGCACGATGGACCGTCTGTACCAGGCTTTGGGGAACGCTAGGATCTCCGTTAATCGTCTCATGTCGTATTTGAATGAGGCTGAACCGATGTCGATTATCGCTGAAATTACGTGAGAGTACAAAATAGAGTACTGTTTCTAAATAACCTTACAGGAAATGCCTGGAACTACTAGGCAAACGGTTTACGAAATTTAGAGTTACGCAATATGTGAAATAACTCTAGGCATTTCAGGGAATACCGGATTTCACTGTTTGACGCCGACATATACAGTGTCATTCATAAAGTTGGCATCATATGGGAAAAACATTTATTAATGACTTATTTTGAAATTCGAGTTGGAAGTTGAGTTTTACTTCAAAAAAGATGGGAAATGGCCTACTCAATCGGGGTCACGTGACTTTCGCTACATGTCAAAAGTGACATTCTTTCAAATTAATTGCTGAAAGTAGGCTTATTTGTTCGAATATCGAAAAAGTTTAGTTGAAAAAGTTGTTTCTGTTTCAACTTTACGAATTCTCCTCAAATTTGATCTTTCTATTGCAACTTTTAGATTGTTATTTTTTTTTCAATTTTTCGAAATTTCTGTAATATTTAAAGAATTGTTAATTCCACAAAACTACTTCATACCAGTATATTTTTCATGCTACTAACTTTCAATTATTCATTATCACTGATTATGGACAGAAATATGATTTTCTTCAGAAAATGATAATACCCGCTTCCGAATTCTGTTATATTTGATGCACAGTTGATATATCGTCAAGCATTTAGAAACGAAATTCATTTGAACTGATTTTTTCAGTACTGAAAAGATGCCGAAGCCATCGATCAAAATATCATCATACTTCATGTATCTGAGTAATATTTAGTGTTTTTATAAAACAAATCTATCTTGAATCCATGATTATGTACACTAGTGTGAATACTCAATGCTTGAATATAATTGCTACTGGCCCAGCTATGAACAGTCTTTGAAATTGAACAATTTTGCAGGAGAGTAGGCTTTGGAGATGAATGAAATGGGTAGTCAATGACAACAATTTCATATTAATCATTGTTTGACAGTAAAATACGTGGTTTTATACTTTTGAAGCAAATAAATGTGAGAATGTTATCGATACAAGAAAAAATTGAAATCATTTTAATGTGTGGAGAAAATACACCCCATCGACAAGTTGCTGAAGATTTTAATTTCCGACATCCGGAAAGAAATATACAGCAGTCGACTGTTAGTAGAATCTTGGCAAAATTCAAAAGTAGGAGGTTCCATTTTAAATGATTTCAAAAAACCACATAATCCAATGGAAAACAATGAGGAAGTGCAATTGAATATCTGTTTGGATGCATTAGAGCATGTATTTTCATACTTTCTTTTTGTAAATTGTATAATTGGCTTGTCCGTTATTTGATAAATAAATAAATAAATAAATCTATCTAATTTGTCTTCATTGCCTACTCTCCTGCAGAATTATTGCTGAAAATCAAAGATGTAGTTCGATGATATTTTGATCGATGGCTTTGGCATCTTTTCAGTACTGAAAACATCAATTTCAATGGATTTCGTTTCTGACTCAAACATAACAGAGTTTTGATGTTATGTTTGCATCAAACATAACAGAATTTTGAAGCGGAGATTTCATTTTCTGAAGAAAATCATATTTTTGTCGATAATTAGTGATAATTATTAATTTAAAGTTAGTAGCATGATGAAGCTACTAGTATGAAGTAGTTTTATCGAATTTACAATTTTTTTAATATTACAGAAATTTCGAAAATTTTCAAAAAATATCGAAATCTAAAAAATATAATAGAAATATAAAATGTCACATATGTAAAATATAAATAGAAACAACTTTTTCAAGTAAACTTTTTCGATATTCGAACAAATAAGCCTACTTTCAGCGATTAATTTGAAAAAATGTAACTTTTGGCATGTAGCGAAAGTCACGTGACCTCGATTGAGTAGGCCATTTTTCATCTCTTTTGAATCAAAACTCAACGTCCAACTCGAATTTAAAAATGAGTCATTAATAAAAGTTTTTCCCATATGATGCCGACTTTATGAATGACACTGTATATCTTCTTCTTCGAAGCACTGGTGGGCGGGTGAACACCCCTGCACGTAGGCCTCCTTATTCGGGCTCATTGTGCGCCCACATGTTCCGACATTCAGCTGGGTATGCCAACTTCCTTGGAGAAGTTCAGCAACTTCCTCAGCTGAATCTCTTTCACGTCATCTTGCCTCAAACTTATGTTGCCAAGGACAGCCCTCCTCTGATGTATCAGTGCTGGGCACTCAGTGAGGACATGCGATGACGTTTCGTCATCTACCAGGCACCATCTGCAAAGGGGATCATCTTTGATCCCAATAAGCTCTAGGTGCCTATTGAGGTGGTTGTGCCCCGTTAGGAGCCACACTACCATTTTAAGGTCTCGCCTGTTGAGGGATAAAACCTCTTTTGTGAGCCTCTTCGAAGGTTCCTTTATGTGGAGCTTCGATTGTCTCATTCCTGGTGTGTCTTGCCATATTTTGAGGAATTGCTTTTGCAGCTGTCCCTCTATGGAGGACATTGCCAAACTGTTGGTATTCCCAAGATTGGTTCGACATATATATATAATGAAGAAAAAAAACATTGTTCATGAAAGATAGCTTGCAAGCTGAGAATGCAGATGTAGGAACAGCTTATTTACCTTTATATTGCTAAACATTTTGCCATCTTCCTAAAAATCACCCCTACATAGACAGTTTGTCAAAGTGAGAAACGAATTATGAGTGATGAGTAAACAAATCGATGTTCCACACATAAATGATTCAGTAGAAGGAATATCAATAAGGAAATATTGTATGAATGTATGTTCGTTGAAGGGGGCGGACATGCTGAGGTCTCCCAGGAACATTCTGCGCACGATGGACCGTCTGTACCAGGCTTTAGGGGACGCTAGGATTTCTGTGAGACGTACTTGAATGAGGCTGAACCGATGTCGATAATCACTTAAAATTGTCATGTTGGACAGCTGTCGCAATTTTTTGTTGCATTGCAGAAAATGGGTCCGGACCTATTTTTATTGCGGAAACTCGTATTGCTGATGCATTTCTAGTGATAAAATGGTGGATTTTCGGTATTTCATGCATTTATGCAGGCATCATTAAATGCGAATTGAATATTATACTGTTCTCATGGTTTCTTTAACGCGACTCAAAACTTAATGAAGAGCAAAACACAGATTATTTGACAAAAATACATTGCAAGCCAGTCATTCCATTTCTGTGTCAAATAGCCTGCAATAAATATTGGCTGTAGTTTGAATTGCAGCAATCAATTGCATGCAATAAAAAAATTGAGAGCTGTAAAGCGGCTCTTATAGAAACAAATCGCTCTTATGGACGTAAGCTAGTGACTTCTATTTGTGTTATACTAACCCTAGGAATGTTTCGTATTCTTGTCGATATCCACCTTTGTGTCAAGTTTGTCAAAACAAATTTCTCATAATGAAACATTTTGACTATAAATATTGTTCATACCATACCAACACACCACCCTCTGTACTCTTTTATTTTTCTCAGTGGATTTTTTTTTCATTCTCGAAATACAGGATTTGTTTTCATTGTCTGGGAAGATATACAGAGAGCAGCAAAAAGTGTATGAATTTTACCATTGGAATGACCTTTTCAAAAATACCGTACTCAATATATTCATCTCCTGTATTTTTCAATTTATAGGCTTCCAAAGCTAACAGAGTTTGATCGATTTTTGAACGATTTTTGACATTCAATTCTCATTTGCGGTGATCACTGAAAATCAATATTGTAATAATAATTGACACTTTCGAAAATCATTCAAAATCAATAATCGAGACATTAATAAGCACTGAAGTGAAAAAAATAACGCGACAAGGTTAAGGCACCCAGGACTGATTTACTGTCTCTTTCACAGTCCAATCAATATAGTCAATTTTCAACTACTAAACTATATAGAAGAAATAGCTCTTTTATCCTTCAGACATTAACCCATTAGTGCATAATGTGTTTTATAATGGACGCTCTTTCTATAATTTTTTGTGACGTCAATCATGCAGGCATTGAATGTTTCATGCGCCAGAACTATTAGTGTAGTTCAACAACAAACAGCTATCGCTTCTATTTCATGAATTTTCATCTCCACAATATTCTGCACGTGATCAAATGGATAACATTTTGTATTGTACCCGACAAGGAGGGTAAGTATTTATTATAACGCAGTATAATGAATTTCAGAAGTTCATATACCTCAAGATCTCATTATATGCTTGTGTTTATGAACCTATAAGGTGATTCGAATAATTTTTTTTTGTAAGACACTCAAAATATTGCTTTTGTGTTGTGTCCATTATAATGGACTCTATGCTTATCGGTCTTCAAGATTTTTTTGCAGATCATTCTTAGAACACTTCTTAGACATATGGAAAATGGCTCAGATATCGATCAACCAACGGATATGCATATATTATATTGCCTCCAGAAGAAAAGTTGGCAGAAATGCAGTTATTCGAATTTAGGAACTGCGAATCCAAAATAAATCATATTTCTAAAGGAATTATCGAACAGCCGTGCGACTTTCGTTATTCTGATCTTATTTTGATGGGATTGAAGATAATATACATCTTTGCATTATGAAAAGAAATATTATAGCATCAAATGATTGTACGTTATACTGCAGTACGTCAACTATAGACACGACTCCATCCACTCGTCCGACTCCTCTTTTTCTTCAACGGGTTCACATTTCCCTCTACTAGATCGTGTGGAGAGCACCAAAAAAAAAGGTCTGAAAGTATCATCCTAAATAATTTCTTGATATGATGCATTTCCATATATCCTTCAGCTGAATTCCATTCAGTAGAGTATACAAAATTGCGATTTTATATGTAAAATAGGACTGCATCTGAGAGATGCTTCAAAATGTATCAAGTCATCATGATGTATAATTTTTGAATGAGTATACATCTTCAGAATAAAGAGATTAGAAAAAAAGTTACTTCATGCACTAATGGGTTAACTACTATTCATGAATATTTCTAGGATTTCATGTGAACTCGAATTTCGTACTTACTCGAAAATCTGATGACAGCTCGACTCTGATCGCCTCCTTTGCCTTTCGTCGTTTCCTGCTTGAAATTCAGCATTCTCGAGCGCGACAAATGGAATTTAACGAACTCGACGTTGATGGAAAGCGAATCTTTGCGTTCGCTGTCCGCCAAAGGGGACCATTGGGTCTCTTTGAGAGCGGACTTTTTGCCCCCGTAGGGATGGAAAACGTAGACGGAAAAGTCTGACAGGCAGCTGGTGACGCTCAAACCTCCTACGGCTGTGGCTGCTGAATTAGGAGCATCATCCCCAAACTCACTGAAATATACATTCGGAATATTGCAAGAACCAGTTCAATAGGAAACTACCATACATGCAGCAGATACAGTACTTATACAGGGTGTTATTCAAGTACGTGGCCAAACTTGAAGGGGTGATTCTTTGAGTGATTCTAAGACGAAAAGTTCATATAAACATAGATCCGGTAATGCTTCGTTTTCAAGATACAGGGTGTCAAAATTTTTAAAAGAAATCGTTTTTTTCGTAAATATCTTAATAACCCTTCAACCGATTTTATTGAAATTTGGCAGTGTTATTCAAGGTCGTTAAGGGCTAATTTAACCCTAACTATATCAAAATTATCATGTCCAGTGGCGTCCCGGAAGGCACTGTAACCAATATTTTTGACAGAAAAAATGTGCGCCACTGATTTTTTTGCAATTTTCGTATTTGTTTCACATTGAGCAACTAAAATTTAAACTTTTTTATATCTAGAATTTGATTCGTATCTTGCTTTGTTTTTGAGAAAAAACATAAAAATCACTTCATTGCACATCCCTGTGACAACACAATGAAACATTTCAACTACTAAACCATCAAAAACTGGGGTCTTACTAATATTTTTTTTACTCTATTTTAGTCTTGGAATTTTCTATCAAAATTAATGCAATGAGAAAACAAAATATATGTATGCATGAATTGCAGCACTTGCCTTCGGCTCTTGGCTTCGGCTCGTCACAGGGATGTGCAATGAAGTGATTTTTATGTTTTTTTCTCAAAAACAAAGCAAGATACGAAAAAAATTCTAGATAAAATTAAGTTGTAATTTTAGTTGCTCGATGTGAAACAAATACAAAAATTGCAAAAAAATCAGTGGCGCACATTTTTTCTGTCAAAAATATTGGTTACAGTGCCTTCCGGGACGCCACTGGACATGATAATTTTGATATAGTTAGGGTTGAATTAGCCCTTCACGACCTTGAATAACACTGTCAAATTTCAATTAAATCGACTGAAGGGTTATTAAGATATTTACGACAAAAACTATTTCTTTTAAACATTTTGACACCCTGTATCTTGAAAACTAAGCATTACCGGACCTATGTTTATGTGAACTTTTCGTCTTAGAATCACTCAAAGAATCACCCCTTCAAGTTTGGCCACGTACTTAAATAACACCCTGTATATTATGAGAATGAAAAACCCGTAATGGGGAAGTTTCTTTCAGATGAATTTTTATAAAATAAGTTCGGAACTCTCCAGTTTTATGTCCACGCTTTACAGAATGGCGACCGATAAAGTCCAAGTCGTTTTCCTTTTCAAATTGAAGCAATTTTTAATTTTCGGGGCGGCAAATTGTGACGTACATTCTGAATCTAGTCTGAAAATAGCTGATGGTGAAGAATATAGCTAGTGAATAGCTAAGGAATAGCAAACGAATGAAAAATAGAAAAAGTAAAACTAGTAAACAAAAACATACATAACCACAAATGCACTCGAAGCAGGAATATAGAGGGTAGTTGGTTTCATTCTGACAGGTTATGGATTTGTTATTTATGCATTGAAGTATCTCGAATAGAGCTCGATCCTAAACGAAAATATTATTGAATCAATGAATCACTATCGGCTACATTCAATGATACTATCCTTCCTAATTTACTGTCATCGGTCAGAACAGAATGAAACCGACACCCATGGCTCCTTCCTCTTGTTGTGCCTGTCAGTATTTTGAGTGGTGTGGACGGACTCGAAGTATTAGGCGCTGTTGCAAGATATCTACAACTTTCCTAAAAATTAGATCCGTTTTATTAAAAAACGAATACATTAGCAAAAAAATGACTGACAAGTTATGAAAAATTATAGATACGATCGCAAAATATCATAATTTATCTTCATTAGTAATCAACTTCATTCAGCCAATGAGAGATTTATGGGAATTATTCATAATACTTGATAAATTAGAATTGACGAACCTATTATATTCTATTGCTGTTATGATATAGTTATTATGCATTCAAAGAACGATTTTCGGAAATCTAGACATATTGATGGCGATTGATTGATTACAAGAGAAACGTAACTTGAATACTTTGGAGGACGCACGGCAGATACTGACTCGAATTTGAGAAGACCTGAATCAAAATGACATAAGGTCTTTTATTTTAAGTATAGACTGTCTTTGCCAAGAAGTTATTCTTGCCCGATGTGGAAATACTCGTTACATTCCCTTTCGTTCAACTTGTATCTTCTCATTCTGTTTCACTCTTTCGTTGTTAAATTTGGATATCAATTCTTACGCTATGAAATTTTATTTCTGGAGTAATATGGAAGATCATAGAGTGAACCCAGAAAAGAAATGTTGAAGAAAGATAAGCCTACAGTGTAATTTAAATAATTCTAACTTTATATTGTAACTATTAGACTACAAATTTCATGAAAAAAAAACCTATAATTGCTGCACCCGGTGTATAAATGATTGGTTTTTATGCGAATACATAGTTTACACACCAATGTTCAGAAGGCGATAGCCTGTCATTCAAAACAAAAAACGTTCAAATCAGACAACTACTTTTGACGAGAATGTATCTTAAACTTTTGGATAATGTTTGGTAGTTAGTTAATTTCTTGGAGGAGTGGATATTATAAGAAAAGGTGGGCAGCAATATGGAAAATATTACTGAAAAAATCTCAAAAAACCAAAACCAATCAATCCATTACCTTGTTTTTCCGCAGAAGATGGGTTATGATAAGAGGAAAAGAATATACAGTTTGGTAGTGAAGAATATTATTTCTACGGGACGGCTGAAGCCTAGTTGCATGAATTAACTTAAAAAAACCTGAAAAATGTTCTTCTCACCTGTAGAGTAGTTCATCTTCTGCTCTTTTGGAACTGAAAACGATATCCAGAGAAGGCAGTTGCAATAGGCATTCGACTCTGGAAACTGGCAAACAACTAAATCTGAAAGTACTGGGTTGCATGTGGAAATAAACGATGACATCAACTGGGAAACTCGCATAGACGTAATTTCCGTAATTTATATCTTGGTCTGTAGATAACAATGATGAGCCTAGGGAAATCAAAAGCATTAGTTTTCTGCTCAGTTTCAATGTTCAAGAATTATTATCATCTTACCTGTATCACTGAGTGCTTTGACTGGAATAGGTTCGAGAGTTTGTTCTAAAAATTCTAGAATATGCGGACTGATTATTGTTTCTTCTGGGACACTCTGGAGTGTCATCCATGCGAACAAAGAAGCTTTCTTCATGCCCGATTTTTTGCCGAATGACACATTACCACCTGAAAAAGGAAAATTCAAACTTTCCACACTAGACATGAACCATTTTTGTCACAATATTCCAATATATCCATATATATTCCATCTATCGTCAGATTTCAGACAGCTCAACGTCACAGCAGTGAGGATTTCATTATCGAACTATCTAGTCAACAACTTGTAACCAGCGATACTGTGAAATTTCTGGGTATTGAACTAGACAAGAATTTAAATTTCAAAACACATTGTGAATCATTAACATCTAAACTTAACTCATTCTATTACTTGATATACAATTTGAAGACTATTTTGACTCATAAACAATTGATGAACTTTTACTATGCACAGGTGGAATCTCGTTTGAGATATGGAATTAACTTCTGGGGCAATTCCATACATTCTAAGAACATATTCATTGCACAAAAACGAATTGTAAGGCGCTTAACAGGAAAACCAAGACAACACTCTTGCAGAGATCTTTTCAAAAAACTGAACATATTAACTCTGACTGGATTATTCATTTTTGAGATATGTTTATTTGTCCATAGAAATAGAGAAGTTACACCGAAAAATTATGATACGCACAATTTCAATACGAGACAAAAAAATAACTTGCGGATACCCTTTGCCAGATTGAATATTACCAGTTCATCGCCAAACTTTATTGGGCCAAGATAATTCAAATCAATACAAAACTGTGAAAAGGAAATAGAATTCAAAAAACAAATCAAAATATTTTTAGTTGGCAAAGTTTTTTATACTGTGAACGAGTTTTTGTGTACGTAATATTCCTATTTGTCATATACACTCATTAGTATGTAAGTTTTCTAGTTTTTTCTTTTTTTAGTTCGTAAGTTTCATAGTTTCTTAGTATCTTTGACTATTCCTATACAATGTATGTTGTCAGTTATGGAAAATAAATGATTTGATTTGATTGATTGATTGATATAACTGGGCCTAGAGATTGACTTCACCTGTTGTGAATTGGAGAAAGCAAATATGCCCAACGCAAGCAAGATTCGATTATCTGTTTCAATACATTAATTTGAAATACCTGGAAATTGAACTGTCTGACCAACTGAAATATTCATCAGTATTATTTATTTTATCAGCGTGATCAAAGTACGTACCTACCCTCTGATTGTCGTTCTAAACGGAATTCTAGTGGGCGAAATATAATATTGTCTGGATATTGGAAAAAAATGCAAACATCGCCAATTTCGAAGATGTTTTCAGTAAGCTAGTGACCTCTATTTCTAACTGAGCAAATGATTTGTTATCCTAACCTTAGAAACATTTCTTATACTGACATTTCAAGAATAAACATTGTTCATACCAACACAACAATGAGAGCAAGCTGCATAACGAAAAAAACTTTATACAGTGAGGATCACAAGTTCGTTGCCCTCCCTTCCCATAACTTCTCTATTTTACATCACAAAAATGTTGAAAGCTTTCAGAAGGTAAGGATAGGGAAGTGAAATACATTTTATTCCATTTGTAACGGTTTCCTCACTGAAGAGGTGCAAAAATAGTCGAAAAAATAATGTTTTTTATTTTAGGGATTAAACTTCGAATAAAGTCAGAATAGAGTCGAAGGTGTTATCTAGTAGTTAGTCAATATTAGGTAAGTTGGGCTTGCAATATCAATAAATATATATGAGACAGCATCGCCAAGGACAGTTTAAGGTAGGTACTCACTCCATTTAATTTGTAATGTTTCATTCTTTCTCGTTATAAGCTCGCCAGTTTCGTTCATAACAGTATTATGATTCTTTTCGAAATAATATTGTTGGATGCCATTTCAAACGTCAGTGGTAAAAGATCGCATAAATGTCACATCCTATCAGTTTTTGACATAACTTCGAATGAGCACTAACCACTTGAGGTGGGGCCTTAGAGTCGTTTCCATTTGACTCTGAATTAGGAAACCCGAACACTAGAATTCGTAATTCTAGGAGTTCGTATTTCAAACTCAAGATAGAATTTATATAAATTAGAAATAAAAGAATTGATCCCTGGGGTACACCACAAGATATGTTAATGAAGAAAATGAATCTCCCATATACACGAACTGTTTTCAATCAACTAGATAATTTTCAAACCAAGGGTAAACTTTTCCTCTTATTCCTATTAGAGCAAATTTCTTCAATAGAATTTCAAAATTGACTGTATCAAATGCCTTTCGAAAATCCAGTGATAAGAGTCCACATCTGTAGTCTGAATCTAATTTCAGCTGAATGTCAGTAATAACATCCAGTGTTGCACATTCATTGTCACAGGATTTCCGAAAGCCATATTGACCATCAAAGAGAAATTTAATTTTTATTAAATAATCAGATAATCTTTTATGCATAACTCTCAATAATTTTGGATAATGTTGGTAGCAAAGAAATGGGCCTATAATTATTCATTGAATATTTTTCTCCATTTTTGTAAATTGGTAACACTTTTGCAATTTAACAGTTTTTGGGGATCGAACCGGTTTCAAATGTTATATTTATCAATTTAGTTAGTAATGGCATCAATTCTGATTTAACTGCTTTGACTATATGAACATTAATGTCATCAAAGGCTGGTGCTTTTTCATTATCCAGATCATTTATGATTTCTTCAAGCTCCTGAACATCAGTTGGTTTCAAAAACATTGAACTCATGCTGGAATCTCCAATAACATCGAATGATTTATCTATCTACCTGAAAACGTCTTTTGCGACTCGTTGGGAGGCGTCACATTACCGAACTGCAGCTCATCGAAGCTAGTCTTGCTCGAGGTCGGACTGTGCCCGTAATTCGGATTCGTGATGCCCTGCATCGAGCTCGAGCTCTTCAACTCGTACTCGTCCGAATAATCCCCACCGACCTCCTGTCGCTTGAACGCCCTGTCGATTCTCATCTGCTCCGAGTCCCCGGAAGTGGCCCGCGGTCCGGACCGTGACTGGAACGCCCTGTCGAAGTCCGGGGGAGTATCGAAGGCCGGATCCTCCTTAATGACCTGTTAGAATAATTGAGAGACATTTTTCGCGAATATTCTGTGATTTCTATCCCCACCAGCTGAGAAGAAGCAAAGAAGAGCATACGATTTTACGGTGTACACGCGATACGACAACCGTTTTTATTTATTATATAACTCTCTCTTGAAAAGGAATATTCTCAGATATATTAATGAACACAAAAAATTGATATATACAGGGTGATTCACATAAGAACCGACATAGAGCAGGGGCATGTAGGGGGCCCCGAAATATGGCAATTTAACGCAACTTACCTTCATACCAAGTTGCTTCCCAAAGGAGATATAGGCTTTGAAAGTGAAGTTATAAATTTTGAAAAAAACCAATATCTTCGTTATTCTTGAACTTAAAGCAACCAAATTTGTTACACTTTGTGGATGTATTTAGGGCGTTACTTGACAGTAACTAGAGTTCAATTGAAATTTGTAAAGGGGGTATACCGGGTGGCACACCATCAATATTCAACATAATTTTGTTATCCCTTGATGGATTTCGAAAATCTTTGCTTTGTTTTGTGGACAATTCAATTCTAAAACTTTTCTTACTCTAGTAATTTTTCGAAAAACCTCATCATTTTCATCAAAAACTCGAATAACTGAAAACGCGCGCTCTAGGTGTGTTATTTAAAATCATCGAAAATTCAAAAGTTGGCTATGAAAATAAACGTCAAACTTGACAATGAGGCAAGTGAGTTGTTCAATTAAGTAATTGTTGTTCGAGTGTTTTTAAAATGAACGGGAAGTTTTCTTTAAACGAGCAAGTTGACATGCTGTGCTATGCCTATAACTCCTTAGGGATGTAACTTGGTATTATAGAGGTAAGTTGCGTTAAATTGCCATATTTTGAGACCCCCTACATGCCCCTGCCCTATGTCGGTTGTTATGTGAATCACCCTGTATATATATAAAGAAATACATTGAGAATTCGCATTCTCCATGTGATGAAAATATCAATTCTTTCTCGGTTTATTCAACAGAAAACAACTACTTTCATGGCTATATGCCACGACGAATATTAAATTATATAAATCTATTGAACAAACACGATAAGAATTTGAAAACAAAATCTTCTGAAGTAGAGAATTTGCATTCTTCTTCATATTAAGATATTCACATAATATCATTCTGAATATTCAACAGAAAACAACTACTTTCCTGGCTATTTGCCACGTCGAACATTGAATTATATCTGTTGAATATCCAAAAATAGAGCATGAAAAATCAAAATCCTCTGAAATTGAGAATTGACATTATCTCTCAAATCGAATAGAATAATATGATGTATTATGATATAAAAATATAACTTACCAATACGTTCAGTATTGAAATGAAAATTGAAATGTATAGGAGAAGTATATTTGTATGAACTATGATCTTGATGAGCTTGGAACTTCCAAAAAAATCATTCGTATCAGTGATATGGGAATTATATCTCTCACAAACAGGTTATATGACTTCACTAGAGGAAAACTAATTTCGGATATCAAATCCTCATCAGTATATACGCCACTGAACAGCACCGTTTTCAATCGTATACAATGAACAAAGAATAATAATAATTATGATAAAAACCTTGGATTGGTACTGGATTTTAACATCCATTCCGGGTATATGGAAGATGGTCAAGTCAGAAATAGAATTGTGAGGATTGCCACGCAGCTTAGAGCTACTCTGGTTCAGGAACTTCTCCTTATTTTTTCGCACTGCATCTGGACTAGAAGAGGACGATGGAAATTCCAAAAGTCCAGCTGAACAACTGCGATCTTTTCTCATACGACTGCTGCAAACACATCGAATTATGTTAATAGTAATCTTCCATTTTGATTGTAATGATGAGGGTGTTATACTAACTTTTTGACTTCTTCTTCTCGTATGGGGTCTTTGGTGTGCAAAACGCACTTTCCGCTATTGATGAACACTTTCACGTCCAGTTCTAGATCGATGTTGGGCTCTTGTGCTTTCTGGGTCATGGTAGATTGAGATGTGTTAGAATTTGTGCCCTTGTAGGGACTTGAACTTAGCGGAGGGTCCATAGGAAACGAGTCCATGAACGACCTACAAAATTTACCAGTAAAATCTGTTATACACCTAGTTTATCTGTATATCGAATATTTTTTCGATTTTGGCTAATTGGGACAGATAATTACCCTTCCACTGACTCATAGGAAGCTGGTAGTTTCTTCCTGAGCGTTACTTTCTCACCGTCAACGTCTATTTGGTCTACCCAATCACCCAATTGGGTATCAGGAAGGCTCAAGTCTGAACTAGTGCTAGGCAGAGATTTTTGCCTAAAAAGTTACAATCGATAAAGTTCATACTGGCAACACGCTGAGCTTCACTGTCAATACTGACTGATTTTCTGTCACAAGATAAATAAAATGAACGAATAGTGACATCTAGGCTATATTCTGTAGTATTCAGTACTGACTCTACCTACAGAACTTCTGAACTTGTCTTGATTTTTCGTAAATTGATTTTTGTCCGGTATAGATTCTACAATGATCATATAACATTATGTGAACGATTTCAATTGATTCCTTTCTAGATAAAAATTTTAGTCAATAAAACAAGACACTTAATTAATGACACAACGACAAATGGTCAAATATGGAGGCATACAACAAATTAGTTACTATGGCAACGGCATTTGTTTTTTTAAAGACAATGTGATCCTACCAGAGTAGCACCCAATCAATTTTGAGTACTCTGATCCTTCAATAAATTTAATTTGTGGGATAAACGTGAGGTATCAGCAAAAAAGCTGTAATTCGGAAAATTTTAGAGATAAATCAATAAATAAAAAAACAAAATGCTCGCAAACGAAGCCTCTTTCGTATAGGGTGTAAGCACTTTCTATGCCATTACTCAATTAACACACAAGGTGAGTCAAAAATTAAAAATAAATCATGGTTCGAGTTATTCCACCACCATCAAGGAGGCTTTGAAGAAATGTTCACCTCTTTATTTTTTATTAAAACAAATGCATTACCTACCAACAAATGAAAAATAATAAACATCGGCCTACAATTTTTTTTAAGAAGATAGGTCAAATATCAAGTGCGTCACTTTTTTTGGAACTGAGTGTATTAGTAAGTTTTATTCCAAATGTACTTAGTTGATTCGCTTTTTCAATACAGTTCCCTCATTCAAACTGATCGCTTTTATTTCAATGTAATTTACTCAAATTATTCTTTGACATGTTTTCAATTATCTACATCGGGACACAAAAACTGCAATAATCTTTCAAAAATCAGATAATTAACTACCTCGTCCTCAATGATCTTTTTATTGACCCACAAAATCCACATATTCGTTTTGTTCTTTAGTGAAGTTGAGTGATTACAGGTATAGAATTTCAAAATTCCCGCCTTATTCAACTGTGTCATACTGTCATGCGCAGTAACGAACTAACTGTCTTGTAGGGACTTTCCATACTCACCTGCCCATCGTTTGGGTATCGCTGAATGTCACTCTGGGTCCGTGGTCGCCAGTTTTGACACGCAAAGATGCGGATCTTGATGGACCCAGTCTAGGTGAGCTTTCATAACTGCTGACTACGTTGGTTTCTAGGCTAACTTTGGTCAGTTCAGGGCTAAAATTCGCACCGGAAGATATTCAGATTATGGATGAATGAATGATTATATGAACTTATTATTGCCTTGAGGCTTGAATCATGTCAAAGGTAGCATTTGAATTGAAGGTTAGGTGGGAAGCTTCAAACAATAGTGGTACTTTTTATGCAAGGCAGTGGAGAAAAATAAATGTTAGATCAATTGAACAAAAGTCTCGATTCAAGAAAGCTTTTAGGAATATGAAATTGGATTTGATTCAAACCATTAGCTAAATAAAAATTGAGTAGTCTACTTGTCCTATTGTTCCAAGAATGTTAGGGAGTACTCTTATAATAATGATTTAGCTTATACCTTCATTGCTGATACATTTTCTACACATTTTACTACACTACACATTCTTTCAAATAACCTAGAATATGATAACCAAGGGCTTACTTTTTATTTAGCTAAAGATAGGAAGAAACCACTTGTATATGGAGTAGAAAAGCAATCATATGAATCACAAATCAGTCAGAGTTAGAGCAGAAAAAAAGGCAATCGAAAATGTTTGAAGAAAAATAATACAAACCTGCCACCGATTTCAGCAATTGTACTAGGGACTACTACTAAAGATTTCGACCTAAGAAAAAGAAAAATAAGAAATCATAAGAGAAGTCAAGCAAACGGTTTACAGATTGAAGTGGCAGTAAGAAGCGAAGAAACAACCAGAAGGGCATTTTTTGTACCTGTCACGACCCTCTGGCATTGGACTGGGCACTACGAACGACTTGGACCTGAAAGTGCTGGATTTTGAGCCCAAGCCAAACTTCCCTTTGATCGAAGAAGCTCTCATGCTTTGTCTACGTAACTTCTGTATCATGTCTCTGAAAAAAAAAGCATCAGTTTGTTAGAAAGTGGAGGAAAAGAACATTTATTTTTCAGGTGAAAGAATTTTTCTTTGTTTACATAAAGACGTGCTCTAAGTTAGACAGGGATATTACCGGTCCTTTCTCAGAGCTGTTCTACATTGAAAAATGTTCTAGGAAGGTCGCAGAAATAGAATAGGAGTAAGTTGAATAAATCTCAAAGGCGAGTTTCTTATTACCTCAGACCGATATCTAATAATGAAGCCTTGTAGGTTGAAACAGTACGAAATCTTGCCGACAATTTGGGCAATGGGCTTATATCACAAAAAAATTCCATTTCATAATTCGATAGAACTCACCCAAACTAGTTCACCACCGCAAACCGTTTCTTGCTGTGAGCTCCCTACGTTTTATAAAAAATTATTGAAATCCCCGATTTTTCGGACCTCTGAAAACGAGGCGATGATGTGACGGCAAAACTCTAATACTGAAACAAAACTATTCCAGACAGAGATGAATGATACATGAATTCTGACAGAGTGAATTAGCGCGAGATCACAGTTGAAGGAATTAATATATCAGTTGCCTCAGTCTCCGTCGGGCGTTTGGTATTTTCTTTTGACTATGGCGAGATGATGTCATAAGAGGGTCCGTTTTCAGAAGGTACTACCATTTATGTACAAAAATGAAACATTCCAGTTAATTTTTCGATCGAATTATGTCGTCAATCATTATTTATGTATAAAAGGATCATTATAAACATGGTTTGAGTTAAAAGTTCTACTAAGGTGTACACGCCCATTCTATTCATGCTATATCTCTCAATGATTGTGACTACCCTGCTATAGGAGGAGTTTACAATGAACTGAAAAGATTTTTCGATAGTCAATGATACGATGAAAATTACATGAGTGAGAAAAATCGAAAAAAAATATAAAAAAGAAAAGACTACCGAGACTCAGACAACAGCCAATTTCCGGAATATAAAAAAATATTTTCTATGAATAATTCATTTTTATTTGATTTATTTTGTTAAGTTTGTATTGTTTATCGTTCTTTATCTTGTTGCCGATATTATTTCTCTCCGAATGGTCCTTCACTTCGTTTGATTCGACGACGATCGTGCATTAACTGTTATCTTCGTTTGTGTTTCTCATAAATGACTTGATACTTGATTCCACTATTGATGAAAATTTCATGATGCATTGTTACCAAAAATATGTTTAATGTGGTTCAAAATCGAGATCGTAGGAGTCGGTTACATACAAGCAAGCATACATACATACATAAAGGTGAAGCTAATAAAAGAGTATTGAACAAGGTCAAATTTTACGATACTAAAAAGGCCCATGGGTTGCGTGCAAAATCTGTCAGATGACCGACCCTGGAGTTAAAACTTCACTATTCTTATTTGTTTACAAAGAATTGAAATAGTTTTTCACTATTATTTTGGCATACGAATCGTGTTTGTCGTGTTTGAATAGTCATTAATTCAAGAATTCCATCACATTGTTGTACAATGCACAAAAAAAGCAGCGAGAGACGAAGGAATCCCATTTTTCTGGAAGGTACATTGTGATCTAAAAGTACTATAGTCACTCATATGTAGTTTTCATCTTGAAATTATGTCATTTCTCATTGAAATTCCTTCTGCAATAGGAGCTAATAGTAATACTAGTGAAGTTTCTATAAGAAAGCCAGAATATTGGATTCATGCAATCAAACGGGAGGACTGGTCTGACGAAATATGATCGTGTGTGTTGTAGACATGTTCAATCTTTTAGCAGTATTAGCTTGTATTGCAGAAGTGGCAGAAGGAATTTTAATAAGGAATGACAACATTTCATAATGATAACTATGTGAGATTACTATTTACCAGAAAAATCATATTCCTTCGACTCTCACAAAAAACACGACTCGTACGCCAAAATATTGTGAAAAACTATTGAATCCTTTGATTCCTCTGTTATTGTGTTTCAATAATTCACAGAATAGTGAGGTTGTGTTCCAATATTTCACCTCCCGGGTCGGTCATCGGGCACACGACCTATTACGATATATACCTCCGGAAATCCTTGTAGACCATCGTTTCGAGTTCGTGCAGCCGCTTCATCTCCATCTCGATGGTACCGTGCGAGGCGCCCAAAGACCGCAGATCGTTGATGATCTTCGCCTGCTCGTTCATCTCCTTCTCGATCAGCTTCGATCTGCTCCTGTTGTCCAAGTTGGGGTCGAACATGAAGGCCGGCAGGATGCTCTCCTGAAAGCACAGGTGGCGATAGTGCGCGAAAATCACTGACATAACTGTTGAGAAACTCGGTATATTTTGGAAACATCTCTAGTAATAAGCCTAAGTGGCTGCAGGATACACGGAGACTATTGATCTGCCCACTCCCACGAAAAAAAAACGAAAAAAAAAGCTGTACCTGCGAAGCCCTCGTGCCATCCGTTTGATCGTTGTCATCGCTGTCATAATCCAAGCGGATAGCAGCATCTTCGACGCCCGTCAGCATCGTAAGGGTGTGCCCTAAAGCAGACAGTTGCTTGCCGACATTGGTGTCCAAATGGATGTCCACACCCTCCATTTGCCATTGGACGTTCAAGAACCACTTCGCGTTTTCTAGAGAGAAAGAAAGAGTATCGATTTTTTAATCATTGGCTCATAGAAAGAGAAAAACCTGTCTTTCCATGGAATGACCTACAATATAACGCTTGGATTTTTTCTGAAAATTGTCGAATAACAATTATTAACGAAATCCACTAGATTAAATTCATGATTTCTGGATATGTGACCATATTTGTGTTTTGACACGTGATCATAAGATTGAGGCAATGGAAGTAAGTTCAAAAATAAAGAAGATGACATATTGTAAAAACATCTTTTGGTTTTCGCATTTTTCGATTCAACACTCACGGAGTTGATGCTGAAAAAATCATTCACAATTTCACTGACTATTTTAGGGATGATTCTCAGAGGAACCTTACTCATACTCCGAATACGATTTAAAACTCATGGAATAATCGAAAAAATGCAGCACATATTGAACAAACGCATAAACACAGTGACATGAACTTTGCTATGGTTCATATAAACAACATTTGAGGTTGAGTAACAACGATAGATTGAAGCATTGATGATTATTTCTACAAAAGAAATCATTAACAAATGTTTACCATTAGCTTGTTTGGCTGCAATAGTACGACTACAAACTTCGTAAGTACCATCACTCACAACGCAAAGATTCATGATGGAAGAATCGGTCATGTCGGGTTTCCAATCGTCCAAAGAATTTTCGAAGTCTTCCGCAAATCGCAAGCACAAATTGGAAAATTTACCCTTGCTGACCAAAGAACCGGAGCTGCAAGCTGAAAACACCAAAATACGAATATATTATCGTCTCCAGTAGCCTTAATCCGGTGATAACTATATGTATATAGAGTCCCTCAATGTAATTGGTACTTTTGTTTTGACGTTTTTGTATACGGACACTCGACAAGCACTAATAGTCAGACATAACCATAAATTAAATTGAAGGACATGAACATGTTTTTTGCTTTGATGAAGGCTTCTCGTATTTTCCTTATTCTTCTACATGTTCAGAGAAGAGTACATCCATATATATTTCTTTGTCTTTCATTTTTGAAGGAGAATAAATGGCGTCTCCTCGAAAGTGGATACAATGAATTGCACCTAGCAAAACGACGAAAACATGAATAGTGATTGGGTTGATGTTTCATAGCCAAATAGAGACAACAGTCTGATTCACACGGATCAAAATTTGGCTGTGGCTCTTTCTCTTAATACCGTCAAGATTGGATAAAAACTATAATTTTATTGAGAATATTTGAAATTCTCATTTCATTCAAGAACAGTACAATAACCTAGTCTAGATCATATTCTCAGAATTATTTAGCTTACAGGATATCAGTAGAGAATTACGATATTCAAAGGAAATTAAAGTTCGGATTTCAATTTTATTATTATTCAAGTAAAGTCGCTGACGGGCAGAAACTGCTGGTTTTGGATTTTTCCTACTTGAGGTGAATACACTAGTTTTTATGCTGAATCAATTACCACTACCAAAACCAAGATGAAAAAGTATTAGAGAAAAAACCGGCAGCTGTGGTTCGGACAGTGGACCGTAAAGTCTTTTCAAATCTTCTAATAGAAGTAAATCTCAAACTTATTTGTATCATGTCTAAACTTTGTGAGTGGCAGTTCCAATCCTCCAACGAAAAGCGAGCCCTTCCGTAAGTACCTTTTTTGAGTATTACTAGTTTTAGTTTTCCTGTTTTGTTTCGATTTGAGTTGAATGTATCTTGCTGGATAATTAATGGTCAATTTATTTCTAGCCCTAATTGTTTTTATTCAAAATGAATAAACTTGTGAAGTGGAGTTAAATTATTTAGTCATCATTTTCAAAAAAACCTCTTGCAAGCGAGTAAGTTCGAGTTGCGATAGTGGGCGTTAGAACCACTCGTGACAATACAATTCTGTTTTTTTATTTTTGAATCTTGACTGAACCAATATTCTACGCCGACGCTCCATTTTTTCTTTCAATTCTTGTAAGAGTGTTCTCTATCCGATGGAAATTCGAATTCTCATTATCTTCTTAGTTTGACAGACCTTTGAAATTGATATCATGTACGTTCGTGTACAGTCAGTTCTCGCTTTTTTCATCTATAGGTCGCGTGCACGATGACCGACCCTGGAGGCAAAATATTGAAACACAACCTCATTCTTCTGTGAATTATTGAAATTCAACCTCACCTGAGGAATCAAAGGATTGAAATAGTTTTACACAATATTTTGGCATAGGAATCGTGTTTTTTGCGCTATTCATTAATTCGAGCATGCCTTCGCATTGTGCTGTTGTACAATGCACAAAAAATGCAGCAAGAGACTAAAGAATATGATTTTTCAGGTAAATAGTAATCTCACATAGTTATCAATATGAAATGTTGTCATTCCTTATTAAAATTCCTTCTGCCTTCTGCCACTTCTGCAATACAAGCTAATACTGCTAATAGATTGAAAATGTCTAAAACACACACGATCGTCAGCATGTCAGACCAGTCCTCCCGATTGATTGCATGAATCCAAACTTTGGCATTATTTTAGAAATTTCAGGTGTATTTCTATTAGCTCCTATCACAGAAGGAATTCCGATGAGAAATCAGAGAAATTACCAAATTTCAAAAATGAAAACTATATGTGAGTGACTATAGTAGGTACTTACTTTTAAATCATATTGTACCAACCGGATTACTTCGTCTTCCGCTGCAGTTTTTGTGCATTTCACAACAGCATAATGTGATGGCATGAGCGAATTGATGAATAGCGGAAAAATACGATCCGTATGCCAAAAGAATAGTGAAAAACTATTTCGATCACTTGTAAACAAATAAGAAAAGTGACGTTCTGTTTCAATGTTTTGCCTCCAGCGTCGGTCATCTGACAGTTCTTGCACGCAACCCATTATTTTGTGGTTATGTCTCACTGTCAGTGCTTGTCAGAGCAAAAGTGTCAAGTATATTGTGGATCACAAGTGAAAACTAACCAGAAATGCTGGTATTCTCCAAAGTGACGACCACAGCGCCCCTGTTCTCCTCGTACACATTCCTCTGGCTCCAATTGGCCAGCGGCAGAGGATTCAAGGGCAAGCAAATTCCCATATCCTCGACAGTAAGCTGCAGAAACAGAGTGCCCAGATAGGGCCCGCCCAGCTGACTGGTCAGCTGCCCGAACTGAAACTTCTCGTAGACCTGTTGCAAACATAAAAAAAAACTGTTTCGGAATGTGAGCCAATCTGCAACTGTCAAGTGTCAAGTACTATTTTATGGTTATGGTTACTCATGATAATGATAGAAATAAGTAGATGGCCATTTTTACGTATTGAAAACTTGAGAAAAATCACTCGACCGCTTACTATAATTTCTCTACGTCACATCGAGCGAGACGTTGATTCTACATTTTTCGCCAAATGGTAATGCTGCAATTGCTGCTGAGACGAGTGGAAATAAAGTGGCAAGTGGCATTTCAGGTACGCGGAACATATGTAACAGTTGGATTATTTAACTCTGAATTCGAAAAATCTGCGGCAATTAAAAAAATTGACCGATGTCATAATTGTGCCATGTCACCATCTATTAGAAGATCGACGGAACCATTGCTCGCGCTGTTCTCGAGAGGTAGTGTAAAATTTCTGAAACAAAAGCGCATCAGTAATTACACCATATCTTACTTCCATCATTCTCATGATGGTAGTCACTGTTTAGGATGAAAAACAGTGAATTCTCATTTTCCCGTGTATTTGTATTTATAGAATTAAGGTGATTAAAGCTATGAGAACCATGTAAGGTGAGTCTTTTGAATTTGCGTGTATTTCACAAACAGTAGTATAGTGGTGTGATTTAGTAGAACTAATAGAACGAGTAATTACCTAGTTGAATTTGACAAGACGATGAGATGTCAGATTATTACGCCATCCTACTGTCATTATTACTCTTATTACTCGATTCATCACATTGATGTCTGTGATTAAATGTTGAATATCGAGTTAGCAATGTATGAATGACTCCATAGTTGTAGATGATCGTTACTTATTATTATAGGGAAAAAAGTAGTCGATTTCAGCTCCAGGTTGTGTTGTCGTGAGCAAAAATCTAATATTTTTCCCGTGTATAATACACTATTTTTTTCTTTGACAGAAGAAAGGACGAATCAATATTGAGAAGATATTACATTATTTTGAAATCTGAAAATTATCGACGTAAATTTCAAGTTTTGAACAGTAGGGACACCTGCGTTGTAGGCATCTTTATCATTCTTTCGAAGTAATCAAATATCTGGTGTCACTTCTGTCAGTCTAATTCTGTGATTTGATTTAAAATATTGCGAATTTAGTGGTTGTTTAGTAAAATACGTAACCGCGAAGTCGAATGGAAGATAAAAGGACTTGCAGTTCTTTCTCGGAGACGGTATTATTGACTCATTTTTCGAAACTATTGCACAACAAAAGCCATCAACAGCGTATATATATGTGATATATATCGGGAAAAAATAAATAAAACAACGTCAAATAAAATCACTAACTTGTTGGGTGGCGTTGAGTACTTCTTTGTTCAGATTGGCGCGTTTCTCATTCCAATAGTCGTAGGCGTTCTTGTAGTTGAGCCATACCAAGATGGCCTTGTCCACGGCGGAGGGCTGGATGTAGATTAGGGGTCTCTTCAGGGTGATCAGGACCACCTCTTTGTCTTCACCCTCGATGAGTTCGTCCTGAAGACACGGAGATTTGTTTATCTCTTGGAGCGCACAAAAGGGAATCCCTATCATTTTTATTTATCTATTCATTTATCTAGTTTTTTTGGATGTATGATGAATTGATATTCACTGGAAACTTCCAGTTTTTTTCCAGAACGATATTTCCTTCAGAAATATTTTTTGTATCGTTTTAATTTTTGATAAGTCTCGAGGTCCATTTGTAAATGAATAATTTCTGATATGATTCATCCTGCGCAATTTTGAAAATTAATCTAATTAGTCGGACTGTTTATTGATCATGGCTTCAATGTATTCTTATTGTAAACAAACTGATATGTTGCTGGTCCTCGCGGGCTTTACAAGAACTCTCGCATTACAAATTTAGCGATAACTATTCAGTACCTAAGGTGAGCACTTTAACGCCTTGTACCAACTCAACGAAACGATTTTGGATATAGGTAAGTTGGCTAAAATCAACTTATTTTTATCCCAGGAGTCTACAGTCAAGCCGTGTCCCAACCTTTTACAGACACCCTGTATAAAGAAATACATTGAGAATTCGCATTCTCCATGTGATGAAAATATTAATTCTTTCTCGGTTTATTCAACAGAAAACAACTACTTTCCTGGCTATTTGCCACGTCGAACATTGAATTATATCTGTTGAATATCCAAAAAGAGAGCATGAAAAATCGAAATCCTCTGAAATTGAGAATTGACATTATCTCTCAAATCAAATAAGATATAAAAATATAACTTATAAGGGTAGAGTTATTGATGGATTCTCCGAGACGAAAATCTCTCAACGTTGTTTTGTACAGCTAAAAAAGTGACAATGAGAAAGTGTCTTTTGTTTTCCTATCAGATAAAAATAAAAACGATCCCCATGATAAACATCTTGGACACAGTGTATATGAATTACCTGAAATGCATTCCTCAGTCCAATCCTGGTATTGAAAAACGCCACTGGTTGGTATTCGATGTCAGCTTCCTCGAACAAAGCGTTCCTTATGATCTGTCCCAACGAAAGGTTCAAATCGACTTGAGCCTTGCCGAAGAGCCTAGCACTGGTACTACTCTGCGCCGATCCCGACACGTTCTGCACCCTATTGGACAATTCCAAAACTACGGCGCCCGTTTCCAAACGCACTGCAGAACTACCGGCAGTCGTGGCTGTCAGCTGGATCCTCTGCACTTTTATGACCAGAGAAAAGAGCAATCGGTTGAGGGCTGATTGATCCTCAGTATCTTCCAACCAAATCGGTACCGGTCTTTCTCCGCCGTACACTTTTTGTACGACCTCGTTCACTTCCTGCGATGAAACTTTGATAGAGTTAGCACTTACTGAATAATATTTCTGGCTCCATTGCTCTCATAAGGATGATTCATCTTGTTAGTGTAAGAATAATCGAGGGTATAATGTTCTAACAGATTTAACCGTGCTTTGCTAATAACCCTTAAAAAACATGTATGACCCAAAAGTCACTACCATAGAGTCCAGCTGCTGCTTAGATGGTACAATGGTAGCCAGAGAGGGAGAAGACACGGATAGATCCGAGAAAAGCGCACCGCGACGTATCATAAATGTTCATGAAGAGGTGGTTAGATGAGGTTAATGGTTAATTTAATCAGATCTTGCTCTTGTAACGTGAGTATGTCAGGTAAAATGTCTAGAGGTAAGTACTTTTCGAAAGGGGAAAAACTAATTATTTCTTCCGACAAGTTAAGCCCTCTACTGGACGTCTCCAGAACTACAGCGCCCGGTTCCATACGCTCTACAGAACTACCGGTAGTCGTGGCTGTCAGTTGGATCCTCTGCACTTTTATGACCAGAGAAAAGAGCAATCTGTTGAGGGCTGATTGATCCTCAATATCTTCCAACCAAATCGGTACCGGTCTTTCTTCGCATTACACTTTTGTACAACCTAGTTCACTTCCTGCGATGAATATTCGATAGAGTTGGCACTTAGTGACAGTGACTTGTTAGTATAATTCTTGATTATTTACATTAACAAGTTGAATCATCCTTATGAGAGCAATGAAGTCAGATATTTTATTCAGTAGGTGACGATATCTATGAGCGACAATAATAATAATAATCTTTATTATTCCCAAGAAACATATATGTTTATAGCAGGGAAAATTATGTAAGAGCAACTAAAAAAAAAGAATTAGATCAGATAATCATTTTCAAATCATATACATATAATGTTGTTTCTTCTAGAGACTGTTGAATATAATTTCTTGAATTGATTCAGGATGATATAAGAGAATCAAAGACATAAGTATTTTTTCAGTTCTTTTTTTAATTTCTCAACACTTAATTTTTTCTTCAGTCTGGCAGGTAATGCATTATAGAGAATTTTTCCATTGTATAAAATAGATCTTTTACCCATATCTGATTTAATTTTGATGAGAGTTAACATATCTTTTTGTCTGGTTATGTGTTCGTGTTCATGACTATTGACTTCAAAATTCAGATTTGAATGTTTATAATTATATTTGACGGAATGGATGAAATTTAATATTTTGAATTTGTAAATGGAGTTAATATCTAACAATTGCCTAGGTTTATAAAGATTTCTTGTTGGTTCCAAGTAATCTAGTTTCTATATACATTTAATAACTTTGTTTTGAAGGATTTTGATTGGCTTCATGATTGATAATCTAGCTGTACCCCAAACTGAAATCAAGTATTGTAATTTGAATAAACCAAGGAAAAATATATACATTTCAAGTATTTCAAAGTGATTTGGTGTCTGATCCTGTAGAGTACTCCGATTACTGGAGATATTTTCTTTCTGATCGATTCAATATGTTTGGACCATGACAAATGTTCATCAAGGTATATCCCAAGGAATTTGATGGCTGTGGAATATTTGATGATTTCATTATTAAATTTGATATCAAATTTCAGTTCACTTGAGAGGCGTCGTTTAGAGATATACACGAATGCTGATTTGCTGTAATTGATACTCAATTTATTATAGGACAACCAGAAAGATAGAATAATCAAGTCACTTTCAATTGCATTTCTGATTTGTTGGATTGAGTCTGCGGAATAAATCAATGTAGTGTCATCAGCGAACATGTAAACTTTTCCTTTCAATTTGATGTTAACAATCGAGTTAATATATATCAAAAATAAAACAGGGCCTAAGGTGAAATATTTTCTGTTGAGTAGCGAAGAGAAGAGATTGGTAATGCAAAATATATTCGAAGTTTATTTTTAGATGGTTTCATTCAAGGAGGGATGTCACATCATAACCGGTTTTGAATACTTTTACTTAAAAGCCTTCATAATATCAAACTTAGTGATTCCGATATAGTTCAGCAACTTGCAGATAGATAGAACTAAGGTCAAATTTGGCTTCAACATTTTACATGGAGGTGGATCATCTTGTTAGTGTTAATAATCAAGGGTATAATGTAGGGCATGTTTGATTCTAAAGTCAATAATACAGAGTACATCTGCTGCTTAGACAATGGTAGGCAGAGAGGGAGAAAACAGGAATAGATCTAATAAAAGCTCAACAGCGACGTATCATAAATGTTCATTTAGGGTTAGCCAACAGAAATACAGGCAGTTGCTAGGGAAGGAGCTCAAACATCCTTCGTGAGGCCAGAACCCTTCTGCGGAATAAGCAGCAGTACTGTTGAATAAATAGAAAAGAAGAAGCTAAACAGAGATGAAACATCTGGGAAAATCTTCAAGGTCTCAGACAGGCTAAGATACTACAGGGTAAGTGTAACACAGGAAGATCGAAAGCATATACAAACGGGAGTCTTAACAGGGCCTGCCGATTAGAACATCGTAGGAAGCTTCGTTTAGAAGAGGAAGACGAATGTAGGTTTTGTGGGGAATAGGAGGAATTCTATATCCACATACTTACGGAATAAGTCATTCTAAACATTTCATCGGGTATAGCAAAAGAAGGGGGCACAATAGATCTTTTAGGTCGCAGTGTATTCACCCCTTATGGATTGTTCCGTTATTGCGATGGTTCGATGATTCGTTCGATTATTATTATATATAGAATGGATGCACTTCAGTAGTTTAGAGACGAAGTGCAACCTGCAACTCGTTTCGTACGAGCGCTGCTATATAACCTAACAATGTTGATGCGTTGATTGTTAAATTTCAACTGACTAAAAGGCGTGTAGACATTTCACGCGCTTGGTACAAAGTGAAACCTTGAAAAAATGCATAGTGGGGTGAGTGATAGACTCGTTGATTACAAGAGATGTTATTTGAAGTACATACTATCTCGAAAGGTTATGAAAACGCCTAGGTCAGATATAAATATCAGCAGGTAGCCCGACGGTATAGAGAGCGACTAAGGAGAGAAATTGATAAGGTAATGTTTTTCGAGTGATTATTGTGATTCTGTATCGTGTATTTGAGACTGTATTAGTGTTTCAATTCGAATGGATCGTTTTGTTTTCTTCTGAGTGTTTGTGAAAGAACGAACCCGGACGTTTATCGTAACAATACAATACCTTCATGAACACCTTCTGGACGAACACCAAATGGTTGAGCAAGTCGGTGGTGAGGCTGTGCTCGAACACCCCGATATCCGCATTAGCGTTCAGGTAACCCCCCTGTCTGAAAACCACCCCCTCGCTGTGGCCGTCCCTGAGGCAGCCGGCGGCGTTCTCGGGGATGTACTCGGCTGCCACGTGTACGGCAGGTAGAGCGATGCTCGCCTCGGAGGGTAGGTTGGCTTCTGCTTTCTCGTTTTGATTGTATCCCTGAAAGTGGTGTTGACGATACGGCTGAAGGACATTCTCATAGATAATCAATATTAATGAGTAAGACTCAGGCTATAGTATACAATTTAATCATTTGATAGCAACTCTAACGTTTTCGGCACTAGGCCATCATCAGAAGAGTATCTGAAACGTAAATTTTCCTTTTACAGGTACAATATATGTTAAAATGTGAGGTTAGAAATAATTTGATTGTCAGAATAAAATCGTTGACAAAAACTCACTTGTCATATATTCTTGCAGAAGATGAGCATTAAAAACAATGTAAATGTATTGAACAACATTGGTTACTTCATAAGATGTTTTTGGATTTATTCAAAATATTAAAATGGCACAATAGTGAAGTCAATCAAATTGAAACTGTTATTTGTCTGAGGTGCCGGTTTGAAAACTTCAACTCAAATTGTCCATTTTGACAATTTTTGTATTGAAACGAATGTCAAATTTTGGGTCAACAAACAGACAACATTATACATCTCGCCTACTAACTAGGTTTTGATTTAGAACGACAATGGCCATTGGAGCTAGCACTTTACCTGTGGCAATTTTGTGGTGAAGCTTAGGGAATGGTGTGGTAGATCGATGGTGAATTTGGCTTTGCTGCCGGTGAAACCGGTACTGTTGACTTGATCCATTTTATATTGGGCTTGTAAGGACGGTAGAAGAGCTGCCGTTATACTTAAGCTCTGAAAAACAAAAGATAGTAGTAGCCTTACTTGAATAGCGAATCGCCATCTTCTGTAGAATAGTCAGAATTCAACAAATGTTGGCTACAAAAGCCCCAGAAGGCTATGCCATACATGATATGAGACTCTATGAGAGAAAAATACGTGTTTCTGGCAATAGCAGGACCAAGTTTATTTGATACAACTCTAATGGCATAGCAACCTGATGCTCATCTTTTTTTTAGTGGAGTTACATTTATTTATTCATGTATTCATTTATTTACTGTACAAGTAAAATCTTAAAACAATAAATAATAATTGCAGTCCTTAAAATATTCCTACAAATGCTAACTCACTAAAAGGACATTAACACTCCTACTTTAAAACAGTGGTTCTACAAATATAAGAAAGAAAAAATACATAATATACTACACAAAATTATAAAAATTCTTATTATGATGAGAGATCAATCACATAAAAACGACTAGTATCACTGAACCAAGTATTTTTTTAGTTCAAGTCTGGAAGTAGATAAGGGTATTCCGAAGTGGTTCAAATCTACATCATTTGCCTTCCTTATCATTCTTGTTAGAGGACTGTGGAACCCATAGTTTCTGTAATGATGCTTAATATGAAAGGTGTCCTTTGACCTAGTGGTAGAATTATTAATTTTGAACTCAATATGACATAGGAGATCAGGAGAGCAGACTTCACCAGCTAGCAGCTTGAACAGAAAACATAAATCGGCTTCAATTCGCCTGTTTTCGAGGGTAGTTATTTTTAATAATGAGCATAGGGATGGATAATCGTAGTCATAGTTGTCAACCTGAATTCCTAGTTTATACGCTGAAGCTCTTAAGAATTTGTGTTGGACTGTTTCTAGCATGTTGATGTAAGTCTGATAATAGGGGTTCCACACCACCGACGCATACTCCAAGTTTGAACGGACAAAAGCGCAGTAGAGAACCTTAAAGGAGTTTATTGAGAGATCTCTGGATACCCTTTTGATGTAACCAAGCATTTTGCGTGCTTTCAGGGATATCATTATTATATGCTGTGAAAAAGATAGTCTGTCATCCAATAATACCCCAAGATCTTTTATTTGAGTTATTCTATCGAGGTCTATTGAGATAATGGAGTATGCAAAATCTATAGGTTTCTGACATCTGTTGAAATTTATGAAGAAGTATTTATTAAGGTTCAAATCCATTTCGTTTAGATCATCCACAAATAGTAGAATTTGAGAGTACTCTATACTGAGAGCAATTCAATTTACAAATAAATTGAATAGTAGAGGACCACAGTGACTGCCTTGAGGCACCCCAGAGTTAACTTCAATAATATCTGAAAAATAATTGCCTATTTTAACCCACTGGTACCTGCATGTTGAGAAGTTTTGGAGCCAGTTGAGCAGGTTACCCGAGATACCGTATGCGTTCAACTTGGCAACCAGTAGTTCATGATTTACCCTATCGAATGCTTTCGAGAAATCATGCTCTTCAAACCCTAATTTTCTGTCAATATGTATACCTAGGAATTTACTACCCGAATATCTCTTTTGAAACCAACCACCAAATGTTGCTCACCTGCAATATGACAGAAAACTGCATAACCAGAGGCTGCAACAGCCCCTTATCCGCGCCTGCGCTCTCATTGACAGCAGCGCTAAGCACCGGCTCTTCCCTGGTCGGATGGTTAGGCGAACCTTGCTGGTCCTCGTCAGTGGGAAATCTCGACAGCCTGCTCGACGTCCTCGTGACTCTCAGCTCCTGCAGCGTCGAGCTCAGCTGCTTGCTGCCCCTAGTGACCATCCCGTGCAGAGCTACCTGTTATATTGTCACGAGTAGAACATTCGGTCATTAGTAATTTCAAACCATGTGGTTTTTATAAACATAAAGTTAGGCTGTGTCAAGTCATTCGTTCGACCATAGTGGTGATGCCAGGATGGCCAATGGTTGACTCGACTGCCATCAAAAGTTAACGTGGTAACTTTGTGGGAAGGTTTGAAACGTGACCGATATTCCCAAACAGCTGGTTAGTCAAACCGATGGTCCGACTTCAAACTGAACGTATGTGCCCGGTCAAACCACATACTTGACACAGCCTTTATCAAATCATCCGTTGACATTGATTTATAAAAACTGACCAAGGAACTCTCATGAGAAACGTGCGAATCTAATGAATTGATGTATATAAATATTGGATGTGAGGGTTCCGAAGTTAGTCTGGTCTGGGGCTACTCTTGACATGACAAGAGCTCGTCGTAATGGTCATTGAAATGTAAGTTGTTATTAGGTCTTTATATTCATTGTTGTTTATTCATATTTGCTATTGCTACCCATAATGATTCATGTTATAATAAATATTGTTATCTTTGAATATAGTCTCATACTTTCAGCTACTACTAAACTATTAGTGCCTATTCGAATATTACCTCTCGCAAACTATTAAGCCAAGCATTACCCCTTATAAATCGATATAGATGGACTGACCAACTATTATATCGTGATAATATATCACCAGTAAAATACTTGGAAACATTGTTATATATTAGCAGAAATATACTTGGCAACGTCGCAAATGCGATACAGCAGTAGTTCCTGACATGTCGTACTGAATGTATCGTTAATTTATGAAAAGTGTAACGACCGAAGTAGTCTTCCTTATTATAATCATATTATATTCACACGCTGTATATTAGTATTGGAGCGGTTTCCTGGCCAGAAATCGTTACTTACTCATATGTTCTTAGGTAATAACTTGTCATAGAGATAGGATGAATAATGTGAGGCAGTTCTGACTGATTCCTGCTATCGAACGGTTGTCGAATAAAGGGATTGAAGTAGTTGTGCGTTCTTCCAAATAATAGAGTCAAATACTTCTCAGTCGTAACAAAAGATAGAAGTTAATTAAACAGCATCTAGTGGGAAGCGTCGTGTTTTATCAACTAACATTATCTATATATCATTACCGGTAATAACACAAAGAAATAAAAAGATTGATTTATTTTGCTTATTTCTGCTGCGGAAGAGACAGCACATTCTAAGAACCTCTGTGGAACCGCTGCCAAGTCGATGATTTAAGAGGATTTTTCGGATGAAATATGAAACATCGTATTCAACTAGGCGTGAATAATTTATGGCGAAAAATTTAACTACACGAATATACTCATCACAACACAATTGTCACAAATGTACTTCTGATGATAATAAACTCATTAATTATTGTAGGGAGCATAACAAAATGGAAAAACATGAATTATTTAAAGATGAACGTGGCGGCACCGCTAAGTTTCGTAGTAGGCGAACGACAATCGTAGTGAGAAATGTCATCTGTCGTTTTCGTTGTTATTAATGGTTTTCCGGTCGTTGTGTGATTAGTTATAGTTATAAATATGGTCCGGCAGTGTCAAATCTGCAAAGGACAGTTAGTTACAAATATTCTAACCTAAGTTTTGTACAGTGGCGGTGTTGTTAGAGGGCTTTCATTTGTTGATGAAAATCGTGTGAAAGATATTGAAAATATCAAATGACCTCACTTGAACGTTACAAAATGACGTATTATTATGTTACAATACGTAGTTAATTAATAATTGCACATAGAAACATTTACAGAAATTCGAATTCATTTTGAATATAAAATATGATTCCACAGTTATCCCCACCAATCGCGATTTCGTTCATTTTTTCGTGTTTGGCGTTTAGGATTGTTTGCGTATACTTTTTAAGGATTTATAATATATATAATATGGCGGACGAGTATTGTAATTATCAAAATTTTTATCTGTTTGTTTTCGGGATCGGAGATTATAATTCTTTTGTCAAAATTTGGAAAGGGCGGGATTTGGAAATTCAAGACGATGGAACCAATTTAATACCGGACGAGTTTTGTGATTATATACCGATTCTATTCAAAATTTGTGAGTGGGCGTTTTCGGGATCGAAAATTATGATTCCTTCGTCAAAATTAGGGAATTCAAGATGGTAGATCCAATATTGCGGACGAGTTTTGTAATCATGTTCCGATTCTATACAAAATTTTCATCTGGGGTTTTAGGAGTCGGATATTATGATTCTTTCGTCGAAATTGGGAAATCCAAGTAAACTAAAAAGAAGAAAAAATATATTATAGAAATTATATATACCGGGTGTCCCATTTTAATCTTTATTTGGAAATTTCTCGAAATGTATGCATCTGCCGAATAAAAGTTGGATGGTTTGGAGGGGGACGTCTGGTTATAAAACAAGTTTCACCCCCTGACCCCCAGGGGAGTGAGAAATGGAGGTAACATTGAAATCTTCAATGGAAACCCCAAATTTTTATTGCAGATTCTGGAAGAGCTTTAAAAACTATGAAGCTTTTATCCGGGAACTTCTTTTTTATTTTAACAAGATGGCGCTGCAATCTTAAAAAAAACAATATTTTACTATTAAGTTTGTAGTTGGGAGACTTTTTATCATTAAAAAGATATCAAGCAGTTCGAATTAACACATTTCAACGCCCTGAAGACGAGGAAGAGTGTAGGGTGTGAAATTCCCAGACAAACGCCGTTGGAGTGATATTTTTATTGCAAATTCACACGGTAAGTGATAATTTTCATTGTATGGTAACACCATGTAAAAACACTTTAAATCTGTCACTGTCTCGCGATGTCGGATTATTTACCGAACGAGATTGTAAATATGATTATTTGTGTCGAACGTGCGGAGGGTAATTTCCAAGAGGCTGAGCGCGAATATCGACGTCGATTTCCGGATCGGAGATGTCCGTCCCAAGTTACCATCAAGTCTCTTGTACAACGTGCCCGCGAAGGTCAGCTCACCCGGAAAAGAAAAAAGTCGGTTTTTGACGACGTCGTCGATCCGGATGCGAGGCTGCTCACGGTGTTTTTACGATCGCAGCGCCATCTTGTGAAAATAAAAAAGAAGTTCCCGAATGAAAGCTTCATAGTTTTCAATGCTCTTTCAGAATCTGCAATGAAAAATAGGGGTTTCCATTAAAGATTTCAATGTTACCTCCATTTCTCACTCCCCTGGGGGTCGGGGGGTGAAACTTGTTTTATAACCAGACGTCCCCCTCCAAACCATCCAACTTTTATTCGGCAATTTTTTTTGTCAGATGCATACATTTCGAGCAATTTCCAAATAAAGATTAAAATGGGACACCCGGTATATAGCAAAACGACGTTTGCGAGGTCTGCTAGGCTACGTTCAGCGGCAGGTCGGACCATGGTCATTGTGTCTCAATTCGTTCAGACCGTAGTCAGACTATGGATCAGACCGTGGTCCACGTAGTCTCATTTGAAATGAGGCCAAGCATGGGCTAAATCGTTCAGTCCATTGTTTCCGTCATTTTCTGTCAGTCAACATCAGTTATATCTGACATGAATTTATGACATTTATGCATTCGAATTTGAAATGATTTCAATTAATGTTCTCGCGGGTAAGATAACATTTTCTTGGTCAGAAACGAGTTTGCTTCAGTTTTTTCTCAGAATACTCACTTAGTTTCGAATGATGGCCAGCAAGTGCAAGAGATATTGCTTTGTGCCGCAGTGTGAACAGAGTATATTATAAAGATACAAAATGTATGGCATTGTATGGATACACAGCTTCCAACCAGATGCAAAATCATATGAAGTGAGGCAGAACATATCAGAAATTGGGTGCCCATTTCCAAATAATACGTCGATCTGTAGCAGACACTTCTTAGAAACAGATTGGAAAGGTAATTTCTTTCATTTTTTTATCTACTTATTCATCAGTCGTGTTTCATTCAATGCTTTTCTTCTAGAGGTAATAGAATCCAAATGGTTTTATCTGTGAAGCAGATGCAATACCCTCACAGAATTCACCGACTACATTGCACCAAAATGTGAAACCTGTGATTGATGAGTGGTCAATTGGGTACAAAACCTCAATATGCATATGTCTTCAATCATTCTCCAATCTATATCAACCAACTCATACTCAGTAACAGGAATGGATCTGATCATGACAAAGATGCTGAAAAGATAGAAAACTCTTTTAAGTCTTAAGTTTTCGTATAATTTTCACTTGAACCAAATACACATTTTCAGCTTTGTATACTTGTTCACCATCTACCATCGGTCGATATCTATTACCAATATATTTGAAAATATCCACCATATATTGATTCCAACAAGCACCATCTTTCAAAATCACTCTACTTAATCGCTCAGATTTCGGAATAAAAATGAAACATTATTCACTAAATACCGAAAAAATAATCAAACTTTGGCACTCTGTATATAAGAAATGAATAACTTGCTGACATTATGTTTATAGAAACTTTTCTTCTCATTTTGAAGTCAGCAAAATGCTCCTGAATTTTTACATTCAGGTAATCGACAAACACCTTGTATAATATTTTCCCCAATTCCACTGACAACTTTGACAGATACTACGTTCTCCATGCATGGACCGATGTCGTTCAGACCTGCTTTGCTTATTGTGGTCCGACTACGGTGGTCCAGACCTGCCGCTGAACGTAGCCCTGTCTACAGATACAAACAGACATGTAAAAAGTAGGTATTTTACTCTACCGGGTGTTGCGGTATGTCCATGTTCACCGCCCCAATCGTCAACAGCCCCGAATTCTTGTCCTTCTGCCGCTTGGTGATGCTCGAATAAAGAGCCTGCGACTTTCCAATAGTCACTTTGACCACCGTTTGCAGCGTAGGAGCGACTCCCTCTAAGAGCACTATCATCGTTCGGCCGATTTGACCGGTGAGGGAGCACTCGAGGATTTGCGGCGTGGATTTCTTGCGAACCGTGAGGCTGGAATGCAGACTGGTGATTTCGGCTTCGAGTTTGAGGCCGGAGAGAGTGGCCAGCAATCTAGTGCGATGGATTTTCGCAACACCGAATACGACTAGCTTCGTGTGCTCGTTTGAACCTGGAATTCATGTGTTTTCCTACATTATAAAACCCGAATGACGATAGTCAACTCTTAATTTTTTCTAGGAACATTCAGAATTCCTCAGTTTCCTTTAGAACTTGAAAAAATATCAAAAGCTGGTACGTTGTCTGAAAGGGGATGTGAAGAATTATGTTATGAAGCATAATGATGATTTGAATAACATTTCAATTAAGTCATTTTGAAACAATATGTAATTGAGAATAGCTTGAAGAACTACCAATTATTGCTGCCATGCATTACATCAATTTGTTGGTGAGTTTTGGGCTGTAGCTGACATATTATGCTATGTTCACACCATTGTCGTTCTAAATGAGAACCCAGTTCATTGACTGAATATTTGTCTGCCTCTAGCCGGGGCTAGTTTACCATTTGTTTTGATAGAATTAGACAATCCAACTCAGGTTAGAATCAATTAGGGTCCCTTGATGTAAATTGACGTATTTGTCATCTTAACAGGGTACGAACAGATCCTCGTCTCCTCTCACTCTAAAGTGTTTGCGAAACAGTTATATAATTCCATCCTTATTCAATTCTGGGGATAAACACTAGATTTATGACATTTGTTGTTTTTTAGGTTATATTGAGGACATTGGCGTATCATATGTAATTTCCACATGGAATTCCTGATTCAACCTACATATTATATCCAAATGATGATCAATACTTTTTGAGTTTTTGATTTTTCAACTCCAGTATAATCTTTGAGAGGTAGTGAGCATTAATTTTTCTGAAAGTTCAATATGTTTTACCTGAGATGTTAATAAGTTGACTTTCACCAAATGGGACTATTCTTAGGCTGTACCTATATATAAATAAATGGATTTTGATTTCAGACTGAGCCTTATGGTTGAGAAATGGTGAAAACTTTGATGTGGCTGTATATTTATATATTCATGCAGGGTATTTTTGCAGTTTATCACGAACTCTTGATAGTCTTGATATTTTCTGACTGTAGGTATAATTTTTTCAATGGTAGGGCATATGCGTGTTCTTTTAGTCCTCTGTTTTATTCAAAACTGTTTCTACACTTAGGCACAATGAGAAAGTTGGTATAATATGTGATTTCCTATTGTTTTACCTCGCATATTTTGCTGATGTATTTACTGATTTTCCCAATTCGATCTCTTCACTTTCTATGTTCCATGTTAATTTGCATTTGTTGGATAGGTGACAAATTCAAATTTGTCATCTAACTGATTGATACAGCCTTACGCGCACATTTTACCATTCTTCCAAAACAGAATTGAATAATGTCGTATTAAGATTGAGTACCAATTGAAATTTTGTGAGATTTCTTTCAACACCTATGACTGTGCCGTGACAGTAATGTCATGTCAGGGACGCCAATACACAAAACCAAAGTCACTAGATCATTAAAAGAGAAAGGAGCTATGATCTGTCTGTACCCTGTTAAGATGACAAATACGTCAATTTTCATCAAGGGACCCTAGAATCAATGTGACGGCTGGTTAGCCCAAAACGTCACCTCAGACAAATTACAATTTTGAATTGATTGTCTCATTTCCAGTAGGTTGTTTGTTCGATTTTGGTGATTCATTTTGCACAAGAGGTTGAGGTATGTGAATTCTTCAACACTCCGTTCTCAAAGATGACGTGAATTTGAGGCAATATGCAATGACTCCCAACAACATCAGGTAAAAGTTTCGTCTTGAGCCACATAGGTGTAATTAATTTTAAGATAATACATTCTAGTAGTTCTGAAAATGACACCGCAGACGAATTACAATTTTGAATTGAGTTCAACTTAGTTGTTCTTTTGTTGTTGATTTTGGTGTTTCATTTTGCTCTTCTGAGAGAGGTGGAGGTATGAGAATACTGTAACACTCCTTTCTCAACAATGACGTGAATTTGAGGCAAACATGCAATGACTTCCAACAACAGCAGGTGAAAGTATCTTCTTGAACCACATACGTATTATTCAATTTATAATAATGGATTGATATTCCAGGAATAAAAATATTTAGCTTAATTATTATTAACAGTATAAGAGTAAATAAGCATCTCCCACCTTTTTATTCTCAACTTGCATGCCATCATGACGATAAAGTGCGAAGAGAAATGTTTTATCAAAGAACTGATGAGTTTCCAGTTTTTACTTGAATTCAAATAACATCAATCAATCGAAAATTTTATCATTTCATAGACAACAGTTCTTTCATCACGTATCCTGCTTGCCTTATTTGTAAAAGTACTTGAAATGTTCAAACTGTTTAAACATAAGAAATTTCTGGTTATAAACTTGACAGAAGAGTGGAATTTGCTATGAATTAAAAAAAATTCTAGGGTAAGGATAACAAATAAATGACTTATTTCGGAATAGATGTCACTAGCTTACTGAAAATATGGTAAAAAAGGGCGGTTTTTATTTAGAACGACAATGTTCACATCCTTTTTGAAATTAAGCTTGAAGTTTGTTAGATTTTGAGATGTCTACATTCTGGTAAATACAAATCATTCAAATCAGCTCTAAGGAACGCCCTCAGAAATAAATCCGGGACTGTAACATCCGGTGATGTTGCCAAATCTTCAAATTTGCCCCAAGGAATGGCTCAGGATAAACGATTTTACATCAAAAAACTATAGATTGACCGGCAAATTTGTCATCGTTACACATAACCTTCAACAATACATCACAATCTGATCTCTATTCGACGCTTGTCAGATAAATAATTTGTCCATAGCAACCATTTCAAAACACATTCATTCTCACCTTTCGTTTTGACATCCTTATTGACATGTCCAGGCACGTTGCTGTCAGACTTATCCAACTCCTCGTTAGACAGCATTTCCGTCAAAATGTCGTACTTCCGGTTGCCTTTGTACTGCTCCGATATGTCGTTAGTGCCCACCGAGAACCTGTGCTTGATGGTCTTAGTGTCGGGCATATTGGCGTACAATTCCAGCAGGTAGAAGATGGTCTTCCAGCATCTGCCGGAACTCTTGTCCGAAGAGACTGTGATGTGCTCCAGAGCGGAGTTGGAGGGACTGGAGACTGTCAATGGGGTGCCTACCCCTTCGCTCAAGTTGACATAACCTTCACAGAAAAGTAGTGTACACCTTTCAAAGTCACCTCGTATTTGATTGAATGATTTATCATCCTAAGAAACATCATACAGGACGTGGAAAGAAATTCTGAATTGAGAAAACCTAATCACTAGATTGTAAATGCACTTAATTCTTTTATTTTGTAATTTCATTATTGGTTTCAAATGTGATATACTTGTGCTTCCCCAAATTGATATTAAATATTGTGATTTTTAGTAAATCAGACAGAAATATATATTCTTCTAATATCTAAGAGGAATGAAATTTCGAATTGTAGCTACAAATATTATTGACTTCAAATACTGCTTTCTATTTTCCAGATAATTTTTCAACCAATCAAATATTTTTCCTCTGATACCTATTGAGTATATTTTTCTCAGTAAAATATCATGATTCACCGTATCGAAAGCTTTACATAAATCTAAAGACAAGAGACCACATTCATAATATCGATCAATTTTAAACTGAATATCCGAAATTACATCCATAACTGCTACCTCAGTGTCTTTCGATCACCGACCATTATTTTCAAGAAAATCAAGAATAGGTACGCTTATTCATCATTTTATCAATAATTTTTTAGAGGATCGGGAGAACTGAATCTCTTCCAGTTTGATATATCGGTATGACTTTAATAATCTTTATTTTATCTGGTACAATTCCAGCTTTGAAAGATCTAGTAACAATATGCAATAAAATCGGAGTAAATTCTACTTTGATCACTTTTACAATTTTAGCTATCTAAAAGTGCAAAGAATTTTTCGTCTTCAACGATATCAAGCGATAATTTCGTTTACCTTTGACTGTCTTGCCGGTAGAGCGCAGTTTCTGAGCGAAACTCTGAGGGCGAGAGCGTATACTGGGCGATGGCGAGATGATAGGTTTGTGTTGCGAAGAATACGAGCCAGGATCAGAGATTTTCAGACTCAGTTTGTTTGAAGCTTCAGCGGTGGCGTAGTGTATGTCGGATGCTAAAAAGAAGATCAAGTGATTTATTTTTTTCAATTGTATAACCTTGACTGTGTTTTTATTACTTGAGGAATGGTGTTTGAGGTCCATGTGATCACTGGCACTGCCTTTGGGCCGTCTTATTTCCACAGGTTGCTGTTCCCGCAGTTCGTTTTGGGTATCTTTGACGTTTTGGTACATGTTGCTGATTTGATGCAACAGTCTCAGCAGCGGCATGTTCACCCTCTGATGAATGTATCGCACCCCTTAGAAAAAAAAAATAGAATGATTGGCGCAATTCGAATATTTGCCAATGAGTAAAAGTTATACCTATGGTGAAATTGATCACGGTACTAGTGTGATTTTTGAGCTGACCTCTCGAGATGTACAGTACATTTTTGGTTTTCATCATCTCGTTGACTGCCATATCTGTCATTCGATCGAGTTCTAGTTCCACTGCTACTTTCTCGCAAACGAAGGCAGGAGACTCATCTAGAAATGTTAAGTCTACCTCAAGTTATGGTATGAGCAATTCAAGTGAATACAAAATGTCACATACAAACTACAAAGATATAATTTTCATCAAGCTACTACCTATAATCTACTAAACTCTGTCAGCTGCGAGCTTATGAAGATAGCAAATGATTAGTTTTCTGATTTATCAAAGATAAGTTTTTCAATTGCTGCTAAGAACACTGAAACAATCATCTATGTGTCTTGCGGCTACAACTTTTGAGGTTAAGAGGGTAGAGAACCTTACGATATATTTGATTTCTTAGTAAAAACTTAGGCTAAAGTCATTTACCCTGGTTGATCTCGACGAATAACCTTTTCCCTTTGTTTTTATTCTTTCTCTTCTCAGTTTTACCATGTTCCGAGACGACGATGTCAATTCTCATCGTTTCCATGTTTCCCACTAGACAAAAATTGGTGCCTAAGGCGTCCAGAGTCGTGACATCATTTCCTGCATCTGAAATAATCAATCAATCAAAAGAAATCAGGATTTTTTGTTTCAACAACATTCTGTGTTTACTTACTTGAATCAGACATAGTTGTGAACCTGAGTTGTTGTGGCATCACTCCCAAACCAGACAACAAGGGCTGAAAAATCTGGTTAGCGTCTAAGAGCCTCACAGAGTCTTGTACGGGGTAAAGAGGTACCCCAGGTTGTGAGACTTCTTCTTTGGGAAGAGTACCAGGATCTCCAGATGATTCTGTATGAAGGGTGTCTATTTTCGATTCCAAACATCCTTAAAAATTTTGAAATATGAAGACGATCAGTAGAATACAGGATTGTCTCAAAAGTATACCTTCCAAATTTGAGTTGACAGTATCTTGTTTTGCCATCCAACTGTATAAATCCTCTGAGGAATTATTACGGCCTACATTTCTATGGCTGGGGCTAGAAGGCAACTCTGGGCTAGAGTGACTACAAATATCGCTAGGATCAGATCCTAGGTTAATTACCGTTTTGTCCTCGTGAAGGGTACCATAACCTAACAATTTGATATTTAGTAAGTGGTGCTATAATAGCAAGGCAAGATAATTCTATATTCCCAATAATGACATATTTTCAATGAAGACACAAGTTAAGCACGGGTGAAATGAAAATAACACATCAGAACAAGATATAAGTGACAAAAAGGAAATTGCAAATGGCTTAACCATTATGTGAAGTATAGGAGTATTTTCTGAAAACCAAACCCGATGAAGGAATTATGGCTAATTTCCCAAATTAAAAAATAGTCATTTAAACCCACCACAACCCAATCAGCCAAAGTACATCTTTAAGACGTCTTTAAGACGTATGTTTCGGTACCTAAGTACGTCTTAAAGACGTACATTTTTGGTCTTGAAGACATACTTAAGACGTCTTTAAGACGTACTTTTTCCAATGAAATGGACGTCTTAAAGACGTCTTTTTTAGGTCCTAATTATGTCTCGTTAGGTCGTTCAAAAGACGTATGCAAGACGTATTATTTTTACGTCCATATTAGGTCCATATTAGGTCTATTCACATCCTATCCATAATGGATTCAACTCTTCAGGTATTTTGATACCATGATAGTAAATATACAGTGATCTCTAGTTGATGAAAACGGAAATAGTAGACATATTAAAATTCTTTAAAAAAATAAAACTTTATTTTATATATATAATATATATATATATATATCACAAACTCAAATCTAAAGAAAAATAAAATACATATTCAAGTAGACATATTGAAAGTACTTCAAAAAATAAAACTATAGTATACCTATATATATATAAAACAAACACAAAAGAAACATAAAATACATAATATTCAAGTAGACATATTTTGATATACCAAAATACAAAAAAATAGTTATGACAAAGTGAGATGAAGGCTTTACTGTTTGAATTAGAAAAAAAAATCGAAATGGTCTTCTCTCATGAGCAGCACATTTTTTATATATTTTACAAGATATACAAGGTGACTCAAAAATGCTTGAAGTTGGTTGGTCTACCCTGTATATCACAATCTCAAAACAGAAGGTATAAAATACACATTCAAGTAGCTTTACTCTTCATTCGGTCTCCTGCTCTACGCAGCCACATTGCCAAAGCCCTTTCAGCTTCTTTGGTGTCGACGTTTTTCGCTTTAATGATAGCTTCTGAAAACAAAGCAATGAAAAGCTTACTCAACAAAAAATGACTGTATTGATGAAGGGAATAATGAGAAATGAAAATAGCTGAATTGAGTTCACAATATAAATACACCTAGCTTGCAACTTACTCATTATCAAATTAGCTACTCTTAGGTCATGGAAGGGTTTTTTCTCTCTTCGTCCCAGCCAACTGAAATTGTGTGCCAAATTGTTAGTAATCAACCTGCCCATGCATCTTCTGACAAATTCATACAGACTGTTCCCTCCCGTCATAGATAATTCTTTAACCTGTAAAATGAAAGCTTTATTTTATAAAAACTTTTAGAAAATGTTGAATGACATCATTATTTCATCATTTTGAATTGAGTATATAGATGAACAACAACAAAGAATTCATATTAAAAAAGGTTGAAACTCCTCACCGCTTCACGGAATGATTCCTCATTTTGTAAAAATGAATTGAGTTCCTCTAAATCTCTCTCATTATTTATAGGTAGGGTAAATTTTGAGAATATGGATTCCAGCATAGTTTCTGATTCGGGTTGCTTCTTAGAAAATGTATCAGCCAAATCTTCCACTGCATTTTTTAAATACCGAACTTGTCTCACCAGCTCCTTAATATATTCCCCTGTAAAACAGCTGTATAATATTAGGTTTTCCTTCATAATCACAATTATGTCAGTATTACCATGAATGGAACAGCATGTACATCCTGTATTTCTTCCTAAAACATTAATGTAATCAATGAACCCATCACCAAATATTATAGTATGTATCTATGCAGTATCTCTGAATGAAACTAATTTGAGAAAGAGCAATATTGAACACAAGTTATTTTTATGAATAGTAATACAGTAAAAAGTACATATTTCATACCTGAAGTATTCTCAACAGAACTAGGCATAGATGACAAAGATGGTGGAATATTTGATGAATTGTCACCAAATATTTCAGAATTATTCCATCTTTTACTGCCAGTCAAAGAATTACTGGAATTAGAATCCAAGTCATCTTGTTGTCTGCTGGAGATGTTCTCTGGAACAAAAATTAGGACATAGTATGTTCAAGAAGATTCCTACAAGCACAACCCTATTTTTTAATCAAATAAAAACGAACCTATTCGATTTGTTTTAGTAGTGATCATTTTTGGTGGACTTGGTATGATGGTGGTATCACTATCTTCATCTGATGAACTTATTATTTTTTTACGTGTTCTCCTAGCTGGCCTAACATTAGAAATCTCATCTGCTTCAGAGTTTAGATCGCTTGTATCTTCTGCTATTTTGGCCTTTCCTCTTGCCGTTTCATAGTTGTCTAAAAATTTGTAGGGATATGATAGGCATATATTTCAGTTTTGTAATCAGTAGGTCTTACCATAAGTAGCATTACGAAACATTTCCACTTTATATGATGGCCAGCATGTGTTAAAATCTTGTGATTTTATTGCCACCGATACTTTTTGAGGCGTAAAGGGTGGCCAGAAGCACATATCATTATTTATCCAGGTTGTTGGAACTGCAGCGACCGAATGGTCCTGAAGAAATTTTACAATTGTCCATGTACGATTTTCGGCTTCCATTTTCAAAGTTTTATTGCATTTAGACTGAAATAAATATGTGAATCCACTAACAAATAGGAAACTAAAGTACCTTCAGATCGAGCTTCAGATGTTAGAAGGTATATATAAAATATTATGTATCCTTCTAGATGAGCACTATTCTGAAAAATCACTATATAGTCATAATACATAATGGAACATTTTACTTTCATTTATAGACAGCATAGCAATTAGAACACACTGTCATTATGATCATTCCGGATTATTCAGGTACCCCAGTATGAAAATAATAGGAATTTTCCATTAGAAATAATATCTGTTCAAATAAATAACCGTCGTTGCGTTTGTGAATAAACCTTGCAATGTTAGTGTAGGCCTAAAAATTGCAAAGAATCCTGGAAGAGAAGTTCATAAAGTATTGTCAACGACGATTATTTGATACAAATTTGCCTAACCTCACTACCACTTATTTATTTTTTGATAATATTACATTATTTTTTATTTCATTTATACATTGACATTCAATTTTTTTAATTAAGAATAATAACAAAATAATTGCTTTCAATACCCACTATGCAAAAGTGGAAAAACAACAAATTTATCATTGAATTTAAGTTTCACAAATTTATAAGCAATCTGAGAAACATTCCACCATTCCAAAGGACCTTCGCTACTCACTAACAATATGCCCAATTCTGAAGAAGTGCAAGGTGTCTGATAAAAACAATTTTTTTCCAAATATTCTCTGCCAATAATAATGGTTTGTTTATCATTTGTCTCTAGAAAATTTTCAATAGATATTACAGCACCATTAAGTAAACAACAACAATTATTAGATCCACTCAGTTTTAGGATATAATGTTCAAAAATTAGTTCTGAATATTCAGATTTGATAGATATATTGGGGATTATAGGTCCTTTGCAATGAGGTTTTCTTAATTGGGGAAATCTTGTCTCAACATGTCCTGTTTGTTTGAATAAAAGTGTGGCATCTAGTTCTCCTTTCCTGTTTATAAGTTGTTGGAGAGGTTTCTCATGTTTCCTCAGATTTTTTTTCAAAACTTGCATATAATTTTCAAATTGAAAAGCACTAAAATTATCTAATGGTCCAAATTGTCTGACATCATCAGTTATATGTATTAAATTATGAACATTATGGGACACATTTTCTTTTCCATATAAAATAATAAATGTTTCTATAAAATATTTTAACAAATTTTCTGCATATTCTAAGTGTTGAAAATGTTTGGAAGAAGATAAAATGGTAACTGCTATATGTAAGCACAGGAAGTTGATGTATCTATCCTTGGATAAAATATTTTTCAAAACTAATGGTCCAGTATATAATAAAAATTGACGAAACTCAGAGGCTTTCCACCTTTTACATTCACTGAGGTTACGTGGTTTTCGATTAAATTCAACAGGAATATCAGAAGCATGATTGGTTAATAAGGTAGAAATTGTGGATAATTGATTATGTGACAGTTTTGTTGTTGGTTTACCACAAGACCATAGAGAAACGATTAATTTTTTCATGACACCTAAACAAATTAGATGCATATAATCTAGTGGAAAAGATTTGATCATATCTATTTCAGGAATGTTCTCTATGACTGAAGTACCAAGATGATGCTCTTCCTGTGCTTTTTCTCTGAAATCTACATCTGTACGTAGCAGGAGATTTGTTGTCTGTGGAAAACATAGTCTATCAATATAAATTCCCTCTGTATGACATTTCGAACATGACATATATCCAGAATGACCTTTGGTATATGTGATATAGGACTTTGCAGGAGTATCGCAGATGAAGCCTTTGATTCTAATTGGATATAACTGTTCCTTGTAAGACAAACCATTATTCACTAAATGTATGGATTCATTTACAAATTCTTCTAAAAAACTATTAGGATCTTTTGGTTTTTCATACCCATGATAAACCCCAGCAACATCTACATAATTCTTATTCTCATAAAGACTACATAATATTGGGTAGAATTGACTACCAGAGCTCTTAGAGAGTGGGAGTCCATCAACATTGACAAGAATTTCAATTATTTCAAAATTACCAATGGATTTGAAATGAGTTAAAAGTTTCTTGATACAATTTTCTAGCCCAAAATGATAATACTGTCCTGGTTCTACCACTCTGACTGGCTGTACAATTGTTTTCCTGGGAGTTTGTAACAATGTTCTTGCATCAAGAGGGAGTTCTTCTGATGGAAATCTAGGTTTTAAAATTTTCAGAAGGTCATTCACAAATGTGTGTGTAACATTATGTTTCAGACACAATTCTGCTAGTTCCACTGATAAACTTTCCTGCAATGGTACTCTTTCATTTGTTGAGGAAGTAGCATCACAAGTGTTTTGTGCTGGTACTTCCTTGTTCCACCATAAATTATTGTCTGAATCATGATCAACATCCAAGTCGACATCTGAAGAAACTTTGTCTGAAGAGTCTGAAGCATTTGTGTTCACATGTGAAACATATGAAACTTTATCAACATTTTGAGAGGAAATATCAAGGGAATGAATATCATCAGATATTGTGGATGATTGATTTTCAAACCCTAAAAATGCTTCGAAATCATGCACATGAAGTTTTGCACGCTTGTAATATTTGCTATTACTATGAGACTTATCCATTATCGATATAACTATTACTCACTTTGAATCTATTCTGTGAAGAACGATTAAACTGAATGATGTTTTATTTTTACAAACAAATACAAAGAAAACACAAATTAAACACTGGTCACTGGTAACTAGCAACTAGCAGGTCTCTCATCTGTCAGTCTCAGTCAACGCAAGAATTCAAATGACCATGACTTTCGGTATGAACACAGTTTTTGACCAATCAGATCGATTCTAGATGGCGGTCAATTCGAATCTCTGGTGTATACTTACTGGCCTCTACCAACATATATAAGTGTTCTAGATGGCGGTCAATTCGAATCTCTGATATCTCTGACGAATATACTTATATATTTGCTTCTATGCCGACATAACTGGACATAACCAAGTCATAGGACCTGTATGAAAAATTCTAATGAAATATATATCATATGCTCCAAAAACGTGGAAAGATGACTTTTTGGTTTTTTTTTCATTTTATTTTCAGAAAATATTTTGCATTTTTGTACAGTTCTGTACGTCGGATTGACTTACTGGAATGTACGTCTTAAAGACTTAATTTATACGTCTTGGCGGTATTGACGTGAATCAGACCTAAAATGTACGTCTTTAAGATGTACTTTTCTGTACGTCTTTAATACGTACATGAATGTACGTTTTTAAGACGTCTTATCTACGCCCTTGGACGTAAAGACGTAAGTCGGGCGTAAAATGTACGTCTTTAAGACGTCTGGTGCTGACTGGGAAGTTGAGGACTCACATATATTATCATCTTGCACACGTTTAGCAGTGAAGAGGTTAGCATTTGTAAGAAGCGGTAAGACAACACTAGCTCTGCCACTGTTAGGGGGTTGAATGGGTTGGATGCTTTTTTTTCGCTTTCTATGGGGCACTGCAAAACACAGGACAAAAGGTCACTTCACAAAAACCCAGATAATCAACGAGAAAAACAAAGCAATTATTAATAATCAGTTGATTAATGTAGAAAACATATTGACAAATGACAGATGATGAATCTTGCTATACCTGGTGGACTAGGGGATGTTAATACACTTTCCACACCCCCTGAAACGACTGCCACTTGTGGGGTATGACTCAGAGAGTCCCCGAAATCGGCCATTCGAGGAGAGTGGTGTAAAACACCGAGGTTTTCCTTGGGAGCAACTGAAAAATACGTTACATTTTCAATGCCTTTCTCTTTATTAGACTCATATCGATTAGTTGGAAGCACTAAGAATACTTCTCTATGAATTTGACATTACGAGATGATTCATGACATTTTTGCGGAATAATTTTGAGAGGAAAAGAAGGGAGGGCTGATCACCTGTGAAGCTGTCAAATTCATGAAGAATTTTCTATTTTGCGATCACATAGAGTGAGAAGCATTGCTCTAGTTCTTGTACAAACTAATGATTAATTTAGATACAAATTGAAAAGCATGAATCGTGTTATTTACAAAGATTGATTTGTGAAAGCTTGTCGGTTTGTAATTTTTCTCCTTGGACGTGAAATTATATACCAGATGTCTTATTTTAGTGCTGTTATCAAGTCCCAATTCCCGACTATTTTGCTTAAAGAAAACAAAACTCCTCCAACACTTTTAGGGTTCATTACCTGAACATTTTTTGTTTGTGTACATTCGAGAAAAGTGATACTGAAGAAAACAATCTTGCATTCTATTAGATGAATATTAGTAAATGATGAAAAAGTGGTAAAATATTGGATGAGGAGACAGGCCAACCACATACATAGTTATATGAATCTAGTGAATTAATGATTTGGACCCCATTCCCATTGAAATCTGCATTGACTACTAAATAGTAGTTATGCCAGTGATTCATACACGTCAAGATATTCATGTTCATTGTTTATCACGTGAACGGGGTCCTCAATCAATCAATTGAACCTACCCATGTTTCTATGTGCGTTTGGCTTAAGAATGATACCGGCGTGAAGTAAGCGAGCATGTTCGTCGGTAATGTCGGACTCTTCGTTCTCATTGCCGCTCGCCTCACCGTCAGTCATGCACGTTTCCTGTTCGTGATGGAAGCACAAAAAAATGGTGGATAAGTATCGAAATGACAAAAGAAAAAGGGGTGGGGGCGATCGTGATCAGATTAGTGCTACAAGGTATTCGTAGGAGGACTCGAGAAGGTTGCCGAATTGTGGTATTCGCTACCTAACCTAAGTTTTTTTAGTGAAAAGCTTCTTCACAAACGATGAGATTCTCACAAAATTCTTTATAACTCCAAATGTTTTGTTAACACAGTAGTTCTTCGAGTGAACATTGATTTGCCTTACTGATACAGGGTACTTTTGAAGGTGATCGAGAACGTAGGAATAATTGAAATAGATAGATCCACCAGAAATCGGGAAATTTTAATAGTTACATGCAATATTTTTCCTACAACTGTCAAAAAAAAGGACGAGTATATTTACTCATTCCAGTTTATCACTTTATTGATAACACCTCATCCCACTTGCATTCAGCATTGCTGATCAAATCATATATAAGAGCATATTAATACGCGAGGATATCGTGGTGTCTTCTTCTCGCTCTAATCTCTATTTCACTGGCACTCCATACGAAATACGGAGTCAGCCGCCTTGATTTGTTCGCTTGCTACTTTGCTGAATCCCTTAAAGGAGCCCATAGATTGAGTTGTTGGTAGGCTGTTTTGTTCGTCGGACAAGTATGTTCAAACAAGTATGTTAAAACGAAAATGACGCAAAACTGGAGTGTGTGGTGTGTGGCTAGCGAAAAATACCATTTTGCAGTCACACACTTTGATTTTACGTCATTTTTGTTCGAACAGACTTGTTCGTCGAACGAATCAGCGTATACCAACAACGCAGTGGATTGGCCCCTTTAACGCAAGCACTAATTCCATCTCCTAGCAACAACCGAGGAAAAAATTTACTTTTTTTCACACTCTTCTGTAATATAATGAAACAGTATTTTTTGACATTGAAAAATTATACACTTCAGGCACACAAAATATATTAAAAAAGTGCAGTTTCTTACGGTTGTAGGAAAAAGAATTTTATTACGATCCAGACCACAGCCGACTCTGTAACAAGCCGCGGTGAGAAAAATTGAGGAAGACATTCTGGGATTGATAGATGACGATCGAACAATGAGTATACTAGGTCCATAGCAGGACAAGTCAGAGTTTCTCACAGTAAAGTATGAACGATATAATTCTATCCATACCATTATCCGAAAAGTTCAAGCGTTACAACCTCAAGATAATCGTGTGGATTGAATTTTGTCAGTGGAAAAAGAAAATCCTCACGTTGTACTCAGAACACATTTCCAGCAAATATTTTCGTTGAATGTTTGGACTGGGCTTGTCGATGGCATCTCGCCATTCTTTCTTCCACCCCGAATATCAGGTGAACATTATTTAGAATTTTTTTAAAACAATTTGCCCGAATTATTTGAAGATGTGACATTGAATGTGAGACAGGATATATGGTTTCCACACCATGGAGCTTCTACAAATTCCAGACTAGAAGTTCGCGAACATTTAGATACCGTGTTTCTTTTCTTCTCTTCTTCTTTCTTAGCCTGCACGCTCCCCGGACCTAAATCCTCGGGATTTCTTTCTTTGGGGCCATTTGAAAAAATTGGTGTATCGTGAAGGAAAAGTGAATACCGTGAAAACATTGAAACAGCAAATAGAAAATGCTTGTGAAGTTGTTCGTGGACAAAAAGCTAGAATTTTGCCGCATGTACTGACTCATTGTTGGGCCGAGCAAGACTGTGCGCTCATCGAACGAATAGTAGTACTTCGAACAATTTTTGTTTATATACCAGGATGATTGATGAGTTCTACATCCTGTTAAAAAAATTGCCTCACCTTCAAGAATACCCTGTATATACTCACGAACCTGAAGGATTAAAATTACAGCATGTACTTTAGATTAAATTCAGTGTGACGAATTAACTTGAAGCTAATGTGATACCGAAACATATCGTGTTTTTAAGACTTTTGTGGAAATCGTTCCTGAAGTTTATTACATTCACCATGGCTTTGCATCAAGTAATTACAAAAAATAACTTTCATTTCAACATATCATAGGTTATGTATTCCATGACATAGTTATTCGAATATTATGTGAATTAAAGTTCAACATGAAATTATTCAATGTTTTTGATTCCTCTTGTAGCACTGTAGCGATAATCCACCAATGGGTTAGTGCTGTGAATTTAAGCTATGTCCTAAACAAATATTAAGACACAATTTGACAAGATTCCTTACTGTTTCTCATAACTCTATCGTCAATCTCATATTTTCGGTTTACCTAAAGCAAACAGAACATTGAATTGGTGGTACACAGTCGAAATAATCTCATCACTTCCACTACAAATATTCACTTACCTCCTGTATATCTGGTACTGTGATAGTCACATTCATCGGTTTCAGACGGCTTTTCACCGATTGCTGCGGTATCAGCGGGGTGTACAACGTGTTCTTCCATTGCCGACTCAAAACAATAACACCCTAAAATAAGTTTATAAAATGCTCTTGAAGGTGGAATACAAAAAGGACCTTATACCTGTCTCAGAGTGAACAGCTGTGGAATTTCCGATTCTCTCAAATTCATCTCGATATAGGCCGGATCTGCTCCCAAGTAATACTTCTGTAAGGTGGAACACAACTGCAGACTAGGATCTTCTTGTAAAGTTTGAGCTAAGGGTCGCAACTTTCCGTAACGGCTCTAAAATATAATGACATATTCATATCTGCACTTCTCCTTGTTTTAGTAGGACAGAGTTGGTACTTGGTGTTATTTTCATAATTGGCGCAGTCGGTAGGACTACAGATGCAGGTTAGGTTAGGATTCACTCTAGATTTCGGGAAAAATCTACATCCTAGATAGGCTCAGTATATTGTTTCGTATATTTACTCACTTTCGTTAGGGTTATTATTTGTCCTTCTAGAGCTTCTGCCATCAGACATGCAATTGTGGCGGTAGATCTTCTGTACATTGTCCTGACCATATGGACTACTCTAATAGCCAATCTGTTGCTCGGATTCATCCAAGCATTTATAGCAGGAGAAGCTGTACTGAGTAGATTCCAATCGAGCCTATAATCAGAGATTGCTTGTCATGAAAAGGAGGTCAGTTCGGAAGCCAATTACAGAAGAAATGAAACGAAAAATAAGATATAGAGGATTGATAGGTCTAGTTACCTGGTGTAATCGATTTTTCTGGTTATCGGAGCTCTCGGAGGAGCAGCAAAGTTGAACCAAACCATTTTGAATTCGATAATACACGAAGACACGTTTCCGTTGTCTTTTGACAGTTCAACGATCTCCTTATTCTCACCATCCTTTTCCGCTTTGACACAACTATCTCCTTGGCCAAGTTGTTTATCTAAATATGAAGAATTCCGATAGAAAAATTCAACAGACAGTGCATCATGATTTAAAAAAATCAAGAACTACTAGGTGGCGCAGAAAATTGCATTGAGGTGAACAACAAAAATTTGCCTAATGTTTTCAATGAGAATTAATAGTTTTGGAAATCCTATGTTGACAAGAAATCCACGATCTCAGGTCTCTGAATGAGGTATATTGATTGATTATCAACAATGAAAGGCAAAAAGGGCATTAAACACGATTTTTATCAGTGCAGATTGCTTTCGAAGCACTTTAGGGGTCTTCATTCAATACTTTTTAAGCTATTTTTGTTTGATTTTCTAGATGAATGTCAGTAGTTTGAATATGTTGGATGGAATTAGTACCCATATTAGAGTGTCAGCCATGTTTTGTTAAAATCTGACATATATAATTTATAAAGTACTCCTTTCATTCAAAAATAACAATTCAATATTGTCCTATTGTCTATCGAGAAAAAATCACTGATCACTGAAAGTATTGTGGATTTTCTCATGGACGTATTATGAACCCTTCAGATATGTCTGCAGTCAAAACCATATAGATTTCAAGCTTCCAGAAACAAATAAAATTATAGGTTACATCTATCTTGAAACTTTACTTTGCCTTTGCATCAAGCTCTCATTACCACTATTACAAAGTCAGAGTAAACAGTATAAAGATACAATGTCATTCTATCAAGCAGGGCACTTTTTGAGTTAACAATCCTCCATATGTTTCGTTTCTACTATTACAGAAGTCCGATAGCTGGCGAAACAAGAACAGAATTCCATTTTGAAAACTTAATCCCTAGTCTGGGCAGTAATAAAATAGTTGTTCACCTCAATGATAGGTCAACCACTTCGTGATCATTGCTAATTATTCAATGTTTTTTACTGAAATATTGAACTACCAACTATTTAAATTATCTACTGTTCCATTCTATCTCACCTTTAGACTGATTCGAATTCAGTTGCAGCTTGCTCTCGGACAACTTCGGCGTCACGTGACTGGACCTGTCCGAGCTGTTGAGCAGTTCGCTCGATTTGGACGAATCGGTGGCGCTACCGTTTAGATTATTATCGCACTCAGCATCGAAATGGGACTTTTTCACCACTTTGAGTGCCACCCCCTCTAGACCGCATTCGAACATTATGAAGCCGAGCTTGTCTTCTGCGTTGATCTCTTCTGCGAGCGAAGTCTATAGAACATCATAACAGTGAAAATGAACCTTTGTAAGGATTTCTAATCTATACATATTTTTGTTCTAGACCCAGAAGATTATAGTGTTGTGTTTCGGTCGTTAATAACACACTAGTCGAATATACGCCACATATTATATAAATAGTATTTATAATCATCACAAATACTTTATTTCAATAATTAAACTCGGTATTTTTCTAAAATGCCAGCTCTCGAAGACGTCATACACCTTCTCACGTGGCAATAGTAATATTATAGATATATTTCTCTTTCTGCCTCAACAACCAATGCGAGCATAACCACATATTTCGACGCTGCCAAATTTATAACTAGTAATTACCTTATGAGATTCAATATGACCAATGACAACATAATTCATATTCACAGAAGACAGTGGTTCCGATAGTGGTTTCGATACTCAACAGATATCATTCTATATTTTGTAGTATTTGCCAGGAAAGTCATTGTTTTTTGTTAGATATTTCAACAATAAGCCGTCAAAATGTCTTCATGCGTGATTGAGCATCCGGCTCGAAGGACCACAATGTTGAGAGTTGAAATAAATTTTGAAGAAAATTTGAAATGAAACAAAATACTTGGTGCCACCTTTACCTTTTACCGGCATCGTTGGCTTCTGATGTCTTCTGGACTGTTATTTCTCCTGAATCTCTACTGGCACAAGTTCAAGGAGCACTCGGTAGTATTATTTGTCGATTGACAGGGCGATAGTTTGATCTTGAGTTCAATTTAGAGGGTTTCATAATGAGCTGTATATCACGCGTTGTTGAGCAGAGATATTTCCTGATTGACTTCGCTCGGATCGGCTCGACAAGGTACTGAGGTTTTTCCGAGTAAAAAGGGGGAATTCCGAACTGTACATTGTTACATTTATGACATGGATTTGAAATTTGAAATGAAATATTATTTGTTTTCAACTTAACTAAACTACGAACTCAAGTTGATCGAGGCGTACGGTGATTCAGGAGTGTGTTTTGTAATAATAGCGAGTTATTCGCGGGAATCAATGTTACCAGGTGGCGCTCGGATTTCATCGTTCCATGCCACATTAAAACTAGGGGAAAACAAACTCAATCCTCACTCAATCCCATTAGTGCCATTAGCTTGTACTGTGTACTGATAAGAGTGATGTTTCTAAATTTCTTGACCTTAATTGTCAATATTCGATCGAAAACGCTAATAATGCCTGTTGTAGATGTACTTTTGGCAGATATTTTGCTCAATTTAGATCGAAAAAGCCGACCAAGAGTGGAAGGAGAAGCAGTTCTCCGTGCTAATCATGTGATCTTGTGTGAGGCAGAAGACTTCAACAAAAGGCACATTTTTGCACTTTGTCTACAAACTTCGGCGATGAAATCTTCCCCACATGAAGTAAAATTGAAGTTGATTTCCAGAGGAACTCCTGTAGAACAATGGATTTGTATTTGTTCATGCAAAGCAGGACAATCTGGGTATTGTAAACATGTTGTAGCTGTTCTTTTATATGTCAATTGATTTGCTCGTCATAATTAGTTTGAATTGTTTGAACTATCTCCAATTCTTCACTCGTTCACTGTTCACTAAACTAATAAAAATGTAATAATGAAAAAAAATTAACCAACTCAACCATCATCACTACCAACAGTGCCAACACTTTATGTCATTGACAAGTTTGACTACAGCTACAGCAAGCTGAATGCAATGTGGTCTATGCACTTTATTCATAGACAACAGTTTGTTTTCCCCCAGTTTGAAGTTCGTATTATGTAAACTAGATGTCGCCCACTTCGTGAATCTCGCGAATAGTGTTGTGTTTCGGACGATATTTTCCTCACCTGATTTTCAGCTGGCGGGGATTGCAAATAATACTCGGACCCTCTACAATGCGTTTCCAATTTCGTGGGCGTGAACAGCACCTTCGACTTGTAATTCGGAATGGCCGTAATAACCGCATCGTCCAACAGCGAACACTCGTTCCTCAGCCTGCGCAGCTGCGCGTGTGCCTTGCCGATGTTCAAGCACACCACCAGCTGCTGCTGCTGCTTCTCGCAGCTCTCGATGAATACAGGGTCGCACTGGATGACGTCCGAGTTGGTGTTGGTCTGGAAGCCGAGAAGGATTTTCGCGCGGTTAGCGCCCTTTTTGCTGCCGCTTCTTACTACAGCCGGTCGCAGGAATTTTTGCAGCACCTCTTTGGCCTGAAATGATGAAAACGATATGTATCGAAGCCTGGAAGCTTCAGCAGGATGATCACACTACCCTGTTTTACCCGCAGACTAAATAAATATAGATAGACACTGTGATTCATTCATGAATCATTAGACAGTATACTCCAACAATTCTTAATGCCAAACACGGATAAATGTATGAAATCGCGAATGGTGGGGATAGCTATGTGGAATTATTGTCAGATAATTGATTGGTTCCAAAGAAAAGGGATATCCTGTAATGTTCAGAGAACATCGAGAGAACCAAGAGAAATAGGGTAGGAATTGGCGTTCTTCTCAAATTTCTAGAGGTTATATGCCTCGGGGAACACCTCCCTTGACAATGTGTTCCAGAATCTCGCTGTTCGATGGATGAACGAGTCTTTGGAAAGAGATGTTCTGCAGGTCTCCAAAGTGACCACGAAGGGGTGCGGAGCCTCAACTCGACTGGTTTATCTCGCGGGGACTGCCAAGGGAGGAACAATTGTTGATATTTCAGAAGAGCATCGTCCATGAAAATATCTATAAAATAGAGCCAGATCGCCAACTTTTCTACGGTGTTCGAGTGAAGTGAGTGAGTTTGTGAGCGATGCATCACCCACGAGACGAATTGCCTTTTTTGGACAGAATCCAACAGTTTCAGGGTATGTTTGGGTACTGCACTCCAAATATGGGAACAGTATTCCAGGACAGGTCGGATCTGTGCCTTATAGATCAAAAGCAGCTGACTGGAAGTAAAATAGCTCCTAACCCGAAACAGAAAACCAAGTTTTTGGGATGCACTTCAAGCAATTGATCTCACGTGATTTCCCCAAGAAAGGTTATTGCTGATAGTAATACCAAGCATCGAAATGGATGTCTTCAAAGGTATGGTTACTCCTGTTGGCACAGTGGGATCGGCTTTTCTAGAGAAAAGGAATGCATCTAATGATTTCTTTAAATGTATGTGCATTAATAAATTAACTCTAACGTATTGTAGCATATTTATACTTTACAGATTTGACACTGCCGAACCATATTTATTCACAAAATAGTCTGCTTCAGATTTATATGTTATATGAGTAACTGAAACATATTAAAATAATCTCACAACAGCAAGAATACCATTAGTTACAACAAAAACGAGTAATGAAACGATTATTGCACGTCTACTACGAAACTTTGCGCTGACGCCACGTTCATATTTGAATAATTCATATGGGGACAAATGTGTGATTTTTTCAAATTTTCTCCCAAGTAGCATCACTGAGATATTGGTTGCATGAAAAGATCTGGGACACCCGGTATTGTGCGATTCAGATTTCGATTATGCTTTTCCTTACCTGCTTATCACAATGCAATTTTGCTGTAATATTGTCGAAGCATACAGAAAACAAAGACACACAGGTTAGGTCCTTGATGTTGTCTAGTGCTGAGAAAGATATGATTTCCTCGACTATTGACACTTGCAGTAGAGTTACATTAACCTGAAATATGAAATGTTTCAGTTAACAATATACAATATGTAATACATGAATCCATTGAGGTACTCTACCATCGGAAAACTGAAAATAACCTTACTTTTGGCAAGTATACGGCAGCTTGTAACTGTGTTTTCACAGTTTCCTCGTATACGCTAGGAGGTTTGACTTTGCCATCTTCGCTTGGCGGTTGACATAATTTTGCAACATTTTCGGTCGTTTTCAGAATATTGGCGGACTCGACTTGTCCGATACAAGAAGTGTGGAGATGATTTATTACCGTCAATGGGTGCAAATTCGCCACTGTTGGTGTCAGAGCATCAATGAACCTACAAAATATTTCAATAAATGAAGACTGAATGATAATTGGTTGTGATTATTAGGTGCAAGATTGTTATTGAATTGCTATGCACAACTTTACAATGTTCGCATAATTGTATGTTTTTAGTTTAGTTTTGTTTTCATCAGATTATTAGTGGCTTCTAAGGAGGCTTCAAGCAGAAACTCTAACCTGATGTTGAAAGTCATTGCATGTTGCCTCAAATTCACGTCATTATTGGGAAAAGAGTTTAAAGAATTCACATACCTCCACCTCTTGTAGAAGGGCAAAATGAAATATCAAGATCAAACAAACAACAAACCAACAATTAATTAATTGAATTATAATGTGTCTGAGGTGATGAATATTATACTGGAAAAAAATGAGCTATCGATGTTTTCAGTAAACTAGCGCCATTGACAGACAGGGTGAATGAACCAACAATATTATACCTCGCCTACTAACTATAGGTTTTCATTTAGAACGACGATAATCTGATGGACAATCATAACCTAAACCATACCAGTTCTATGGAAACCCACCTTTGCAACGTCTCCAAAAGCAGCGGACTGATCATAACGTCCAAATCCCCCTTCAGTTTGACAATGACAGTGGTCCTGCACCCGGCGTCGGCTTGACTGCTCAACAGTTCTTCCTCTTGGAAAGTGCCCGATTCATTTTCCACTTCTTCTCGGTCCCAAACGTGCATGTACGGCGAAGTAGGCGTCTTGTTGCCCATGGTGTCCGATCTGGACATCATTTTCAGCGAAGTTATGCCGTCGCTGATTTTCTCCATGTTGGGAACGAATCTACCACCTGTTCGAATACGTTCGATTGGCTACGGAATTTAGTGTGCCGCAAGGATGGATATTTGGACTAGAGTGGTTTCTGACTCACATATATTGTGAGCGAGTGGTGATATTACTAATGATGCAGATGTAATATTAAAATTTGGTGATTCAACAACAATTTTAGGGCTTCACATAGGCACAATGGGCGAGTGGACTGATAATGAATGAAAAAATCCACTCGCCTATTCCGACGCTATATCAAATGTCATCCATTATTTGTATTTTGATGAATACTTCCAACAAAATTCTCAATAAAACTAGATAATTCAGAAGAATATTATAGCTTGTTGATATTTTATGTGTAAACATCAATGTTTGCTGATGATAATATTCATTTGGCGCAGTCATAAGGGCGTCCGGAAAATATTCCATAATATCAGTAAACGATGAACTCAATTCATATTTTCATTCCGGTGAATATTTTCAATAGCTCACCGACATAGACGAGTTAATCTTCATGTTGTTTCTTTGAAAATTATAGGGATTCCCTTTCGTGCGCTCCAAGCGAAAAATAAAAATAAATAAATGAACAATTTTTCGTGTATACTAATGATAATTTCCAATGTAAATATTGGATACTTCAAAGAAATTTCATAGTTGAATGTTATTCATTTGAAACTGTGAATCCATGGTATTGAGCTCAAAGAAAGACCTATAAAGTGCTACACAGATGGCTCGTGTACGGGCCTCGTACCAAGTACTTCAAAAGTTCATGCAAAAGGGAAATATGTACAGTTCAATATAGAAAAAAAGGTATGAGACAAAATATCATTATCATGTCCGATAGTCCAGCAGCCATTAGAGAGCTGAGATCTATGGTTTTCAGGTCTAAAATGGTTTGCTACTGATTCATTTCGTTGTTTTTCACCATATATGTGAGCAAAAAGATTACCTTGGATAGATGCTTTATCGAATCTAGTGAGGAATCTACTGAAAGATATAAGAAGAATGATAAATTTCATCCTTCGTAAGAACCAATCCAACGCTTTGCTTCACCCTCTAGAAATTCCGTCGTTTTCTGAACTTGGTTTGCTCTCCGGAAAGATCCAATAAAAATTGCCGAGGACATTCCCAATCCAGGCCGCTGTAGCTCAATGATTTGATAGTATTCACGATTTGTCGAAATTTGATTTCCTTCCAGATGTGTGCTGTGGTAAGAGCTACTTCTTTCAGGGTGTTGTTAGTTTGATCGTTTTGTTGCTTTAGGCGCACGTAGTTTTTTCAGAACTACGAAACTGGTCATATTCAGAATTCGTATCTGGAAGACAGTTAAAAGGGTTCGTTTCATTCTATCTGGAATAACTTATCGCCCCACGTTGGGCGCCATTTCGAAGTTTATCTTCCTCGTCCTGAGACTTTTCGTCTGAATAACCGTGAAAACTTCCATCCGATGGATAAGACCTCATAGGGAATGATGGGATTGACAAATACACAAGATTAGAAAAAGGTTTTCCCCGCTTGCGTTTTTTTTAACAGGCAAAAACTGATCGAGCTAGCCAACAGAAATAAAGTTACGCTTCAATAGGTTCCGGGATATTTTGGTCGTGTGAAATCTCCTCGACTTTGGGTTTGCATCCCCATATATAATGTAAGTACCAACAAACCATTCTCTTGTTACTGTGGTTCACAAGTTTCATGTTTGTATTTTTTTGCTGCTCCGCCTTTTGGCACATTTTCATGTTTCCTTGATATAATATATTGTTTGTTGTAAATTTGAAAAACAGTTCTCTTCATTACGGAATTGATGTGCTTGGGTGATAAAGTATTGAAAATCCTCCTGCAAAATAGCCAAGCGAGTACTCTTGAGTTGACACACATGAGATAGAAGCAACGTTTGAGTTGCCACATGTGGTGAAGGCCCATCGGAGTTGCGACAATATAATATTAATTTGAAAACGTTTTATTGGCGCAGTCATAAAGTCCTCCATATAAACACATGAAAGAAAGTTAATGATTGACTAACATATATTGGATTTCAACAAAAAAATTGACTCACCGACATAGACGAGTTTATCCTCGTGGTTCTTCTCGAACAGAGGCTGAGAGAACTGATCGACTCGCTCGCTGTTGCCCCAATTGGTGCACTTGAGCTGAGTCAAGTGCGTCACGTAGCTGGTCATCAGCATGGGCGAATCGACGATCAGCCTGTTGACTTGCATGTGCAAATCGACGAGGGTGAAGTCCTCTTGACTGCCCACTGCCGACACGTAGCTGTTGTTGCTGTAAGTGTCGGAGGTGTCCGCTAGAGGATCATTCAGTAGATCTTCTTTGTCCGGCTTGGGATTCGCCTCGAGGATATCCTGCGAAATCGATACCCCAATGTAACGAGTAGAGACAAACTTACACTCGAATCAATAACTGGAACGACTTACATGCTAGATAGATAGATAGATTGATCTTTATTCGTCATTAACGTGTGACAAGGAACACAAGGTATTGTTACTAAAGCTAAAACTAAAACTATACATATATGTATAAATAAATAAATAAATGAAATAATCATTTTTAAGTAACATTCTCCATGCCCAACAGACACACAGACAGAAACTACAAAAATAAACAACCGGTATCTCTCTCATCCTAATTCTACATATTACTATGTTGAAAATTCATTGAGGTTATAAAAGCTTCTGTCCACTAGAAATATTTGCAATATTTTTCTGAAAATATTCAAAGTTGTCGCGGATTTGATTTCTAACGGAAGTTTATTATAAATTAAGCTTCCAGCACGATACGGTGATTTTTTAAATGTACTGGTGGTAAAATTCAAGATATGGATTTCTTGAGCTCTCCTCGTGCCATCTCCTGGTTGAGTTTCAATTTGTTCTTATTTTCGTGAATGAAGCATGCAATTTTGAATATATTTATTCCAGTCACAGTAAGTATTTTCTGTTTCTTAAATGTTTCTCTACAAGATTCTCTGTATTGCAAGTTGTATATGATTCTTATACTTCTCTTTTGCAGTACCAAGACCCTGTCTATTTCAGTGGGTTATAGTATAACTAAGAATTGAGTGGACAAGTGAATAATAACACATTCTCAGATCACGTTGATTAATTTCTTTCTTCAAGTGTATAAAGGCGAACGTATTTTTAGCAAGTTTAGAGCATATTGAATCTATTTCTCTATGGAAGGTTAGATTGCTATCGATGGTTGTTTCAAGAAATTCGACATGGTCGCTGGTTTCAATATGACATATATCTGGTAGAATATTTGCTTTAATCAATGAAAAAGTCATAAATACTGTTTTTTTTACATTCATGATCAAAGAATTCTTGTGATCACCACAATTTGAATTGTTCGATGACTATATTTGCCCAAGTCTCTAGTTCTATAAAATTAGTTGCGTGAATAATTACTGACGTGTCATCTGCTTATATTTCTATGTCGCAGGAGGTTACATGTTGTGGTGAGTCATTGATGAAGATAATGAAGAGCAGCGGACCAAGTATTGAACTTTGCCCTACCCCAACATTCAATTCCATCTCCTCTGAAGTCTCTGAACCTATATTCACTGCTATTCGCCTATTTTTTAGATATGACACTATCCATTCTAGCGGTTTTCCTCTTATACCTAGTTATCGAAGGTGTTTGGTTTGTGGGTAGATCTCCACAGATAATTTATCTTAGTGTGTAAAATGATATTCCAATGGACTGTATAATACTATTATAATGATCATATCATCATGAACTATTACAAAAATAATATCACGAAAAGCTTTCTAAAACAACTTGTAACATCTTCACAGTAATTTTTACGTTCGAATGCTGTCGAAGTTGAACTTATGTCAAACTAAAGTCTCGATAGTCGAAGCCCGTTCAAGTTCATTCTTGTCACCGTCACACCAGGGCTATCCAAGGCAGTCTTGACAATGTTGCCGCGTGTTTTGGGATTTTTAATTACAAATACCAACCAGAAGGTATGTTTATACTGTATCAATTATTAGATCTCCATAATATACTTGACACTTTGTTTTGACGTTTTTGTATATTTATAGCGAAAATCATTGGTAAAGCTAGTGCTGCACTGATAACTAGTGTTGCACTGACACTGTCTCAGTTTTCCACTAGTGCAATACCAATGGCACTCACAATAATTTTTTGTGAACGATTTGTTTTTAGCAAACCTATATATTGCTATGTATATACATATATATACAGTGTGTCCACGTTAAGGATTTTTTCACACCGAGTGCAACACTAGACGCCACCAGTTTTTCAATGGGACACAAATCACAACCGGTTTTACCAATGGGACGCATTATATGCACTCAGTGCGCACGAGTTTTCCTAATGGTATTCGCTATATTGATACACAAATACGTCAAAACACAAAACAAAAGTGTGAAATACATTGAGAAACCCTAGTGTCAATGAATGAAAACTCACCAGTTTTCTAGTAACAAAGCTCCTGTGTTCCGGAGTATGAATCTGATGGTCACTCCTATGAGTAGACAACCTCAAACCGCGTGTCTCAGGGGCAGAACCGGGTGCCACCATAGGACCCAAAGATTTGTAAGGATGAGCAATGCTTCTGTCAGTCACAATGCTCAATTCACTCGAGAACTTCTTCCTATAAAAAAGTGAAGAAAAATATAGAGAAAATGAAGTGAAGGTTTTACATATTGGTTAGTAATTGATTATTGAAGATTCTATGACTCCGTGGATCCTAACTCATTATGGCACTCGACCAATCACAGATTCAGAATTATCAGCATCTACGAACTGGAAGGTTAAGACTGATGACAAAAAAGCAACTCTACCAAACAAATGTCTCAAGAAGGCTTTGCTTCATTCGATGTGTCACGGCCACGTCACGGCTTGACTTCCGCGAATGTGTTACGTTTAACTCAAACATCCAAATGTAGACCACCAGGAATACACATCACAAGTAGGTAGTATACGGATATCAACCCCCCAAGAGCTGCTGCTACCTATGTCAAATAATGGAACCTCTTTTTAGTACGATCTCAAAAAGTTTCGAGGACAACGAGCAGATTAAAAATGTACATGATATCGCAAACAGTGTGAATCTGGTTAAGAATTTCCATGCTTTAGGCGGTTGAATTCACAAGTTTTTGGCAGTATGATTATGAGACTACGATGTGTATTGTGTAGTATTTTCAACTGTCGGAGTTTCTCAGTATTGTGAGGATTTCGATATCAGTTTTTTTAATAAGGAAGTGATGCGATTATTTAGGGATACGATCATCGGAGGTGAGTTCGTTATTTCTTGTCTTTATGCTCCGTATTCTCTATCGACGAATACATGAAAAATTAAATAAATAAATATATCTTTTTAGGCATGTTTGGTTGGCGTGGAAAACCGGAAGTATATTTTCCCATAGATTTCGCCGTATGAGACGAAATTCGACATCATCGTAACAAGTATTTTGACATTCGTTTATAAGCTTCCACCCCGGACATCACCCACTAATAAAACCAAGTAATGCATAGCGGCTTGATATACTCACCTACATCATTTTTTGGTGACAATGAACAATTATTGTTTTGACGAGCCAATATCCATGTTGTAAGAACCGACACCTAGTTGCGTGGTAATTTATTGTTATATAGTGTTATATAGTCTATCCTTCGGAGTTGTCGCCGTATATTTCATCACCCCATACATAATCATAGGAGGCTGGATGAATTATCCTTATTCGACATTTTTATCCACCCTAGTCCCCTCTCGCGAGAATTAATATAGTCACACTAATTCTTTCAGTTCTAGATATAAGTCGAGGTATAAGTGTAGTCACAGATTATGTAATAGTGCTTTTTCTTTTTCGCAATAGGCGCGAATATAATTTCCTGATGTGAATCACTGAAGTAGTATGTCCGATAATATCTAGAATATATTCCAACTCTTTCGTTTGGTTTCAATCTAGGGTTACCTATACCAGGGAAGTATCGTATAGGTTCGGTCTCTCTGTGAGTACTAAAAAGTTAGTTTTTATAAATCTATTGGCACCCTCTATATCCACATCCATTTCGGACTCACCCCCTCTCCCTGTCAAAAGCTTACTGTGAGGAAAACATTTGTTCTCAATCTTGTGAACGTAACCACCATTCAAATAACAATCATAGTTGATTCTGATATTTTACGTAACAAATGTCAGATTGACTACTTGATTTCTTATAAGATTTAACATTGATTGGGAAAGCAGTGATAGTGAGAATAGTGAGATCTGTACACCACTGGATTTATCAGAAATGGGGAGAGAACAGCAACTCTGAACTTATTACCGGAAAAATCAAGAAAACAATATTCGAAGGCATGCGCGGAGTTCATGGATTGGCGTGTTATGAAACCACTCGTGAAAACAGTGTTCACGTGGTGGTCGAAGATTGTACCTAGATCTTTGAACTTAGTCATTTTTTGCAGAAGCTGGCCGTAGTCGTAGAGAAAATATAGAATATACTAGTCTTGTTTTACCTCTGTGGTGGAACGCTGCTGCTTTCCTGCCTCACCAGCGTATCCCCAGAACTCAAAACGGAGTTCCTGAGACTGGAACTCCTGGAGTTCAGATTGACGTCTTCGTCTGCGGAAAAGAACGCCTCCGAGTGATTCTCGCTGGACATGGAGGTGGTTCTTTGTACCTCTTTTTGCAACCTTTCGCTGGTACTTATACAAGCGCCGAGCGAATGGTGCGATTCTGAAGCGTTGAAGGGCTTTGCTATGGGTTGCGGAGATACCGAAATATCACTGCTAGGACCCTAAAAGGTATAAGAAACTTATTAGAACTCAGTGTATTGATTCTTTTCTTTATTACATACACTTTGACTCAGAGAAAATGGCTCTTTTAGCTCGGTGAATGGCGTGTTGAAATAGTCCACTGCCAATTTCGAGTCAGATATACTGTTTTTGGGAAGTAGTTCAGATGCATCATCCCCTACAGATAGTTTACTTTTATCGCATTGTAGTTTAGAGTCGCTATCCAACTTTGATGGTAAATTTGATGGACTGGTTTCCATAAGTCTCGAGTATGGAACTTCTCTGAGCAAGCTACTCCTGAAAAAAAAAAATGGATTGCAATAGATTCTCAGAATATTTTCAATTTGTTACTTGATGGAGGTGGAAGAAAATCTTCGGTTCACTTTTCTGTCTGCCAGTGCGTTTGGACTACTGAGCTGGTTTTCTTTTTCCAGTGGCTTCTCCGTTTCCGTTTGAACTATTCTAGGGCTTTCGCTGGGTTTTTTTGGATGCCTTTCTCCCATTTGCGTATCTTGAAGGGTTATTTCTGAAACTATGTATGGGGGAGTGCGGAATATTAGCATGCCTTCGTGCAAAATGCTCTGTCCAAAACCTGGATCTTTGCCAGGGTCATTCACCCTAAAAAAAATAATTAATTAATCAATTTCCGGTGGAAATAATGTATTAATTTCTTCGATAACTAACGAAATCAATGAAATATTCTGTATGAGAAGATCAGTTCGTAATAGAAGATGGAGTTTCGAAATATTTTCAGCGTCAGTCGATACAGAAGCTAGAACAAGGAAAAAAAATCGACTTGTTTCCAGTGGAAGTCGTTTTAGAAATATAAATATACGGGGTGGGGTGCCCATAAAAAGTCTGTACAAAATCTTAGCACATATTCTTGAGGTCGAAATAGGTCGATTCTAAGCTACCTATCTCAGTCCAAGAATGCTCCGTTAATACAGGGTGGCGAAGTTAAAAAATTAAAATCGTACACTCAAAACAAGTATTTGGAAAATTCAATTTTTACACTGCTTATTCACTTACCAAATTACATTCACAAAGAAAACAGCAACATTTTTTCTATTCAAAATAATTTAACTATTCCTGGCTGCATCACAAACACTATAAACCGAAATATCTCGAGATATGCTTACTTTAGAGGATTTTTACTAAAGTAAATTTTTTTGATTAAAAATATTGGAAAAAGTTTTTCCTCAACGAAAAAATTTATAACTACTGAGAAAAAATTTATAACTACTGAGAAAAAACGTATAGCAATTCTAAACCATAAGAGGTGCATTGGTAATCGCCCTTCAATGGCCACAGTGAAACGGTGTTTCGCATATCAAAAAACCCTAGTTAAACATATTCTCCTCGTCTTCGAGAAAAATCAACTGTAATTCTTACCGAAAAGCAGCTACGTTAATGCCCTCATCCAAATCCATTTTACTGGGCTTGAAAAACTTCGGCCCGTTTTTGTTGCCCCCGAAAAACGAGCAACCACCCGTGCAGCCGCACTTGCCGCTCGTCTTGTTCTGGTCTGGCCACAAGAACCTGTGATGGTTATCAGAATAATTCAATAGAACTCAGTAGGGATATTGATGTGAGATATACACGGTGATTCAGGTTTTAAGATACAAACTGAAATGGGTGATATAGATCTCATCATTTTAATCAAAAAAGTTTTTATTATTTATTTATCAAACATATCTTCCAGTCAGAACAAGTTCTGGTTTGAGGAAGAACATAATTATAAATTAATAAGTAATAAATATCTATGAAATAATACACAAACATGAGTAGAAGTGAACATGAATAATAAATCATAATGAATCAGGATATCACAATATATCACAATAAAAAAAAACAATCAATGAACAAGGAAAAGCATTCTAGTCAGTGACATAACTTACTGATAAATTTTAAATTGAAATATCTCGCTCACTTATGAAGATATCAATTTGAAATTGGGTGTGATGAATACTTTCTAGAAGATCATCATTTGAAGTATTTTGAAGATTTTCAAAATCTACAGGGTGATACGTTTTTGGGGGAAGAGGCATCCTTATCCCCCACAAACTTTTTCGTAGAAATCTTTTTTTTTTAAGTTCAACTGAAAATGATTCTTAATTCACTCAGTTGTTAGGTACCCAATTGAAAACTATAGTAATTGTACGAGAAAACTATAAAAATGAAATAAGATGTCAATATTACAGGAGTAAAGCTACAAGTTATTTGGTAGTAAATTGTATTGTATCATTCCATTGAGATAGATGGATTTTTTACCAATATCTGATTTATTTTTCTTGACAAAAAACAAAACAAAATAGAATCATATTTCTAGCCGATTTTTCAAATGTGTCATTGAAGTATATCATGAGTTTTTAAAGTGTCCAATGACAAAATAAGAGGAGCAAGTAGCTGTAAATGCGTTACCAAGACAATAAAAAAAAAAAGTGAAATTTCAAACTTTGTCGTGATAGTGGTTTGTTATGAGTGCAAAATTACTCATTGTCCTAGACAACACGTTGTTTATGAAATATAGAAAAAATATGAATGAGCTTGCCACAAACCACAGTTTCTTCAGGCGATCGTCGTGCATCTTCAGGAACTTTTGCTGCTTGGCGAAAAGATTGGGGTCCTTGGAGTCGGTGGAGATGGCCGATTCGATTATTACAGGGCCGAAGTCGATGGCACCAACTTCTAGCCACGGGTCGACGGCATCAATGATACCCCTAGATAATAACCACGATATAACAGCATTGAAATTGGGGTGCACGAGAGGATCAAAATGTCGTTTTGTTAAATCCGGTTTCAATGGGATGACTTCAACTTTTGATTTTGAAATGAAACACTTTTTCAAATTCTTGGATCAAGATGTTTTTACATAGAGGAACGTCATTCTAGGGTGGAGATTCCTGATAGAATTTTGACAATTTTGGTATAGTAGGGAAAAATCTTTCAATGTGACTTCAAGAGCTGATTACTAATAAGATGAAAGTGAAATAGTATAACTTTTTTATTTTTATAAATAACTAGTTTATTCCCACGGCTACGCTGGCGTTGAATCCCTTATATAAACATCATAGATCATTATACATTCCAATAGGATTAGGTATTTAAAAATTACTACATCCGTCCACACCACTCAAAATACTGACAGGCACAACAAGAGGAAGGAGCCATGGGTGTCGGCTTCATTCTGTTCTGACCGATATAAGTAAATTAGGAAGGATAGCATCATTGAATGTAGCCGATAGTGATTCATTGATTCAATGATATTTTCGTTTAGGATCGAGCTCTATTTGAGATATTTCAATGCATAAATAACAAAACCATAACCTGTCAGAATGAAGCTAACTACCCTCTGCATTCCTGCTCCGAGTGCATTTGTGGTTATGTATGTTCTTGTTCACCAGTTTCACTTCTTCTATTTTTTCATTCGTTAGCTATTCGTTAGCTATTCGCTGGCTATATTCTTGACCATCAGCAATTTTCATCAGACTAGATTCAGAATGTACGTCATAGTTTGCCGCCACGAAAATTAGAAATTGCATGAATTTCAAAAAGGGAAACGACTTGGACTTTACCGGTCGTCATTCTATACAGCGTGGACATGAAACTGGAGAGTTCCGAACTTATTCGATAAAAATTCATCTGAAGGAAATTTCCCCATTTTGCGCCTTTCCATTTTATCATTTAAATAATCCGAGACTTATCAGTCCCTAAAGACGTATCCTCATAATCAATATCTAAGTATCCTATGTCCTTTTCAATACATCTAAGAATAAATATATATACAAAATTTCATGATAATCAGTAGTTTCGGCGTGAAAGCCCGACAAACAAAGTTACATTCACATTTATAATATTAGTAGAGATAACTGTTCAAAAATATTTTATGAGTAACAGAATAACAGAAGAACACTTTCAAAAATTTCACCACAAGAAGGTTATCAATCCAGAAATGTAGACGAAAACATAATATGAAAATCAAAAGTTGTGGTAACATCCGGCGAAATCGGAAAATTCAATAAACAAGAGCGGAATGTTATCAGAATTTTATCAATTCAGAAGTTACATGGGTGAACCATTGAAGGTTGTTTTACTTACTTCAATTTATCATAAAAAATTATGCGAGTGATGTTCCATCAAAATTTTATTAGTATTCTTATTCATCTACTGGACTCTATTTAGAAAATCTAAAAACATTATGTTCATTGAAACTGGATATGATCTTTTATCAAAATTTCTCAGTAGTCAGTAGAAATTACGTTCTTACTTTGAATGATTGTACTTATGTGGATGCCAAACAAGTTGTCGTAGAGACATGCTGTATATTATGCAGCTCAAGCCTGAACTGACTTGTTTTCCGTGCAGGTTACAACTTGCCAGACGAATTGGCGAAACCTAAAAAAAGAAACGAACACAATTATGGAATACTATTGTTATTTACTGTTTAAAACAAAATCACTCTGTATATCCCCAATATCAACAGAATTTCTTGAGGGCCACCGAACATTATGCTATTTACCAGCATTGCAGTTTCAAATCAAACAATCCCACATGAGGCTATGATATTTCAGGGCAAGCTTCATGCTAGTTTCATAATTACAACCAGTCTTATTTTTACTGAAATTTCAAGGCAATTTGAGTTACATTTTTAATAATATTCATCATATTGACTTGATAAAAAAAAACAAATTTTTCCATGACCTGGCCGGAGACACCAAATAATCCTTAAACAGTATATTAAAATCTCAAAAAACCTGTAAACAGTGAATATGAACAAGAAAATGTGACAGGAATATCTTAATGTAAGGCGACCTGCAATAAATTGAGAATTTCTTTTATGTTCTAGTTCCCACGAAAAGATATATGCTGTGATGTTCAGAGGACATCGTGAGCCTCAAGGGAAATAAGGTCGGAATTGGTGTTCTTCTTAAATTTCTGGAGGTTATATGCATCGAGAAACACCTTCCTTGGCAATGTGTTCCAGAGCCTCGCTGTTCGTTGGATGAACGAGTCTTTAGAAAGAGATGTTCAGCAGGTCTTCAAAGTGACCACGAGGGGGTGCGAAGCCTCAACTCGACGGGTTAAACTCGCGGGGACTGCCAAGGGACGAACAATTGTTGATATTTCAGAAGAGCATCGTCCATTAAAATATCTATAAAATAGAGCCAGATCGCCAACTTTCCTACGGTGTCCCAGAGAAGTGAGTGAGTTTGTGAGCGAGGCATCACCCACGAGAACGAATTCCCCTTTTTTGGACAGAATCCAACAGTTTCAGGGTATGTTTGGGTGCTGCACTCCAAATATGGGAACAGTATTCAGGGACAGGTCGGATCTGTGCCTTATAGATCATAAGCAGCTGATTGGAAGTGAAATAGCTCCTGGCCCGAAACAGAAAACCAAGTTTTTGGGATGTACTTTAGCAATTGATCTCACGTGATTTTCGTGATTTGCGAGAAGATTGCAATGCCTTAAACTGGCCGAAAATTAGTGTAATAACATCTTGTATATATATTTTGTTTTGATGTTTTTCCCTGACGACAAAAAACTCTGAGATAATAATTAATAAAATATTGTTAATATAATTATGATATTCATTACAATTAGTATAATATACGGCGCCTTTTGGAGCGATGAAGGAAATCAACTTACCCACAGCTGAAGCGCCGCCCCAGACTCGACCAACCAGAAGTCTACCGCATCTACCGCCACCCGGCACAACTTGTACTTCAACTTGTGCTCGCTCAACTGCTCCCCGTTATCCCCCGTCGCCCCCCCGCTCCTCATCGATCCCCCCTTCTTGGGCAACTTCAGACCCGCCCCGACAGCCTGCCCAGGGTTGCCCACACTTGCCTGCCCAGCCTTGCCGGCCCCGATGGTCTGTCCTGACCTAAATAAATAAATACAGTCAATCGTGCTACAAGCAAACTACTTTATTGCTATGCCAAGCTTTCGAAAATTTGTATTTTCTTCTTCAAGGCTAATATTTTTCCCGTGTATAATACACTAATTTTTTCTGTGACAGAAGAATTATTTTGAAATCTGAAAATTACTGACGTGAAATTTCAAGTTTTTAACAGTAGGGACACCTGCGTTGTAGGCATCTTTATCATTCTTTCGAAGTAATCAAATATCTGATGTCACTTCTGTCAGTCTAATTCTGTGATTTGATTACAAAAAATTGCGAATTTAGTGGTTGTTTAGTAATATACGTAACCGCGAAGTCGAATGGAAGATAAAAGGACTTGCATTTCTTTCCCGGAGACGGTATTATTGACTCATTTTTCGGAATTATAGCACAAAAAAGCCATCAACAGTGTATATGTATATATGTGATACATATCCGGGAAAAAAGTAATCTATGAAAAGTGACATTTTATAATCTGCCAACAGAGATGAGATGCCAAACTTTTTTCCCGTCACAGAAAAAAGATTATAATTATTATATTCGTTGTAGGTAAATATCTATCACCGGACTTATTTTTCATTTTGTTTACCTGCCCACAGTCTGCGCAGCGTTGCCCACACTGGCCTGCCCAGCCTTCCCGCCCGCATTCGCAGCATTCTTCGGCTGCAACAGCTGCTGTATCGCTTGCTGCACATGCTGAACGTGCACATTCTGGAACGCCTGCGTGTTCTTCTTCTTCACCACCGGCTGCGTAAGTAGAGCATCATCCGCGGGCGAGTTGAGTTCGTTCTCGTCGTCGCCTACTAGGAGGATGAGGGTCTCGAGACAAGCGAGGATCGAGTATAATTGGGGCGTGGTCAGTTTGCCGCTGAGCTTGCCCATTTGGATTTCAACTAGCCAGGCGTACTCGACTGTGTCTTGATCGAGGGATTGGCCCACGTCTGAGAACATGGCGTGGCCACGGATCTGAAGAAGTTTATTCGTTTATTTATTTATTTGTTCCTTTGATTTCTTGTTTGTTAGTTCGTTAATTCGTTCGTTCGATCTTTCCTTCATCAAATCATTAAATCTGTTCAGTACTTGTATGACCCTATATAATAGTTTTATACTTGTATAAAGGTGAGTTCCCAATGCATCGTTTTTGCTTTTCGCGTCACGCATCACGCATTCTGATTGGTGACGCGGAATTCGAGTATAATTTGAAGCGATGAAGTTAAAATATTTTAACTTTCTGGCGTTGCTGCTAGGTGATATGTCATTTATATTTGATTTTGGGCTGTTGTTTGCGGTTGAATTGAGGTTATGTCTTGAAAAACTTTCAATAGTTTCAAATTTTATTAAAGTAAATACAGGTATGAACTATATGGATAATGAGGACGTTCTGAGTGTAAGTTTATTTATTCTTATTGTTGAGAATGGACTAATGATTGTTAAATAATTACAGTATCACTGTGGAATGTACACTGAAATCATCAACTGTAATATTCTTTGGTAATGGTAGGTCTGACCCAGCATGATCTTATTTTTCTCAGTAGATAAGCTAATAGCAGCAATTTCCTCAATCTATTTTTGTTTCTTGCTTCCATTTTATTAGATTATTTTCATCTACTTTGACATTTTCCTGACAATAACGACATAGCTAAACATCATTCATTGGGAACTAAACAATAATCAAAAAAGCGATACAGCAATTCCGAATTACGCGTCACCAATCAGAGTGCGTGACGCGTGATGCGAAAAGCAAAAACGATGCATTGGGAACTCACCTTTAGCCTAGGGTCCCTTGAGGTAAATTGACGTATTTGTCATCTTAACACGGTACGGACAGATCCTCGTCTCCTCTCACTCTAAAGTGTTTGTGAAACAGATATATATTTCCATCTTCATTCATTTCTGGGAATAAACACTAGATTTCTGAAATTTGTTGTTTTTAGGTTATATTGAGGACATTGGCGTATCATACGTAATTTCCACATGTAATTCATCATTCAACTCTACATATTATATACAAATGATAATGATAATTTTCGAGTTTTTGATTTTTCAACTCCAACATAATCTTTGTGAGACAGTGAGCAAATGTTTCTGAAAATTTAATACGTTTCAACAAATGTTGTTGTTCTTAGGCAGTACCTATCAATAAATAAATTTTGATTTCCGACTAAGCCCTATGGTTGAGAAATGGAGAAAAATTGTATGTAGGTTTTCAAACTAATGTGCTCATATGTCATGTGTGCTATATATATTCATCGAACACGAACACTTCATATTTCCTGAAGGTAGGTATAATTTTTTAAATGATAGGGCATATGCCTCTCCTTTTAATCCTCCGTTTTAATCAGAACTGTTTCTACTAAAATGCATTCAAAAACTATGTGATTTCGTAATAGTTTTACCTCGAATATTTTGCTGATGTATTAACCTCTTTTCCCCCTTCGGTCACTTCACTTTCCATCTTCTAAGTTCATTTGCATTCGATGGAAAGCTGACAAATTCAAATTTGCCATCCAACTGATTGATACAGTCTAACGCAGCACATTTTACCATCCTTCCAAAACAGAATTGAATTATGTAGTATTAGTAGTAGTAGTATTTTGGGGAGGCTGTAGCCAGGCAAGTAGGCCCCTATGGGCCCTTTTTGCCAACCCCTGCTCTCTACATATCTACACATCCCTCTTTTAGTTATCCTTTTCGAACCTTCCCGTCTTTCTGATGAAGGTCAGGATGTCCGTCCACTCTAATTCGACCAAATCCTCCTGTTGTAGTTTATCTACTCCAAAGATTTCGTATCTTATCCTGTCATACGCCTCACACTCTCCGAGGAAGTGAAATGATGTCTCCTCATCTTCTCCGCATTCACGGCAAGTGGGACTATCTTCTACACCTATGAGTGATAGGTGTCTGCGTAACCTGTTGTGCCCTGTCAATACCCCTATAAGAAGGCGCAGGATTTGGCGATCCCTGCCCAGTAACCAAGCCGTCTTTGGCTTGCTTGGACCGGCCACCAGGTACTACTACTACTACTACTACTACTACTATGTCGTATTAAGATCAAGTATGAAATTAAAATTTTGTAAGATCTCTTTCAACGCCTATGAATGTGAAGTGACAGCAATTCCATGTCAGGGACGCCAATACACGAAACCAAAGACACTAGATGATTATTAAAAGAGGAAGGAGCTATGATCTGTCCGTACCCTGTTAGATGACAAATACGTCAGTTTCCATCAAGGGACCCTGATATTATCCTATATAGTACAAGAGATTTTCATTTGTTATTAACATGAGGAGTTGTTGAAACATAAGATAATCAATAAAAACAATAAAATCAATAAATAAAGAAGGATTGCAATTCGAATTGCAATTCTCATATCAATCTTCATTCCATTATAATATTTATACAAATACAGTCCAGTATCCATCAAGCATCGAACACATTGGTCCTTCGATCCGGATCTATTCAAATCAAACCTTCAAGACTGCCAACTTTTTCACAAAGGATACAGGGCAGCACTCGAGACGACCTGGAGCAATAGTGAATGCCAAGCAGCTGGAGCTTTCACAATAATTCATTAATTAATTCATTCATTACTTCAATAATTATTCATTCATTGGTTCATTCATTGATTCACCCGGCAGGCAGGTGTTTCATTGCCCAATGATAGTGGCATGTTATGACATACATTGTATCATACAGTCCTGGGTATGTTTTCTATTCTGTCTACGCTAATAAGATGAACCATCCTTTTGAGAGTAATGAAGCCAGAAATTCTATTCAGTAGGTGGCGGTGTCTATGAGTTACTTTATGTTGAGTAGAGAAGGGTTAGAGATCGGTAATGCAGAATATATTCGAAGTTTATTTTCAGATGTTTTTATGGAAGAAGGAATGTCGCATCAGGGCCGGATCAAATTATTTTCATTTAAAATCCTTCAGAATATCTAAGTAAGTGATTTTTCTGCTTCAGTATAAAAGATATTCTTAGATAGTTCAGCAACTTGCACATATACACAACTCGCCGCCTACGAACCAGCCAAGAACTAAGTCCAAATTTGACTTCAACATTTTATATGACGGTGGATCATCGTGTTAGTGTGAATAATATAATAATAATAATAATAATATATAGTTTATTGAAAAAGTACAGTTTTGTATGACATTCAATATGGATTTAGAAATATAGTTTCAATAAACCACAAAACTCACTAAGGCAGATTGCCTGTGCGTGAATTGTTAAGATTTATATAATTTACATTGGTTTTTTCTATCATTGTCGATCTAAATCAAAACCTAGTAGGCGACCTAGTGCGAGGAGGTATAATATTATAGCTCCTGCCTACTAACTACCTAACTAGGTTGTCATCTAGAACGACAATGGTTCTATACTAATTCTAATTGTATTTCAATTCTAATTTTAATTTTAATAACAAAGTAAAAATAAAGTGTAGTAAAATGTATAAATACTGGGTTTGTAAATAAAATAATATGTGTAATAATATAATATGCACAGATAAACATCAGACATAAAACATATAATATATTGATAGAGTGTGTATAGATATACGTAATGTGTGAAAATAAAAGGTTTATTGATGAAGGTGTGTAAATAATGTCAGATATAAGTGTCACGAATTTTTATCTTTGCATGTCTATTGTTCTTGTATTGGCGTATATTATCAAGTTCTGTTAGACCTTTGGGTAGAATCTGGTACATTCTTGGCGCTAAATAAGCAAATTTGCTCTGGCCAACTGTTTTTGTAGAAAATGGAGTTTTGTAACAATTGCTTTGTTGCCTCGTATTTTATTCATGGTTTAGAGGTTATAGATTTGATTTATTTCTGAATTGATATAGCACAATGGTACGATAAAACAATTGCTTTGTGTCGAAGATTTTTGCTTCTGTAATCAAGGATTATGTTGGTTGGACTTACCTGAAGAGACGATAGGCTGAGTTTCCCCTGATTCAAGTGTCTGTCTCTCGAAGATCGGTTCAGGTTATCAGAAACTAATAGTATTGCTGGACTGATGAGCAGTTGTAGCTCAGTTTGATCAAACCTCTTCTTCATTTCGAAACCAACCCGTTCTACTAGCACCACTGGACAAGGAGGATCTTTTTCCGTACAATTCTGAGAAAATATGGAATATTGGTAAATGGTTTTAAATGAAAAGTCAGTTAGAAGTCGAGAGGTATGATATTGTCTGTGTATTGTCCCAAAATTTGTCGGCCCGTCAATAACACTAGTTGACTGAAAACATAAAGAGCTGACTTGTTAAAATTTTTCGTTCAAGTTTTCAAATTACAATTTTGATTTAATTGTCTAATCTCAAGTACTTTGTTGTTCGTTCGATTATCGTGTTCCATTTAACACTTCTACAAGAAGTGGAAGAAAATAGTTATTTATTATACAAGTGAAAAAAGTAGTAGATTTTAGCTTCAGGTTGTGAGCTAAAATCTAATATTTTTCCCGTGTATAATACACTATTTTTTTCTGTGACAGAAGAAAGGACGAATCAATATTGAGAAAATATTACATTATTTTGAAATCTGAAAATCATCGACGTGAAATTTTAAGTTTTTATCGGTAGGGACACCTGCATTGTAGGCATCTTTATCATTCTTTTGAAGTAATCAAATATCTGATGTCACTTCTGTCAGTCTAATTCTGTGATTTGATTTCAAAAAATTGCGAATTTAGTGGTTGTTTAGTAATATACGTAACCGCGAAGTCGAATGGAAGGTAAAAGGAATTGCAGTTCTTTCTCGGAGACGGTATTATTGACTCATTTTTCGGAACTATAGCACAACAAAAGCCATCAACAGTGTATATATATGTGATATATATACGGGAAAGAAGTTATTTATGAAAAGTGACATTTTATAACCAGCCAACAGAGATGAAAAGCCGAACTTTTTTCCCGTCACAGAAAAAACTTTTTTTTGTCAACTTTGACAGCAGAGGCATAAAGATTACCTCATTACCTTGGGACATTTTTGGAATTGTCATCTTATTCCTTTTATTTACAGAGTGACCTCAGAAAATTAACTTTTCTTTAACTAACTGATCTCACAAGAGAAATAAATCTCTTCCCACCTCAGTGCGTAATATACTATCACAAGACCATAATCCCTGGTCGCTCAATTGTTTGTATTAGTGGTTCACTTGACTGCTCTCATTAACGGAACAAATTTTTTTCTTTACAACAAAAAATGATAGCTCTATGAAATCGGGTGTTTACTTTTAAGTTAACAAAGCGACGTCTCGACAGATGGTGGACATAATTTTCAAGTTTGATAAATTGAGCAATAAGTCAGCGGAAAAAATATGTTTCACCTTGAGCAAATGTGCTTGTACATCGTGCATAATAATGGAAACGTCCACTTCCAACGGTCTGTAATATCTGTGATCGAAATCCTCCCTCAGCTCGAGGGGTATGTGAGCGATACTGTCTTCCGATTTCAAATCAGTGCTGCTGCTGTCAGGGTTCATGGCCTGTTGCATGTCTGTGAAAGATTGGTCTTCTCCGAAAATGTTTTCCTAGAAAAAAATCTACTTTTGGGATTCAAAATTGACCAATGCACCAATGGCGCACCACAAAAAGTGTATGAAACGAAAAATGGCTTCCCACTGAAGACACGTCTCCCTACAGATTCTTACAATCACTCAAACTCCAATACGTAACCGATGTTTCCAATTTGATCTGCATACCTAGGAAAATGAGAGAGCTATAAAGGAAAAAAGAAAATCTTGAAATTTCAACGCTATGTAGATCGGTAACGAAGCGTTGCGTGTCTTGAAAGAAGTCTTATTTTGATCTGAAAAATAAGCCACTGGAAGCTTGATACTGAATTTTGAAACACCCTGTATACAGGATGTCCGGAAAGGTCAGGTTGTAAATGATGGGGCAGATAGAGAGTGAGCCAAAATAATGTTAATACACTCGTCTTCGGAAAACATTTCGTGTAAGTGCTCTAAAATCACTGCTGCAATAGGAGCGATTACACCGTCCAACTGCGAATTTTTTTCTGAATACGCCTGTACTTCATATAAAAAAAATGTCTATCGCACTTCGTGACGGAGATATTGACCTTGAAAGTTTGAATTAAAAAAAAAAACTCATGTATAACTTTTAAACGCTTGCCATGGTATGAAAGATAGTCGGTCAGCTAAATTAACTCATACTGATTCTCCCTCCTTTCGATATCTGAACAGCTGTATTATGATTTATACAGGATGGAACGAATTTTTCAAGTATTATGAATAAATATCTCATTGGCTGAATGAAGTAGATTACTATTAGAGATAAATTATGATATTTTGCGACAGTATCTATAATTTTTCACTATCAACTAACAATATGTTATTTAAAACTTGTCAGTCATTTTTTCGCTAATGAATTCGTTGCAGATTATATCTTGCAACAGCGCCTAATACTTCGAGTCCGTACACACCACTCAAAATACTGACAGGCACAACAAGAAGAAGAGGCCATGGGTGTCGGCTTCATTCTGTTCTGACCGATGACAGTAAATTAGGAAGGATAGTATCGTTGAATGTAGCCAACAGTGATTCATTGGTTAAATGATATTTTCGTTTAGGATCGGGCAGAAACTTTCAAGGTCAATAACTCTGTAACGAAGTGCAATAGACTTTTTTTTATATAAAGTACTGACTATTTTGGCTTATTCTATTAGTCCTATGTTTTACGACATGGACGGACACACTGTATTGAGGCGAAAATAAAGTCATTCATCATTTCAATTCCATACCTTGAAATTCAAGAAATTCCTCAAGGCAGTCCCGTACACGAGAACCACCGAAGGTCCGATCTCCAGTTCCACATTCACAGTATCGGCAGCCAACGTGGTGGGATCGAACTTCTGGTTGCCTTCGGGCGATCTCTTCTTGTCCTTCCGTTGATGAGGAAACCTTATGGGCGACAGTAAGATCTCCTCTTTAACAGGCGTGGAGATGTCCGCCTGCGGTTGTGGCCCCAAAGGGGGGCTCGGATGGTACGTGTAAATAATGTTGATGGCGCCGATAGGGACCCACCAAAAGTCCACCCAACCGGCACTGGGAAATAATATACAGGCTAGGTTTTTTTGGCGCAGTCATAAGATACCTCGCATTGTTAGGTTAAACGCTATCTGGGTCAACGACATAAATTGTTGACTAGAGATGAAATGGATGCGAAATCTTGGAATATAGCAGATATAATTGCTAGTTCAACACGTTGACTGCCATGTCGGTCTAATGGACCGAGGAAAAAATATCCTGACGTGCCGCCTCGGTCTCATAGACCGGGATTAAGGTTGATACACCAGGCCGACTCAGTCTCACAGGCTGGTGAAGCCGTCGGTCTGAATTATTGTCAATAATATCGCGGAGAGTGGCCGAGACGGCTTCACTGACACTTTTGCATTGAAAAATATCATCATCAGACACACAGACCGAGTCGGGGATGCATGCAAATGAACGTTCATTCTGTGGATGAAATGTAACATAATTTTTTTAAGAAATACAACCGATTATAAGTGTTCCAAGAATACGTAATCTATATTTTCTTATAGAATGTGTTTGTAACAATCCAGGCAAAATACAGGTTCTTCAGGACATGCCTCACAGAAGGTGCGTATTCTTTTCAAATTAGGGGCTGATATCTATCCTGATTCTTCCTTTATTCTCTGGTATCACTTGGTGCAAGAGGTCTACGTTTTTCATACGGTCTCTGACTCAGAGAATTCTTATGATCTCGAAATCTGTTCATTTTCTAAACTAAAATAATATCACTTTCACATCCACCGAACATCAAATGAACAATCCCCCAACCAGTGTAGAACAATCGGGATACAAGTATTGAATACACATTCAAAAAGCAAGTTGAGACAAGTATTTTGCACAGTGCTAGGCCACTAGACTGAGGCCGAAGTCGGCCGGACCGAGCTATCGGACCGACGCGGCGTACAAATATACACGAGTGCCGAGTCGGTCTATAAGACCGAGCTGAAATTTTTGAGTTTTTTGGGTCCAGGGTTCCAATTATCAAAAATTTCAACGAAGTACTATCTTCTGTAGATTTTAGCTACATAGAGTTACTGATGGTTTCTGGGAAACATTTTTGAATTTTGCTTCGGCTCTGATGCCACTAGTGTGAATTTGAGCCCAGCAGTCAACGTGTTAAGGATAATAATAATAATATCTTTATTTTCCTTCTGACAATTGAAAATTGTGTTGGAGACGTCATTACAGGTGAAGTAGATATAAAAATTAGATAAGTTAAATGAAACAAACACAAATAACTGTATAATTGAGCAGTAGATCCCAGAAAAAATTTGTTATAGAGTATGTAGCTTATTCTAAGTACCAAAAACAAGGTTCTGACAAAACGAATATTTTATTCATACTATAAGTGACAGTTTATATCATTTTTCCTTTGTTGTTTTTCTAGATTTTTTAATTGAAAATGGATTTTCTTGGCCAATTCAACAGTAGTCTGAAGAGAAAATTCGAATTTATTTCATAGCGGGTTATAGTTGATTCTGACGGCTTTTCTGTGTCCAAAAACTAACTAAGTGTAATAGAATATAATAAAAGAAAAAAATCTGTTCATGCCATCGAAGAGGACCCACTAGAAGTCCACTCAACTCATAATAGGAAACGAAACTAGAACTACATTTTTCGTTTTTGGCGCAGTCATGAGGATTCCCGTATTGTAAGACTTACAAGTGTTTTCGAAATGATTATTGTTTCATTTTTTAGAAATCTTATTACCAAAGGATTTTCTAGGTTGGAAAACCGCCTAATTACATCGCAGAATCGAAATAGAAGCGATATCACTACAGAGGAAAAAGATAGGTATAGGTACCTGCTTGAACAAACATTTCTCCATTTTGGTATAGCTTCAGTCTTCCTCGTTGTAGAACCATCTTTTGAAAGCACTTTGGCATATTTTTCCAAAGCCATGACAATGTTTCGACTAGTATGAAACTCTGGGATGAACAAACTTAAATCTATACTCTCCCCCTAAAAAAATACAAAGATTAACAATTTTTGTTACTGCCACATGAGAAAAGACAAACTTTGAGTACCCCTGGTGAAAAGTGGAAGCAATAAATTGCTATATCATAAAAATATCACCTCACACAACGTCAAATAACAATAATTACTTTTTTCTACAAACGTCAAAAAATGACAAGGTTCGCGCATTGAAAACAAAGTGCGAAGTGACACTTTTTTCAGTTTCCTACGTTACCATGATACCTTGCACCTAACAATGCGCGAAGTAAAACAGTGCGCGAAGTACCTACTTCGCGCATTGTTATGTAAAATATATGAGATATTTATATTTCAACTTCACAGTTCTCAATCGAGCAAACATCCACGAAATCATTTATTTCTGAATGTTTAACAATAACTTTGTTTTATCTCTTGGAGCGCACGAAAGGAAATTCCTATTATGATCGTGGAACATCGTGCGTACCTAGGGAGGATAGGGAAAGGCCTTTTAAGCCAGTTCAAGATTATTTTTTATATCAAGCTGAGCATATTTTTACTTTGAACTATCTTTTTTGGCGTTTGTAGAAAAAATTTTGTTTGCAACTCGAGCGCGAAATACTTTGGTCATCTCGACTATTTTTTTAACTCGGCTACGCCTCGTCAAAAAAATCAGATCTCGATCACCAAAGTAGCATTTCGCGCTCTAGATACAAAAATAACTATTTGGCGCAGTCATAAAGTACTCCGATGAGGTAAGTGAAATACGTTTCAGAAGAAGAGAACGAAACTTCAAGAAACGTTGAACAACGATGATTATTACTCTATTGACGCAGTCATAAGGTACTCCGACTAATTAGATCAAAGTCGTTTGAAATTACAACGAAACTCCAATAAACCATCTCACCTGTATGGCTAAATTCACGGGTACAGTCTCCGGTAGGAATTCGTCGAATGGCAAGTCAAAGGACAGGTGTAGAAAATGTGCACAAAGGGCCAACTGGGTATTTTCGAGTCTGCTGCGCTGTCCGACGCTGCTGCAGTCTATCCAGTTGTATTGGTTGACTAGAGTAAGCAGTTCGCAATGCTTCAGTGTCAAACCAAAGCGCCAAGTGTAAGGAACAAAGTGGATTAGATCGGGCCGTTGTTTCGAGGCCCAGTCATTTATCAAATCTAAGAGAATAAAATAGATGAAAACGTCTATACATTTGTGTAGGTATTTTTTTTTTACCTGTGAAAAACCACTTGTGGAAAAAAATCAGATTCACCGTAGCCTTACAACCAGTCAGGTTAACCTCCCACAACTGATGGTCATTCCATACGAGAGGATAATGGCACAATATGCAAAATTCTAGAGTTTCACTCTCTACAAAATCTCGGAACTGCAAGCTAGTGGTAGCTTCAAGATGGAGCAACTGTCCTTTAATTGACGTAGTGTAACCCTCAGTAGTGGTAACCCAAGGAATTGTTACCTTCAAAATTATAAATAAATAAAAACGAGTATTCATTCCTCAATATCATTCAATAATGCATTGAGAAACAAATCAACTGTCAGCTAATGACATACTGTTTCGGCTTGCTAAACCTCATCAGTTGTACTAGCCCAACTGGCAATCGATTCTAGCCTTCAGAGCTATTTAGTGACAAAAATGCATATGATAATTATAGTGTATATATCAATAAGCGAATGACAGGCTATAATTTCTCAACCACGACATTTTTAGTTACCTCCAAATAACTACCAGCTCCAACATTGACATGCACAGCATTAGTTTCTTTGTCTTTTGTGAAGAGAATATCAATTGTTGCTTCTGTCTGCATTAGCAATCTGACGTCGAAAGACTGCATTTGTCTTTTGTCCCCTGGTTTGGGGGCTTGGGTGACTTCCATTGGTAGGAAGTCTGGAGGATAAAAGAATTTGAACAGGTGCTCACGTTGTCTATCGGCCCATGGACCGTAACTAAAATCCGTTCCTACAAAATTATAGAGCAGATTTTAGTTCGAGGTTGTGTGACAAAAAACCTTGAATTAAAATCTAGTACTTTTCCCATAACACACAATTTTTTTCTGTGACATGAGGAGGGACGAATCAATATTGAGAAGATATTACCTAATATTAAAATCAATTATGGACGTGGACTTTGAAGTCTTTAACAGAAATTATACCTGCGATGCAGGCATCTGTATCAGTCTTTTGAAGTAATCAAATATCTATCAGTCTAATTTTCTGATTCGATTTTGAAAAATTGCGAACTTATAGTGGTTGTTTAGTAATTTACGTAGGCGCGGAGTGGAATGGAAGATGGATTTGCAGTTCTTTCTTGGAGACGGTGCGTTATTGGTTTATTTTTCGGAACTATAGCACAAAAAAACCATCAACAGTGTATTGTATACCGGGTGACACAGGAGACATGTAACAGTCTGTAGTTTTTTTATTTGAAGAGATACAAATTTGAAATTCACAAGGGTTATATTATCGATGATGGCGCTTCCTTTGAACCCAATGACACTCTTTTTTCAACCACCTGTTTGATCGGAAGTAGACCCAACTTTTTTTTTTTCAAATGGCATCCTGTATATTTCTGGGGCCTGTCTTAATTGCCTTGAAATTCTCTATTCAACTATGTATCACAATTTGTTATTCATTCATTAATTGGCTGTTGAATTACATTTTATTAAAATACATGAAGTTGGCTGTGGCCCGATGCAATGACATTTCAATGCTTGATAGGCTTAGAAATCCAAAGATCATTACTTAGACGATATTATCAAAATATTTTCCATACCCTAATCGGTCCCAAAAGATTTCCAATAATTTCATTGAGTCTAAAAAAAACATCTGAAAATAACTCACGATGTTGAGAAAACTAAGATAGAAACTCAGTTTTTTTCATTTGGCTACTTGTGAGTGAAGAAACTATTTGTCTTTCTTTTTTTGCTATGTAGCCCTAATATGATTATCCATTTTGGAAAAAAGTAAATTATGAAAGATGGCATTTTATAACCTGTCAACAGAGATGAAATGCCAAACTTTGCTCCCGTCATAGAAAAGCTTTATAACTCTCAGTTTCAACACATTGAAAAATTTAAAATTGTAATTAGTTCAAATAACATACACAAACTGAACTTTTTTTTACCTTTCTTGAAAATCTTTTTTAATTACTACATGGTGAAATGATACTTTCATTCAGTAACCATACAAAAATATCAATATTTTTGAAAGAATCACAGACATTTCTGATTGAAAGAAGTCAAACAAACATTTATCAGTAAATTTTCATATCTGATGGTAATAATAAGATAGTATATTTTTCAAAATTTTACCTTTTCCACATTTGATATCAACTCCCCATTGTGGTGGGCTGGGTTCAACTATTTCTCCATTAGCTAGAGTAATCAAAACTGGTTCCTCAGGTACAAGACCTTCAGAAATAAAAACACAATTGATAAAACTTGCAAACTTTTATTCCATGAAATTTCACTTACCTGGTTCATCCATGAAAAAATACAATTCCAAGTCATTTGAAGACATCAGTACAAAACCTTCACCCATGTATCTAGGAGGATCATCCAGCATACCTAAATGTATTTTCAAAAAGTTTCCATAAATTGATGCCAAAACAAGTGTTTTCTAGCTTATTGGCCATTTACAATACACTCTGTAATCTCAATTGTTTGTACAAGAACAGTATAATTGGTTTACTACCATTATCTATGGGAGAAAGAATCAAGATAGGATTGAGATATTAGATACAACTCAATCCTTTGAATGTGTATTCTTCTTCTCCATATAAAACAGTTCAAGATACAGTTCCCTGTCAGTTTTTTTAATTACTTGAACATTTATCAACACATAAAAATTGGGTATCTAAATCAGATATTGGCAATTGGGATTCTTCTTTGGAATTGCTTTGAGAATTGAAGCTTGCTAGACAAAATGTACATGCAATATCTAAGGTTCCTAAAATTAAGTTTGTTGTACAAATTTTAAGCTCACCTGTATACTTCATACTGGGTGCTAACATGACCTTAACATTTTCAGCTTTACATTTCACAAAATGCATGAATCTATCCAGAGTACATACTGCAGGTTTTGTTGAATATACAAAATGAGACTCTTCAAATGTTATACTCAGTGTTGTTGGAATCAGACGATTCCCAAAAACTATTCTACTCTGAAAGAGAAAAAACAGTATATTGATGTAATGAAACATATTTGTTTGAGGAACATACTGAAGACACATCACATTTTATAACAGGGATCAAATCACGCCATGTTTTAGCCATCACTGCTTCTGGTTTCTGCTTTTTTGTAGATTTCTTCAATACCACTTGTGCCTCATTCTCATTTCTGAAAGAAAATATTGCATGGTAAGCACATTCCAAAAACTTCCCAAGAAAACACAAAAATTCCACCTTTCAATATCTGCCTCATTCTCATTCCTATTGGGGAATATATTCAAGTCTAACCCAAACACTTTTTCCAATCTAGCATAAAGCTCAGATCTATTATACACATGTAATTCAAACACATTCAGCATCACAGAGAGTCTAGTGTCTGAATGTGATAGATCCTCACTGACATCTTTGGGAACATATGACCTCCACCAGCGAAAAATCAGATAACCATCTTGCACCCTTATTGTATAGTCATTAGTGATGTACACTACATCCCTGAACATAATTTTTCCAGATAGAGCATTCATAGTCAGAGAACCTATGACAGATTATAAATAGGCAATAATAATTGGAAAACTCAATACACTCATCAGAACAAACCTATTCTGAAGTAACCTTCTCCTATGAAAAGTTTATTGGCTACTTTAGTAATGATATATCCCACAACTCTTGAATTGTAGTAGGTGATGTATATGGCCCAAGAAACTGCGAAAACCAAGCTGCAGAGTAACATGGCAAAATTTGAATCCATTTTTATATCATCCAGATTCAAGTGTTTGGATGTCACATTCGATAATGGTAGAGAAACTTCGGGTACCATTGTAGTGATGGAAATAGCTGTAGTATCCATTTTTGTGGTTTGTTTGTCTATGAATATTATAGCCAGATTTACATTACTTATATGTAATAAGCAATTACATTAAAAAACATCATGACTAGGCGAATATTCAGTCTTCAACTAGCATCTAGCCCATTATAATAGATAATTATTATTGAGTAATAAAAATTATGTTTTTAAAGACCTTTGACACCAACATCAATTGACAATCAGATGATTGAGATTGACATTTGTTTTGACAGTAACTACATTGAGCTCTGCTTCTTCTGATTTATTGAACCCACGACCCTAGTTCATTTGAACTATTGTCATATTTGTCAAACATTTCTTCCACAAAATGATTAAAGTAACCTTGAGATGTCAAATTAACCACGTGCCTTGATAACAAAACGGTGCAATGCGCATTCGCCACGATTTAATTTTCTAGAGGAGGGTTCGTAACGCAAGACGAGAAGAGCCACCTTTTGCGGCTGATCGGCCATATTTAACCTCGGTAAGTGATCACTTTTTTAATTTTCAGTGAAATTCACGCAATATCGCACTTTTATGGCTGATTTTCCTTCGTCTGAATAGGTATTTTTGTCATGTAAATATTAATTGATTGTGATTCACTCAGACTATAACGAAATGCAGTTCTTATGTAACACCTGCAGAAGTATTGAGTTTTCTTTCTTCTATGTGGTAAAAAATGTATAATTGAAAAAAATAACTTGGCTACAGTGCTTATTTATTGGTGTAACAGCGGATTATGCTTCACAATTGTACTTTGAATCAGGCGTTGGCATTTTGAAAATTAGGAAAGTGTCCCAATGAAAAAATCATCAAGATTAAATAAGGGTCTTACATATTGTTATCAGTGTGATTTCATAATTAATTTGTACCTCAAGGTGAAAACTTGCGTTTAATATGTCATTCTGACACATACAGAGGTTAAGTACCTTGAGTTAAGTAATACATTGACATGGGTGATGGTTTATTGCCAATAAATATCTAAAAATGTAATGTGATGCTTTTTTTTATAGAACCGAATTCACTCTCCCAACAATGTTTTCGACGTTTTTCTCCAAAGCCTCTTGCCAGGCTTCAGACAATGTAGAGGCAACACAATCACAACTTGAGGTGCCCCAAAGAGGCCTAGTCCAGTCTCTGGTAGCTGGAAGACAGATCGCCGCGGCTGCCGTGGTCCCGGGAGACAGCTGTGAATTCGGTTCCCCACACTACTTTGCTTTGTGTGGTCTTGGAGGTATACAGATTGATTTTATTGATTTAATTAGTATTAAAAAATGTGCCAGTTGACTGTTTTATTGATCAAACTAACAGATCATCTTTATCAAAGTGACCTTGAATACCGAGGTGCTCTTGAGTGAATCAACAAGAGATTCAATTTCAATATATTGGACAAACATGTTGGAATATAGGAACATGATTCAAAGAACATGTTAATTTTAATATTTGAGTGCCTTCTTATATATTTCAATACTAATCATCCAATAACTGAAGATGTCAGTGTTTAAAGATTCAGAAACATGGCTTCAGGAAGAAATAGTTGTTTGCTACTTCATCCAACATTCTGCTGACTTGATACATGAAAAGTCTGTATGTACACACAAAACTCAAATGCAAGTCAAATTATTTGAAAACATCTATGAGAAATAAAAAAATATATTGGACAAACATCAGAAATTATAGGTACTCGATTCAAAGAACATATTATTATTGTCCAATTTGGATATAAATGAGTTGAAAAATTGACTGTTTTCCAATATATTTAGACTAACCACTCAAAAACTTGAAATAATTCGAAAATTTGGATTGATGTGGATATTTATTCATTTATTTTGAAATCATGCAAGACATGCCTATGAAATGTAAAGAAAATTAAAATCTCAATGTCCAAACATTCACTATGCACATATCTTCAATATTTTCCATTATGATATTTAATTTCAGAAAACATCCTGATGCATTACCAACTATCCATGTGCACTCAAAACTAAAATGTAATCATTTTATTCATTTCATTAACACAAAAATATATTGGGCTGACATGTTAGGATAAAGGAACTTGATTCAAAGAACATCTTGTCCATTACAGATATATTTGAGCTGGAAAATTGAATGTTGTCCAATATATTCTTGAGACTAAACACTTTATCACTCTAGATAATCATTCATTTATTTGATATCAATACATGTAATGGTCAAAGATCATTGTGGAATATAAAAATGACCAGAAATTTACTAAAAGTGCACATATTTTTGTCAATAGGTTTTTGTTCCTCCAACATTCTAATGACTTATAGATAAAAAGGTATGTACACACAGAATGAAATGAAATGCAATGTTTTATTAACATTCTCTGGCATGTCAAAAAATCTTCAATTACCCCCCCCCCCCCTCCCCCCCTACGTTTATTTTTTGAAAGAGTCAACTGAAAAAAATTAATCTTGGGGTAATGAAATTGATCTATGAATACTATATTTTGGAGTGAAATTGACAGATGAACATTTCAAGATGGCGACTGGGCGCCATCTGAGAAAAAAAATATGGAGGGGGTATTGTCACACATTCTTTTAAAACTCCTGAGGAGTATTTTACAACCCTAGAATATGAAGTTAATATCAACCTACTACAAAATGGCGGAACATAGTTGCCTGAATACAAAAACATTAATATCTATTTTAGATATAATTCAGTCTTGCCCAATATATTGTTGATACTAATCAACCTGTAGCTTTCAATAATAGAAATCTTATAAATCAAAGTAGAATAATTTTATTATGTCATGTTCATTATTCATTTTCAATCCTGCAACCAATTTAATTAATGTGCTGCCTTGACAAAATATGAAAAAGTACTCATTTCAATATGAAAAAAATCTCTGTCAGTTTCAGATATTTTCCAACTTGCTTGTTTTGTATACTACAACATCAATGCTTGAAATTTACAATCAGGGCCTGAGGTGGCAGCCATATTGATGATACACTCAGCTATTCCCAGTAGCGCCACTTTCCTTGAAAATATCATTATACTTCTCCTTTTCCATACTAACTCAATGGCATTTTTATTAGCTCATCTTATAAAAAACGAATGTTGAAAACAATCAACTAGTGAAAACACTGATTTTTATTAACTTTCCATGAACACAAAATCACAGATATATTGGACAAACACGTCACATCATAGGAACCCGAAACATAGAACATTATGTTACATTCTAGATATAATTCTGCTACTAACAATGTGCTGCTCAAGGATTTTTACAAAATACAAAAAAGTATTCATCTGGATGTTCAAAAATGTTCCTAATTGGTTGAAATTTATAAAAGGAGCCTAACGTAGCAGCCATATTGATACTACACTTGGACACGCCCAGTAGGGCCACTTCTTATAGCTTCTCATTTTATATACTCACTCAATGACTTTTTCAGAAGTTTAACTAATAAAAAACGAAGGTTTAGTCATAACAAACCACTAGTGAAAGTATTGCATTGAAGTGAAATTGATGTAAACAACAAACACTCTAAACACCGAGACATCCGGCTCGGAAGGACCAAAAACATGTAGCATAATATGATGAAGTAGACTGTATAGCTAGGTTGGTATATATAAATAGTTGATTTTAGAAATAATATCAGATCTTTTGGTAAAGCTTTATTATATCAAATGAAAAGAGGCTGTGATTTCATGCCTTTGATTCCTGAAAATAGAATAGGGCTTCACTGGTTGAAGTTGGAGAAGTTTTATCGAGCGAGTTTCTCAGTACTCGATGCGACTTTTCAAAGTCGCATAGTGCCACCATGTATCAATTTATTGTCCCAGATATATGGTCGGTTATGTTTACATCAAGCCAGGTCAAGTTTTAGTCAGAGATCTTCGGATTTCTTTCTGATTACTGTCCCGTCCTGTGCACTGATGGGGGGTGCAGGTGGTTAGGCGTTACCTGACCACAATTCGAGCACAAAATCGCCATCCTGGCAAAAAAATTCGCAATTTTGTACGTTCAAACAAGATGGAAAAAATCTTCCTTCAAGGTATCCTGTCATGCGGTATCACACACACAGCAGTGGTGCCCCTCGACCTGGTCAAATGCCGCATTCAATTGGACCCGTTGGCCAAGGACGGAGCCAGAGAAATATATTGGACAAACATGTCACAATATAGGAACTAGATTCATAGAACATATTTTCCATTTCAGATATAATTCTGCTACTAACATGATGTGCTGCTCAAGGATCTCCTCAAAATGTGACTAATGTCGATGTACAAAAATGTTTCCAATTGGTTGAAATTTTCAATCCGGGCCTACATGACAGTCACAACACTTAGCCACGCCCAGAATTGCCATTTTATGCTCATGGGAAATTTCCTTATAGCTTCTCATATTCCTTACTACCTCTTCTACCTCTATGGCTTCTCCATAGGTTTATCACGCCCAGTATTGCTATTTTATGCTTCTGGAAAATATTCTTATAGCATCTTCCTTTAGGTCCTTACCCAATGACTTTCTCAGAACTTTGTTTAATAAAAAAGAAGGTCAAGTCAAAAACACAACTATTAAGAGTACTGAATTGACAATTCTTACAGAAAATTCAAAGTCCAGAAGTATAATGCGTTTTTTTTCTCGCCATACTAGATGTGGCTGTTTCAAAGTCGGATAATGTCAGAATTTCAGCATGTATCTTCCCAGATAAATTCTCGATTGGCTTTACATTGGACCTGTTCTGTGCAGGTGGTTAGACGGTACCTGACCTCAATTCAAGCACTATCCGCAATTTGGGCGAGAAACAGCTCGAAACCAGTGTGCTGGTGGTTAGGCATCACCTGACCATAATTCAAGCAATAATTCGCCGTTCTTATGAACATTTTTCTTAGGTATCCTGTCATGCGGTATTACACATACGGCTGTGGTGCCCCTCGACCTGGTCAAATGCCGCATCCAAGTGGACCCGGCCAAATACAAGGGCGTGTTCAACGGTTTCAAGGTCACGCTGGCCGAGGACGGAGCCAGAGGACTCGCGAAAGGTTGGGCACCCACTTTCTTCGGCTACTCGGCCCAGGGGCTGTGCAAGTTCGGGCTGTACGAGGTGTTCAAGGTGCAGTACGGGAACTTGATCGGCGAGGAGAACAGCTATTTGTACAGGTGGGTTTGGGAGGGGAAAGGTGAATTTCGAAAATATAAACATAAACAACATCCGTTTCAAGTGTTCAAACATCATCATCTTTATTATTCCCAAAAAACAATTGACATATATGTTTATAACAGGGAACATTAAAAAAGTAAACCATCTTGAACTGATTTTGTTAATGAAACACCACATCACAGGTATATTATTATTCCATTTATAAAATGATTCTCAACAATTCAATTCAATACACTCCACTCCTGAATCCAATGGTTTTCGGAATATTAACGTTTGAAAAGTGACATTTTGGTCGTTTCAAACCCAACCAAAAACTCGAATGTTGCTTTCAATCAAGTTTGTTTTGAAAAGTTATTATTTTCACGTTAACATCTTGTTCTCTCCAAAGCAAACTTGATTGAAAGCAACATCCGTTTTTAGGTTAGCTTTGGATTGACTAAAATGTCACTTCTCAAACGTTGATCTATATTTCTATTGAATTTGGGAATAAGGTGTATTGAATAAAATTGGTAAAAAATATGTGACAATTTTGTATATGGAATAATAAACATTGAGAAAAATAATTCAAGATGGCCCTCAGACGCCATTCAAACATTTTAAGCTGTAATTTCTCCATAACAAAGTAGGCTTTCATCTCCTATTAGAGTCCTTTTGATGCGATATTCCAGGTGGTTCAAAAAATTAGTAGGGGGAACAGACGTTGGACAGACATTATATATTATTATAGAGCAAATATTTCCTTGAATCAATTTTGAATTTTACTTATATCCAATTGTCTTGCTCCATGGGTCATATTGTATTCATTTAATCAAAATTCGGGGTACAATTTTCGATTTCTTGTTAAAATATTATCCTGGACTAAAAACATAATCCTATCATAGGTATTTCATTCAAAATTCGTAAGTTTTGCTTATCTCACTTCAAATGTGGAGCATTTTATTCATCAAGATACTCAATAAAAACCTTTGAAACACTTGAAAAATTCGAATTTTACAAAAAAAAATTGAACAAAAATAATCAATTGTTCCATGCATACAGAACTTGGTTGTACTTGGGAGCTTCAGCTTCAGCTGAATTCTTTGCCGACATCGCTCTATCGCCTATGGAGGCAGCTAAAGTCAAGATCCAAACCACCCCTGGATTTGCAAACACCCTTAGAGAAGCCATGCCTAAGATATATGCAGAAGAAGGTAAGGAAACAATAAATGAGAACAACATTATTTGTCCTGTTTCCAGACGTGAGATCATATATACCTAACTCTTGATAGGCGAGAGAGAAATTTCAAACGTTAAAGTTGATACACTCCCCTCGTAAGGGTACCTGGCGTGAATCCATCCATTTACATACAGTCCTTTAATCTTTCGGCTGACTTTTTACTGTCTAACTAACAATGTTATTCTTACTCTGAATATCAGGGGGTTGAAGAAACTAATAAACAAAAAATGTTTTTGCACGGCAAAAATTTCTTTGGAGTTCAAGGTCAAATGCCTTCATATTGAGAATTAGATTATTTGCAGAGCGATACAGTATGTATACCAAGAGGGTGTCATAAAACTCGACATTTTTGTATGGTAAAAATGCGCCGCGGGAGAACATGTCTTTTGAATTCAAGGTCAAATACCTTCAAATTGAAAATTAGATGTCTTCCGGTGTTACAAGAATTCCATCACATCATAATAAGATATTCAGTTTCATGTTCTCAGTTTATTTTAATAATTGATGTTGAATGATCTGAGAATAAGAACAATAATAAAAGCTAGTGAAACGTATTTCAAATACCATCTTTAGGTTAACCTAGCAGGTGGATGTTCTCTGAATTGTTTGGGATGTTTCCTCATTGCTAAAAAGTCTGAAAAAACTGGATATTAGGAGATTGGTTGTTGTTTTTCTAGGACTCAACGGTTTCTACAAATCTCTTGTTCCATTGTGGATGAGGCAGATCCCTTACACCATGATGAAGTTCGCCTGTTTTGAACGTACTGTCGAACTACTCTACAAATATGTCGTGCCCAAACCTAGAGCAGACTGCACCAAAGGCGAACAACTCGTGGTCACATTCGCAGCCGGTTACATTGCAGGTGAGAAAAATAAAAAGAATAATAGTTATTTGTTTCCGAAGTCCATAGGAATTCAGCCAAATGTTAATAAAACCGATTTTGTGTATTTTTTTTATTGAAACCCCCCTTGGAATGTTGCATAACAAACTTTTTCTGCTTAGTTCAAAAACTCACCCATAGAATGAGGAAGTTTCCAATATTGAGGTTTCCATCTCACTGTGAAGTTGGTAAAAATTTAGTATATAATACGTTTTTTTTTCTTTTTTTCGTTAAATCAAATTCCACTTCAGAAAAAAATAAATGAAAAAGGAACTCGGCTCCTTCACCATTTCTTTGACGTACTACTTGAAAAAGCCACATTCACAAAGAGTTGAAATAAGATTCCCTGAGTCATTACGACGTTGCCGGCAACATCAATATGTCTAGAATTCCGGAAATTGATCTTTGAATAAATTATAACTATATCATAACAAGAGTGGGATATTATAGGTTTTTTAATCCAACTTCGTGGAGTATTATGAATAATTTTCATAAATCTTCTATGTGCTGAATGAAGTTGATTACTAATAAAAGTTCATTATGATATTTTGCAGTAGTATCTATGATTTTTCACTTTCGTTATATCACAAAATGATATCATAACTTGTCAGTCATTATTTTGCAAATGAATTTGTTCCTTTATAAAACAAATCATATCTTAAAGCAGCGCATAATATTTTGAGCCCATCCACACCACACAAAATACTAACAGGCACACCAAGAGCTGTTCAGATTTGTGGTTATGTATGTTTTTGTTTACCAGTTTCATCTCCAGTTATTCGTCAGTCTATGTCTACTGTTCATAGTAGTTTTGTTAGTTGTGTGATTATCGTTATTTTTCATGTTTTCAACAATGGCGTCAATTTGTGTTCTTCAATTTTTTTTTATATGTTGTGTATTCGATAGCTATTGGCTAGCTATATTCTTCATCATCAGCTAAATTCAGACTAGATTCAAAATGTAAAATACGTCACAGTTTTCCACACCGGAAATTGGAAATTGCTTTATTTTGAAAATTAAAATGACTTGGACTTCATCGATCGCCATTCTGTACAGAGTGGAACTGAAACTGAACAGTTCCGAACTCATTTTATGAAAATTTATCTGAAGGAGACTTCCCCATTCCGTGTAAATGTGGATAGCCAAAGTAATTTTTGTAAGTTGTCCGTTGTTATGGTGCTGATCCTGAAGCCACAGACAAAATTCAACCCTCACAGGACGACCTTGAGGTTCCATACCTTACTGTGAGCCACTCCGAGTTGTACTGGATGTTATACGATTTCTTTCTGCGTAAAAACGAGATGCTGCTGCTGCACTTAGGCGACACTCACCATAAATCAAAAACATGCCAACAAGTCCTTTATTTTCAAATTTTTTCAGGTGTATTCTGCGCCATCGTTTCCCACCCTGCCGATACGGTGGTCAGTAAATTGAATCAAGAAAAGGGAGTGACCGCTTTGGAAGCGGCCAAGAAATTGGGAATGGCCGGCCTGTGGAAGGGACTCACCCCTAGGATCGTCATGATCGGTACCCTCACTGCTTTGCAGTGGTTCATCTATGATGCATTCAAGGTAAGTGACAAAAATAACTGTTTTCTGACTACATTGAAATCGATGTCATTTGAATGTAGTTTCAATGGCAGTAAAGGTAATTTTTGTCATGAAAACCACATTAGATGTAGTTTTGGTGACAATAAATGCCACTTTGTCTCGTTATCCATTTATAGGTAGTTCCGGTGATAATAAATGACTCTTTGTCTTGAAAACTACATTGATTCTCATGACCTTAAATGTAGTTTTTGTGGCAATAATTGCCATTTTAGAAAAGAAAGGATTCTGTAATCGACTACCGTGAAATTGGCGTCACCAATTTTCCGTTAAACGAAAGCAAAATTGACGGGAACTAGAAAAACATAGCAATGTCTATGACACTATGACTTCACTATCACATGCAAACAGAGCCTAGATAAAACACTAACTATAATGAATGTAGTAGTAATATACAATGAAGGTTCATCACTACAACTACTACTACATTAATTGACATGACGTAAAATGTAGTTCCACCGCTACTTTCAATGTGATGTGTGATGATGGCAAACATGATATTCAAATTCGATTTTTAATGAACAAAAATAAGTTCATTCAATGTCAAGACATTGAAAATGTAGTATTAGACAAACACTTAATTAATGCAATTGTGTTTTGCCTACTTCAATTTGACAATTTTGGAGGCACATACGGTATATGAACAAAATTAACAATGTCATGCCATTAAATTTAGTTCAGAAAAACACTACATCAAATATAATGCCATCCTGGCCAATGTAGGTTTACCTAACATCAAAATTGAACGTCTATATTAAATATAAATGACATTATTCAATGTCAGCTGACTCATTTGACTGACTCATGACATTCTACAGGGTGGGCCACCAGTAACGCCTCGGTCTCTAGAAGGCTAACCACTTATCTTCTTGGAATTCTTCCTCTCTAGGAAGTTGCATGTCAACATAGGCTACCATTGAAAATTATTTCGAAACATACAGGGTGTCCCCAAAAACCATAAAACACTGAAGTTAAACTTTTTTCTATCGAACACCCTATATATTATTTCATTTTGAGATTCTCCCTGATGAGCTGATTTCAACGACCCATCATACTTGGGGTCTAGCAGTTATAATTACTGAAATATAGGGTGTGAAAAATCGATATTTTCCAAGTTCAAGAATTTTTTGTGTCGAAACTATTCATATTTGGTCAAACCGGCTTACATGTCCCTATCTCAACTTTTGATTAACTATCTACTGATATTTAATTGGGACATATACCGGGTGATCAAGATTCTGAATTCTGTACCACCCTGTATTTGTTTCAATTAAATGTCAGTAGATAGTTGATCAGAAGTTGAGATAGGGACATGTGAGCCGTTTTGACCAATTATGAATAGTTTCGACACAAAAAATTCTTGAACTTGTAAAATCTCGATTTCTCACACCCTATATCTCAGTAATTATAACTGGTAGACCCCAAGTATGATGAATTGTTGAAATCAGTTCACCAGGTAGAATCTCAAAATGAAATAATATATAGGGTGTTCGATTGAAAAAAGTTCAACTTCAGTGTTTTGTGATTTTTGGGGACAATCTGTATGTTTCGAAATAATTTTAAATGGTAGCCTATGTTGACATGCAACTTCCTAGAAAGGAAGAATTCCAAGAAGATAAGTGGTTAGCCTTCTAGAGACCGAGGCGTTACTGGTGGCCCACCCTGTATATAGTTTTTTGAAGTCATGACATTATTCAATGTACTGAAACACAATTTGTTGCCAGTGATTTGATTTATTTGGTGTACTTAGATTTTTTTTTGGAGAGTGACAATAATAATAAAAACTGATAGTTTGGATTTTTGGAAAAAAATATAACCTTATTTTATAACATTTTAGGTTGCCATGCGTATGCCGCGTCCTCCACCACCAGAAATGCCGGAATCATTGAAAAGGAAGCTCGAAGGCAAAAAAGACTAATAAATTAATTTAAATTATTTGAAAATTCAGTCATTACAACAAATACATTTTCCACTAAAGAAACAATGCTGCAGTATTTCTGATTAGTATGGGCATGAAAAAAATAGTGTCTTTCGTAATTCATGTGAAACTGTTTTAATTATTTAAGTTGTGTACCATCCCTGTATTTTAGATTGTATATAGAAGGTTATTAATATACTTCGATTGTTTCCGATTGGTGTTTTTATCATTACAATGCCCGTGTGGGTGCAAGAATTAATTCAGAATGAATTATCAAATCGGTTAAATTAGGTCAAAATCGCGCTTTTTTGTGCTGATTAATAGCCCGATGATACAAAGGACGTCGATTCCAGTGGCGTACGCATATTTTTTCTAAAAAAACGCTATGGATTCTGGGGCTTTCAGACTCTGAATGTGATTAAGTAGGCCTTGGTTCTTATATACTTTTTATCCCCTGTACATTGAAAAAAAAACGTAAAAATCGCTACAAAAATAAGAGATTTATGAGAGGGTAAACTGCATTCAAATAGGTCACTGTACAGTGTGTCCCACTTATCATGCTCACCATGGGTATCTTTTTAACGGTGAGAGATACGAGGTCGGTTAAATGACACCAAATGTGGAGTTTGTCAAGGCCAACTATAATGTGAAAAAATATTTTCATAAAATTTATTCGTTTTTGTTTTATACCCAAAAAACAGATTTTGATCATTTTCATGTCTCCTCTGTAACTTCTTTATTCATGAATATATTCAAATAGGAATTTCACATTCTCATGTCAGTTTTTCAAAGTGATTTCGAAAAAAATATGAAATTTATACCAACTCTTCCAGAATTCGAGGTAGCAACTTTAGTTTTTCAAATGTAGGTCATAGCTCACTATGACTTAGTTACAAATAACTTTTTTTTCACTTACAGATGATATGTCGCAGTAATAGTTTTGTGTTGATAACAACGGAGTTATCGTCATTTATACAAAAACAAAAAATCATTTGGAAGCCGCCATCTTGAATTTATAAATTTTTAACAATGAAATTATGATCTCCGACCTCAAAAACCCCCACTTACCAATTTTGAATGGAATCGGACCAAATCTTGTCCGCCATCTTTTTTAATTTCAACAAAAATTCCATAACTCCGATTTACTTGAAATTTGGCAGGTGTTCATAATTTCGGTGACAATACATTATGGAATTTTTGTTGAAATTAAAAAAAAATGGCTGCTCCAAGATGGCGGACAAGATTTGGTCCGATTCCATTCAAAATTGGTAAGTGGGGGTTTTTGAGGTCGGAGATCATAATTTCATTGTTAAAATTTATAAATTCAAGATGGCGGCTTCCAAATGATTTTTTGTTTTTGTATAAATGACGATAACTCCGTTGTTATCAACACAAAACTATTACTGTGACATATCATCTGTAAGAGAAAAAAAAGTTATTTGTAACTAAGTCATAGTGAGCTATGACCTACATTTGAAACTAAAGTTGGTGCTGATATCTCAAATTCTAGAAGAGTTGGTATACATTTCATATTTTTTTCGAAATCACTTTGAAAAACTGCCATGAGAATGTGAAATTCCTATTTGAATATTTTCATGAATAAAGAAGTTACGGAGGAGACATGAAAATGATCAAAATCTGTTTTTTGCGTATAAAACAAAAACGAATAGATTTTATCGAAATATTTTTCCACATTATAGTTGGCCTTGACAAACTCCACATTTGGTGTCATTTAACCGACCTCGTATTTCTCACCGTTAAAAAGATACCCATGGTGAGCATGGTAAGTGGGACACACTGTATATGCTCATAATAAAAAATCTACCTAACACTACATTTAAATCCATTTTTTAAAATTGTCATGACCAGGCACATTCATCAACATTCCTGAACACTCTTGACAGAAAATTTGCTTGCAGAGAGACTTTGAAAGCTCATTGATTCCTTTCTAACGGCCGGTATTGAAAGTAAAGCGATGGGAAATTATTTATGTAGCTACCACGCGGTTTCAGTAGCAATATTAAAAAACGTGTTTTGTGTGCAACCCGCTCGACTGTCCGTGTTCAGCGTGCCTTCCGTTTAAGGTTCAATATCGCTCCCAGCGTTTGAATTCCTGATCGGTATCGAATTCTCGCATTTCAGCATAATGGAAATGTGTCCACGATAGAGAAAAGTCGCTTACAGATAGTCTTTGAAAGGTCATTGTTTCCTTTTTAACCGTCCTAGAGTATCGAAAGTAGGGCAATGGGAAATTATTTATGTACCTACCACGCGGTGTCAGTAGCAATATTGAAAAACGTGTTTTTGTGTCCAACCCACTCGACTGTCCGTGTACAGCGTGTTTTACGTTTAGGCAGGTTCAATATCGCTCCCAGCGTTTGAATTCCTGATCGGAATCGAATTTTCGCATTTCAGCATGATGAAAATGTGTCCACGATAAGAGAAAATTTGCTTACAAATTGACTGAAAGGTCATTGTTTCCTTTTTAACTGTCCTAGAGTATTGAAAGTAGGGTGATGGGAAATTATTTATGTACCTACCACGCGGTTTCAGTAGCAATATTGAACAACGTGTTTTGTGTGCAACCCGCTGGACTGTTCGTGTACAGCGTGCCTTCCGTTTAAGATTCAATATCGCTCCCAGGGTTTGAATCGGAATCGAATTTTCGCATTTCAGCATAATGGAAATGTGTCCACGATAAGAGAAAATTCGCTTACAGATAGAGTTTGAAATGTCATTGTTTCTTTTATGAAGGTCGTAGAGTATTGAAAGTAGGGCGATGGGAAATTATGTATGTACCTACCACGCGGTTTCAGTAGCAATATTGAAAAACGTTTTTGTGTGCAACCCGCTCGACTGTCCGTGTACAGCGTGCCTTCCGTTTAAGGTTCAATATCGCTCCCAGGGTTTAAATACCTGATTGGAATCGAATTTTTGCATTTCAGCATAATGGAAATGTGTCCACGATAAGAGAAAATTCGCTTACAGATAGACTTTGAAAGGTCATTGTTTCCTTTTTAACCGTCCTAAAGTATCGAAAGTAGGGTGATTGAAAATTATTTATGTACCTACCACGCGGCTTCAGTAGCAATATTGAAAAACGTGTTTTTGTGTGCAACCCGCTCGACTGTCCGTGTGCAGCGTGCCTTCCGTTTAAGGTTCAATATCGCTCCCAGCGTTTGAATTCCTGATCGGAATCGAATTCTCGCATTTCAGCATAATGGAAATGTGTCCACGATAGAGAAAATTCACTTACAGATAGTCTTTGAAAGGTCATTGTTTCCTTTTTAGCCGTCCTAGAGTATCGAAAGTAGGGTGATGGGAAATTATTTATGTACCTACCACGCGGTTTCAATTGCAATGTTGAAAAACGTGATTTGTGTGCAACCTGCTCGACTGTCCGTGTTCAGCGTGCCTTCCGTTCAAGATTTTAAAGGTGCCTCTAAATATACCGTCACCACCCAGGAAACATCGAGAGGTTTCCAGCTGAAATTCGACAATCTCCAAGCCGTTCAACTCAGTCGAAGTTGAGAATATGCGCATCTACAGTATTCTTTTCTTGTCCTCCCTGTATAGATTTTCGCGATGGCAAAATTTAGTCTGTTATGTGACTGAAATAGTGTGGTTTTTCTCGAAAACAGTGTCGTCCTATCTAATTTCAACAAGAGGTATTTTTTGCACAAGATTTGATGGCCTTTCATAGTTCGGTAGAGAAGTTGTAAATTTTCCTTTGTTGCACACCTTTTAGTGAAAAAACAAACAATAAATAATACCCCCCTAACAACACCACTGGTAATCCTATTGGCCAAATGTTATCACGACCTAATTTGACCTCAGGGTCACACCAATTAATTGGAATGTGTCTGATGTTTTTGCCTAGTAATGGAATAGAAATTATTACAATATCAACACCATGTATATATAATATTTTTATAGGAACTTCAAGTCCTAAAATAAGCCATCCTTTGATATGAATAGCATTGGTATCTCGAAAACCAAGAAATACAGGGTCGGTTGAAATCACATCAGTGTACACCGTATACTGTGGTTGAAATAGGGAAAAAATGACGTTTTGAAACATGAAAAATTCCGAATACTTTCGGAGATACATATACGAAAAAATTGAAATTTCCTGAAACACTTTTTTTCATTATTTTTCGCAAGTTATTTGAATCATGACCACTTTTTCTTCACTATAAATTAGCGTTTTCAAATTTGAAATCCGACGTTCCGTCTTCCAGAAATCATCATCAACTCATCTATTGCAAATACGGCCCTATATTTTTTATTCAATTTTTTCACACTTTCGGATATCTCGAAAGCTATGAGCTATCAAACATTCTATTTTGAATGTGTCGTTTACAAAAATTGACAATTAACTGTCAATTTTTGTAGCCCATAGCTTCTGGGATATTCAAAGGTGTGAAAAAATTAAATAAAATATCAGGTCCGTATTTAACTTGATGATGGTCCATGGAAGACGAAACATCGGATTTCGAATTTGAAAACGCCAACTTGTAGGTATGAAAGATAAAGTGGCCACGATAAAGTATATTAATTTCGATGAATTTTTTTCAAAATACATACTTGCAGAAAGAATGAAAAAGGTTTCAAGACATTTCGGTGTTTTCGTATATGACAGAGAGTATTCGTAATTATCCAACTGAATTAATATGTTCCTATATCACATTCAAATTGAATTTTCCATAAAAGTTGATAATTCCAATTGGATTTTTTTTTTCTAAATGGATTACGATTTTCGAGGGTTTCTAAGCTATCATCCAATACGACATAACATTTCAGATCGAAACACATTCATTAGGAAACCTACACAGTTCAGTAGGAAAAGTTTGAATTCGCCACAAATGTTTCTGAACATGCATATGATGGCCATTACGGATATCATGTATTTCAAGTACTTCTTGCTGATTATCATTCTGGTGCTACTATGGTGAAAAATGCTGATATTCTCGATAAATATTCAAACGAAGGTAAGTCAGATCAACAATTCGAAATTTTGTATTGTTCGTTACTAAGTTAAAATCATCCGTTTTCGAGTCATTCGACCAAAGATAAAAAAGGGCATGAACATTTTCCATTACTTCACACTCATTTTTCTGGTTCAGCTTAAATTGGCCTTATTCAAATATGACTAAATATAGGTATGTTTCTAGGAAAAAAGTGATCAATGACGTCATTATCTTAGTATCCATTAAATTTTAAAAAAGCGCAATCCGAGGGTCATACCAACGGCCTTTTCAAAATTGATTATACTTTTTCAGTTATATCGAGAAAAAGTGAATTTTTGGAGAAAAAAGTGAATTTTTGGAAAAAAAGCAAGAAGCTGTCGTAACAACCGCCAAATATTTCCGGTATAATATAGTATCATTTGTGGTATCACATATGACAATATTTTAGGACCCTTGACCAATTCTAGTCACAATTTTTACGTTTATGACATCAACATTGTTATTGTTGATTTCTTCGTTTGGTTTTTTGCTTCGTTATATTATTACTGCGATGTTCAACTAAAATTTTTAGAAAATGGCAGGGTATTCGTGATGCATAGATGTTTCCCGCTTGACGCGTTCCAGATTCTAGAACAAATATTGTTACCTACTGATGAATTTACCTACTGATATCATGTCAGTACAAATACTCCAATATCTCGAGAACGGTAACATTTTTTGTATGATAGGAGTCCCATTTTTAGATAATTTTCTTCTTTCTATCAGATGCTTCTGTTTTTTCACGGAAATTGATTGATTGATTGTCTTTATTACCCCCAAAAAACATTTCTGTTTATGATAGGGATACATAAATACATATAAAAAAATAATAATAAAAGGTTAACTATAATGAATTCCACTCAGTGGAAACGAATTAATATTGTGTCTTATAAGATTAAAGTTATATTTCATTCCTAAGTAATCAAATCATGCCACATATTTTTCTTTCAAATTGTCCTGAGCAAGTATTTTTTAAGATTGATTTTAAACCTTCTTGCATCATGTATATTTTTCAACTCATTCGGTAATGAATTGTATAAAATTATTCCATTGTGAAAAACAGATTGTTTGCCAATGTTTGACTTGAATGTATTTGCTATCAAGTAATTCAATTGTCTAGTCCCATAATTATGGACTGTATTGACTTCATTGAAAGCTAAATTTGATATTTTCAACTTATTCCTGGCAAAATGAATAAAGCAACATATTTTAAGTTTATATAACGAAATCAGGTTCAGAAAATGTCTTGGTTTGTATAAATTTATCGTTGGTTCTAGAAAATGTAGATTAAAAATGCGCTTAATTGATTTGTTTTGTAATTTCATTAGTGGTTTCAGACGTGAAATATTTGTACTCCCCCAAATAGAAATTAAATATTGCAAATTTGAATAAATGAGGCAAAAGTAAATACATTTCAAGTATTTCATGGGAATAATATTTCGGATTTTGAATAAAATGCCTATGATCGGATTTATTTTATTTCTCAAATAGTCTATATGTTTAGTCCATAATAATTTTTCGTCTCCAAAAAATCATGACCCACCCTCTAAAAACACCCTATATAACTATTATAGCAGAAATTTAGAAGTGTATAAAAAAAACTGTAGTTCATCAACACACAGTTATGCAGGAAATTTCAATTTGGTGGCTTCTACCGTTTAGAAGTTATGCGGAAAAATTATATTATACAAAAAAACAAGAAAAACTTTTCCATAACAACTTTTGATGAGATTCAACGTTCAAAAGTTACATTTTGTCAACAGAGACGAAATTTCAAACTTTTTGTCCGTCACAGGAAACAAAAAAGAGTTTTTCTAGTATTTCTATATCTTATTAATAATAACGCAAAAAATTATTCCAGAAATTCACTTTTTTCGATATAACTGAGAAAGTATAATTAATTTTGAGAAATTTCAAAGGCCGTTTAACCTTATCTTGGTCACACTGGATACGCAAAATGTATCTTACTTATTCGACGCCTCTTTCCAGATTTTGACCATCATTTTTCCTGTTCCTTATAAAGGTGATAAATCAAATGTTGATCACCCTGTATACCGTATTCGCATGGAATAATTCAACCGTTCTCAAGTTATTGCAAGATAAATTCATGTATCTGCCAACATCCAAATTTCAAAATAGAAATAATTTCAATAGTATACCAGGTGACACAGGGTATCGGGCCACCCCTGTAACTTCTGCATTCGTGAACGGATTTGGTAGTTATACAGGGTGGGGCATTAGTGCGTCGGAACTCGATTACTCGAGTTCTATGATAGCTAGAAACTTGATTCAAAAACGAATGTGAATGAGACAACAAGGTCCATAACTAAAAATTATTGTCGCATATACAAGGGGCACCGGAAAAAATCTAGAGGGTCAGGATCACTTTTTTTAAATGGAATGCCCTGTATATTAGCACATTTTTTGAAGCATCCCTCTGACCTCCTACAACTCCTATAATATTGTGCACTATATCTCGATCATTTCAAAGTTATTATTTTGTTTGTCGAAATAATGTCATCTGCAGATGCATACCGAAAAAATCACTGTAGTCACAATTATGAAATTCAAGAGAGAATAATAATAATATCATTTGTTGGGAAGATTCGTGATATTTCTGTATTCGGAACTTTTGGAAGTGATTTTTCTCGAGTTTTTCAAACGGAACGCCCCATATATTTTTAGGCCATTTGGTGTAAAATCAAAACACGAACATCTTTCACCTCAACATCTATATTGATATTCGTAACCATTTTTGAATTATTGAACTTCGAAAATTGAAGGTTGGCCATCCATACACATTCTCATCTGTTATTAAAACATCAACCAAATTGATTCATCGTCAAGTGCTACAAAAAAAAAGATTTTTCAGAAAAATCTATATTTCTCTAGTGAGTGCGACTCATTGTGAATAGCCCTGACCACAACTCATTTATCTACGAGGTAAAATAAAAAAACAATTCCAATATTCTCAGAAACATGACATTTGACATACAGGCACTTTTGTTTCGGCCTGTTACTAGAATATGCAAAAATATACATGGTTCTCCGAGAAATGAAGTTGCTGGCATTTCCGAAAAAAACGGGAGTCCGCCATGTTTGTTTGTGATATGATCAAACCCGAAATGATTGCTTACATAGCTGTACCAAATTTCAGAAAAACCCTTCAACGAAATTACAGGGGTATATGGAGGTACCCTTCGTGAATCGAGTTGGCCTAGTGCAACTGCAACTGATGATACTTGGCAAGCCGAAACAGCATAACTTGCATCAACTGACAATCTATTAACGAAATCTCCTAGAACCTATCATGTCCTAAGTTTCTAGGTTTGTCAAAATCATTTTTATTGATGAACGATATTTTTTCAAATATAATACCCTAGAATTGATGGAAAGTATTTGTCTTCATTTGAATTCAGTACAGAAATATCCAGAGAGAAAATTGAATGACCTCAAATAAGCATTCAATTTGAGGCTCATCAAAAACATACTGATGTAAAAGCAAAGTTGCAACGAAGCAAAACTGATTTTGCTACCCTGTCCATTTCTCAGAACAGATTTCTCCATTTTTAATCTACCACGTGCCAATAATAGTAAAAGATAACACAAAATGTGTTGTTTAGTCGCCAGTAATCTTAATGTTTCGCACATACCAATATCGAATTGGTTTTCCACATGAGGATCATATTGCAAAAGAAACCTCAGGACTTCCCCGCATATTTCAGGATTTTCGATCAGCCTCGAATTTTTATCGACTCGGCAATCGCGCAGCATCTTCCACCCCTGGACCAGACGTGGACGCTCGGGGGGTGGAAATCAATAAATCTCCGAAATATCCAGTCTGGATCGCTCAATGTACGCGTGCAGAATTCCATTCGAACATGTGACAGAAGAATGTTGTTGACGATGTCTTGATAAATATGGTGGCTGTTATAGGGTGGATTTATTGTTTTCTATGGTATTCCAGCATATTAGGAGGTGAGACATTTTTGTTTAATTATCAATAGATAGTTTCAATATTGGATATCAAAGAGACAAGGAATTCGTTTATTTCCTGAATGATAGATAGATAGATTCTTTATTGCTTTCAAAGACATTACAGTCCTATAGCAAGGATTCGGTTAATTCTGATGGTCACTATATACATGAATATGTGTACAATGCGAATTATAACAATTGTCACTATACATATACAGTGTGTCCCACTTACCATGCTCACCATGGGTATCTTTTTAACGGTGAGAGATACGAGGTCGGTTGAATGACACCAAATGTGGAGTTTGTCAAGGCCAACTTTGATGTGAAAAAATATTTTGATAAAATCTATTCGTTTTTGTTTTATACGCAAAAAACAGATTTTGATCATTTTCATGTCTCTTCCGTAACTTCTTTATTTATGAAAATATTCAAATATGAATTTCACATTCTCATGGCAGTTTTTCAAAGTAATTTCGAAAAAATATGAAATTAATACCAACTCTTCTAGAATTTGAGATATCAGCACCAACTTTAGTTTTTCAAATGTAGGTCATAGCTCACTATTATTTAGTTACAAATAACTTTTTTTTCTCTTTCAGATGATATGTCGCAGAAATAGTTTGGTGTTGATAACAACGGAGTTATCGTCATTTATACAAAAACAAAAAATCATTTGGAAGCCGCCATCTTGAATTTATGAATTTGAACAAGAAAATCATGATGTCCGACCTCAAAAACCCCCACTTACCAATTTTGAATGGAATCGGACCAAATCTTGTCCGCCATCTTGGAGCAGCCATTTTTTTTTAGTTTCAACAAATTCCATAACTCCGATTAACTTGAAATTTGGCAGGTGTTCATAATTTCGGTGACAATACATTATGGGATTTTTGTTGAAATTAAAAAAAATGGCTGCTCCAAGATGGCGGACAAGATTTGGTCCGATTCCATTCAAAATTGGTGAGTGGGGGTTTTTGAGGTCGGAGATCATGATTTTTTTGTTAAAATTTATAAATTCGAGATGGCGGCTTCCATATAATTTTTTGTTTTTGTTTAAATGACGATAACTCCGTTGTTATCAACACCAAACTATTACTGCGACATATCATCTTTGAGAGAAAAAAAAGTTATTTGCAACTAAGTCATAGTGAGCTATGACCTACATTAGAAAAACTGAAGTTGGTGCTGGTATCTCAAATTCTAGAAGAGTTGGTATAAATTTCATATTTTTTTCGAAATCACTTTGAAAAACTGCCATGAGAATGTGAAATTCCTATTTGAATATTTTCATAGATGAAGAAGTTACGGAGGAGACATGAAAATGATCAAATTCTGTTTTTTGTGTATAAAACAAAAACGAATAGATTTAATCAAAATATTTTTTCACATTATAGTTGGCCTTGACAAACTCCACATTTGGTGTCATTTAACCGACCTCGTATCTCTCACCGTTAAAAAGATACCCATGGTGAGCATGGTAAGTGGGACACACTGTATACCAAGATTTTCATAGTTACAGTGACAACAACGATGTGAAAAATGCTACTTTTTCAAAGCCGAAAAATAATATTATTTTTCATTACCAAATGCAAGTAGTTATAACTTTTTTTCAGGATATGCTCTACTATTTTGTCCATTACTTCCAGTTCTGCTGATTTCCAACAACCTTTACCGATTCATAACAGACATTTTGTTTACGTATTGGCAATACTATCCGACTGTAAGTAAACACCCAGTATTATACCATTACCATAAATTACATTTTTTTTCTACGACTAGCTTGCACTATCTCTAGATCAAGAATCAGTCAGACATGCTTATATTCTAGAATACGCTCTCTTCATTTAAAATATTTTCAGCAATGCAGTGTTGCCTCTTCTATCAAAAAGTAGCAACAACTTTGTTATGTCAAATAGAATACCCTGTATCTTATTGCATTTTTAGATTCTTCTCGAAGAGCTGATTTCATCGATGTATCACACTTGGGGTCTATCGGATATGAATATAGGGTGGTCAAAATCGAGATTTTTCAACTTTAGGATTTGTTTGTGTAGAAACTATTTATTATCGGCCAAAACGGCTCACATATGTCCCAATTTCAACTTTTGATTTACTATTTACTGATATATTATCGGAACAGATACAGGGTGATCAGAATTCTGAATCTTGAACCACCACAAGTTGAGGGCGAAAGAGTAACTTTCGTTTTTTCTTGTATAATGATCAAGCCTATAACTTGGGAACTAAATTTAAGGCTAACAATCTACTAATTGGTCGAAATTTCACCAAAACAACTAACTTTTCCCATAATTTTAGGCTTTATTAGAAATTCTGTGCGGTTGCTTCGTCCAAGTGACTGGAGATGCGATCGAAACTGGAGAAACGTCGATTTTATTGATGAACCACAGGACGAGAACAGACTGGAATTTTTTTTGGCCCACCGTGTATCATTGCGTAAAAGGCAAAGGGAAATACGCTCATTCCACGAAGTTTTTGCTCAAGGATGTCATCAGGCATATACCTGGACCAGGTATGATATTTCAATGTTTTAAAAAATTCGAAAAATTTCATTTCAATTTCGTCAGGTAGAAGTCCACAGTTCAAAATGACTTAAAGTCATCTCCACATCAACTTGTAGAGGTGTCAAATTGACCCCCATTTTGTGATTTTCAGTTTTCAAATATGCCATAATTTGTCACTAATTCATAGCTAATTTATTACTCGTCGTTTGTTTTTAACGGTGGTTCTGCTAGGTGTATATGAAGCTGGCTGAACCTCTCGGTATCTATTCACTTTCGAGAAAAACTGATGCACCAACATTTGTCGCTAGTTTATCGCTAATTAATTATCAGTTCAAATTATTTGTCACTCGCCTTTTTTATAAAAAAAAAACATGGTTCTGCCAGGTTTATATGATGGTAGTGGAACCACTACGTTTCAATTAATGTTTTATCAATAACAAAACCAACATAATTTGTTGGTTAGTATACCAGAACATGAAATTCGTCGCTATTTTTTTTTCTGAACAAAAAACAAAACACAATAATCCATTTTCTATCTCCGTATAATCTATTAAATGAATGGGTGGTGCATATTAGTTCCATGAAAAAACAAATGATGACACATTTATATACAGTACATACAATGTCACAAGGAATCCGAATCTATACATATTTTTTTCATAGATATCAAAATTGCATATTTTTCACCACCATCTAAGTGCACGTAAAATATCACAGGGATTCCGAGTCAATACATATTTTTGTCCTAGAACCAAAGGATAGGAAGTTGTATATGTTTCCCGTCAAATTTCAAATTTCAAATTTTCATGAAAAAGGTGAGCAACAAATTGATTAGCAACAAATAAGCGACAATTTTTGAGAGCGAAAGTGAAAAGATACCGAGTGGTTCTGCCAACTTCAGATATGTATACCTAGTAGAACCATGGTTTTTATTAAAAAACGTTGATCGACAATTTTTTTGTTAAGGCATAGTTGAAAATTGAAGATTCCGTAATGGTTCTGCTGAGTGGTACATGTTTCGACCACATATGTGTTCATCATCAACCACAATATTATGAAATTTTTATGGATGTGAAAAAATTTAAAAAAAAATACATACAAATTGCAAAAATGAAATTGCGCCAAATTACAATTATTTGTCTTCAAAAGTGAAAAAAAAAGTTTATGAACATTTTATTCCGAATTCTGGCTTTTTCTGACACAAAACGAAGACGAAGAGTATGACATTGTAGTTCCTAACTTTGATTAATCCTTTTTTTCTAGGTTGGGTCATGCAACTGGCATGTTTTTTATACATAAAAAGATGTTGGACGTTGGACAAAGAAATTTTGAAAAAATACATCGACTATGTAGCCGATTTATCATATAAACACAGCCTCTTAGTATTTCCTGAAGGCACGGATTTCACCGATGAAACGAAGAAAAGAAGCGATCTTTTTGCGGAAAATAAAAATCTTCAGGTAATAATACAGGGTATAACCGAAATTGGGGCAATAAATAAAATGAGGCGTTCTGTTATACATAATGACACACGAAAGGTCACAAAAAAATGTTTAGAAATTCATCAAAGAATTGCGCTCCCACCATATACTACATCTTACAATTATTGAACGTCCGGCAACATTGCATGTTCTTCCGGTGATTGTGATCTCGCCGAAAGCAAACGCTTGGGTTCGGCTATATTAACCTCTGATCAATGATTCACAAAAGTTTCAGGCAATCGTTGATACTCAGTACCTATTTTTCAAAAATATTATTGTCCTCCAAACATGTATTCTTACATTTTATTTTGTGTTTTCGTCTTCTATCATCCATTTCATTTATTGCCACAGTTTCCGAAACCCACTGTATAAAAATCTCTGGTAAAAGTCCATCTCACGGGTTCATTGTGAATAATCACATCAAGGAAACATGTTTTTGGACATACGTACGTATGTCCATCATCAGCCTAATAAGTGGAATCCTTACATAGCTTACATGAAGGTGAAAGAAATTTTTCATCTAATAACCGTAGAGAATTAAAAATACATAGAAGTTAAATGGTTAATTGTTTTCCTAGGGGAATAACCATAAAAAAAACCCAATAGATGAGTATTATGGTGTAAAAAACTAAAGAGCAACCTAACATTTGGGGCACTGCCATGAGCAAGTTGAAGGAACACTGATGAATCACTTCCATCTTGTTAAACAAACCACAAATGGAGGCAGGAAATCACATGACCACCATGACAGCTGTACTGATTACTGACAGCCAGTACAGCTTTATTTGTCGGATGTCGTTTGTCACTAAATTGACATTTGTAGTTTTTCTCGGTAGTCATGTGATTTCATGCCTCCTCTTGTGGTTTGTTTAACAAGATGGAAGTGATTCATCAGTGTTCCTTCAACTTGCTCATGGAAGTGCCCAAATGTTAGGGGACTCTTTAGTTTTTTACTATCCTCCATCATGCCCATCTATGGGGTTTTTTCATGGTTATTCAACAATTAAGCATTCTCCTATGTATTTTTAATTCTCTACGGTTATTATACAGAGTGGGCCATTGAAAACGAAACAGCGGCTCTGTAGGTCGGCAAAACCAGATTATGGAAAAATCTGGAACACGTCAACTATATTCTCGAGGGGGACATCGTTCTAAAATATTTTCAGCCCTGCGGCGTTGCCGCTTCAAACGAAAAGAAGCAACAACTTTGTTATTTCAAATGGAACACCTTGTATTTCATTGCATTTTTAGATTCTTCCGGAAGAGCTGATTTCATCAATGCATCACACTTGGGGTCTAGCTGGAATGATTACAGGGATATAGGGTGTTCAAAATCGAAATTTTTCAACTTTAGGATTGTTTTGTATCGAAACTATTCATTATTGGTCAAAACGGCTTTCATGTCCCTATCTCAACTTTTGATTTACTATCTACTGACATTTATGTGAAACAAATACAGGGTGGTTCAAGATTCAGACTTATGATCACCCTGTATCTGTTAAAATTAAATGTCAGTAGATAGTAAATCAAAAGTTGAGATAGGGACACAAAAGCCGTTTTGACCAATAATGAATAGTTTCAACACAAAAAAATCCTAAAGTTGAAAAATCTCAATTTTGAACACTTTATATCCCTGAAACCATTTTAGCTAAACCCCAAGTGTGATGCATTGATGAAATCAGCTCTTCGGGGAGAATCTGAAAATGCAATAGAATACAAGGTGTTCCATTTGAAATAACAAAGTTGTTGCTTTTTTTCATTAGAAGCTGCAACGCCGCAGGGCTGAAAATATTTTAGAACGATGTTTCCCTCGAAAATGTAGTTGACGTGTTTCAGATTTTTTTCATAATCCCGTTTTGCCGACCTACAGAGCCGCTGTTTCGTTTTCAATGGCCCACTCTGTATGAAAAATGTCTTTCACCTTCATGTAAGCTATCTATGGCAAGGATTCCTCTGGTTACACTTTTTTTTCTCATTGTAGGACTATGTAATTTCTTATTAGGCTGATGATGGACATACGTATGTCCGAAAATATGTTCCCTTGATGTGATTATTCACAATGAACTCGTGAGTTGTCACAATAAATTATCGTGGAGATGACTTTGTGTATTATTCAGTATTAACCCCTGTATAAAGTCTTCGAAATTTCATCGAGGTACTTAGTTGTGTGTGTTTTTAGAAATATGAACACGTTCTGCATCCAAGGACAAGGGGATTCGTTTTTCTCACCCAACAACTGCTTTCGAAAAATTCTTTGGATGCTGTGTATGACGTGACCATAGTTTACCCTGATATCGTACCACAAACCGAAATGATTTTGGTCAATGGAAGATTTCCAAAACAAGTGAACGTTCATTTCGTAAGGTAAATGAAACACTTTATTGAAAAATGAAAATCATGTATACGACCTATGATTCGAGATAAGTTGAAAATTAGTATTGGGATATACTCTACGATTTTTTTTCTGATATGAAACGTGAATTTTAAAGTTATAATATACAGGGTAAGTTGAATATTCTGCGTTTGATCGTCAATCTGTTATACAGGTTCATGCACCTAACTAATTCATTAGACGTTTATAGAGAACCAAAAGAGACATCGATCTCAAATTATGAGTACAGCCATCGGGTGGTGTGATCTGTGCTTCTAGAATATTTTCAACTGGAAGTGACATAAAAGATTTCGCTGTTATCTGTTACAGCCTTAGAAAAAGTCGTATACAGGGTGATTCAAAATTCGATGTGAATATTTTTAAGGATGTATTGTTGGGATCAAAATTGTATGCACTTCAGGAATTTAAAGGGTACCTTTATTCCCTATTTTCGGGGAAAAAAGTGTCTCTTTGCTGCAAATTTCAAATTTCAGAATTCTAACTCAACAATTACGAAAGATACAGGGGTGCTTCCATTAGAAGTGAGACACACTGTATATTGTTCACCTTGAGTCAATCCTGATCTTGATATCTCTTCATCTGAAGTTTAAGCTTCAAAATGAGCCTGAGATATCAAAAATCGGTTGACGAAGAAAAAAGTTATGACTGCAATACAAAAAAGTTAATTTTTCGAGATCACTCTGTAGATGAAAGATATAAGGAGACAATTCCAGAACTGTCCCAAGATAATAAGATCATGTACATGCCTCTACTGTAAAAGTTAAAAAAAAAGTTTTCTGTATTTGGGATACTTAGTTTCCCAAATTTTGCACAGTTTCAGGTAACACCCCTGTAGCGATTTAATGTGAAGAACCTTATGTTTTAGAGAATTACGAGATTATAGCTGAAGGACTGGGCTAGCGAACAGTGTGAACCGAATTCAAATCGTTCAAAGCAGAAAAAAGTTATTCATATTTCAACAGAGGCAAAATTGTGCGACGAAATTAGTTTTGCGTAGTTTATTTACATCGAAAATTGAATCACCCTGTATAACTCGCACGGCTCATGCTGCAAACATTCTCGTGGAAAATAACTATCATTCCATGCTCGATAAACAACACACTATTTTTTTTTTCTTTTTAGGTATCCAAAATCTATTTTACCTACTTCGGAAGAAGGCCTGCGAGAATTCCTCGAAAAGAGATGGTTGGACAAGGAGAAAACGTTGAAGGAATTCAGAGCGACCGGCCATTTTTTGCACGGCAAAATCGTGAAATGCGACAGAAAGTGGGAGCTGTACGCAGCTCTGGTCTTTTGGACCGTTCTACCTTACGTCAGTTTGTATTTGTTCTTTGCCGTCACGTGGTTCAGAAACGCCGTTCTGGCCCACACCGTTTTCCTCGTCGGGCTGAATTTATTCTACGACGGTTTCCAAAATTTCGAAATCGACATTCATCGTTGGAAAAAACGATTGAAACTCAATTGATAAGTGTGAAATTGATATCAATAAAATGTCTACTTGGATTAATTGTTGGAAATATGGGGAAACATGTTGTTGCTTTATTTCAAAGAATTACACTTGGAGTGAAATCTAAACTTTGATTTTTCATATGAATTTTTTTGGGAACAGTGAGTTTAGTTATACATTATTCAAGAAATAAAAAAAAATACGCCTGAGAATATCAATATTAATTTTGATTCATTAACTTGAAAATTAGATTTTCAACGCTCATATCAATTGAACCAAGATTTGTAAATGAAATAGGTGTGAAGCAATTTCAAGAATTTAGTGCATGAAACATGTTGATATTTCTCATAACTTTGTTCGTTGTGTATAACTAGAATATTGACTCAGATGTTTAGTGTACTATGTTCTGGCATCAGTTTCGTGAGCTCTATCACCTGGTGCATTGATTTGTGAAGAAAACGAGCTATATTTAACTGTAATCGGTGTCTGAAAGTTAGGTTTTGGAGCAAAATCAGATATATCCCTGAATTTGCAAGCAAAACCAGTTATATCCATATATACAGGGTGTTTCAAAATTCAGTATCAAGATTTTAGGGGCGTATTTTTCAGGTCAAAATAAGACGTTTTTGTCCATAAACATGTGTCCGCAAACGCTTCGTTACCGATCTACAGAGCGTTAAAGTTTCAAGATTTTTTTATTTTTTTCTTCATAGCTCTTTCAATTTTTGAGATATTAAGATCAAATTTGGAATGTAGGTTACGTTCTAGGGCTTACATCATCCAGCATGCCGAGTGATTGTGAGAATCTACAGGGAGATATTTTTTTCAGGGGTCAAGCCCTTTTTTACCCCATAAACTTTTTTGTGGTGCGCCGCTGGTGAATTCTGAGATACAAAATGAATTCTTTGTTTTGTTTATAAATTTTTTTGTCTCTTGTAATTTTCACGCATCTGCGATCGTTATCGAGAAAAAAGTAAAATCAATTTTTGTGATTCGCTACATTTAATTAAAATTTTCAACGGAACAATGAAAAAGCGAATTAGTGGGCTTTGACTGCTATTTTCATTTTGACGTTTAGGTTTGTTTTGAAGCATTTGACATTATTTGAAAGTTGGTGGATGTCTCATCGTGTATTTGTTTAACTTTAACGCTCTGTAGATCGGTAACGAAGCGTTTGCGGACACATGTTTATGGACAAAAACGTCTTATTTTGACCTGAAAAATACGCCCCTAAAATCTTGATACTGAATTTTGAAACACCCTGTATACTGTGTGGGCTCGAGTCCAATGTGGAGGAATTGATGGTACTGAAGATAATGAAGTAGATAAAAATGACGAAACATGCCGAGCATATTCAAGAGAGTGTTGATGTAATAATTCGAGTGAAAGATATATCCTTTATTTTTTGTGTATATTGATCTGGATTTTCAGTTCAATTCATCCAAAAGTGATTCATCCTATTCATTATCCAAATTCTAATCGATCTACGGTGAAATTTCGCTAATTTGAATCAAGCAACAGATTGCAGACGTTTTTCTCCTGAAAAATTTTGGAAAGTGCTCCTCACATATAAGGTGTTTTCATTTGCGTTTCTGAACTTGTTGAAGTTGATTTTATTCCCATAGTTGTTAATGTAAACAGAGAAAGTCATAGAAAAAAAATCAAGTTCAGAAGGTAGAGCAAACACATACAAAGAGGCCTACAGTTTCATGGTTTTGGAATAAGTGATATCTGTCACTCACTCTCTTTCCTCATCTTTTTCTTCCTCTCCTCTCTTTTTTTTCCTCTCCTCTCTTTTACTTCGTCTCTTTCTCTCTCTCTTAATATATTAGTTAAAAGAGTTGAGAAGAGAAACCCACTTCAGTTCATATTGCTCATGATGTTAAAAGACAGTTAAATACTGTCTGTAGGTTAATCGAGGAGGTGGTACATTCATTTTACTTGGTTCTTTGGGATTTTCTCTACAAATATATTGAAATAATACGAATACTTTTATTTTATAGAAACGAGGAGAGAAAATCCCAAAGAACCAAGTAAAATTAAAAGACAGTACTTACATTTTTGTGCTACATATTTTTCTGAGATGAAAAAGAAAGAAATAGATTCTCAAAGATTCTACATTCATTTTGAAGTCTCCAGAAAAAAAAAATAATTGAGCCATTAGTACAGGGTGCGCCTATTAAAATGGAACCCCCCCCTTAACTCTTTTGGTTTCATTCAATCTCAATACAAAAAATATGAATGCACAGTTTGAATGGAAGATGCGGTATTTTGGTAAACATTAATCATCAATTACTCAATTAATTTCCATACAAATATGCATGTATATTTTTGGAATCAGAAAAAAAAGCTCTATCGACATGCCAGAAAATATATAGGGTGTTCCATCGAAAAAATCAAAGTTACCCTACTTTCCGGAAAAACGAATGACCCTCTATATAAAGCAACTTCACGACATAAAAGTTTGGGTCTTTTCAAACAACAACAACAACAACATTTTTTCACATCTCTGAAAACAAAAGAGTTAAGAGGGTGTTCCAATTTTTGTACCTATTTGAATTATTGGTAATATAAGTATTTTAATATTTCTATTCTACCTGTGCCATAGTAGTTGCATTGTATATTATCTTCTTTGATAGGCTCAATATTAATATCATAGATGTTTTTCGTTGACAGATTTACTGAAACTTATTTATATACTTTGTTAAATCTGTGTTGTATGTAGCTAGTGATAATTAAAAACTCTACATTTGAAGTAAACTCATGTTTAGAACTGTGAATTAAGGTGCCAAATTAAGCTAAGAATAGATAAATCCGAAGGGAACTAGTCAAATGTATCTATAAATAACAATATACTGAATGTGATCTTAGAAAACGTTTTTCCAAACATAGATTTAATGGATATCTTGGTATGTTTTAAGAAATATCTGTCAACACCCTGTATAGGGACTTGTGATGTAACTTACGAAAAATATAAATGTAAGATTTATGATGTGTTTTAATATGTGACTGGATTTTGCCACTGATAGACTAATGTTAATAACACACCTAGATCACAAAGTTTATTTTGTTGCTATCAGGCAAAAAACGCAACCTAAAATAAAAATTTCTGTAGCACGTTATATTTGTAACTTGTAACAATACAAAAATATTTTCACACTTCAATACATTATAAACAACACTCAGCATTTTGTCAGGTAATATTAAAAAAAATGTAACAAGGCTATGCGGTACCTTCAATAAGTATAGGAAATAATTAGTCTGACATAAAAGCCAATTTTTGGCAAACATTTTTCATAGATGCTTCTTAACAATATGAGAATATTATTTTGAGACATTAATACTGTGAAAATTCCAAAGGAACTTAAATTTTTGAGCTTTTTCATATCAAGGCACACAAGCATTATTATAACAGCTAATATTTCTCTAATATTCGGAGAATGTTATCAACAATAATTAGAAGAAGCTTTCGAAATTTAAAAATGAAATATCACATACTCCCAATCCTGACAAAAATAAATAAATTGCATAGCTGGATATTGAGACTCCATTTGAAATTACAGATCATTTAGAGCCCCTTCTATCAAAAACATTACACATCCTTTATACAGGGTGTCCCAGAACAACGTACATTAAATTCAACAGGGTGAACTAAAGTTCAAAATAGGTCGATTGGGACCAACTTACCTCTATACGAAAATGCACCGTTGGGCCGTGAGAGGGCGATGAATGGAATTTTTTTTCAAATTTTATTGAATATTTCAAAATCCTTGAGAGGTAATGATCTGAAATTTGGGAGGCAGTCAACTATAAGAAGTGTGCATAGATAACAGGTCTCATCATTGCAATCGATATACAGAAAGATACAAATTTAGCATTCTGATTGGAGAAAATCCATAGAACTTTTTTTGAGTACGCTACTGACCATATTTTAATATCTACTTGAATAACAAAATCAATTATCTATCTTTTTTCTCACCACATTTCTTTCTAAATTTTGCTTGGTTTACGAGAATTCTTTCGGAGTCCCCCCATATCATCCATAGTCCAAGATATCAGAGTTATTGTGTTCTGCAGGTTTCTTCCTCCTTCATGTTGATATTTTGGTCACGTATTCATGTTAATTATTTAATAACCTTTTCATCATACAGGATGGCCCATTTTCAACTTGACAGGGAGATTTTGGGTGATAATAACGTAGATACGAAAAAATGCTCAGATCGGTCGATTTTAGTTTGCACCTCCTGCCAACAAGCAAAGTCGTTTGCAGGTTTTTTTCGTTCTGTTGAGAGTTCGGGGGCACAGATATCATATCATATCAACAAGCGGTTCGTACAAAAATGTACGAAAACGAAACGAAACGAAAAAGTAGATGAAACGAAAAAACCTGCAAACGACTTAGATTGTTAGCAGGAGGTGCAAACTGAAATCGACCGATCTGAGGATTTTTTCCTATCTACGCTATTATCACCCAAAATCTCCTTGTCAAGTTGAAAATGGGCCGTCCTGTATGATGAAAAGGTTATTGAATAATTAACATGAATACGTGACCAAAATATCAACATGAAGGAGGAAGAAACCTGCAGAACACGATAACTCTGATATCTTGGACTATGGATGATATGGAGGGACTCCGAATGAATTTTTTCAGATATCTCGTAAACCAAGCAAAATTTAGAAAGAAGTGTGGTGAGAAAAAAGATAGATGATTGGTTTTGTTATTCAAGTTGATATTGAAATATTGTCAGTGGCGTACTCAAAAAAAGTTCTATGGATTTTCTCCAATCAGAATGCTAAATTTGTATCTCCCTGTATATCGATTGCACTGATGAGACCTGTTATCTATGCACACTTCTTATATTTGACTGCCATCTAAATTTCAGAGCATTACCTCTCAAGGATTTTGAAATATTCAATAAAATCTGAAAAAAAAAATTCCATTCATCGCCCTCTCACGGCCCAACGGTGCATTTTCTTATAGAGGTAAGTTGGTCCCAATCGACCTATTTTGAACTCTAGTTCACCCTGTTGAATTCAATGTACGTTGTTCTGGGACACCCTGTATAATTTCAAAATCACGTACTAACTGTAACTGCTTTTCAAGATGTAATTGGTCTCTATGCCAACCTTGATATTCAATGAATGTTTATTCATTATCTGCAGATTATTTCATGCAAAATAACGAATTAGGAGGAATTTCGAAAATCAACCAAATATAATAAACACGGAAACTCCGAAAACTGATACAAGACAAACCATCATTGAGAAATATCTCACATTCCGAATTTTCTAATTGAGGGTAAATATTAAGACACTAATTTTTAAGCAATATCTAATCCATTTAGTAAGTCTAATCATGCCTTTAAGTACTTCGGTACTTTTTAACTACAGATTCAAATTCAATTTTAAGTATCAATAATTAGAATACCACTTTGAAGTACCTGATTTGAATATGGTTTACGAAATTATCGTTCGCTATTATTAAGCTCAGATTTCAAGAAAAAAACATTTTATGGTAGTAAGTAGTATTCCATTTTATCACCATTAAAATCACAAGAAAAACTATATTATTTGTTAGTCGGTATTCAAACACTCTTTTTCCGATATTCAAAGATGTTAGATCGGACTCAAAAAACCACAAAAAAGTGAAAATTTATGGAGTATGGTGAAAGTTAATTTGATTTCCGTTAACTTCACTGCTCGAATCTAGAATTATTATAAAGCATGAGAAATAATAATAATATTTTATTGAATAACAGTTCATAAGCTATTGATCAAAGTCCTTCTGTAAAATAATAGAAAAATATACTTACAGGGTGGCACACTAGTATAATTGATTCTCTGCTAATTGACATAGAAGAAAAACTCATTGAAGTTCACTATTAAATACTAAACCAATGCTATATTTGAACACACCTGAATTTTCGATCAAATCAGCTTCCTAAAAATGTCTTGAAAGAAAATGCAATATAAATGCAAAAATAATTGATTTCACTGCATACACAATCAACAATGATCAATATCTTGAAGATTATAACAAATTATACGAAATCAATAAGAAAAAAACAAAAAATATATTACCCTGTATAGAGAATAATGTAAACTACTTATTGTAGTAAAATCATGAATCAATAAAAATATCACTCCAGATGAAATTAAAAAAATGAATTTTCCAAATTACAGAATTATAAAACTGTGGAAGAATCACACAAATGATGCGTGATATTACATTAAGCTTAGTTGGTTAGTTCTAATTTTGATGAAATTATTTTCAAGTGCTAACAAACTATTGATCCACCCTGTATATTGTGGTTTTTTGAGTGATAAAAATCACTGCAATATGTTTTATGAAGTGAAGTTTTGGAGACTGTGGTTGAATATGAAACAATAATATACTCAAAATATTAAGAAAAGGTAAAGCACATTTCAGAAACTAAGATACCATCCTTAGCAGAACTAGGAAAAAAATGGAATGAAGGAGAGCTGGCTCTATGGTATTTTTCGGGATATTCTACTGTAACTCAGTGGCGGCTCCTCAGAGGAGGCAACGGTGGCTGAGCCTCCTCAGAAATTTTCCTTAAACTGATATTATCTATACTTTCTCATCAAAAGGACACCAAAATACATGGATTCTGAGTTTATTTCCTGTTTTTAGGTAAATATTTTTTGAATTGGCAACAGTGCTCGCTAACGCATCACACGTTGAAGTCTGCAAATCACGCGTAAAATATTCAACTTGGTAACATCTATAGGAGGCTAGACTCCTTCACATAGCGCAACCCACGCGCGCAATGCAAATGCCCGAATACGCCCGAATAGCACGTGTTTGTCGTGTCACGTCGCGAATTTCGGACAATCCAGCGCGGGTGCATTGTTTATGTTTATGTTAGGTTAATGGTTAGGGGCTCTATAAATTTCTGAAAAATGAGTGTTTTAAACGATTGCGATTTAGTGGAATACTTTTTGGTGAGCCCATTCAGTGCTTTGTCTTATGAAAATAAATTGGTTGTGAAAAACAAACGTCCGACACCGGAATTGAAAAATCTGATTGTAACAGGTAACAAACAAAATCGTTCGTTCAATTCTGATAATTATAATAATATATCTGGTTGACGGGATCTGAGGTAAGGAATAAGCTATTTTGTTGGTACTGCGTATTATTCTCAACCGATAAGTCATCATGTTGAGGGAGGGATTTGAAAAATTTGCCTCGCGGATTGGATAGACATCTCTTCAAGTATTAAATTCAGGTTAACTGGTAAACAGAATTTCATTAGAGCTATTGATTTGGGTGAGTAGAGAGTTGTTTTTCACAATAAATCTCATATCATTCAGCATCCTCTGTCATGAAAGTCACGAGCCGCCACTGCTGTAACTAGAGAATTCACTGATTTTTTTTTTAAATTTCTCATTTCTCAGTCTTGAGGTATTTAGGCTTTCCTAAGTATCACTTTGGTATTTTGAGTATATTTTTGCAATTGACATCACTATTGTTACCCACAAACACTATCCTACAAATTAAGATAGTGGAATGTGACTTAAAGATTTCCGAGTTCTCACCCCAAAATTATATCAACGAATTAAATAAACTAAGTACTAACAACCGACCATCAGTAAAACAATAAAATAAATTTTCAGTCGACTTGCTTGTTCGTTCGCTTCACTTTTACAATTGATTATCAACACTAACAAGATGATTAACCTCCATGAAGCCAAATTGGGCCTTACTTCTTGGCTAGTTCGTAGGCGGCGTTAGCGAAACCAAGCAAAATTAGAGTCACTGGATGGTATTTGTTAGAGTCACTGGATGGTATTAGTTTGATAAGAGTTCGGACACAGAAATGACAACGGTAAGGGATTTATCAAGTTACACACCTTGCATTGTGACAAGAGCACCATAGTCGACCCGCGCTTTTCCATTCAAAATTGTTTGAATTTGACAATAAATTTTATAAACGTCAGAATTGAAATAATATTTCATAATTATACTATCGAGAAAAAAGCAGTTATGGAAATTACTTGCTTTGTGATGAATCGTGCCAATTCTGAAAAAAATGAGGTTTAACCTTGGGAAGATCGATATTGTGCCTAAACGATGAATAGTACATGGCTTGAACAAAATATACCAAAATACCTCAAGAGTCGTTACGATTTTTTTGAGAAGTAGTGTACCACCTCTGGCAATACTGCCCTCGCTACTCAACAAAAAGTAGTTCACCCTGTCACTCATAGATACCGCCCCCTACCGAACAGAATTGGCTTCATTGCTCTCATGATGAGGATGGTTCATCTTGTCAGTGTTAATAATCAAGGCCTTCACCCCGAAAACCTATCCGAAATCACCCGTTTTCTCACCTACGTTCGCTAAGTCTGATTCTGGTGGTACTGAGGTCGTCCGGCCAACTCCAGTAAGTACCTGTCCGGATGATCCAGCCAATCGGCGGCGCTCAATTTCACAGTTCGCTGTCGCTCCGCCTCTTTCACCTCCCACTTTTTCACTTCGAGCTGTCTCTCTCTGGCTACCGGGTCGCCGCAGCCCCATACCTCGATGCATTCCAAGTGGTAGGGGATCTTTTGCCATTCGATCTGGTGAAACAGATCATCGTCTCAATAGAGCATTGTCAGTGACGTCATATGTCGGCCCCCCCTGATCGGGGGACAAGCATACACATTTTCCATAAGGGTACATGTAACTTTCTTGCACATTTACCACTAAAATACAATACCTGGAGCATTTATTTATTGACATGTTTGTTAATTCACTCATCATGAATCCTGTGAGAGAAGTGAATGAGTCCAAATAAGAGTTCAAATTGGTTTATTTGTCAATTTTAAATTACTGGATTTACTTGAGTTCAGCTCACCTAATATTTATTAATTCATTTATTTATTCATTTATTTCAGTTATTGCATTACATTCTTTTCTTCATTGATACATTTCATACAAATAATATATAAAGTATAATTAATTTTCCATTCGACTTCGCTGTTACGGTAATTACTATAAACAACCACTAAATTCGCAATTTTTTTAAATCAAATCACAGAATTAGACTGACAGAAGTGACATCAGATATTTGATTACTTCAAAAGAATGATAAAGATGTCTACAACGCAGGTGTCCCTACTGTTAAAAACTTAAAATTTCATGTCGATAATTTTCAGATTTCAAAATAATGTCTCAATATTAATTCGTCCTTTCTTTTGTCACAGAAAAAAATAGTGTATTATACACGGGAAAAATATTAGATTTTAGCTCACGGTTTTTTGTCTCCCTCCGCTACGCGTCGGAGCTAAAATCTACTACTTTTTTCCCTTGTATAATAAATAACTATATATTATTTTTTTACAAACTTCACAGTGAGATAAGAACCTCAATATAGGAAACTTCCTCATTGGTGCAACTAGCAAGTATTCATTGAGATGAAGGGAGTCGCCTTGGAGAATGTCATTGTGCTTCGTGGGTAAATACAGGAACGCCAACATTATGAACAGGATACAAAATATTAGCATCCTTTACCAAGACGGAAGTTTTAACGACGCATGCGCTTGCAAAGACCATTGTCGTTCTAAATGAAAACCTAGTTAGTAGGCGAGAGGTATATTAATGTCTGTTCATTGACCCAGAATTTGTCTGATTGTCAATCGTGCCAGTTTACTGAATAAATCAAGAGCTGTGATTGGTTTACTGTTAGTTTAATTTTGTTGTTTCATTTTGCACTTCTACTGGATTCATTCTCAATGAGAAAACCACAAAGTCATCTCCACAACTTTTCAATTTGAAAACATCAAATTAGAAACATGTCCATCTTCAGCTTATGCTAAGAAGCCAGGTGGATAGAATATGATGTGATCACAGACAGTGTTTTGTTTCCTCCAAAACGCTTGACCGCAGATTCCGCAATAATGGCATATTACTTCTCAGTTTTCCGCAAGATGGCGACAATTTTTACAGATTTCTTTCTTGACAGAAAACAGAAAACGGCGCTTACACACCGCTTGCACCAGAAATAATATCATAGCCCAACCTCAAATCAAATGAGATTAAATTTGGAAGTACGAAACTGTAATTTTCGCCATCTAACGGGTAAAATGCGACCTATATACCGCGATATTGAAAAGAATCCTTCTGTCAAGTAGGCCGTCGGTCAAGAACTGACCGAAAAAAAGTAGATGGGATTTAATAGGAGTTTCTACACCATCTTCTGTTCATCCTGCTAAGAAGTCATGGAAATGAAAAGGTTATGTTACATTTTAAAGTATAGGTCGCGTGCAAGAACTGTCAGATGACCGACCCTGGAGGCAAAACATATTTGTTTACAAGTGATCGAAATAGTTTTCCACAATTATTTTGGCATATGAATCGTATTTTTCCGCTATTCATCAATTCACTAATGCCATCACATTGTGCTGTTGTAAAATGCACAAAAACTGCAGCGGAAGATGAAGAAATCCGGATGGTACATTATGATTCAAAAGTAAGTACCTACTATAGTCACTCACATAGTTTTCATTTTTGAAATTTGGTTATTTCTCTGATTTCTCATCCGAATTCCTTCTGCAATAGGATCAGCTAATAGAAATATACCTGAAATTTCTAGAATAATGCAAGAAGATTGGATTAGCAGCATTAGCTTGTATTGCAGAAGTGGCAGAAGGCAGAAGGAATTTTAATAAGGAATGACAACATTTCATAATGCTAACTATGTGAGATTACTATTTACCTGAAAAATCATATTCCCTAGTCTCTTGCTGCATTTTTTGTGCATTGTACAACAGTACAATGCGAAGGCATGCTTGAATTAATGAATAACGCAAGAAACACGATTCGTATGTCAAAATATTGTGAAAAACTATTTCAACCTTTTGAATCCTCTGTAACCAAATAAAAATGTGAGGTTGTGTTTCAATAATTCACAGAAGAATGAGGTTGTGTTTCAATATTTTGCCTCCAGGGTCGGTCTTCGTGCACGCGACCTATTGATAAGAAAGGGTTTTTTGCAGGGGTCCCAAATACCTGAACAGGGCAAATCAAATTATTGAGGACGACGATGAGGCTCAAAAATTAGTTACCTTTTTTAGTCATTGAAAAAACAAGATTCGTTTTCAGGCTGAAAGTGCTATAAAAACTACCAATCGTGGTACTCACTTTTTCGAACCCTTTATCGATGCTTATGATGGGTGCTCTGGGATCTTTGCCGACCCTAAGTCCGAACGGATAACCCCTGACAGTCGAATTCAGGTAAAGCATCTTGGGACCTTTCTCGAGCAACTGGAATCTGCAACGAACGCTTATTGTGAGTAGAGTCTCTGTATGTATTTGACAGTTTTGCTGTAATAGGTTGCGTGCAAGAACTGTCAGATGACCGACACTGGAGGCAAAATATTGAAACACAAACGTCACTTTACTTATTTGTTTACAAGTGATTGAAATAGATTTTCACAATTATTTTGGCATACGAATCGTATTTTTCCGCTATTCATCAATTCGCTCATGCCATCACATTATGCTGTTGTGAAATGCACAAAAACTGCAGCGGAAGACGAAGTAATCCGGTTGGTACAATATGATTCAAAAGTAAGTACCTACTATAGTCACTCACATATAGTTTTCATTTTTGAAATTTGGTAATTTCTCTGATTTCTCATCGGAATTCTTTCTGCGATAGAAGCTAATAGAAATACATCTGAAATTTCTAAAATAATGCCAGAAAATTGGATTCATGCAATCAATCGGGGGGACTGGTCTGACATGTTGAAGATCGTGTGTGTTGTAGACATTTTCAATCTATTAGCAGTATTAGCTTGTATTGCAGAAGTGACAGGAGGCAGAAGGAATTTTAATAAGGAATGAAAACATTTCATAATGATAACTATGTGAGATTACTATTTACCTGAAAAATCATATTCTTTAGTCTCTTGCTGCATTTTTTGTGCATTGTACAACAGCACAATGCGAAGGCATGCTCGAATTAATGAGTAGCGCAAAAAACACGATTCGTATGCCAAAATATTGTGAAAAACTAGTTCAATCCTTTGATTCCTCTGTAACCAAGTAAAAAAGTGAGGTTGTGTTTCAATAATTCACAGAAGAATGAGGTTGTGTTTCAATATTTTGCCTCCAGGGTCGGTCATCATGCACGCGACCTATAAGAGTGAGAACACTATGACAAGCAGTGACAGAAGGCATGACCCCAAATCATCAAAATGACTTTGAAGGTTTGGTTGAATAAAGACATGGATATGCTTTTCCATGCACTTCGGATCTCTACTGCCGCGGTGAAGGGTACATCCATTATATCTTTCTCTGTCTTTCTCTTCATAAAGAAGTGGAGTCTCATCTCACTGGCCAAAAGTATAACTTAATTTATTGATAGGATTTCTCCAGAATAACAATATTTCTTCGACACCACGCGAAAACAAATTGAAACTGCGTAGATTTTTTCTAAAGGGGTAAAAATTGAAAAATTTCTGAATTCCAAAATTTTTTTCAACAGAAATCAGAATTTCAAATTGAAGAGGTTGAATAATTTTTTACGGGGTCAAAAATAAAAAAAAATTCAGAAAGTTTAAATTTCTTGAACCCCAACCGGAATCGAATTGAAACTGCTACTCCAGGGGCGTAAAATCTTTTCAAAGCCTGCCAAAAAATGAAAAATTCTATATTAGAAACTGCTACTTCAAGGGCGTACATATATTTTTCTGAAGGGGAAAAAATATAAAATTTATGAGAAATTCAACATTTCTTCGACAAATTCCATAATAAATAAAAACTGTGACTATAGGGGCGTACTAATGCTTTTTTGAGATTCAAAAAATGAAAAATAAAATTGCGCATTTAGGAAAGTCACATACCATACCCAACGTGTCAAAAATTCATTAATTTCAAATTTTTCGGACACCAATAACCAAAACAAAACTAAAACTGTGTCTTCAAGGGCATACTCATGTTTTTCTGAGGGGGTTAAAAATTAAGAAATTGCCTGTATTTCAAGATGGCTTCAACATAAATCAAAATTGTAACTTCAGGGAGTGGAAAATGAGAAAAAAAACTAGAAATTTCAAATTTCTTGCACACCAACCAAAATTGAATTGAAACTGCTGCTCCAGAGGCGTACGTATTTTTTCTCTAAGGGGGTCCAAAAATTAAAAAAGGCAAAAAGCATCCCAAATTTCTTGCACACCAACCAAAATTAAATTGAAACTGCAGCTCCAGAGGCGTACATATTTTTTTCTAAGGGGGTCCAAAAATGAAAAAATGCAAAAATCATCCCAAATTTCTTGCACACCAACCGTATTTAAATTGAAACTGCGGCTCCAGAGGCGTACATATTTTTTTCTAAGGGGGTCCAAAATCGAAAAAATGCAAAAATCACCCATTTTTCTAGAACAAAAAAAAAAGAGATTCTCACTTGGGCAAGAGCTGGAAAACGGCACACTCCTCCCCGCCCCAATAGTGGTGCGATTCGCGCCACTCGTTGGGCGAGGCGATGCAAAACTTCTGCCCGTCCTGCACCCGGATCAGGATCAGGGTGGGGCCCTTGTAGCTCAGCACGTGGTGCAGGAAGCGGTTAGAACCGAGGCCCATCTCGTCGGAATCGTAGAGGATGGCCCAATGGGAGGGGATGGCACACACCAGTTTGGCCAGGAAGGACATGCTGGCCAGACCTGGAAGTTTCCAAGTTACACCGAGAATTGGCAGGATTGTTCAGAATACCATGATAAATGAAATTTAAAAATTCCTTATCGATCAGATACTAGAAAAAAATTTTACTCGGAGTCAAAGGTCACAAAAATGTTTTTTTTGCGATTTTCAGCAAAATAGAGGGTTTAATCATAAAATTAGCAGAGACAAAAATTGTAGATCTGATAATTACCTATAAAATATGTTCCATTACTTTTTTTCCTTAGAGCCATCGTTTTCGAGATATAACGATTCGAAAAGTTCAAAGAGTTGTAATCGTCATATGCACACGTTTCCACACCATCTTTGAGGTAGTGTACTTAGCGCGAATTTTTCAATGTTTCCCCGGTAGGCCTATTCCACAAATCTGTTTTGATCTTGTTCAATTTGAAATTATTGAATATATTGGCAAGGGTTGAAAATGATAAAAGTGTAAAAGTGATGAAAGCGTTTCAAATTTAAAAGAAGGGGAATTTATTCATCTGATTCATCATTATCTATTACTTCTGCTTCTTCTTCGTGTTGTTCTCTATCTGCTTGTTCTTCTTCTTCTCTATCCTGGGAGCAAGTAAATTGCCCCAATAATGACACATCGCATGTCTCCTCGTTTGTATCAAATGAATTCTCAATTATTGTTGGTGATTCAACATTAGAGCACGACCGGTCTTAACAATTTGAACATGCTACAGAACAAAATAATCCCTTTTTACAGTTACAAAAAATTGTGTTTAGCAGTTTTTCCGGCGCAGGTGGGAGTGAAGTTTGAACTGGTTCTAATGTATTGTCGACCAATTTATTTCGAGTATTTTTAACGAAACATGTATATGTATATCGAAAGTTATCTAAGCACGTAGTTTTTTTAGGAGCTCCATACATAGTGAGAAGAATATGAATTCCGTTGGTGATAACTTCTTGTGGAGTTGAATTACTCTTTTTAGAAATATCAGCACATTCAACTGAATTTTGTTTTTCAAACATTTTATAAACAGTTGTTTTACCCCTCCTGAAGAATGCAGATGTAGTGTCACAGCCAGTTATTGCATGTAAAAATAGAACATTATTTTGACATTTTGCAAAAGTAGATAAACTTTTTGATGAATATATCACCGATTGCTGTTGTGCTTTTCCAGGTTTCAAAAAAATAATTGTTTTCTCTATGGGAGTCGAGCAGTGAGTAATACGAGTAAGTCAACATCTTCACCTACAACAATAGTTGTATTTATTGAATTGAATTGCAGAGTAATAGTATTCGCTTTCCCGTAGATTTCAATGTCATCGGAACGTCATCTAATGATGACGACTGCGAATAGAAGCGTCGGGAAATATTTCCGCGGCGGCTAGTGAAGAGCGTGAAAACGTGTGCATGTTATGATTACAACTCTTTGAACTTTTCGAATCGTTATATCTCAAAAACGATGGCTCTTAGGAAAAAAAGTGATTGAACATGTTTTATAGATAATTATCTGATCTACAATTTTTGTCTCTGCTAATTTTATGATAAACTCACCATTTTGCTGAGAATCGCGAAAAACCCGTTTTTGTGACCTTTGACCCCGAGTAAAATTTTTTCCAGGTGTCGAATCGATGTGGACTTTTCAGATTTCATTAATGATGGTGTTCTGAACAATCCTACTAACCAATATTGTGGTCGACCGACTAAGAGTTCGTTTTTCTCCTGTTGAAAAAAAAAAAAAATACCGGACCATTTTGAGAATGGATGGTTTCCATGACTATATCCTACTAACTTTCACCTTGCTGCGAATTTTTGTAACCTGGGATGTTTAACTTGACCGAACAGAACATGAAAAAAAAATCAACGTGACTTACCATTTCCGCTGCTGCTAGGCGACTGTGCCTTTTGCGGTCTGGAATACAGAGGTGGCAGTGCTCCGGCCAGCAGCCAAGACATGCTCATGGTGAGCAGATGAGGATGGGGCTTGGCTTGCGCGAACGGATTCGGTTGGTCCAAAACTGGGGTGGCCAACTCCAATCCTTAGATACAGGAGATGCGATAAGAAAAATGATTGCATATTTCGATTTTTGCAGGACTTTTTTTTAGCAAACTTCGAAGGTGTAATGATGGAATGTCTTTCAACCATCATCGGTTAAATTTGAAAGGACCCCGCACAATTCAAATGCAATTTTGATGTATGTCAATTTACCTGAAATTTTGGGAGAAAGTAGTTCAAAGTGTGCTGAACAAAAGTCTCGATTTCTATGAGTAGTTTTCGTGCTATGCTCTCGTGAATCCTCTGATGCTAGGTATTCGCGATAGAAAATAAGCGTACGCCACCTATCGCAGTTCTTGAAAGCTGTCAAAGCGGCCTCTTTACTTTGTTTTCATTGGTTCGCATTTGTTTTTTGTCTGTGCTTGTTGGTCATATCATCAAAACAAACCGCTCAGAAGTGTTCTAGTTGTTGCTGTCAGATGGGTCGACTTGTTATTTTCTATCGCGAATAGAAAAAACTTGACTAAACGAACTACCAAGGGGGTACACACGCATACTTGTGAGATATCGAAATCGAATTCAGGTTAGGTTAGGTGAGTGTGTGTGTGTGGTTGTGTGTATACAGGGTCATACAAAGATGCCAAAGTACCTATCACGTCCACGTTCGACGGTTTTGAGTAGTGCAAAAACAGGTGATATGATAAATGATATGACAGTTGATAGATGGTAATGAATGTAAAATATAACTTCCTGAATTCCTGGATTCGATATCTCACAAGTGCGTGTGTCCCTCCTTTGTCAAGTTTTTTCTATATGTATTATCAGAGGATTCACGAGAGCGTAGCACGAAAACTACTCATAGAAATCGTTTTGCCCCATGGACTTTTGTACAGCACACTTTGAACTACTTTCTCCCAAAATTTCAGGTAAATTGACAGAAATCAAAATTGCATTTGATTTCTACGGGGTCCTTCAAAACTACTCTAGTTCAGGGCATTAGAAGCAAAATGAACAAGCATAGGGAACAATGGGGACGTTAACTTATGATGCATTCTCCTCAAATTAGTTTTACACTTTTGTTTTGGATGTATGATAAATTGATGTTCATCATACAGGGCCTGGAAATAAATTCTGATTTGAGAAAACCAAATCACGAATCTGCGATTAGAAGTCTACAGAAATAACAAGTTTCCATCGTTCAAGTTTAAACCCCTTATATATTTTATCTGAAAGAGAATGCGAATTCCCAACTTCAAATTTTATTTTCAAACTCTTTTCATATCGTGGTCGTGGCATATAGCCAGGGAAGTAGTTGTTTTCTGTTGAATATACTGATAAAGAATTAATATTTTCACCACACAGAGAATGTGAATTCTCAATGTATTTCTTTAAATGTATAAATTTTTTTCATGTTCAGAATATATCTGAGAATATTCCTTTTCAATAGTTTAACACTCATTAGCTTCATGCTTTTTCAATCTAGAATGCCTATTGAAATTATTCAAATCCTTTCTATTTTGGTAATAGAACAACTAAAAAAATCGAGGGCAAGCAATGATGTATCAATGAATCTAGTATGAATATAGGTATGATTAAAGTTCCTAGATGTATTTGACACTGCTGTTTTGACGCTTTTTGTATATTAGAGTACGGACCCTAGACAAGCAGTGACAACCAAACATAACCACAAACGATTTTGAAGCAAATCATATGTTTTTCCAGACAAGGACAAGAATATGTTATCCGCTTAGATAAAGGATCCTCGCATCTTCCTTCCTCCAAGTCCTGGGAAGAGTACATCCATATATATTTATCTGTCTTTGATTTTTGTATGAGAGTGCATAGCGTCTCCTCGAGTGGGTAAAAGGGTACGATAAATCGATTAGAAAATTATTTCTTTTCAAAATATTGAATGATAAGGCTGAAGGATCTCAATGGAGGTCGATATCAAGTTGGTATGTACATATATACCAACGAAATACATATACTATTCCCATGGAATAAGTCTCTTATATGTAGGTATAAATATACGTTCAGTTGAATATTTTTTTATCACAAAAGTTCAGAATGGGGTGAAAACTGATAAATTTCAGCCAATGAAACATACTTTTATTTTGTATGGAACAATATCACTTGTACAAGAGTGGTAGGTAATAAGTAATTAATAAATGAACAAATGATATGGCAACAATAACAGCTGATTTCAGTTAGGATAAATAATAAGGGTTCTCAAAAAACGTCAAAACAGCAGTGTCAAGTACATTTAGGAACTCTAGGTATGATAAGGTTCCTGTTCATAATTCAACATCTGAACAAGCCCCAACTGAGTAGGAAAGGAAAATAAGAAGAATTCATAACCTTTTGAATAATAATCATAAACAAACAATTAATTTCCATTACCTGCATTAATATCACCATCAACAACAATTAACAACTACAACCAAAACAGGGCATTTATACTAGACCATGAATAAATAAATAAATGAATAAAAAAATAACATATGAGAACATAACCTCAACCTCAGTGAGATTTGGTGTAATTTCATTTACTGACTTCTTGAAGTCAATGAAAAAATACTACTAGGAAAAATATGGATAACTATATCTGTCAGTCATTTTATGCCAGTGAAATATTTCAGGGTGATTTGTTAAATGAGAACACTAGTTATAAGGATAAGAAAAACACATTTTGTGCACATTTAGATATCTTTCAACTAGAACAAAAGGCATTAATTAAAAAAAAACAAGAAACAACATAATATATCAATCCTCTATGGGCAATATTTTAAGAAAGGTTTATGGTTTGTATCTGAACATGTTTTATTGAATTTTCTCTGGAAATTTTATGAAACTTTTGCCATACAGAAGAATCATATTCATTATTGATTCTGACAGTCAATACCAAACAAACATCAGGTATTTTGTGGAATTGAGGTATTATAGCAATCTGATAGAAGGTATTTGAAGGCCATCATGCAAATTCACATTGAGTCTGACTAATGATGAGTATGACATAAAAAGATAATGACAAATAATTCTAAACCTTACTTAATAGTTAATCAAACATGTATTGTTTGGGTAAATGATTTAGTAAGCAAACAAATTGAACTGAAAGCTGGGTGACTAGTATTAAACAACAATTCAGAATCATTTTACCTACCTGGAGATGCCTCAATTTCACATGTTACACCTAAACAAAAAATAAAACTGCTCAATGGGAAATATATTTCATAATATCTAATGAATACAAGATTTCCAAAAGTTTTGTGATCATTGACCAAAATAAATGTTGACTTACCAACAGCCAAATTGGGTTCACACAATTCCAAAGTTCTCCAAGAAGTAGCCAGAGAGTGGACAGCATATCTGTGCAATGGAAACAGTAGCCTAGGAATATTACTTTCTATCCAATGTGTGACAAACTGAGCAGACAGACTCTTTTTGTTGTGGAAGCAGCTGTCCACAACAGCTTTGAGAGTTTTGTTCCAGGAAAAGCACATTTGGGGACCTTCAGAATAATGGTCCATACTTATATGATAGGTGCACATCAATAAAGAAGTCATATCTTCTGGACTCATCATGATGCAGTCAGTTTCTTCACTGGGATTTGCCCACATTTTGACTAATGTTTGTCTCACTGTCTCATCATCTATTATCTAGAATGAAAATGGAACCCAATTTTTTCCCTTTTTTTCCACACCCCCAGACAGCACTCAAATATACCTAATTTAGAATATTCTGATAGGGGATAGAATGTTCTCAGAATGATCATAGATTCAATTTGTATTCTGAAAATATAGAGGTGTAAGCAAGTTTTTTTTTTCAATTTCCTTCCTCCTATAATATACCAGGAATATTCAAAACAGTATATTATCTTGAATTTTCATAGAATGTCCCTAGAATATTTTTGGACCATATTCAAAAATTCTCAGAGAATGAGAATATCTTGAGATAGTGATTCTATGAATGACATTGTGCTATCTGGGCCTATCCTTAGAATTGGACAAATTTGAACTCACAGCCAGATAACTCTCACATTGCTGTTTGAAAGCATTAATTGCTATATTAGTGTTCCTTGATTTGCTGTTTTTCTGCAGGTATTTGAAAAGTTTCTCACCCAGTACTGGGTATCTAGGAAACAGACATTGCTGAAAACAAGAAATTTGGAAGAAATGATATAAACTCAACACATATTATTATTATTCATGTAGCTTACACTGAAAACTTCCATGGTGATTCCATTACTTCCAGTTTGAAGTTTAGATTTTTCTGCCAAAATCTGCAATCAATAATCAAAGCATAAATAAAATTGGACAGTCATGGAAATCATGTTTACTTGTTTGGTAGATTCTGCGTTTCATTTCCAGTAAATGTATGTAATTCATAAATAATTGCATGCGATAAGATATTCAATTTTACGTCACCTTTGCTAGTTTTTCTACAGGTAACATTTGACTGGGATTTTCCTGGGGTTCAGCTTCCAAACTTGATCTTGTGATGCTTTTTCGCGAACTGTTGTGAGAACTTGCCACCGAGTTAGGGGTTGCATTTCCAGATTTTGAAGTGTGTCCGTGGTGGTTGCCCATTATATTTTTTGAATTTGATATCGGAAAATCTAAAAAAGCCACAGTCTACATCACATCACAATACAAACAGCTGACACAATTGTGTTCTATTTTCTGACTTTGGCATTCCTTCTTTTACAACATTGACAAAAGTGTCCATAAAAGTGTCTAAATTCCCCAGATTCCCAGATTTGGGAATGGCTTAAACATTTTAGACTCATCCACTTCTTCTTTTTTTATCGGAACTTGTTATTCATGTCCAAATATAAAGAAGAACCCAGAATAGACGTAATTTCCGTTTGGGTACAGCTCCACTTGCACCTCCCCTACCAGCCATTAGTCATATTATGTTGGATTTGGGAAATTTTTTGCAAAAAATAATAAACGGAAAAATCGAATGAAGGCTCAACAAATAGCCTCAAAATAGCCTGAAATTATGGTGTACTCAATATTCTTATATGCCTTCCATTCGAGATTTGGTTCTGCTAGTTCAATGGTTAAGTTAAAACGGCAATAGGCTAGGATTAGAACCTTGAATTTGCCTTAAATTATGGCATAATTAGTTTTGTGATTGAACTTTTATTAAAACGAAGTGGTTCTGCTAGCTCAACGTTAAGTTAGCAGTACCCACGTTTTTTTGCATGAATCAAAGAGCAATAAAGTCGGAATTCGAGTGATAAATTAGCCTTAGATCAGCCTAAAAATATGGTTAAAACAATTGAAAAATGCAAAGTGGATCTGCTAGCTTGATGGAGGTTTATACCCAACTCTTAAAGGCGACAGCCCTCCTTTGTAGAAAGGCATTACGAACGCCAAAGTTGATACACTCCCCTCGTAAGGGCACCGGACGTGATTTCATACACTCACAATGTCTAACTTTTCGACTGTTTGATCGATAAAAGTAGTTTTTTATGAAGAAATGTTCGAAGAAGAACGAAAATCCGATTTGTATTTGAACTTAATGTCCATTAAAACTTATCTTGGACATCTCCATATTCCATATTAATCTGTCTGACAGATGTTGAGCTCATAAGTGAATTATCCTGAACGATTATAGAGTTCTTGTGAGTACAGGATCTCAAATGATGGGATATCCGCTATAGTTACATTGCTTCTGGAATATCCTGAAAAAAAAAACCTCAGATTAGTATTATGCTTCTCTAATTGTGCAATATTTTATTCATTATATAATTTACATTTTTTAAAAGAGAACATGGGTCTACTTCATAGAGCACAGCTTCATTGAAATAACGACTGGTGCTTTCCTGAAGTGCACAAATAATTTGGAAAAAACTGGTATAAAACCACTGTTTATACCTAACTCTTAAAGGCGACACCCTCCTTTGTAGAGAGGCATTACGAACGCCAAAGTTGATACACTCCCCTCGTAAGGGTACCGGACGTGATTCCATACACAATGTCGACTAATTTGTCGACTGTTTGATTAAATGATCGATAAGTCGTTTTTTATGAAGAAATGTTCAAAGAAGAATAGAAATATGATCTCTATTTGAATTTAATGTTCATGAAAACTCATCTTGGACATCTCCATATTCCATTGATCTGTCTGACAGATCTTCAGCTCCTCTAAGTGAATTGTCCTGAACGATTATAGAGTTCTTGTGAGTACAGGATCTCAAATGATGAGATATCTGCCATAGTTTACATTTCTTCTGGAATATCCTGAAAAAATTGGATAAGTATTATGCTTCTCTGATTGCGCAATATATTATCCATTATATTTTACATCAATGAAAGAAAACATATGGGTCTATCCATTAAAGAGGACAGCTTCATTGAAACAACGACAGTTGCTTTCCTAAAGTGCACGAATAATTTGAAAAAAACTGGTTTAAAACCACTGTTTATACCTAACTCTTAAAGGCGACACCCGAGGCGACACCCTCCTTTGTAGAGAGGCATTACGAACGCCAAAGTTGATACACTCCCCTCGTAAGGGTACCGGACGTGATTCCATACACAATGTCGACTAATTTTTCGACTGTTTGATTAAATGATCGATAAGTCGTTTTTTATGAAGAAATGTTTGGAGAAGAATAGAAATATGATCTCTATTTGGATTTAATGTTCATGAAAAGTATCTTGGACATCTGCATATTCCAGTAATCTGTCTATATAATAGTTCTAGAGCTCCTCTAGTGAATTGTCCTGAACGATTATAGAGTTCTTGTGAGTACAGGTTCTCAATTGATGAGATATTTGCCATAGTTTACATTTCTTCTGGAATATCCTGAAAAAAAAAGAATTAGTATTATGCTTCTCTGATGATTGCGCAATATATTATTCATTATAATCTACATCTATGAATGAAAACATGGGTCTATCCTTCGAAGAGCACAGCTTCATTGAAACAACGACTGTGCTTTCCTGAAGTGCACAAATAATTTGGAAAAAACTGGTATAAAACCACTGTTTATACCTAACTCTTAAAGGCGACACCCTCCTTTGTAGAGAGGCATTACGAACACCAAAGTTGATACACTCCCCTCGTAAGGGTACCGGACGTGATTCCATACACAATGTCGACTTATTTGTCGACTGTTTGATTAAATGATCAATAAATCGTTTTTTATGAAGAAATGTTCGGAGAAGAATCCCTATTTGAATTTAATGTTCATGAAAACTTATCTTGGACATCTCCATATTCCATTGATCTGTCTTGACAGATCTTGAGTTCCTCTAAGTGAATTGTCCTGAACGATTATAGAGTTCTTGTGAGTACAGGATCTCAAATGATGAGATATCTGCCATAGTTTACATTTCTTCTGGAATATCCTGAAAAAAAAGTAGATTAGTATTATGCTTCTCTGATTGCGCAATATATTATTCATTGTAATTTACATCTATGAAATAAAAATATGATCTCTATTTGGATTTAATGTTCATGAAAACTTATCTTGGACATCTCCATATTCCATTAATCTGTCTGATAGATCTTGAGCTCCTCTAAGTAAATTGTCCTGAACGATTATAGAGTTCATGTGAGTACAGGATCTCAAATGATGAGATATCTGCCATAGTTTACATTTCTTCTGGAATATCCTGAAAAAAAAAGAATTAGTATCATGCTTCTCTGATTGCGCAATATATTATTCATTATAGTCTACATCTATGAAAGAAAACATGGGTCTATCCTTCAAAGAGCACAGCTTCATTGAAACAACGACTGTTGCTTTCCTAAAGTGCACTAATAATTTGGAAAAAACTGGTATAAAACCACTGTTTATACCTAACTCTTAAAGGCGACACCCTCCTTTGTACAGAGGCATTACGAACGCCAAAGTTGATACACTCCCCTCGTAAGGGTACCGGACGTGATTCCATACACAATGTCGACTAATTTGTCGACTGTTTGATTAAATGATCGATAAGTCGTTTTTTATGAAGAAATGTTCGGAGGAGAATTCCTATTTGAATTTGATGTTCATGAAAACTTATCTTGGACATCTCCATATTCCATTGATCTGTCTTGACAGATCTTGAGTTCCTCTAAGTGAATTGTCCTGAACGATTATAGAGTTCTTGTGAGTACAGGATCTCAAATGATGAGATATCTGCCATAGTTTACATTTCTTCTGGAATATCCTGAAAAAAAATTGGATTAGTAATATATGCTTCTCTGATTGCGCAATATATTATTCATTATAATTTACATCTATGAAATAGAAATATGATCTCTATTTCGATTTGATGTTCATGAAAACTTATCTTGGATATCTCCATATTCCAGTAATCTGTCTGATAGTTCTTGAGCTCCTCTAAGTGAATTGTCCTGGACGATTATAGAGTTCTTGTGAGTACAGGATCTCAAATGATGAGATATCTGCCATAGTTTACATTTCTTCTGGAATATCCTGAAAAAAAAAAGAATTAGTATTATGCTTCTCTGATTGCGCAATATATTATTCATTATAATCTACATCTATGGAAGAAAACATGGTTCTATCCTTCAAAGAGCACAGCTTCATTGTAACAACGACTGTTGCTTTCCCAAAGTGCACAAATAATTTGGAAAAAACTGGTATAAAACCACTGTTTATACCTAACTCTTAAAGGCGACACCCTCCTTTGTAGAGAGGCATTACGAACGCCAAAGTTGATACACTCCCCTCGTGAGGGTACCGGACGTGATTCCATAGACAATGTCGACTAATTTGTCGACTGTTTGATTAAATGATCGATAAGTCGTTTTTTATGAAGAAATGTTCGGAGAAGAATTCCTATTTGAATTTGATGTTCATGAAAACTTATCTTGGACATCTCCATATTCCATTGACCTGTCTTGACAGATCTTGAGTTCCTCTAAGTGAATTGTCCTGAACGATTATAGAGTTCTTGTGAGTACAGGATCTCAAATGATGAGATATCTGCCATAGTTTACATTTCTTCTGGAATATCCTGAAAAAAAATTGGATTAGTATTATGCTTCTCTGATTGCGCAATATATTATTCATTATAATTTACATCTATGAAATAGAAATATGATCTCTATTTCGATTTGATGTTCATGGAAACTTATCTTGGATATCTCCATATTCCAGTAATCTGTCTGATAGTTCTTGAGCTCCTCTAAGTGAATTGTCCTGGACGATTATAGAGTTCTTGTGAGTACAGGATCTCAAATGATGAGATATCTGCCATAGTTTACATTTCTTCTGGAATATCCTGAAAAAAAAAAAAAGAATTAGTATTATGCTTCTCTGATTGCGCAATATATTATTCATTATAATCTACATCTATGAAAGAAAACATGGTTCTATCCTTCAAAGAGCACAGCTTCATTGTAACAACGACTGTTGCTTTCCCAAAGTGCACAAATAATTTGGAAAAAACTAGTATAAAACCACTGTTTATACCTAACTCTTAAAGGCGACACCCTCCTTTGTACAGAGGCATTACGAACGCCAAAGTTGATACACTCCCCTCGTAAGGGTACCGGACGTGATTCCATACACAATGTCGACTAATTTGTCGACCGTTTGATTAAATGATCGATAAGT